ATGTGATTGCATTAAATATCAATTATTTGTATGAAAAAAAAACTAATTTCGATGCACTTAAACTTGTTGGTTGGAGCTACCAATATTGGCTGTTCCGACAACAAACTGTAAAAACAAATTTGTATTGGTTCCCACAACATATTTTTTTGTTGTGCCTATTTTCACTAATAAAATTGGTTCTGGGAACTAAATTTTCATTGCAAATACCAGGTCTTTTCTAAGAGTGTAGGGTAGGGTGGAGTGAATTTTATTAAATTTATTAATTGATTTTTCCTATATTATTAATTGTTGACTAAAGGCGTAAAATGAATAAATATCGAAAAAATATTCCAATTTTTTAATATCTTGAGGTGGCGCATCAGTCTCGAAGTTTTAAAAATTCTAAAAAAATATTACTTTAATCAAAGTAATAAAAATAGCATTATTTATAAATAAAAAGTTTATTTTAGTAAAATTAACGTGAAACGTAAACATATTTAATAGTAAATCATATGCTTTAAGTAACTTCAGGACTGTTTATTGGTAGAAATGAGATCTTCTTTTTCGCGAAAATACTGATATTTGGTATAAAAATTTGGTAATTATTTTCTGACTTTAATTCTTGTTCTGATGAAACCATCTCTTGCTTCCGATCCACAAACCGAGACTGAAGATTCAGTATACTGGTTATAACCAGTTTTACACAGCGTTCCACTGCTTAGGTGTGATACGGAAATTTTTGGAAGTATAGGAAATGGTCACCCGAAGAAATCATATCGGTAATTTCTGTCATCGTATTTCATAGTCATAGGTGGTTCAGTTACCTTTTCTGTCGCCCAGTGAATTAACTCGTAAAAATGTAATGCTTCAGTATTTGGTTGTGAAAGCTTTAATTCCCGTAATCTCGAACATTTTGATTCTTTTCTCGCCTTTAATATTTTCGGCAATGCTAGTTCTCTGATCGATAGATATATTGTAGGTAACATAGCTAGTAATAGGTTTTCGGGATAAATATTAGCTATAGCTTACAAAGATCCAGGCAAGCTAGCACATTCCCTATGGCTGACGTGGGCTAATAGGATTATTCGTTTATATGGGGGGACAGCAAATCCATCGGAAAACCTAAAAGAATTGGCTACTTTTATCATGAAAGTGTATGCCCCAACGTGGTTTTACATCAACAGCAAGCCTACGTGCAAACATGGTCCTATTCACATATTTAATTTGACTAAAAGAGCATTACACCTCCAGAAAAACTTGAAGGCCTTATAACTATAGTTATAAAGAATATTCAGCGAAATATTTATCCCGAAAACCTATTACTTGCTATGTTACCTACAATATATCTATCTATCAGAGAACTAGCATTGCCGAAAATATTAAAGGCGAGAAAAGAATCAAAATGTTCGAGATTACGGGAATTAAAGCTTCCACAACTAAATACTGAAGCATTAAGTTTGTACCAGTTAATTCACTGGGCGACAGAAGAAAAGGTGACTGAACCACCAATGACTATGAAATACGATGACAGAAATTACCGATATGATTTCTTCGGGTGACCATTTCCTACACTTCCAAAAATTTCAGTGTCACACCCAAGCAGTGGAACGCTGTGTAAAACTGGTTATAACCAGTATACTGAATCTTCAGTCTCGGTTTGTGGATCGGAAGCAAGAAATGGTTTCATCAGAACAAGAATTAAAGTCAGAAAATAATTACCAAATTTTGATACCAAATGTCAGTATTTTCGCGAAAAAGAAGATCTCATTTCTACCAATAAACACTCCTGAAGTTACTTAAAGCATATGATTTACTATTAAATATGTTTACGTTTCACGTTAATTTTACTAAAATAAACTTTTTATTTATAAATAATGCTATTTTTATTACTTTGATTAAAGTAATATTTTTTTAGAATTTTCAAAACTTCGAGACAGATGCGCCACCTCAAGATATTAAAAAATTGGAATATTTTTTCGATATTTATTCATTTTACGCCTTTAGTCAACAATTAATAATATAGGAAAAATCAATTAATAAATTTAATAAAATTCACTCCACCCTAGTGTAGGGGGTATTATGCTTAAGGTGAAAAATCAATTTTTTGTTTCTATTTTTCTCAAAATCGGTTTTAGAAAAATTAAAAAAGCTGTTTGTAACGAAAAAAACTACAAAACTGAGTTTAATAATGATTATTGGTGAAAACTCAAGTTTTTGGATTTCATTTTAACCGAAAAAAAAATAAAAACAAAAAATGTTGTTAGGAAAAAAAAGTAAATACTATCAACTGTGTTTTTAAAGATAAACAACGTTAAAAATATGCAATATGCAAAATGACTCATATATATATATATATATATACAGGAATATAGAATACAAACAAAAAATATAATATACATATATGATTTAGTAAATCTTTTTAAAAAGTGATATGAGCCAATTTAAATTTTAAGCTTATAAGCTTAGAGATAAAAAGCAATTTAATAGGACTCAGCTACATGCAACTGATGTCTACTTTAGTTCAGCTTTGCTTTGAAAAAGTTTGTCTTACAAAATGGAAAAATGGCTTTAAAAGGTTACATAGAATTCACTTTGAACTCTTTATGAAAAGCTGTACAAAAAATTGTCCTTCTAATAAACACTTAATTTTTTTTAAATTTATATCATTTGTTTTAATTTAATTCTATGATGTTGGTAAACTTTTATCAAATTTTAATTTGATTTGATTTCCTTGGAATTGCAATTTTGTTATACCACCATTATTTAAACCACAATCCTACATGTTTGGTGCATTACCAATTTCCAAGAATTTATGTTCTGAATCGGAATGATTTTTCACAAAAGCTTTTGGTCAATTTCCCAATTGGGGTTAACCTATTCAGTTCATGGTGCACTTACAGGTTTGAAGTATATTCACGGCGCCCCAAATAAAATTATTCGACAAAAAAGCACAAAAACAAAAAAAAACGTTCAATATACCTAATATATACTATATAGTTTTTCTAATTAGAGGGAGTTATTACATTTACATTTACATTATTTATGTACTTACAGGTTTGTTAAAATAACTCTTGGTTTCATTGCTAGTTTCTTTTTCTAGTTTTTCTAATTCCACAGCAATTAAAGCTGAAGTTTTTGCATTATTTTTAATCAGCTCAATATCTTTTTACAATAGGAAAATACACACATTCATTTGTGTTAATTTTATATTTTTATAATTACTACCTATACCTCGGAACTTTTCCAGCGATGACGTCAAAATGTTTACAAAAATCATACCTAGTTAAAAAAAGTAAACACTTATCTTTATACATGTGCAAAAAATAACTATAATATCACAATATAATCATTTTTATGTAATCGCTGGAAAACTTCCGCGCTATAATAATTACGATAAGTAGGTAAAATGATAATAATAACATTGCTCACCGTTATTACATTATATTTCTTCATGATTTTGGTAATAAAACTCGGTAAATTTGAGACAAATTCACGCTTTTCAATAGTAAATTTAAACTGGAATTGTTTTAGGGCTACCAACATTTCAACGCCAAATTTTTAATTTAGATTAAATTTTTAGTCCTATGGTAAATAGGCAGTTTTCTGAATTTAATATACCTAGTTAACACCAAATTTCCCCAAATATTTTTAAAAAATACCAAGTATTTATGAATTTTAAAATATACAAACTACAAATTATGAAAAGGATACTTGTTTTTAGGGACTTTCCCTGAGTTAATTCTGCAACCCGGCTTAAGATAAAAGGAGTAATTTCCTTCCCAGAAATCTTAAATTTGTTTTTGGCTAAATGTAAGGCCTCTTCTATAACTTCGTTCATTTTTTCGGCTTCCAAAGAATATTCATCAGGGACAGGAACAGCAAACAACATTGCAGAATTAATGTTTAAATCTCGATTGGTTTTTATTATGTTGGCAGCATCCAGAGGGGAATTCACGTTGTATGGAGCTTTATGTGAGCTTTTGCTTACATAAAAAGCTGGAAAATCTTTGGTGTTTCCGAATGTTGCCACAAAAACACCATGGGTTTCCTATATAATTAAATAAGTACAGTAAAATATTATGATATTTGTTTTATTAGGTACCCTACCAAAAACTCCAAAGTTTTGGGAATGTCCAAAATGGATTTAACTCCACTGGAAACTATGGCAACGTTGCTTTTTCCTAGTTCTATTAAATCGGCTGATATATCAAAGGTCTCGAAAACCTCCCTATGAACACCTCCAATACCTTTTAATAAAAAAATAATAATTTCCAGATTTTTTTTATGTTTTGTTATTGTAAGTACCTCCTGTGGCAAAAATTGGTATCCCAACCTTATCAGCAACCAAAGTCGTCCCAGAAACCGTAGTGCCCCCATTTAACTTATTACTAACAACATAAGCCAAATCTCTGCGGGAGGTTTTAAGAGGTTTGCTAGAATCGGTGTCCCCCAAGGATGTCAACTCTGACTCTGACAGACCCACTTTGATTTTACCGTTCAAAATCGCTATAGTTGCTGGAATAGCACCCTAAAATACAACAAATAATTTGAATTTCCCGCGTTGGCTAAAGCATTACAACGTTGCCAAGAGCAACAATGTGAATTGTTTTAAAAAGGTAAATAAATGTTCACCTGTTGACGAACGATGCCTTCTACGGTTTTTGCGCATTCTATATTTTGTGGAAAAGGCATTCCATGTGTGATTATGGTTGATTCTAGAGCTACCAAGGGTTTTTTATTTTCAAGTGCAAATCTAACCTCTTCACTCACATGTATTTGTGAATATTTCAAAAGTTGGCGTTGATAGCACAGTAAACTTTTGTTTTTTATGTAAAACAAGTTCTTTGCCACTTTGTGCATGGTTTTGGTTATTTTTTACTTAAAGTACGAGTTTTTACACTGTTTAGTGAATACACTTAATCTACACTACAAGAACTAGGAGATAAAAAAACAATAAACAAATTACTAATCATTTATTTATATTATAATACAATAAATTTTAAACAATTAATTAATACATAGCACAGTTCAAATTACTACAATAAATTTAATTGGTATGAAATTGGAACAAGTCTAATTGTAAGCTAGGCAAGTCCAAGTTTAACGAATTACTCAAATCAATATCTGGCTCTGTAATCCTTTTAAACCTTTCGTTTACAAATTGATCAACATTCATTACTTCATCAGAGCTTGAGTTGTCCAATAAATTTGAAGTTGAGTCTACAGCTGACATCAGCTCATCTACTGATGAATGTGGAAGAGAAGTTAGTAGAGAATTTTCGGAAAGCAAATCAATCCGATTATCTAATATAGGAACATTTTTTTTGTCATAATTTATTATGGTATTGTGTTCTATGATGTGAGTATTATTTTCTTTTTTTGTAAATGGTTGATAGTTGTTTGGTAAATTTGGCAAGTCTGCATTGAAATTTTTTTCCGTGTAAGTAAACTCATTAAGAATTACATCCAAATTAGAAGAGTTTTGATTGATTGGCGGAGCAGAAAAATAACTTGCATTTTCAGTGTTTTTAACTTCTGCAGTATTTTTTAGTTTTTCCTCCACTTTAAATATGTTATTACTACTTTTGGCATTAAAAAAATCAGAATTAGTAATTAATTTTAATACTGTAACATCTTTATACAACTCATTTTCGTCAAACTTGTAATTTCCCGGATTTACACCTATAGCATTTCCTAAAACCTTATCGATTTCCACACAATTATCCCCCTCATTTTTCTTAAACAATGCTGTTGTTAACAACTGAACATTATGCAGCAAATTTGTTAATTCCTCGCAAAATTTACTCCCCCTCCTCCCAGGTGGACTTTTTTGTGTGATGTCAACCAAATAGTTCCAAACGTCAAAGTTGGCCTCTTTCAACTTATCAGGCAGAGGGCCATGATCTGGATACTTTTGTAAATGCTGAATCATCTTAGCCTTGCCCAAGTAGGCTTTTTGACACTTAGGACACCTGTATTGGGCAGATATAGTCCTTTTTCTTTGATGCATATCAAGCTTTTTAAACTCATCACTATTCTCCTTATTTTTATCTTCAAACCTTACAAATGCAGAAGTTTCAATTTCTAGTTCATCTGTTATTTCTATTTTTTCAAAATCCTTTTCTATGTGCTTTGGCAGTTTTACCAACCTTCCAGAGCGTGTTCTGGCTGTCTTTGGTGGGTCTACAGGAACTGGTTGAACATTTTTTTTCTCTGCAGTTTGCTTACGTTTGGGGCGACCCCTTTTTGTTATTGTAGGCTGAAGTGCAAACATAAAACATTTATTTATACAAAGAAAATATTATTACCTTTAAATCCAGTTCCTCTGGATAAACAACCTGATAAACTACAGTTTGTTGACTTTCATCTATATTTTCAGCAACAATTTGTATATTAGGATTTGCCACACCTACTGATTCAATAGCCTGAAAACAAATATTTTGTTTGGGTTGTTCTAATTTTACCAAGTTACTTATTTGTGTTGATTGCATAGGAATTGATACATTTTGAATATTTCCTTCAGTTAATTGAACTGTATTTATAACCTAAAAGTTTAACAGTTACATTTACTCGTTAATTTAATCGTTGTTAATTACCTACTTACATTTTTTATAGGAATTAATAAAGGCATTGCCGTTTGGTGCATCATTTTAGTAATTGTAAATAAAACGTAAAAAATGCGCGTCTAGATTATGACAGTTGACAGATAGTTGATGTTGGCTGTACTTACTTTTAAGGCGGGTTTGGTTTGAACATTTATTACAGGAATTTATATACATTTGCTTTAAAACTAATGCGTAGGTACATAAAGAAAATCTTTAACATTTATTTTAAATGCAAAGAATTATTTCTTTAAAATATCATTCTATAAGTAGTGTATAATAAATATAATTGCGCGGAATGTAGAATCTACATTGTAGATCGACTTTTATTAACAATGCTGCCAACCTAAGAACAAAAAGTGTAAACATAATAGTGGCTTGTCAATTCTTTTAATTTATTCGTGTTTTCGCATTAAAAATGCCGTACGCAAATCAGCCTTCAGTCCATATAACCGATTTAACTGACGACAATGTGAAATTTTACATCGAGGACACAGATTTAAGGTAAATTCAATATTTTTCATAAAGTAGCATTTCTAACCTATATGTTAAGTGTTGCAAACAGCATTCGCCGGGTTCTTATCGCCGAAACCCCCACATTGGCCATTGATTGGGTAAAATTGGAAGCCAACTCGACAGTTTTAAGTGACGAATTTTTGGCGCACAGAATAGGACTTATACCTTTGATTTCCGATGAGGTTGTGCAACGTCTGCAATATCCAAGAGTATGTTTTTTATTGCATTAATAATAACAACTTATAATTTTGTTGTTTAAGGATTGTATTTGCAAAGATTTCTGTCAGGAATGCAGTGTTGAATTCACTTTGGACGTAAAATGCACAGGCGACAATACAAGACTTGTCACTACAGCCGATTTAAAATCTAGTGATCCCAGGGTAATTCCAGCCACCTCAAAACACAGGGATGATGAATCATCAGAATATGAAGAGAACGATGAAATTTTGATTATTAAGTTACGTAAGGGGCAAGAATTGAAGGTCAGAGCTTATGCTAAGAAAGGTTTTGGCAAAGAACATGCAAAATGGAATCCAACTTGTGGAGTTGCTTTTGAATATGATCCTGATAACTCTATGAGGCACACTTTGTTTCCCAAGCCAGATGAGTGGCCTAAAAGTGAATACAGTGAACTAAAAGATAACCAATGTTAGTGATTTACTTGGAGCATATAATACATGCAATAAAGCATTACCCATGTACTATATGCTCTAAGGTATTTAATTTATACAGTGCACATGTGTCCCTGGATCAAGTTACCAATAGGAAAAAATTGTGTTATCTTTTTACAACAAAAAAATATTCTTTATGAAGAAATTATGAAAACATGAAAATGCTCTAAGAAGGAAGTACTCTGCATTTTATAAAATAAAAACGAATTGTTTGAAAAAATAAATTTGCATAAAAAAATTTAATTAAATGTACAGGGTGCTCAGAAATTAGGAAAACATAAAAATGCTGTAGAAGTACCTTTATTTATTATTTAATAGAAAATTTTTATAGGAGCATTGAAATTGAAATATTTTATTTTAACATTTATTTTTATTTATTTATTAATTTAAATGTTTTGTTTGTTTTGAACTTAAATTTAAATCTTCAACAACTTTCTCTTCAAAAAATTGTCTATAAAATAAACAGGTTCTTTTAAATTCTTTTTTTTTTAATTTTTTAAGTATTAGTAGAGTTTTTTTCATTGGTAACCTGATATGGGGACACTGTTTATTTTTTGGTTACTTATTTATATTATTTTAGATGAGGCTCCTTTTAACTGGGAATTGAAACCAAATAAATTTTATTACAATGTGGAATCCGCTGGTTTATTGAGACCGGAAAATATTGTCATAATGGGTGTGGCAATGTTGAAAGAAAAATTATCAAACTTGCAGACCCAACTCAGCCAGGAGTTGCAGAATGATGCCTTAGCTATTTAATTATTTTTATCAATAAACTTTGACCAAGAGCGCGTTTGTTTTTATTGTCAAATTTGACATATTTGTTGTATGTTATTTTATAAGGTTTTACAATGGAGTGTTACAATGAATTTGAGAAAAATTTTGTGCATGGATCTTCTTTTTTTACCACATATCAATTTGATTACAAGAGGTATTGTGAGAAAACAGATATTGTTAAAAAAGAAAAGGTTTATAGTGAAATTGTGGAAAATGCCCCAGCACCTCAAAAATACACAGACAGGGAAACATTGGCTTTATATGATGATGATTATTATGTACCTTTTAACTTGTACCACTACCCAAGACCTATTGTCCACAAACGTGTTATACCGCAAGTTTCGGTAAGACTACTTTAAATCTTGTAAACACATACCTATTGGTAATATTAGGTTTGCAAAAGAAACCAAAAAGACTATGACGTAATAAAATCGAGACCAAAGATGTATAGATCACCAGCAGTGCCCATAGACAACATAGAAGATCCCAATAGAAGAGATACAGTGATAAAATTTATGTACACTACCGAATCTCTAATGTCGCAACAGTCAGCTGCGCTGCCGACAACGAAGAGAGAACCAATTGATCCAGCCAAACATGATCAGTTAAAGGAAAACGTAAGATTAATTTTAATTTGGGAACGTATTGACCAATTTTTTTGAAGGTGTTTTTGAAAACTGAACTGTACGAACCTCTGGAAGAATCCTTTGTGAATAAAAGTATACCTTGGGATGACGCACAAGAAAGATACAGTGTAGATCCCACTGCGAAGTTCTGGATGAAAAGAAACGAACTGGATGAGTAAGGGAATACCGAAAATGCGAACTCGCAACGAGGATAACCTCTATTTTTCTAGCAGTTGTGTGAATCCCTTGGAAAACCTTTTGCCGGTAGAAACGAAGCGAGTTATCTCAAAATTAATAAAGGAGGATAAGTTGAGGGGCGAGCACGATTTAAGATGCGCCACCTATTGTGGTTACATTCCCAATAACACTGATCCTATACCGCTTGCAAAGACGGAATTCCCAATTTCATATCCGTTCCTATCCGTATCGCAAACCTTGGACATCAGGAAGAATGATAAGGAAGGTCACAAACTTGAATACGTTTGTGATAAAAACTAATGAATATATTAAACTTAAGTCACAACATAATACACAAACAACATTTGAAAAAATCGATTCTCCATACCTATATATAGGGATATATAAGGACTAGCTTAATTTTATACATAAAAAAACCTCTGGAATAATTAATTAAACTTGGATCATTAAAATCCAACCCAATAAAATTTGTACTTGTAGACTGACTTTTGAAATATGTTAGGCAAGTCATAACCAGTAAGGGCAAAAAAAAGGTCCTGAACTTCTTGAACCTTAAATTGAAATGATGTTAAAGTGGATTTTTTTAAGTGAAATGGTACTCAATGATGCTTGAGCTATTTAATTATTTTTATCAATAAACTTTTACCAAAAGCGCGTTTGTTTTAATTGTCAAATTTGTGTTAATAATTATTTTAAAATGGAGTGTTACAATGAATTTGAGAAAAAATTTGTGCATGGATCTTCTTTTTTTTAGCACATATCAATTTGATATCAAATGTAATATTACAAGGGATTGTGATAAAACAGATATTGTTAAAAATAAAAAGTGAATTTGTGGAAAATCCCCCAGCACCTCAGAAATACACAAACAGGGAAACTTTGGCTTTATATGATGATGATTATTATGTACCTTTTAGCTTGTACCACTACCGCAGACCTATTGTCGACAAACGTGTTATACCGCAAATTTTCTTATAGATCACCGGCAGTGCTTATAGACAACATAGAAGATCCCAACAGAAGAGATACTGTAATAAAATGTACTTATGTACACTACCGACAACGAAGAGAGAACCAATTGAATTGATCCAGCCAAACCTGATCAGTTAAACGAAAACGTAAGATTAATTTTAATTTGGGAATACATCGACCAATTTTCTTGAACGTGTTTTTAAAAACTGAAACTGTACGAAACTCTGAAAGAATCCTTTGTGAATAAAAGTATACCTTGGGATGACGCACAGGAAAGATACAGTGTAGATCCCACTGCGAAGTTCTGGATGAAAAGAAACGAACTGGATGAGTAAGGGAATACCGAAAATGGGAACTCGCAACGAGGATAATCTCTATTTTTCTAGCAGTTGTGTTAATCCCTTGGAAAACCTTTTACCGGTAAAAACGAAGCGAATCATCTTAAAATTAATAAAGGAGGATAAGTTACGGGGCGAGCACGATGCGCTATTTATTGCGGTTACCGCTTCCTATCCGTATCGCAATTGCGATAGGTTTAAACCTTGGACATCAGAAAGAATGATAAGGAAGGTCACAAACTTGAATACGTATGCGATCAAAAGTAATGGATATATTAAACTTTAGTCACAACATAATATAAAAACAACATTTGATAAAATCGAATCTCCATATTAATGACTAGTCTAACTTAATTTTAAACATAAACAAACCTCTGGAATAATTAATTAAACTTGGATCGTTAAAATCCAACACAATAAAATTCGTATAAAACTTTAAATTCAAAAACAAATAAGCCATCGCTTCCACAACCCTCATTCTCACAGTTTCGTTTTCATCTGTCAACAATTTCATCAACCTATCACAGACTGTGTGCACTGATACTATGTTTTTTGTTTTTCACTGCCAATTGCGAATACAAGATCCCGGAAACTAGGGCTGCGTAACTCCTTATTTCGAACCACTGTCTTTTGAAATACGATACGAATCATAACCAGTAAGGTAAAGAGATCCTAAACTTCTTTAGCCTTAAATTGAAAGGATGTTAAAGTGGATTTTTTTAAGTGTAATTGTACTCAATGATACTTTAGCTATTTAATTATTTTTATCAATAAACTTTGACCAAGAGGTCGTTTGTTTTTATTGTCAAATTAGACATTTTTGTTATTTGTGTTATTTTAGACGGTTTTAAAATGGACTGTTACAATGAATTTGAGAAAAATTTTGTGCATGGATCTTCTTTTTTTACCACATATCAATTTGATTACAAGAGGTATTGTGACAAAACAGATTTTGTTAAAAAAGAAAAAGTTTATAGTGAAATTGTGGAAAATCCCCCAGCACCTCAAAAATATACAGACAGGGAAACATTGGCTTTATACGATGATAATTATTATGTACCTTTTAACTTGTACCACTACCCCAGACCTATTGTTGACAAACGTGTAATACCGCAAGTTTCGGTAAGATTAAACTTTAAATCTTGTAAACACATACCTATTGGTAATATTAGGTTTGCAAAAGAAACCAAGAAGACTATGACGTAATAAAATCGAGACCAAAGATGTATAGATCACCAGCAGTGCCCATTGACAACATAGAAGATCCCAATAGAAGAGATACAGTGATAAAATTTATGTACACTACCGAGTCTCTGATGTCGCAACAGTCAGCTGCGCTGCCGACAACGAAGAGAAAACCAATTGATCCAGCCAAACATGATCAGTTAAACGAAAACGTAAGATTAATTTTAATTTTGGAATATATTGACCAATTTTCTTGAAGGTGTTTTTGAAAACTGAACTGTACGAACCTCTGGAAGAATCCTTTGTGAATAAAAGTATACCTTGGGATGACGCACAGGAAAGATACAGTGTAGATCCCACTGCGAAGTTCTGGATGAAAAGAAATGAACTGGATGAGTAAGGAAATACCGAAAATGCGCACTCGCAACGAGGATAACCTCTATTTTTCTAGCAATTGTGTGAATCCCTTGGAAAACCTTTTACCGGTAGAAACGAAGCGAGTAATCTCAAAATTAATAAAGGAGGATAAGTTGAGAGGCGAGCACGATTTAAGATGCGCCACTTATTGCGGTTACATTCCCAATAGCACTGATCCTATACCGCTTGCAAAGACGGAATTCCCCATATCATATCCGTTCCTATCCGTATCGCAAACCTTGGACATCAGGAAGAATGATAAGGAAGGTCACAAACTTGAATACGTATGCGATCAAAACTAATAGATATATTAAATTTTAGTCACAACATAATATAAAAACAACATTTGATAAAATCGAATCTCCATATTAATGACTAGTCTAACTTAATTTTATACATAAACAAACCTCTGGAATAACTAATTAAACTTGGATCATTAAAATCCAACGCTTTAAAATTTGTATAAAACTTTTAATTCAAAAACAAATAAGCCATCGCTTCTACGGCCCTCATCCTCACAGTCTCGTTTTCATCTGTCAACAATTTCATCAACCTATCACAGACCGTGTCCACTGATACTCTGTTTTTGTTTTCCGCTGCCAATTGCGAATACAAGAGCCCTGAAACTAGGGCTGCGTTGCTCCTTATTTCGACCCACTGACTTTTGAAATACGATAGGCAAGTCATAACCAGTAAGGGAAAGAGATCCTGAACTTCTTCAGCCTTAAATTGAAAGGATGTTTAAGTGTTTTTTTTAAGTGTAATGGTACTTACCATAAGTTTAATAAGGTCTTTTATAAAATCGGAGAAGTGTAAGTTTGCCTCATCTATCAAATGCTCTTGTATCATGCAATTTACTTTGGGGCTGTTCAAGTGAGGCCCAACTTTCCTCAAAGTATATTTGCAAGCCTATAGAAGAAAAACCTTACAAACCAAGAACAAACAAGAACAATACTATACCTTAATAACTGTTACATCTGGATCACATAGATGCAGCATTAATGTTATAACATTCCCGTGAATTTGCTCTTTAAATGCTTCCATATTTGCTTCGGAATTCAGGGATGCCGTTAAGTCTCCCAAAAGTTTAAACGAAGCTCTTCTAAGATGGACATCTTCCTGGCCCAATAGAGGTTTGATCCTAACTGCTGCAGTCACTTGGAACGAACTAAATTTGTAACCTTCCAGAGCTGTAAGTAGCTTTGAAAACGTTTGCATACCTTCCAAGATAACGGAACTTTCATTGCTAGAACAAACGTCTTTAATATTGTGTTGTTTTTAATAGCAAGAACTAACCCAATAATGTTGTAATCCAAACTATTCATCATCACGCTCAAAATGGGGTTGCAATGCCGTGAAATCAGGTCCGTATTGGACAATTCTGCCGCATAACCAAGACCTTGCAACGCGATCTTCCTCACAATACAACTCTGGTCGCTTTGAACGTCCAAAATCATCTCGAGAAGATTTTCAACCAATACAGTTTGCTCGTTAGCTTTCTGTTTTAATAGATATGTAAAAAAAGCCACCGCAGCCATGCGTTGTGGGTCTTGTTCGGCCCGTATAAAAGGTCCTAGACAAGCTACAAGCCAGGATAGAGCTTGAGGGTTCTCTTCCGTGATACCCTCCACTAACTTTGATGTTACCTCCAGGAAAATTTCGGGGTCCTCGCTTGTCTCTAGGTGGTTGTAAGATAACAATAACGTCGCCATATCTTTGTAATCGCAACACAAGAAAAACAGCCGCATCGTGTCTATAGCCACCTTACAAGGATTCATTTTGTACGACTCCCTGTTCAAAAAACCGTATTTATCCTTCTTGTTGCTGCTGCCTTGATAGGCCGGCACCGTGGTGCCCATGTAGGACGCCAGGCATACCAACAAAAGCGAAAAAATCTCCGGGAATTGTTGAACGCAAGTGTCCTTTAGTTGCCCGTTTTTAACGAGTTCTTGCAAGGCGCATACAGCTTGCAACGATTGCAGGTTAACCACTTTTATGTCTTTGCTTTGTTCTTCATACATTGGTGTTTGCTTAATTATTTTTTTTAGTTGGTCTATCAAGTCCAAGACCAAGGTTTGGTCCACGGACAGGATGTTCCATGCATCAGTTATGTTGCTGAAACAAATAAGTGTTGATACCTACCTTCCTAAACTTGACACAGAAATAAAACAATTTTTGAAATCAAAATAGGCCCTTACGAAGGTTTTTTGATGGCTGAGTTTATCGAAAAAAGAAAAGGATGTTAAAAAAATCGAGGATTTTGAAGGGGAAGGGCACAATCCACAGGTCGGTTCTATATAAAATCAACAAGTTAGGCAGGGTTTGTGCTGTTCATACAGATTAAAAATCGTTTTAAACTTTGTGTTTCTTACACAAGGCACTTGTAAGCCTCAAATGAGACTTTTAGAGTGCAAATAAACTATAATGCATTGTATCTACAGTGAATTAAAGGCTACCTTACGGTCACGGAAGTAATAGAGTGTGAAGTGATAAGTGACAGCATACCTGGCGGGCTAACCACCTGACAATAGGAAGCATTCTATGTGAAGAACAAACGAGGCTAACCAAGAATGAAAAGGGTCATCATCTGAAAACATTTAATAAGTACTCTTAACTGAATGCATGACCTAATACATAAATTTGCAACATTAACCACGTTCAGATACCTACACAACCCTAAGAGCGGTTCTTTCCGCTTAAATACAAACCTGGTAAAAAAAACAATGTAAAACAAAGAGCAACAGCAACATTGATAATAAGACAATAGTAACAAAACAATACAAAAAAAAACAATAAATCCAAGCCGTCCCAAATCTTATCGCTGACATTCACGGGATTACAGCTGAGCAAGACAAATAAATCAATCAGCAAGTAAGTCAGAAAAGCCATAAATTTAAAAGACCTTTTCCAATAAACTAAAGTGTGTAAAGTAACAGAGACATAAATAAACCTAGAAACCTATAGACGCTACGAAAAAAATGCAATTACCGAACTCAGCAGTCGCTAAGAAAACTTAAAAGACAAAGTCGGACAAACCAATGAGTACTTAAACCAGAGTATAAAGAACTGTATACTGTGCTTAAAGGACTAGGGCAAAAACGGCTATTGGGTAGGAGTGAAAACACCACTAGCCGCCTCGGACGTCTTCAACGTCGCAAAAGAAATACCACAAAAAGGGAGGGAGGCAGGGTGACGGTCAAGCCGTAGCCACGACAAGGAAGACTAACAACTCCCCAACTTCAAATAGTAAAAATGGTATGGACCTGCGAATTCTTACTTGTCATATGGTAACGGTTCAACAGCTTCTCCAGAATGTTCCTGACTTGCTATGCCAGCTCCCCTCCTTTATTCTTCAACGTCATAATTAGAACAACCCCTGTACAATTTGAACTGAAACTCGCAGTCTAATAGCCCATCGGATAAACCATCAACCAGATGAATAAGCTGGAATTGCGGCATGTTAATGCAAACAACATGAGCCAGATCCGAAGTTAAGTTGTACAATAACTTTGGATCGTCAGATTCGATTTGGTGTTGTATGTGGTGAAGAGAGTTCGTTAGAAATTTATCGTGATCCTTCATGTGGCCCTCGTATCTGGCTGCTATGCATAGAATCAAACAAACGCACTCGATCGTTATCTTGCGTATATTCTTGTTTGGGTCCGTATCCAGGTACTATGTGCGCCAAAATCGACCCGGTCTGTCCGAAAGTGCTCAGGCAATCGTAAGCGAACTTCATGTTGTTGAGGTAAGTCTACAGCACAAATATTAAGGCGTCGCAGGCTGGGTGTCGTTGTTCCTGCTTTTTCCTGTTCAGCCACGGCTCCAGAAGGGTCGCGATTTCATTCAAAGTCGCGGGAGATAGACTTTGAAGCATCAACTCTTGCACCAAAAGGTTTAACTCGGCGAAACTCTTGGTTATATGCGGGACCATTTTCAGGTCGCCATAATAGTTCTCTTTGTTGTCCGTGTTGATTTTGCAGTAGATTGCCTCGACGTTAAAAACGTTATCGAAGAATAACTTCAGTAACTTTATTCTCTCTCTGATTCCAAAGGTAATGGTAACTTTACCAGCGAAGTTATGGCATTTATAATGCCCGGGAACAGCTCTATATATATACTCTGTATATATACTCCTGGCCGTTATGCAACCGTATCTGCACTGAAACCAAATCTACAACTCTATCCCTTTCGTTTAAACGGATGTGTAGAAAGTTTTTGTTGGGGTGCATGGCATCGGCAATGCTGCTTATGGCGATCAAGCAAGCCTTACGTAATTGAAATCGACCAGTATGTTTTCAAGGGTTTGCAAGACGGTTTCTTTATCGTTCAAAGAGAAAAGTGTGATAGTCAAGCATTTAAGAAGGAATTTTTTCTCGATTTGCTTTGAATTTAAATCACCACCACCACTGCTCATGTACCTAGGTACATGAGCAGTGGTATAGCTATAACTATAGCTATTATTGTTATAAATCTCCAATTGCTTTCTGCTTTGAAAAACGAGAATCTCGCTGAAAGACTCATTTTTAACCAATACCAATACAAAATTAAAAAGCAAATCGTGCCACTTGGAATAATTTAAGTTATTATATCGAATATTAATCTGAATAAACAGCACAAACCCGAAATACAAGAATTGTACACAACATAAAAATGGCCGACATTAAAGTATGTGCAGTGGGTTGTCTAACATAAACGATATAGAACAGACCTTGTTGTGTGGATTGTGAGAAAGGGTAGAATGTGCGTTTTTGCACTTTTGGGTTGGAATTTCACAAAAACCTAAAATTATGGAGCAAACCCGGTTTAAAAATGTGGACCTGTGAATACTTACTTGTCATATGGTAACGGTTGCGCCAGCAAAATGCTTCCAACAATTTTGGAATGATGTGTCGCCAAATTTAATATTCCCCTCAACGTGGAAGACCTCGTCCTCTGGCATTGTATTTTCCCCAGCTGTTTCAACAGCTTCTCCAGAATGTTGCTGACTTGCGATTGCAGCTCCCCTCCTTTATTCTTCAACGTCATACTTAGAACGACCCCTGTACCATTTGAACTGGAACTCTCGCAGTCTAATAGCCCATCGGATAAACCATCAACCAGATGAATAAGTTGGAATTGCGGCATGTTAATGCAAACAACATGAGCCAGATCCGAAGTTAAGTTGTACAATAACTTTGGATCGTCCGATTCGATTTGGTGTTGGATGTGTTGAAGAGAGTTCGTCAGGACTTTGTCGTGATCCTTCATGTGGCCCTCGTATCTAGCTGCTATGCATAGAGTCAAGCAAACGCACTCGACCGCTATCTTGCGTATGTTCTTGTTTGGGTCCGTACACCTCGGTATTATGTGCGCCAAAACCGACCCGGTCTGTCCGAAAGTGCTCGGGCAATCGTACGCGAACTTCATGTTGTTGAGATAAGTCTGCAGGACCAATTTTAGGGCGTCGCAGGCTGGGTGTCGTTGTTCCTGCTTTTTCCTGCTCAGCCACGGCTCCAGAAGGGTCGCGATTTCATCCAAAGTCGCGGGGGATAGACTTTGAAGCATCAACTCTTGCACCAAAAGGTTTAACTCGGCGAAACTCTTGGTTATATGTGGGACCATTTTCAGGTCGCCATAATAGTTCTCTCTGTTGTCCGTATTGATTTTGCAGTAGATTGCCGCGGCGTTAAAAACGTTATCGAAGAATAACTTCAGTAACTTTATCCTCTCCTCTGATTCCAAAGGTAACGGTAACTTTACCAGCGAAGTTATGGCACTTATAATGCCCGGGAACAGCTCTATGTACTCCTGGCCATTATGCAACTGTATCTGCGCTGAAACCAAATCTACAACTCTATCCCTTTCGTTTAAGCGGATGTGTAGAGAGTTTCTGTTGGGGTGCATGGCATCGGCAATGCTGCTTATGGCGATCAAGCAGGCCTTACGTATTTGAAAATCTTTAGCGGCGGCTAGTTCTGTCAAAATGTACTCCAAAATATTGCTTTCTATCACTTGCAGAAGTTTCTCGGCTGGGGCTTCGTTGCAAACTTCAGAGTAGCTGTATATGACCGCGTAACGAAGTCTTTCGATGTCCAAATCGTGCTTTTGATCTTTGATGAACGAGAAGAACTTTGAAGATTTTTTTAAAAGAACGTTTTTACGGATGTCTGAGAGTTTGTCGAGAACTATTTGCAGGTGCGACCTCGAGCATATGCCGATAGCTTCACCTGCAGTGTGGAGTTCCTTGTAGTCGTTCAACCTTACGTTGACCAGTATGTTTTCTAGTGTTTGCAATACGGTTTCTTTATCGTTCAAAGAGCAAAGTGTGATAGCCAAGCATTTAAGAAGGAATTTCTTCTCCATTTGCTTTGAATTTAAATCACCACCACCACTGCTCATGTACCTATTATTGTTATAAATCTCCAATTGCTTTCTGCTTTGAAAAACGATAATCTCGCTGAAAGACTCGCTTTTAACCGACTGCAAAAGCAACGATACAAAATCGAAGAGCAAATCGTGCCACTCGGAATAATTCAAGTTGTCGTAATTTTGCTCCAAATACTTGATCAGCTGCGGTATTTTCGAATCCCACACGGGCTTGTACCCTTCGAGTTCACAGGGCTTGATGTTTCTCAAAAAATTCAAAATAAAAGTCCCTCTAAACGCTGGCAGTGGATCGGCCAGTAACCCCAAACATCTGACAAACGCAGCTTCGCAGCTGCCGACGCTCTCGCGTTTCGACGCCAGATGCGTCAAGCATCTCAGCAGAATCACGACGGCGTCGTCGTAGACCGGCCCCAGGAAGCACTGCAAAAGCAGGATCCACAAAATGTTTTCCAATTCTGGCACCGAAGTGCTTAGCATGTAGAGGGTGTTGTCGGCGGATTTTTGGATGTCCGACATTTCTAGCGGGGACAGGTCGTTGTTTTTCGGGATTGTTTGTTTGCAGCACATTTTTAGGATGAACTCCATGTACTTCATGGGGCCCTCAGGGTTACATTCTAAAACAAAGTATTTAAATAATGATTTACGGAAATAGTTATTTTCCTAACAAGTGCGCAAAGTTACATTTTTCCGCACGCTACTGCAATTGCAGTAAGTGCGGAAAAATTATTTTGCGCATGTGTTAGGAACAATATTTTTCTACTAGCGTGCGCAAAGTTAGCTAACAATGATTATTAATTTAATTTTTAGTAATGTTTATTACAAAGGAACAATTATTAATATTTTCTAAATTAATTGTAGATCAGTTTACCTGATCTACAATTAATTTAGAAAATAGAACTATTTAATAAAGTTTGGCTTAACTCAGAAGAGCTGTTTTTATGTCCAATATTTTATTTGATAATTTTTTTTTTGGTCATGGATTCTTCTATGTAGCTCTTGGCGACAGCCGTTGATTTCCAGCCTCCAAGTCGCTTAACATTGGAAATTGCTTCCCCAGAATGGGCTAATATGGTAGCGGAGGATCTACGAAAACTATGACCTGTGTACTCCTCAGTATTTTTAAGTTTTAGATATGCAGCTATTAGTGCGGGCATTAGTGCGGGCATTTTACCAAATGTATTAATTCCTACACATTGGGTAGTGCATGCTCTTCTTTTATAATTGACAAAAAACCGCTTGTGTAGAGTATTTGGTTTTCGCAAATTTGAATATTTTCGAAACAGTTGTAAGAAATAACCATTATTGATGTTATCAGATATCACAAAGATTCTTGATGTGTAATTTTCATGATTACCAAATTTTCTTAATCTTCTATATCATTAGTCATTATCTTTAAGAGCTCTTCTCGCCTACAAGCACCAGCCAACCCAAAAATAGTGGCAACTTTTATTAAATTTCATCAAAACCCCATTAAAAAGTCCTTTAATAAAAACTATAAAACATCAAAACTTTAACTATAAATTTTCCACTTTTAATAAATATTATCTCCAAAACTCAGCCCAAAAGGTATAAATGTGCATATTGCTGAAATCACAATTTCATAAGCTATTCGGATTTCAAAAAAAAAGAGGGGGTACAATTTCAAAAAATGGCGTCAGATATTCTACAAAATGGCGGAAACTATGAAAATTGGACATCAAAATGTGCGTAATTGAAAAAAAATGGACCAGTTTTTTTTTCAATGAATTTGTTTAATACGAGTCACTGTATATTATAATACATAATATAAAACCCGTTTTTGTTTTTGTACCGTAGAGTTGAGACTTTTAACGCTGTTTAAATTTAGACGACTGTGTGTATTGTACCTAGGTACATTTTATTCAAACCTACATTGTTAGTGCGTAATTTTTGGAACACCCTGTATATTAAAACCAATTTTGTATAATTATCTTTTTAGATTAAAACGACCTAAGGTATAGTAATATAAACCTTGTGGTATAAAATTTCATGTTCAAGAAAAACTTATTGATATGTTACATGACACCTCACATAAACTAAGGTTTCAAATAATATAAATAAATCAATATTGAAAACTGTATAATGCAAAGTTAGCTTTTAGAATAACAAAAAATTACTCACCTTTGTTAAGCAGAACTTTTTTGATAGCAAAAGCAACTATAATCTTCACCAGAGCCCTTTTAACCCTTATGCTGGGATCGTTCAGTAGATCATTTAGCAGTTTAAGTACATCCTTAAATCTTCTACTGATCGTATTTTCTCCAGAGTAGGAAACAAGATGAGTCAAAACAATGAGCGACTTGATCCTTTCCCGTTCGTTATTGTTTTTCAACTGATTCAAAAGCTGATCCATGGTGCTATCAGTGAAGTACAAAGCAAAACACTCGTAGCATCTAAGCACTTCAAAGTGCCCCCTCAGCGACTCCGGTTTGGCGTAGTCGGGGGAAATGCACACCAAATCGCTGAGGCTGTGCAGGACGTTGGCCAACAGCGGCTCCAGCAGGGTCCCGTTGACGGTCGCGGCCTTCTGCACGACAGCCCCGAGACATTTGGTGACCGTGTAGGAATCCCCGTTCCTCTTGTACAGCGATAGCAGCGTGTTTATCACTTTCGGCGTTTGTTGCGACACTTTTTCCACGCTTAGTACGGGAAAGACGTCGGAGATGGCGTTGAGGACGGCCTCGGCCACCTTCGGGTCGCGGGTCTGCAGCCACGAAGAAAAAAGAACGTCGTATGCCATGCCTATTTCGACGTTGAAGTTTTCTATGGAGATAGTGCTGTCGGGCACTTGGTCTATGTTTGCGCAGTACTCTACTAAAGCGTTGCAGAAGCTTCCAATTGCTTAAACAACAGGAAATTTGTTTTAAAATTTTTAATTTTTATTTAAATATTCTTTTGAAAAATAAATAAAATTGGCAAGACAACAAAAACTATCGAAAGTTTGTCATTAAATTTTTTTCTACCTTTCTCAATCAATTTTTGAGAACGCTACAGTGTTTAAAAAAGTCAAGACTTACGGATGAAGTATTTGCAAATACCAATTTCGTCAGGGCTGGATGCTCCCGTGTACGAGTTTTGGTTCGTCCCGCGCATGACGTCACTTGAGTAGTTGCCGTGCGAATACACGAATAATAGTAATATGATCAAAGACAATAGAGAAATTTCTGGACATAGTGCGTTTTTATTAAACTTTATATTGAAGAAAGTGTTATAGGTAATATGGATAATAGATGCTTTCAGTCCTTGATATTATTTAGGGCTGTAGTTAAGCGTTGGTGTTTTAAATTAAACTTATAGTCACTGTCCAAAAAATGTTTATAGGAAACAGAAGCGGTCTTAATAAATATAAATTGTCTATTATTTTTGTGGCATTTAAACACTGTTTCCACAAATCAAACTTTTTCGGGAATCGATTAAATTTAATGTTTTTATTTAAAGGGTTTTTCTTGGACTGGTTGTACGAATTGCATCCAAATATGCCACACCGCATTTTAATAAATGCAAATGGCACTATACAATATAAAACACAAACAAAACAAGTTAACGCAACACAAAAACAATAATAAACAAACCTAACAGGTTAACCTAACGCAATAACAATAATTTGAACGCTGAAAAGTAATTCGAACCTTACCGAACACAAAAACGACAAGTTAAACAAAAAGTAGAGCAAGTTAACATCCAAAAGCATCGCAAAAACAAGAATTTTAGCAGCAGATAATTAAAAAGCACGTTAAAGATTTAAAAACACTCATCAAGTGACGTAATTAAGCCCCGCCCAACATGCGCACCATCCTATCTTAAGGTGTATGTATCTTGCAATTTCGTTGACAGTTCAAACCTTTTTACTTTTTGACAATTGACAGCGCATTTTAGTTTATTATTATTTAAATTATTAAAACTATGTTTTAAATTTAAAATTCGCACCGCTAGTATGTACTTTACAATTTTTAAACGATTTAAACAACATAACCCGTTGTATATAAAGTTCGTTTTTTTATTCAGAATTTAACACATGTGATTATGTTGGTATTGTATGTTAATATACTTTGGAAGTTTTAATATTTAAAATTGGTACTCCTGTCCAAGCCCTTAATTTTAAATGCTTTTACAGTTGTCATTTAAATGTCAGAATTATAATAAACATATAGTAAATTTAAAAGTAAACTACGTACACGTCATCAATCAGCTGATCGGGCACGGTTGTCAATGTGATGCTAAAATCCTTGCATCAGAGGAAAGTGGTAGTGCAACTACAGGGCGATAGATGGCGTTTACATGAATAATACTAAAATGTCAAAAGTCTGAGTTTTTATAACCTATATGATGCACCGCCAAAAGTATGTTTTTAGCCATTTTTAAAGACATTTTCTGATATAAAACCCAAAAATTTTGCCATCTAAAGTCAGTCTTTGGTATATATATTATTATTTTATGTATCCAACATATATTTTGTTAAATATTCTAATATATAATTAATAATAATCCTATTTACCTCTCTAACAGCTGTTAAAGGTAACAAAGGTCCATTATTATCCCGTTCTGCCTCAAAATAGCGTATTAAGGATGACACAAACTCTTGACTCCGACTATTTAAATGCTTCGGCATTTTAAATATAGGAAACACAAAAAAACGATATATAACAAACACAAACAACAAACAAAATAAACGAAATAATACACGAATTAGACGAAATATTCAAAAACACAACTGACAGCTTTGAAATTCTAAAACGTCAAATTCTTTTTTATGTGTCATTTAAATATGAAAAATTTGAATGTAAACATGACAACATCGCAATTGTTGCCAACATAATTTGGTTAAAATGCATTCAAATATTCAATTACAGACTTCGATTTAGTCATTTAGTGTTGGTACCAGTGCGCAAATTTATGACGTCATCGATGACGTGTACGTAGTTTACTTTTAAATTTACTATATAGTAAATTTAAAAGTAAACTACGTACACGTCATCAATCAGCTGATCGGGCACGGTTGTCAATGTGATGCTAAAATCCTTGCATCAAGGGAAAGTGGTAGTGCAACTACAGGGCGATAGATGGCGTTTACATGAATAATACCAAAATGTCAAAAGTCTGAGTTTTTATAACCTATATGATGCACCGCCAAAAGTATGTTTTTAGCCATTTTTAAAGACATTTTCTGATATAAAACCCAAAAATTTTGCCATCTAAAGTCAGTCTCTGGTATATATATTATTATTTTATGTATCCAACATATATTTTGTTAAATATTCTAATATATAATTAATAATAATCCTATTTACCTCTCTAACGGCTGTTAAAGGTAACAAAGGTCCATTATTATCCCGTTCTGCCTCAAAATAGCGTATTAAGGATGACACCAACTCTTGACTCCGACTATTTAAATGCTTCGGTATTTTAAATATAGGAAACACAAAAAAACGATATATAACAAACACAAAAACGGCAATGAAAACTTAAACGATATAAAATAACACAAACAACAAACAAAATAAACGAAATAATACACGAATTAAACGAAATATTCAAAAACACAACTGACAGCTTCGAAATTCTAAAACGTCAAATTCTTTTTTATGTCATTTAAATATGAAATATTTAAATGTAAATATGACAACATCTTAATTGTTGCCAACTGAAGATGTTTAAAATGCATTCAAATATTCAATTACAGACTTTGATTTAGTCATTTAGTGTTGGTACCAATGCCTAAAATTTTTGTTTTATTGATGACGTGTACGTAGTTTACTTTTAAATTTACTATAGGTATAGTTGTCGCGGCGAATGTTTCAAATTGCGTCATCAAATTCCGAACCAAGCACAGACATTACAATTATTGTTGTTTTCTTTTAAGTATATAATCCAAGGAACCGCTAGGTTAACCGTATGTCGAGAAATCGGTTTTTGACATTCGACATTGATGACGCAATTTGAAACATTCGCCGCGACGACTATACTGCCCTACTATGGAGAAAGGCACATCAAAAAAATGTAAAAGTATCCCCCACTCAGACCGTCCCTATATTTATAAATTTAATTTAATATAACGTGAATTTAATTCAATTAGCACCGCAAATAACATTCCAACCCAGTTACCCGCCAGCTTTTGGTTCGCACATGACGTCATACGTTGCGAGAGAGACAGCTATAACATGCGCATCAGCATCCGGTTTCTGTGTATCGTGTTCTTCACTAAACTAGTTTGTTCTACTCAATGTAGCCAATTTAGGGTCAATAGAATTTGCCAACTAAACCTCCAAATTTTTGACCTCAAATTCCGAAAAAAACGAACTGTACTTAATTCCTAAGTGTTGACACGCCTGTCACACCAACAGTATCGTGACAGAGAATTTCTCGATTTTTAATAATTTTTAACCAACAAATAATAGCAAAAGCCATTCTCTGTAATAAAAATGGTTTTACACTGATTTTCAAAATCATGTCCTAACCCCATTAATTTAAATTAATGAAAAAAAAAATAAATAAATTTTTAATAAATTTAAAATAATTCCACTTTAAAATGTCAAATTGACTAACCAAACCCCCACAATAAATTTAACGCCGTGACTAGGTGCACGTTAGAGTGCCCGCAATTTATTTTTTACGGGCACGCTAGTGACGTAATAGATAAAAAACGTCATCACTGCCGTGCCGCTTAATTTAAAATTGGCGGCACAACAATAATATAATAATAAATTGTACCTGTATACATGTTAAGGGCACGTTAGTTACGTAATAAAACCAAACCAACCCAAACTCCACAACACAACCCAACCGACCCCGCCCCATTGCCCCCCCCCCGCCCCATTGAGCAAAAAACCCAACTAAAATGGGCAAATTTATGTTACGATAAAAATAAAACACTTTTTAACAAAGGCACAACAAATTTATGAAATAAAAAAGTAAAAAAAATTTCGACAACTTCTGAGAATCGAACCCGGGACCTCTCGCATGCAGAGCAAACGCCCTACCATCTACGCTATCTAGCTTGACAACAAAAATTATATGTTCGGGTAACAAAACCGGATTATTATTATGACGTCACTAGCGTGCCCGTAAAAAATAAATTGCGGGCACTCTAACGTGCACCTAGTCACTTTGTAAATTTAAAGTTCAATTTTAATTGATTATAAAGTGAAAAATTACATAATCAAAAATTGTTTGTCAAATAACAAATAAAATTTAATCACACACATTTAGGAAAGCAACAAGAAATATACAATACTTTTAATGTTATTCCAATTAAGTTTTTTTGAAACATTTGATAATAAAATTAGATACCTTGGTCTATTAACGTTTTTTTGTTTCTTAAGGTTTTTTGATATCTTTGTTTAAAAGTTATTAAGAAATATTCCTATTGTGGTTATCAAGAATCATTTTATAAAATGGATAAAATCTAGAAAAACAATATGCCATAAATCAAATCTGATAAAAACATAATAAAAATGTAAGGTAAAAAAATGTGCTTACCAAAAGAAAATGCAGTTCTCAAATTCTCAGGGCGCAAATTTCCAATCAGAGGTAAAATAATATTCAAAATATTTTTTAAATATGGCACAACCCCATAGGGATTTACATTGGCCAAGGACCCCAACGTATGTGGTATCATATAATGTGGAACAACCCCTGCTTGCAGTTTTTTAAGCAAAGATTCCATCACCTATAATAACAAAATATAAAAATCAAAAACAATTTATTTCAAGTTAAATCTTACTTGAATGTAGTGCTCCCGTCCCAATGCAACCAAAATCCCAGATGCAGGCTTTTGTACTAATGGCTCCAGCCCTGACGTTTCCACCATAACATTTAAACTAAACTCAATAATAGCAAGAATAGAGTCTCCATCTATAGTGGCTATATTGTCCGTACAAACAGTCTCCATAATTTCAAGTATTGCAGCAATATGCTCATTGCTTGGCTTTTTGGCTTTCGTGCAAAAAGTTATACAGCAATTAAGCACTTGATTGGGATGTTTGTCGGCCAACTTCTTCAAAGAACTATTAACAGTGTCCACGACTAGGGGGCTTTTATCTGCGACTGAACAAAGAAGAATCCCAATTGCAACTAAAAATATTTGGTTGTTTATTAATTATTATATGAAAATAATACAGAATAGAATGATAATAAATACCTTGCAATTGCGATTCCGCATTTTGTTTGAGGTTTCCGTTCATTTTGGCTTATTGTTTAGATATTATCATTTTGACAAGTCAGTTTTTTGAAAAACATCAACTTAACCTATCTTTTATCTGTCAAGATTATACGAATATACGGGGGTAAACCAAAATGAAACCGTGATTGAAACAAGATTTTTTCAGTTTTGTAAATATATAGTTTTATAATAGTTTATTATGCATGAGTTTGACAAATATTATTATGTTTAAACATAATGTATTATTATCATTGAATAAGATGTGATGTTAATGGTGATATTAATATCTCATGGCGGTTGACCTTGAGAGACGCTATAATATTATAACAAATATAATAGAATTTCTAGCCCAGAAATTCTTCTAAATATGTCAATAAATATCAGCATTGTTTGCCCTATGTAGTATGTTTTTGGGTCGGCGAGTAATAGCGCGATATGACGGATATGAGACTTTTGCGCACCCAAGGTCATCCGCCATGAGATATTAATAGCACTCTACCGTCAAATGTAAAATTTGTGTTATAAATCGAAATGTATCCCTTGAAAATGGATTAACAACAGTTTTTCAGTGAAAGTGAAGAAAATGTTTTATGAGTAGTACCTACTGGTAGTCCGAGCCCGAAATTAAGTTATATCTAGTTTACTGTCGGTGAAATTAAGAGGTCAGTACAATGTTCATATAGACTTTTCAAATATTGGCCTTGAGAAACTATTTGTATTGAAATCTAAAATAATTTTCACGTTTAGTAATATTTTTCTAGAAATGCTTGTAAACGATTGTAGGACATTTGGCAACTGTCAACTAACTTAAAACTAACTTCAGTCCGTGACTAAAAACCTGTTGCCAACTTCAGCATGTGACTAAAACGGTATAAAGCCACAACTTGTCCATGTGTATTTAAAAGGTTACTTTGTGTCATGGAAACGTGTACAATAAAGGTGAGAGTAGAAAATTATAATAATTACCCAAGATTGATAAAAAAAGCTAAAATTTTATTGGGTTTCTTGATTTTTGTTTAACAACAATTTTAAATTTATAAATCAAAAATATACTTTTGAAATTATAAAAACTATAATTATAAATTTATTACTAAGTATTATGTTGTTTTTTCTATTATCTGATTTATTAAATTTAATGGTAATATGAATATAAAACCCTGTATTCTAAAAAAAACTCTAATCTTTAGGTCACTCAACTAGTCAGATAAAGTACTGATTAAAATTTAGCAGTTTATTAAAAAATCTATTAACATGTTTTAGATAGTTTATCAGTGGTTTATTTAAATAAAATTTCAATTATAACAAAAATAATGGTTTTATTAAATTAAAAATTTATTATAAAGCTTTTTTAAAATTATGTAGGTATATAAATAAAATATTTTTTGTTCATTTAAAAAACATATCCACACACATAAGCAAAAGTATGGTATATTTTTATTATTTTAAGGGTTCTAATTTTTTTAGGCAATATTTTTAACCCTTAAATTGAAACTTTGTTATGGTTTTTGTTACCCAATAATTTTGCTTGTGTGTATACAATTTAAGTCATACAATAGTTACCACAAAATTTTATTTTACAATATTATCTACCAATATTGATAAATTGTATCACAAACACTCCAAGGAATAGCACAGCCAAAGATTGATAGATCAGGTCGGTTCTAAGAAAAAATACTCAACAATAAATAAAAACAAAAATATGTACAGGAAATATCACAAGGCCATGTCGACGTTGGAACTAAGAAACAATTCGGTCCAGAGGGGGCAGTGGGGAGACACCGGACCCCCCCAAGCCCAGCCGTTCGGGATCGAGAGATGGGTTATACCGTGCCGGATAACGCCGCTGAAATTAGTCAAATGGTCCTGGACCTTTTTACTGGTGAAAATATTTGATCTGTGAAAACTCAGCTCGGATTTTGAGGTAATGTAGTTTGTATTTGTGTTCACTGGTAATACTGGTTTCATACTTTCAATCGAAATAAAATTATCTAAAATATAAAAAATATATTTTAATTTTTTTTTAATGAGAAATAAATTAAATCCTTTCTCTTTGAAAGTTTATTGTTCTAATAATTTGTACATTTTTTCTTCTGTTTTAAAATAAAAAAAGCCTCACATCTGTACACATTTAATTTAAAGAATAATTGAACAATTTATTGTTTTACCTGGGTTTTGTATGGTGGAAGAGTCAACCAATAAAACAACCATTCTATCTTCAGTTAAAAATTCTTTAAACTTATTTTCTATCAACGGAATATCAGCTTCTTGAAACAAAACCATATTAACCAATTGCAAATTTATGGAACCTATGCTAAAGGTGGCTATGAGCACTTCACAGTGTTTTTTTGTTTCCTCTGGGCCCTCGTTTAGGGAGGTCAAGTCAATATCAATGGCTAAACATAAAATTATTAAAATATTTTCATATTCTTTTGCGGTATTTACCTCCACCGGAGTCGTATATAAATCCTAATTTTGATGTGTGAACATCTACCATGCAAAAGTTCCAATTGTGATTTTTATCCCTCCATTCGCGTATTCTGCGTAATTTAGGGTTGTTTAGTTCTTCACAAATGGATTTTAAAGCCGTCACGCTCAAAATATCTTGGACTGCTATAATGGACAATCTAAAAAAATATAAGGTTATGGTAAATTAACCTTAAAATTGACATTTGACAGTTTTATGACAGCACTGATTTTTTCTACTTCTATTATGGAATATGACCGTTCTAATATCACTTTTATCTATGGAATGACATATATTCCGTAAAGTGTTACAGAATGAAATATTCTATCTGATGATAGAATAAACACTCGTGGCGACATCTCTGTTTTTAATATCTAACAAATTTTAGACCGATCCAACCTCACTTTCTTCCAATTAAATTATTTGTCTATGGTAAAGGAAAATGGTACAACGAAATAGAAGAAAACTTTCCAAGCAAACCCTGGTTCCACACTAACAAAATAAAAAATAGAAGACACCTAACAACAATAATACGCTTAAGATCCGGACACGGACTCTACAAATAACACTTGAATAGGATTGGAGTATCAGAAAGCCCCTACTGTGAGTGTGGGGAATATAAAAATATAACCCACATGTTACTGGAATGTCCCATAAATAAAATTCCCGGAATTGACATACAGAGGACTGCATAAAAAACGGCCATTGCTGTAGCATCGTTATTCCTTATCCGATTTTCAAAATTCAAAAGCCAGTTTAAATGGTATTATGACTTCTATGATTTGACGGTTAAACATATTTTTTTTATTATGATGCTTGTGAGCACTGATAGTCAACTTTTATTTTTCAAATGACAACTATATAGAACTATGTTAAAAAATATATATTTTTTTATTATTTTTTCGCATTTCTTATGCTTTTCTGAGCATAAGGGTATATCAATATCATAATTTTAATTATAAAACACGAAGAAAAAAAATAAAACTGCGAAAATTTTTACATATCACATTATTCATTTTTAAAATAATTATATGTCTAATCTCCCACTGAACATTATGGATGTGGTGATGTCACAGTGACGTTTAAAAATTGTCAATTTTAAGGCACATTAACTACGTTTTTTAGTGATGTTCAATTTACGTAAAAATTACGTTAAAAAATAAAAGGTGCTGTCGAGCACGTCACTATACCGTCCAGTCTATGCCTTTTATTTTACTTTAGCGTATTAGGTGCAAAACACAACGTAGATTTTACGTCACCAATGTGACACCTGATAAATATGAATGGGGTAGGTTTGCCAATGATGAACATTAAAATATATGCCACATTTACATTTTTGTTGGCAATTTGAGTGGATACTTAGATAATTAAATACCGAATTTAATTCATAATTTTAGATTAAACCGAAGGTACTTAGAAACCAATGTAAGTATACTTAGAAACCAATGTAAGTATACTTATAGTATAGGTACAATTATTATTTTAATGACTTATTATAAATCCCAGAGTGATTTATTAATCAATATTACCGCTTATAGAATAATAATTATTCTATTATTATCGCATCGTGGGATTAAGAAACGTATATTTTATGTAAAATTTACGTAAAAAGGGACTTGGGTAATTTCGTTTCCAGTCTATATATCGGTATAAAAGGGGCCCTGTAACAGGGCATACTCTGTTTGCTTTGCGACTGCCATTGTTCTGTGTTCAAAACAGTGTGTTGCCATTTGTTGCTGTGTGATAGAAAACGCATTCTTCTCCATAGGCGAGACTGAACGGTTTAGTTAAGTTGGCTTTATCATTTGTTTGCAACCATACGGTTATAATATAATTAATTAATTGTCCCAATATCGCCATGATGGCAATATTAGTGGTTATCGAATTTTGTTGATTTAAATGTTAGCGTTGAGTGAGAAGTAATATTAATCAATGCTGTTAGACTTAAAGAAAAGTCTGTTAATCAATTTGTTTTTGCAGTTAATACACCAGTGAACATGGGAGACAAATTTTGCGCCGAGCGACAGGCAAGTTATATAAGTTTTATATACCTAATTACTTAGATAACTTAAGTTATTAATGTTTGTTTTAGAAGCCAGTATGAAATTATTTCGTCTGACTGAAAGTGATTTCGATAAAGGAAGCAAGGAGTTGTTCCAAACCGCCAAGCAACGCTCATAACGTTTTTTGGCCAAATTTGGACATGAGAATGAAGCCGAAAATTAATAAGGCGGTACTCATATAATGTTTTTTTTTATTATTTTATTTATTATTTTTACCAGACTCATAATGTTTTATTTTTATAATTTATTTTAATAAAAAAAAGATATTTCCAAAGTGGTAGTTTTATTTAAAAAAACGAAACTAATACGTACCTACAAGTTGAAACAAAAGCTATACGTCCATATTAAAATGACATTTTTACGTCCTTTTAAAATCGGAATTTTTACGTCCATTTAAAAACGCAATTTTTACGTCTCCTTATCCACGTAACGGTTAGGGCTAATTCACGGCCCAGGATCCGGACATAGGCACATCACAGCGACGTTTATGTGACGTTTATTTTACAAGATTCTTATACGTCACACTACAACCTTTGACGTTAATTTTACATATATTTTACGTTTTTTTGCTCAGTGGGCTTGTAAAACGGTTTGGTTATTTAGTTATTTACATTTCTTGTACACAGAGAAAAAAGCCGTAACCATGGATACGCATATTATTAAATTGTAAGCATTTTGTAGGTATCCTAAAGCTACTGCGATATGTAAAAATTTTCGCAGTTTTATTTTTTTTCTTTGTCTTTTGTAATTCAAATTATGATATTGATATACCTTTATGCTCAGAGAAGCATAAGAAATGCGAAAAAATAATAAAAAAATATAGTTGTCATTTGAAAAATAAAAGTTGACTATCAGTGCTCACAAGCATCATAATAAAAAAATATGTTTAACCGTCGAATCATAGAAGACAATATACCATTCAAACTGGTTTTTGAATTTTGAAAATCGGATAAGGAATAACGATTCTACAGCAATGGCCGTTTTTTATGCAGTCCTCTGTATACTTTGAATTTGCAAAAAATGGCTCCGTACTTCCAGCTAGTGTACTTCCAGCTAGTGTACCCACAATACTAACAAACATAAATAAAAAAAATATAAACATAATAATAAAATACCTTGAAACAAACAAAATAAACTTCTTATCATATACTTTCAGATCCAACCAGAACTCAAATCCTGGGAACCTTTCCGAGGGGTTGTCCAAGTCGCTTGGCCGCTGCCCCCAAGTGTGAAAAGTCTTTCCTTTGTTGTGTTTAGTCCTTAATAACATTGTAAAATTAATTGTAAAAACAAAACAAACCAGGACAATAAGAAAAGAAGAAAAAATACCAAATACACAGTGACACAAGTACACAATTGTACACAATTGTCTTAAGACAAGGGATGAGAACGCTCAGACACTTTTAAATGGGAACCTTGTCTTTCAACTAAGAAAAAAATCGAATGAGCTGGCCAAATAACTTATAAAAAAGCTAAAGGTCATTAACCTCTGAATACAGAGATACTCTGTATTCAGATTTATTGAATTGAATTGAAGTCTATGGTATTTTTTGGAAACGTAGAAAAATTATAGTCTGAAACACGTTTGGAATTGCATATTCCCCTCTCGTGAAACCGTCAAACTCGCCTTCGGCTCGTGTGACAAACTTTTCACTTGAGCGGAATATGCCGTATTCCAAACTTGTTACAGAATGTACTATTTCTTTTTACAAAAGGGGAGTAAAATGTTCTTAGCAGGGACCCGGACCGGACCGTTTTTGGACAGAAAACGGTATTTATTTGTGGACCGGAACCGAACCCATATTATTTTTGAACGCAAGCTTCGCTCGTGTTTAATAAATCTCGTAACCAAAATTGTTTGTTTAAGTTTTATACATTTATTATTGTTTATGTTATGTATTTTTTTGTAATTAAAAATAGCCAGACATTTGCAAATTAATTATTAAAAGGTAAAGTCTAGAGATCACTTTTACAGCCATTAATCATACACCCAGGTTAAAGTTTAAATTTAAACTATTACATGTTTCCATTAAAGGATACTTAATGATAATTTTTATAATGTTAACGTAAATTACGATAAAAAACTCAATAATTAATACATTAAATAATAGATAATTTTAAAATTAAATTTTGTAATTCTATGGAAATAAATACTACAAATAAACATATTGTTTCTTTGTTAACAAAATACACATTGTGATAAACTTTAGGAGTGTATTAGTGATAATATATTGCTCACCCATTTTCCAATATGGTTCGACAAATAACTTCTTTAACACCAAAATTTGAAGCTTTTTCATTGGAGAGCTGGTGCAAATTCCAGATGGCCACTCTAATAGCTGCCTGGCCATTCCTATTATACCTGAAAATTTCCTCGACAATTGGCCTGGGGGAATATGCAGAGAGCAACTCAAATATATCCACTGCCGAAGATAAAGATAAACCATTGGATATTGGCATTGTTAAAGGCCCCCCGTTACGATTGTTGTTACCATAGGCAGGCATTGTGTAACCATTGGTTAATATACTGGGCCTGGGGGTTCCTTCAAACTCCATAGGAGACACATCACAATTTTCTATTGTTAAATACCGACTTATGTTGTCTAATCGAATGGTATCAATTAGCTTTACTTTAATTAAATCGTCGACCTGAAAAATTAGGAATTTTTTTTGGAATTTAACCTTGTTTGGGATAAACATTAAAAACTGTTAAAATTTTGTATTGCAAATATTTAGGTAATTACCTATACAAATTAACAAACTTTTCAAGGTTGAATAACTTTTAATTTAAGTACATAACATTCTAGGAAAAAAGATCATAAATAAAAATAATTTTTACCTAATAATTAAAACAATGCAATCAGTATTATGCAGTCATAGTTTTAATTTTATGGTCCAGTCACTTTCTGTAGAAATATATTAAATAAATTTGCTTAAAAAAATTCTGTTGAATTATTATTTTTATTTAGACTTGGATATTTTGAAGGATATTTATTGTAAGAGCCTATTATAAATAAGTTTAATTTAATAAAATTAATTTTTAAAAAAAATAAATTAACAAAACAAAACTAAAACATCAAATAAAAAATACTCACTTTTTTGAAAAGTCCTTTCTTAGTCCTATAAGATATAATAGCAGCTGCCACCTCCTGCGTAATCCCATTAACTCCTTGCAGCTCAAAAATAGTTGCCTTGTTGATATTTAAAGGTTTCATGGATTTAATAGTAACCCTTGAATCTGTGCTTTTCAAACTGTCATAACTTTGGGCTCTCGACGAAGAACAACTGTGATTTATTTTCGTTGAAACGCATATTTCAGGCCTAATTTGTTCTAATTTCGTGGCCCCAACGCCGCGAACCAGAGCTAAATCCTCGACTTTCCTGAATCTTCCAATTTCCCTTCTGTGGTCCACAATGTTTTTAGCAATTTCTCGATTAATGTTTGGTAAAGTCATGAGTTCCTCTTCTGTGGCCAAATTTATGTTCATCAGCTCTGGTTTATCGTCATTTTCAATTATGTTGAAGGTATGACTTAGATTTGATCTGCTGTTTTGGGTTTTTCTCGACCAGGACCTCAATGATTTTCTTCTGCCTTTTGGCAAACTCGAACTCTGACCCATTTTAATTTTGTTTACACCGCTATTTAAAACACTTCACGTACACTTAACCAGTACAGCAGCAGGTGAGCACATTATAATAATAATAACGTACTTTGCACTAAACTAAACACTCATTCTCATACAAACAGATTAGATAGCAAAGATAAGACCTTCTATGTGATGGAATTCAAACAGCCATATGTTAAAGTTAAACATTTTATTTTATTACTGACCTTAAAGGCCACGGCTAGAACATGCTAATAATTAATTCACATTATTTTCAATTCGTCTTCAAACGTCATTTTACAAGTTATAAATAATGGACGTAAGTGGGTGATTACAATTTTTTTGGAATCGTGTATATAAATAACACCGATCGCTTCACAAGGAAGTTACTTAAGAATTAAAGAACAATAGCTTTGCGTGACTTATATTATTATATAATTGAGGGTTTACAGCACAAACAACTTAAATTTTCAAATTAGAATTAAAATTTTATCACAGAAATACGTCATAAGTGCGTTCAGAAATAACTAATAATTTTCTTTAAATCAAATGGGATTGTTTATTAGACATTTTATTGATAACGAAGGCAAGTTATGTTTAATGCCCACAAAAATATTAAAGTAGTTATAAAAATATTTCATAAAACGCAAAAGTTGTCAATGTTAAAATTTCTTAACGCACCCCATTTTGACATTTCTTTGTTTACATTAACCTATCGTTTGTGTGTATTTAAAAATGGACAAAAAATAAAAATAGTTTAAAAATGTGGGGTGAAGATTATCATTGGCATTTTGATTATGTCAGGCTGGCCTGGGATACTGGTTTTAATTTTGAAAAGCGAAAATCTTGTAATCTCGACAAAAGTAAAATATGTAAGACAAATTTAAATATCAAGACTTGGTAAACTTATTTGAAACATTTTTAGGTTTACTAGACATAGAACAAATAATTCAAGACAGAGATATAGCTGCTGTTGAAAGATATATTTCTACGGTTTTACAGTACATTTTAGATAATGAACAAGCAGAAATTTTGGACACAAATTTCGTTAAAATGTTCAGAATAAGTCAACTGGCTGTAGAATATTTATTGTTTTGTAAAAAATACTTAGATAATACTGCTGTTTTGTTAAAAAAAGAACTAGCAGCTGTAAAAGAGGTAAAAATAAATTGTTTTGCACATTTAAACACAAGTTTTATTACTTTTGCACCCTTGCACCTTAAAATTAATAATTATCACAAAAAGGTAGATTATAAAAGAAATTATTTGACTTAATAAATTTCAAAGTAAACGTCTTCTGTATGCAACCCAGTTTACACCTAGGTAGCACAGGGCCTGATTAACCAAATATTCGTAAAACAGGGCCGTAATAAATAATTTGTCAACTTAAAAATATTGTATTTCAGGAAAATAACGAGCTTAAAGAATTTACGGTTGAACTTGAAGGTCACATAGAAAAATTAACGTCCAAATTATCGGAATTAAGCGAAAATTCTACATTCAAGTGCTCGAAATGTTTTAAATTGTTTTCAAGTGAAACCTACCTTAAATCTCACATAAAAAGAAGACATACTGTGTATGATGAGAACAGTTCAACGCAATCCGAAGCTGATAAAAACAAAATAGAAGCTGACAAGCTTCAATCGGAGATAAAAGATTTGAAGGAGAGATTGAATAATACGGAAAAATTGATAAATGATAAAAATAACTTGGAGGAGCAGTTTACCGGGAAAATTGAGAATGTGGCGGTAAAAGAAATACAGGAAAATTTTGAGCAATTTAAAAGTCAAGTCGCGAGCGAGTTAAAAGTGTTGCAAGCTCAGAGAAATTTTTACGAAGAAAAATACGGGAGGTTAATGGATGTGGTTTCTGATACTTTAATAAAGAAAAACAATGAAAAGGGACAAATAAATGAGATTAAAGTTGATAATTCGGAGAAAACGAGCACGACTACTCAAACTGAAAGGAAAGAAAGGAAAAAATTGACAATGGAGTTGGTTCATGATAAAAACGTTTTTAATTACGTTTCCCCACAACCTTCGCCCTCAAAAACTCTCGAGACAAATGAGACAAAAGAAAGTGTGGTGGATATAGAAAAAACAATCGAACGAAAAGTTTCGGAGGGTTTGGAAAAAATCGAAAGTCAAATGAATGTTTTTCTGAATAAACTCACAGATTACAAAGAAACCAAAGTTTTAGCTGAAGTTCCAAATTCGCCCATTTTGGATAATTTGGATAAACCTAAGGTTAAACCTAGATCAAAATTTACCATCACCAATCGTTTGGTGGAATGTATACCACAACATAAAAAGGAAAGCGTGGTTAAAATAACAGAAACTCGAAAGGAAAAAGAAGCAAATATTCTATCAGAATCTAGTAGTTCAGAAGGGAGTAGTATTTTAGAAACACCGCGGAAAAAAATGACCCCGAAAAAAACATCCGTTTCTACACTTGGAAATCATTCCATTACAAGGTACCTACATTTTTATTATGTTTTACTCCACTTAAAATTTTTTTTTTAATTTGTAAAGATCAGATTTAGTTTACCCATACAACTAAAAGGTTCATATTATTTTTTATAACACTTGTATAAAACTGTATTAACTTTATAGTCTTATTAGAGCAGCAAACCAGAAGGAGGTGTTTGAGGAATTGAAAGTGGAAGTTGAAAATGTCGTAAACTCTAGGTTACAAGAAATTGGCATTTCTCCGGATTGGAATACTTTACCCAAACAAAGTTTTAATAAGGCCATTGAAATAATTCGTCACCAAGCCAACCTGACTAAAAAAGTATGTATGTGTAGCGTGTTTTAATTTTTTTTAATATTTTTTTATAGACCTATCCAGATTTTTTCAATATAAAGGCTGATATAGAGAGAAAGGTTAAGCAAGAAAAAGTGTCAAATAAAGTGACACCAAAATCCGTTAAGAAGGTCATAAAACCAAGAAAAATCAGTTATAAACCCAATGAGGAAGTTATGAATATAAAAGTTAGAAAAAAGGAAAGCCCAAAGATGTAAGAAACGTTATTTGCAATACATAGTTTAAATCAGACTATTGGGGTGTTATATCAAGACCCTGATGGTCTAAATTCAAGCATAGGACGTTGGTAAAATTTTGTAGACCTGTGCAACCTAAAACTTGTTTTTCAGAGTTAACTGTAAGCCTGTAAAATCAAGTTCAGTAGTGGTGATAAAAAATCGATCCCTCTATGCAACTGACAGCAGTGATGATGAAGTCATGGTGAAAGAAACTCCCCAAGAACTTCACCATAGAGTTATAGACGAACTTAAAACAGTCCTACCCAAAAAAGATGCTGATGACAACCAAACCAAAGGCGTTCTTAAAAATTTTCCGTCTATGGGATCTTTATCGAAAAAAAAAGTTATATTTGACATCCAGTCTGAATCTATGGATGATGAGCAATTAAAGGTGGTAAAAAATGATGGAAAAAATGGAAGCACCGAAAGCATTGCTAGTTCGGTATTTGGTGAAGTTGATAGAAAGTCAAAAGATACCAAAACGACTTTGGAAGTCGATAGTGATTTTGATATTAGTGATCTAAATTGATGTGAGAAAAATGCTTTCGCATATAAATAATATTAAGAAAATAAACACTAAATTATAAAATATTTTTATTTGTTTTATTATAAAAGTTCTAACTGATAAGCAGGTTCCCAGAGAACCATGGTATATGTCAACAACCATCAGAAAGTTTTTTAATTTCATATTTTTTAAAGTTGATATGATTTATGCAGAGCATATGTTTATATTTTGTAACTTAAAAATATTTTGAAAACATCGATAAAATAAGCTTTATTTGCAAACATTTATTAAATAAATATTTGAATTTTCTTTGGAATGTAGGTATATTAAATCTTGTCGGTTAGTTATTTAAAGATATTGAAAACAAATTTAACTAATTGACCATTTAATTTTATCTGTGTCTTAAAATAAATAAATAAATTTACGTTAATTATTCATTTTAAATAATTAAGGTCAAATATGTTTATAAGATTTGCTATCTCTAAAAATACGGTTTATAGAAAATCGCAATAAATAACATATTCATAAATAAAACAATTTGTTTTTTTCAACCTCAACCCAGAGAGACATAACAGGTTAAAACTTGGCCAAGAATTGCCCTTTCACCTTTGGAAAAAATTTGCCAATAAATGTTCAATGTAGGACTTAATATTTCTATGATTTTTGTGCAAATGCTTCGTCTGGCCATCACAAGATAAAACCTAACTTAATCAAAAAACTTAAACATGTCATTGCCCCAGTATTAGGTACTCCAACTAATAAATACGCAAATGAAAAAAGGGGCGTTTCCAGATGAACTCAAAATAGCAAAAATCACACCGATATACAAGTCAGCAGACAAAACTGAACCTGGAAATTATAGACCAATTGCAAATCTAACAGTATTCAGCAAGATTTTTGAAAAAGTACTACATAAAAGGTTATCAGAACACATACATAATACAGATATTCTAACAGCTAGCCAACATGGATTTCAAACAAATAAAGGAACAACAACAGCAATAAGCAACTTAATGAACTACATTCTAACACAACTTGACAACAAACTAACGGTAACTGGTTTAGTACTAGATTACAAAAAGGCGTTTGACACAGTGAACCTGGACTTATTAATTTCAAAAATGAAAAATATGGGAGTAACTGGAAAGTCTCTAAACATGTTCCAATCATATCTAACAAATCGACGACAGTTTACAGTGGTAGGGGACCAATGCAGCACAATAGAGGAAATCAAATATGGTGTTCCTCAGGGATCAATTCTGGGACCCTACATGTACTTACTTTACATTAATGATCTTAGCCTATATAAAATACATGGTAAAATGCTCATGTATGCAGATGACTTGGCAATTTTTTACAAGAACGAAAACAACAAAGACACAGAAAGTAAAATTAAACAAGACTTAAATACACTAAAAAAATGGACCAATTCCAATTAACTAACCCTAAACCATCAAAAATGTCACTTTATAAACTTTGAATCCAGAACAAGAGAACATTAAATTAACATCAAAATCAAGGAGCCACTAAAGGAAGTTAAAACAATCAAATATCTAGGACTACACATTGACAATAAACTAAACTGGAAGCAACACATACATAAACTAAATGAATCTCGAGATCTCTCTTCATACATATACCTAATGAACAAAATAGCAAACACACTTCCTCTTAAACAAAGAATCTTAGTCTATGATTCCTATATTAAGAGTTAATTGGCATACCTCATACCTTTTTTGGCAACAGCAAACGAAACCGCTAAAAAATCGTTGCAGCGAAATCAAAATAAAATATTAAAGAATATGCACAAAATGGACAAATACATGCCTACAGAGCAACTTTATAAGATCACCAAACAGATAAATATCGAAGAGCTTAGACAACTAGAAACCCATAAATTAGTGCATAAGATCATAACAAATAAGATACTGGATGAAGAAGTAACATTTAGAAAAAGAGCGGACACACATATGTGTTCATATGAACATAATACAAGAGGACGTGAACAAATAGACATAGAAAGAGCCAAAACAAAATATGGAGAAATAAAAATAAAACATCAAGGGTACAAACTATATAAGATCACCAAACAGCTAGACATAGAAAGAGCCAAAACAAAATATGGAAAAAATAAAAATAAAACATCAAGGGTACAAACTATACAACAAATTACCAGAGAATATAAAAAACCTACCCGAGACGACTTTCAAAACCAACTTGAAAACTTTTATTTTGCACCAAAGAATATCTACTTAATATATTTACTCATTTATTATTTATCATATAAATCCAATATTATACATGTATGTATGTACTCGTATGTATACTTATTTATTATATTATATTTATACTTATCCGATATTATCGCTACTGTGATATTTAGGATGTACTTTTTTTAAATAAAAAAAAAATCGCGATGGCCAACAATCAATGATCAAATTGTGCCCAATAATATGCAAAAGCAGTTTGGATTAAGTTAGGTAGGTTACCTTAATTTTGGGAATGGTTGGCCTAACCAGGTTGGGCATGGAAAAACGATGACAAATTTTTTATGTTTATTTGGGCACATATTAGGCTTTTAAAAATTGACCAATGACATGATATTGTCATGATATTGTGTTTTGAATATTGTTGAACAATTTGTTTACATATGCTGTATTAGTTAACTTTTAAAAATTGACCAATGACATGATATTGTCATGATACTGTGTTTTGATTATTGTTGAACAATTTGTTTACATATGCTGTATTAGTTAACTTTATTATACTATTTATTTATTATACTATTTGTTGTTTAAACAATTGCTTTAACGTATCTTTTAAAACAATTTTGTAAGTGAAAGTGACTTGAAAGTTGAAACATCTCTCACTTTACAAACTTAAATGTCATTAAATTAACAGCTAAGTTTGTGACAAACGTTTAAGTAGAGTTTCCTGTGCTCGACACTCAATTTACGTAAATTTGTGTTCAGTTTTTACACGTAGGTATGTCGCGTTAAATTGTCCTAAATTTGCTGATATAAGTTAATTAAAGTGAAGCGACAGAGCGCGCCAAACAAGTACTAGGAGATACCAAAACTATGACCTTATCAGAACGTATTGATAAAAGCGTAGATAACACTTCCTTCGGAAATGTCATATATGTTTTTGTTTTAGTGTCTGTGCAACACGATTGTTGAGTGATTTTTTGTGGTGCATCGAAAAGTATGATTTAAATTTACAGATTTACAAAATTGGTGAGTTTTAGGCTACGTGGAAACATGGAAAAATTGTTGTTTTGCTATGCGAATAACTACGCCCAGATAAACGTCACAGCGATAACAAGTACCTACTACTAAAGTCATATTCACAATAAAAAAATTAATTATATCGTATTGTATTTATTTTTTAAAAACTTTATTCTAATATAAATTAAAATGCAAAAATAGTTTATGAAGCAATTATTAAATAAAGATTGTCTAAAATTACTACGAACACTAAGCAGTTCAAAATGTTAATGTAATAATGAGATTAAGACCAATTGACTTCTAAATTTACTCCTTAGACTTTCTCAAGCAATTATAATTTCCTATACACTGTATAGTAACTATAGTTACTATAGAAGCTCGTATATGAGCTAAAATTATATAAGTATGTATACTTTTGACTTGGTGATTCATAGTGTAAATTATAAACTGAGGTCGTGAATTAATCATTATACCCTTATTATAATTTAAATTATTTGGTTATTTCAACAAGTGCTTATTATTTGTTTATTTTTAAGTTTAGGGGGAGTTATGCAATAATAATGTTTTGTTCCAAATTAAATTGTTTTTTAAAATATGTAAAAATATATAGGTTGTTCCATTTAAAACACTGTTATTTTTGTCAATATTTCGGAAACCCGACGTTCCATGTTTTTTCTGTTTTCACCACATTAATCAGAAAAAAATACCACCATTTGCTAATTTAACCGACTTTGTTATAGTTATATAACTAGATAACTTTGGACACCCTTTATATACCTTTATTTATTATTTTATACAAAATTTTTATAAGAGAAAGTAAAATTTAAGTATAAATACAAAATATTTTTTTTATTTTAACATTAAAATAAAAAATAGGCATAAAAGTAATAAATAAATAAAATAAATGTCAAAATACTTTCAACGACTTTTTGAGCGCCCTGTACATAACCCTTGTTTTCACAAAGGGTGTACCGAAAATGGGGCACCAATAATAATAATAATTCAAAAAAGTTGGGGAAGAAAAAATATAAGTCCAATCTCTCAAACCAAATTTATTAATTAGTACGACCGGTTTCGCAAGTTTATTTTTTTATAGGTTAATAAACCACGTTTTTTGTGTTTTGTCATTTTCAATTATTTAAAGAATTTTAAAGAAATTTTGTTACACATTGGCTTTAATTTTTTATATACATAGACTTAAGGAAAAAAAGAGTTTTTAATATATGTTTTTAATTTTTAATATATGTTTTAATGTTAAGGTGAGGAATAAAAAGTTTGTTGTTTTTTGTAGATTAAAAAAGAGGGTACCTGAAGATGCAAGTAAATTAAAATAAACTTGCGAAACCGGTCGTACTAATTAATAAATTTGGTTTGAGAGATTGGACTTATATTTTTTCTTCCCCAACTTTTTTGAATTGGTAGTTACTCTCATTATGGATTTCATACATAAAAAAAAAAATAAAAAAAAAAAAAATAATAATAATAATGTTAGTTATAAATATTATTTATTTATATAAAAGGAAAAAGAAAATTGTGTTTATACCCTTAAAAAAAGTTTAAATTTATAATAACTTAAAACATTTATGATTTAGTCTTGACTTTTGTGGCACAATTGTTTCGAAACGGATTCAATGAATAACAACCGTTTTAGGATGTTAGAATGTACATCATTATTTATTATGATTTAAATAATAATAATTATTATCTATGATGAACATACATATATAAAATGTCCAATCAAATGTCTAATCGAAGTCTACAAAATTTGTATAAATAGATAAAAGATTTATATTTTAAACGATTTAAAATTTAAAAAATGTACCTAATCAATTAAAAACGCAAACAAGATTAAATGAAAGCAAAAAGTAGTAAAGCTTTTATGTTTTAAAAAGCTATTAAAAATGTTTAAAAAGAAAAAATAGTATCTACTAAAAAATCTGAATTGAAAAAATTAAAAAACGTATTTTTTATAAATTCGTTGAATATTTAAAGCAATTGTGCATGTTTGAAAATAAAATGGAAACACATGGAAAGTTTATTAAAAAAACAATAAAATGTTCAAAAAAGTTTTTTAAAAAGGCTTGATTAAAAAACATAATTTTAATTTTTTTTATTAATTTTTGAATTTTTTTAATGTACAGTGTGACCCATTAGTTTGCGACTCACCCTTGTAAAATCTTTATTTATTGTGCGATTTTAACCGGATTTGTTTTAAAGTGTAGATCTTGATAAACTGTATTTTTACAAAATACAAGGCCTACTATGTCAGTTTTTAAGAGTAAATTTTTAAGAATTCACATTAGCGATTTTTTTAAACAAAATCTAAGCACGGCACTGGATTCACTTCCCCTCAAAACGATCCTATACTAAATTTTATTGAAAAATTTTAAGAAAAAAATGTACAATAATAACTACAAAAATTTATTTTGTCAAGTTATCCATAAAAAAACATTAAAATAAAATTAAACTAATAATAACATGGTACTATGACTATAAGTTTAATTTTATTTCAATGTTTTTTTCATGGATAACTTGAGAGAATAAATTTTTGTAGTTATTATTGTGCATTTTTCTACTTAAAATTTTACAATACAATTTAGTAAAGGGTCGTTATAAGGGGTGGTGAATCCAGTGCCGTGCTTAGATTTTGTTTTAAAAAATCGCTAATATGAATTCTTCAAAATTTACTCTTAAAAACTGACATAGTAGGCCTTGTATTTTGTACTAATATGGCATCTTTTGTTCCAAAAATACAGTTTATCAAGATCTACACTTTAAAATAAATCTGGTTAAAATCGCACAATAAATAAAGATTTTACAGGGGTGAGTCGCAAACAAATGGGTCACACTGTATATACCACTGCGCGAATTTTTCCAACCATTTTTTAAATGTATGCAACTGCGAATTTGTTCTACAATTTTTTAAATTTATCCCACAGTGCAAATTTTTTCCACTATTTTTAAATTTAAGCCACTGTGCAAATTGCAATTTTTTAAATTTTTCATACTCTGCGAATTTGTCCTATCATTTTTTAAATTTATTCCACTGTGCCAATTTTTTCACTATTTTTGAAATTTATGCTTGTAACTCATATGATGTAACTGACACCAATTTGCTGATTTAACCGACTTTGTAGCTGCAATAATAACAAAGTTAGCGATGGTCAGCAGATAACTTCGGACACCCTGTATATTTTTTACAATTTTTAATGGTTTTTGTTATTATTGTAAATTACAATTTGTAATCATTGGTCCCTTAAAGGGACAACATATGTAAAAGGGACTGCCTTTAACGTATTTTGCTGTTCCGAAAATAAATATAGGAAAATACAAAATTTTCAATAAAAAAACACATTAGAAAAAATTAGGTACCCAAAAGTAAAATATTTTTTAAATTCCGAACAAGTGCAATAATTTTTTTCAGAAATAAATATAAAACTGCGACTACACAAAGCATATTTTAAAATCTTAAAGCAACAAAAATGCTTAAACAACACATGTAAACCTTGCATTTTAACATCCCAAATATCATATTTCCCCGACTTAAAATATCCGTAGAGCCTTTCTCGGTCTCCAGGTGCAAAAAACGATAATTGTTTATGAGATTCCCGTCTCGGAATCGCCCCACGTGCGGCGCAGATTTTATTTACTTCCTTCGGTAATTTTTCCCGGCCGTGTTTACCTAACGGCACGTGTTTTCCCACCCCGAATGCACCGCACACTTCGAATGTATAGTCTTTACTTCTTCAATCCTAAGGCAACCGGTCGAGAAAGCGCGCACATATTTTCTTCTGCCGTTAATTACATTTAAATATTTCGAGATTTCGTAATCGTTGCATTAAAATTTCTTCTACGTCGTTTCTTAACCATATCGGACTTGGCCGTGCTATTTAGTATTCCTGACGTTCACTTCGAAGTCAACGGAAACCAAATAATATTTCCTCAGTGCAGTGACAGGGAGTGCAGTCGAGGGATGTAGTAGAGAAATAAAAGTGTAAATTATTTGGTTTTATTATTATAATTATTATTGGTGTTAAGTGTGCATGTGCAGTCGATTGTTGTTAGAATGTTATAAACACAAGGTAAAGTTTAATTGAAAATGTCAATAACGAATTACAATTAGGTACCTACATGTACCATTGAATAAAATGCAGTAATTTTTCAATTATTACAATTATTACAATAAGTATACCTATACAGTAAGATTTAAATGTAGGTACCTATGCCTTTTATTAAAGTCACTACTTATTCCTAATTAGCGTATTCCTAAAATACTTAAATAACAATTAATATTGAATATTCAGAAAATTTAAAAAAACATGATTAGTAAGCATTTTCGGCCCATTAGTGTAAAATTATGATTTCGTCGAAAGCGGTTTGTTAGTCATAAATAAATATTTACTGGCCAATTTGCGTAAAAGTATTGCAATTAAAATAAACATTAATTTTTAGGAAAAATAATTAATAAATAATTAATTTTTCAGTTAACAATTTACGTAATTTTTCTTAAAAGAAAATTAGATTTTATGTTTATTTTTTCTTTAAATGTCTTTAGTTTTCTATTGATGTTTTTTATTAAAATAGGTAGACACATACAATAAAAATTTAAAATAATAAAATTTGTAATAATTTTAATTATTTATTTTACTAAAAAATAACATAAACTATCGAAATAAGGCTTTATTATTTTTCAAATGAGGTATATACGGTATATACCATTCTAGCTGCGTTATTATTGTAGCTACAAAGTCGGTTAAACTACCAAATTAGTGGCATTTTTTCTTCTGATTTTAATGGCAAAAACAGAAAAACAGTTGAACGTCGGGTTTCCGAAATATTCACAAAAATAACATTTTTTTAAATACATATGTATATGTATAATATATATTTTGATATACAATTTAATTTGGAACAAAAAATTATTATTCATTAGTTATTTCCTAATTCGCCTTAAAAATAAGCACTTGAACTTTCTAATATATTTCGGAAACCCGACGTTCAATTGTTTTTCCGTTTTCACCATTTTCATAAAAAAAAAATGACACCGACTTTGAAGCAATAATAACAAAGTTAGCAATGTTGGTTGGTTTTTGTAATTAAGCCAAAAAAAGGACAAAATATGTCAAAGGGACTTTAACATATTTTTTACTAAATATACAGGGTGTTCCAAAAATAAATATTAAGCATAGGTTTCCATAACAACATTTTCTAGATGTGGAATATTTAAGCTTATCAGGCGCACTTGATAACGCAAGTCCAATAATTAATTAATTAATTTGAACGTCACGCCCTAGGGGGGAGGGAGGGGTCGTAAAAATGTGACGTCCGAAATTTGTTATTTTGACTTCTTTCAAGAATTATATTCTCTATTTAATATCTCCAAAATTAAATATTTTCGCGCTGCTGTAACCAATTGTGACAAGGGGGAGGGGGTGTTAAAAATCCCCTTAAAAAGCGTGACGTTCTTTATGGACGACCCCTGAGAGAAAATCTAATCTAATAATATATTTAATTATTGAAAAAAACGTTTTCTAAAATATTATCGATACCTATTCGCAATTTTTTATTGTCGTATTTAATATATTAACAAAGTATTTATAAATAGATTATCGGGCAAATATTGTTCACAAGATTATAAATAAAAAAAAAATAGATAAACATTATATATAAATAATTATTTTTAATCTTAAACTGAGGCAAATACTTTTGTCCAATAGTGTATATACAGAGGACTGCATAAAAAACGGCCATTGCTGTAGCATCGTTATTCCTTATCCGATTTTCAAAATTCAAAAACCAAAACTTGTCAATGTGTATTTAAAACATGTACGATAATGAATGTTTTAAAGGTGAGAGTAAACAAAATAAATATCCTACAGTATATACAGAGGACTGCATAAAAAACGGCCATTGCTGTAGCATCGTTATTCCTTATCCGATTTTCAAAATTCAAAAACCAGTTTCAATGGTATGATGTCTTCTATGATTTGACGGTTAAACATATTTTTTTTATTATGATGCTTGTGAGGACTGATAGTCAACTTTTATTTTTCAAATGACAACTATATTTTTTTATTATTTTTTCGCATTTCTTATGCTTCTCTGAGCATAAGGGTATATCAATATCATAATTTTAATTATAAAACACGAAGAAAAAAAATAAAACTGCGAAAATTTTTACATATCACATTATTCATTTTTAAAATAATTATTTAATTTTATGAACTGTGTTTACGTTTTAAAATAAAAAAACGCCTGACGTACACAGAGAAAAAAGCCGTAACCATGGATACGCATATTATTAAATTGTAAGCATTTTGTGGGTGTCCTGATGCTACTGCGATATGTAAAAATTTTCGCAGTTTTATTTTTTTTCTTCGTATTTTATAATTAAAATTATGATATTGATATACCATTATGCTCAGAAAAGCAAAAGAAATGCGAAAAAATAATAAAAAAATATTGTTGTGATTTGAAAAATAAAAGTTGACTATCAGTGCTCACAAGCATCATAATAAAAAAAATATTTTTAACCGTCGAATCATGGAAGACATCATACCATTGAAACTGGTTTTTGAATTTTGAAAATCGGATAAGGAATAACGATGCTACAGCAATGGCCGTTTTTTATGCAGTCCTCTGTATATACTGTAGGATATTTATTTTGTTTACTCTCACCTTTAAAACATTCATTATCGTACATGTTTTAAATACACATTGACAAGTTTTGGCTTTATAACAGATTTTTAGTCACGGGCTGTCAAATGTAATACTTCAGCCCGTGACTAAAAACCTGTTGATAACTTGGAAACGAAAAAATATAATAATTATATATATAATTATATTGTCAGGGCCGGCTCCAGGGTACGTGCAGCCGTGCCCCTGCACGAGGCGGCAAAATTCGAAGGGCGGCAAAAAGTTATTCAATACAACACGATATAGGTTCTAAATTAGATATTTCCAATTTAATTTTAATTTAAACAGATTTTTCTTATTTTTACTACTGGTCAGTTTTATAATGTTAGATAAAATAATTATTATTACTCTCTAAAAATGAATTAGTCAAAAATGACTAATTTGATAGTTATAAGTGGCTGCTTTTTCACTTGTACCATGGTTAACCATGGAATACAATTTTACATAAGAATTGGCTGTTAAATTTTTGGATACCATGCATGGTATCCAAAAATTTAACAGACAATTCTTATGTAAAATTGTCCCCTAAATCCGAAAATACCGTCAAAAATTATGAAAGTGGAGCAGTTTTTAAAATATAGTCAATTCCATATTAAATGGAAAATTGACTATATCTCAAAAACTGTTTCACTTTTTTAACTTTTGACGACATTTTCGGATTCAGGGAACAATTTTACAAAATAATTAGCTGATAAATTTTTGATTACCATGGTATTCCATGGTTAACCAGAGTACAAGTGAAAAAGCAGCCACTAATAAATATTAAATTAGTCATTTTTGACTAATTCATTTTTAGAGAGTAGAATATATTACTGTTTTTTTAGAATGCGATGATATTTTATTTATTTGTTATTAAATAATAATTTTTTAAACTTTTTTGTTAATTTTATCTTCCCCTTAATGCTACAACTGGATAACTCGAAATTTTACGAATCCAGTTCTACTAAATACTTACATACCAATTTTAGAATATTTTATTTATAAATGTGTTTTTTCAGATATCCAATTGTATCATCAAGGGGACGATATTATTTAAGTAGGTTTTTTTTTAGAAATTGTACCTAATTAATGGGCACTAAAAAGTAGGTAACTATGAGGGGCGGCAAAAATATTTTTGCACGGGGTACCAAAACGTCTGGAGCCGGGCCTGTATATTGTTATTGTTAAATATGTGGTAAATAAATAAGAATATATTTGTTATTAAGTACGCACACTACATTACAATTAAATAAATTAATATTCTGTGACAAATTTTCTGTATTGGATATTTCCGGCCTTAAAGGAAATAACCACCCTTTTGTAGACATGCACTGAAAAGGGAACATAAATCTCACATTCCAAGGATTTAAAATCTAGATAAGGCACACCCACCATAAAAATGTCATCTTTTTAATCTAGCGACATCTTTTTCAGAAACTTAAAAAATGGCACACAATCTTAAAATAACCGTGGTCGGAGATGGTATTGTTGGTAAAACATGTATGCTGGTCGTTTATACCACTGGCAAATTTCCCGAAGAGTACATCCCGACAATGTGAGTATTAATTTTCTATAATAGTAAAATATTGTTATCAACCAAACAATCGCAAACCATTTATAGACTGTAACTAAATATTTATTTAATTAGTATTTTTTAAAACAGGAACAAGTTTCGAAACATAAATACTTATTCGGTTTTACCCATACCTACATATGTTTTTTTTTTGGAAAGCACATTTATTTGTTTTACTTACTCATTTAATTTACTTTTGGAGGAAAATTGTATGTACTAAATGGGTATAAATAAAATTTGTATAAATACATGCATAATATCTATACAAAATGTTACATAAACAAATTTGGTAAAACCAGAAGTCAATGTTTGGAAATATAGATGTATACACGTTTTATAATTGTAACCGTTTAAACTTTTTATTAAATGGAAAGTTTTTTATAGTATATTATATACTAAATTTATATCTTGAGTACAAGTTTTAATGTTTTTATTATATATTATGTAAGTTATGTATTTGTGCGTGATTATATTTTATTTATTCATTTGCCTCTCCTATTTTATCTGACGTTGTAAACAATTTGTATTGTATTAGCACTAATAAATATTATTATTATTATTATTATACTCCTATTTAGGAAAATATTTAATTTCTGTACTATCAAAAACAGTTTTCAAATTTTAATCTTTTTCTAGTTTTTCAGATAGATACGAGGGTTGCCTTTTATATTTCGGGAATAGAGAAAACAAACAACAATTAATCATCGTACATGGCTTTATTTTTTTTCAAAATATTCTCCATGAAGATTGACACAATTTTGCATGCACTTGAACCAATTTTCGAAGCATTTTTTTCACTTCGATTGAGGCACCTCCAAAACATGCATTTTGAACGCATCAACCGCTTCTAAAGACCCACACAGTCGACTGCTGTTTACTTTCAGGTTCATACGCATAGATCCATGATTCGTCACCTGTTAAAATGTCATGAACATGTTTTGAAGCACCGCCATCGTATTTTTTAAGCATTTCTTTTGACCACTAGACCTGAGCCCTTTTTTGATCGATTGTCAAATTATATGGGATCCAACGGTAACAATTTTTTCTGAAGGCCAAATGTTCATTTAATATTGAATGTATGCTGGTCCCACTAATGCCCAAGGATGACCCAATCTCACGATATGTCACATGATGATCTTGCATTACCAGTTCACGCACAGCATCAATGTTTTTTGCAAGAACGAGTGATTTTGGACGACTTTCACGAAATTCGTCGGTGAGCGAACCACGGCCACGATTAAATTCGGAACACCACCAATATTTACTTGTTTTTTATGGCACTTTGTCGCCAAAAGTCAAATTAAGTTCATCGATGCATTATTGTTGGGATAATCCACGTTAAAGTTGTAAAAATTATAGCACGAAAATGTTCACGGGTCAATTCCATTTTTTTGGCCGACATTAATTTTTTAAGTGACTGTTAATAATACTAATTGCGCCCGCACGTCAAAACGTTTTAAGTAAGAACACCGTCTAAAAGGTCGAACTTAACGATACAGACATCTGTTGTCCGATAGCATCAGCAGGTTCGGCCATTCCCGAAATATAAAAGGCAACCCTCGTATAATATTAAATTTATGTTTTCATTTTATATTTTAAAACTTTTTATTTATGCAGGGTATAACATAAAAACAGTTCATATTACATTGAGTTAAACAAAATGTATATGATAGATACCTCGTTAGTTAGTTAGATAGTTAGATATACAACATTGGGTACATGAATAATGCGGCATACAATCAATAAAAACACAGAATTCCGAGAATATCCACACTCATAAAAGCAATGAATAATTCGATAAAAATAATGTTTCAGATTCGAGCACACCGGATGCGATATTGAAGTAGACAACAGCACCTATCACGCTACCCTGTGGGACACCGCGGGACAAGAAGATTACGAAAGACTAAGGCCTTTAAGTTATCCAAATGTAATTAATCATTTTTTTATTGGTGCGATAACTTTTGAACTTGATTTTTTTTGTGTTGCAGACGAACTGTTTTTTAATTTGTTTTTCCGTCGACCAGTCGCAGGCGTCTTATGAGAACGTTCACTTAAAATGGGCCCCGGAAGTAAAACACCACCTGCCAAATGCCAAAGTATTATTAGTAGGTAAGGACTTAAAGATTAAAATTTTTGGCACTGTGAATTTCTTCTACTATTTCTTAAATTTATCCCACTGTGCAAATTTGTCCTTCAATTTTTAAAATTTATCCCACTGTGCAAATTTATTTCACTATTTTTTAATTTTGAACTACTTTTTGAATTTGTCCTACCATTTTTAAATTTATCCTACTGTGCGAATTTTTTCGATTCAAATTTTTTTTTGTAAATTTTAGAATTTTTATAAATTTAAGTTACTGTTCGAATATGTCCTACCATTTTTAAACATATGTCACTGTACGAATTTGTCCCTTAATTTTTTTTAATTTATCCTACTGTGCTAATTTTTTCGATTACAATTTTTGTAAACTTCCAAGTTTAACTTTTTTTGAAAATTTTAGAATTTTTATAAATTTAAGTTACTGTGCGAATATGTCCTACCATTTTTAAACATATGTCACTGTGCGAATTTATCCCTTAATTTTTAAAATTTATCCCACTGTGCAAATTTCGTTCATCATTTTTTAACCAATTTACGAATTTTTCCTACCATTTTTTAAATTTATCCTACGGTGACTCGAAAATTTTGAGAATTATTAATTTTTTTTTGAAATTTCAGAATTTTTATAAACTTATGCTACTGTGCGAATTTGTCCTACCATGTTTTAAATTTAACCCACTGTGCAAATTTTTTCCTCTATTTTTTAATTTGGAACTACTTGACGAATTTTTCCTGCCATTTTTTAAATTTATCCTACTGTGCGAATTTTTTCGATTAAAATGTTTGTAAATTTTGAAAATTATATGAATTTTAAAGTTTTAGTAAATTTCAGAATTTTTGTAAAATTCGTGCAACTGTGCGAATTTCTCCTACAATTTTTTTAATTCATGTCTCTGTTCGAATGTATCCCACTGTGCGAATTTTTTCCACTATTTATTAATTTTAAACTACTATACGAGTTTGTCCTACCATTTTTTAAATTAATGCATGTAGTTATCAACAGTTTAAATCATTTTGTTCAATACATAACTTTAATAACGATATGGTAAATGGTATTACATTTTTTATTTTAGCTACTAAAACAGACTTAAGAAGAGATCCAGCCAAAAACTGTTACAGCACGGAAGACGGCAAACGACTAAAGAAAAAAATAAAAGCGGTAAAGTACATGGAGTGCTCCGCGATGGATCAAGTAGGTTTAAAGGAAATTTTCGAGGAAGCTGTCAGGATATCGATGTCCCAAAACGGAAACGGCAAGAAGAAAGCACCAAATAATTGTGTGCTACTGTAATACGTATTAGATAGGTACCTACCTAAGTTTTTAAAAATAAGATGATAATTGGTTCTACTCATATCTGTAACTTATTGTTATGTGATTTAAATATTTCCTAAGCAATAGTTTTATTTTTTTTAAGTAAATATATTTATTTTATTAAATTTTAATGTGTATATGATGTTTACGTGATTATTAAATTTATACATTTATCTGTTGGTCTATTATTTTATTTATTGTTATATAACAACTACAAAAAGAATTAATTAATTTGGTATATTTTTACATATTAATTGGAAAGATCTTAAAGTTCAACTTTCTATTTTTAAGTTTATTAAAAAAAACTAAATAAAAATTATAATTTATTGTTTGTATTGTACAGTAATTTATCTAAAGTATCATTTATAACTTGGACCGGTATATGGCCAGTATTTAAAGGGTGTGGAGGACTTTCTACTGGCGAATTATTTGTTAAACACAACGATTCTACTTCGGGTAGAAGAGGTGACATCACCATTGAAAAATAATCTCTGGATTCCGTTGTAGTTGGAGATCTCAAAGTACCTTAAAATAAATATTATTTTGTTGTTTGTATCATGTTATTTTACGTTGTTTTTCAGAGAATAACTCACCATTGTTGGTATTTTCTGTCGTATTCTTTATTACTTCATTATTTTTGTCCACAAAAACAACATTTTCCGGTATAAAATTAATATTTCCAGTGGTATAATCCACAGACATAATACACTTCAAATTGCTCTTGGTTGCCTCATTCAGAGACGTTTCGGCACCTTGCGAAGAATCGCTTACTTCTGCTATTCGTATAACATTTCCTGAGGGACTTACGGGACATTTATGAGATCTCTGACTAACTTTATATCGGAAACTCTTATCACAAGCGGTACATTTATAAGGCATAACCCCAGTGTGGATTCTACGGTGCACCAAATAGCTTACTCTTTGACGAAACCGTTTACCTTAAAAACAATGTGTTTGATGAGATGTTTTATGATTTTTTAGTGTTGATATTAACCACATGTTTCGCAGCCAAATGGTCGCTCCCCTGAGTGAATTCTTGCATGATTTTGGAGGGTTGACAGTTCTTTAAAGGCTCTCCCACATTCATTGCAAACGTAGGGTTTTTCAGATGAATGATAGAGCATGTGTTTGTGGTAGGATTGTTGAAATGTGAAGGACTTACTGCACTGAGAACAAGTGTATGGCATTTCTCCTAATTATAACAAATTTACATAAAAATAATTAAATTATGTAAATTAACTATAAACTTGATATAATTACTATTTAATTGGAATAAAATTGCTTTTCAGAACGAGAAAAACACTTTTTACAATAAAATTTGAAACACAAATTACCACCAAACATATCCTTATTGAATGTCCAGAATATACCTTGGAAAGAATTAAACACCACCTGACAGGCTCAATGAAGGACATACTCACGGCGTTCTCTATAGAGAACGCCGTGACATGCTATATGGAGAAACAAATAAACTTTTTGACTTCCTAATAGAAATTGGTTGATGCGACCTGTTTTTTGTGTTTAAATAAAAAAATAAAAATAAAATTTGAACAAAGGAACCAACCAACACCCTGATGAAACTGAGAAAACAGGTATCAAATATTTAAATAATTTTAAAATTATCTGTAAATTTTATGCCGATTTTGGACTTATGAAGGTTTAAGGGATATAATTTAATAATTTCTTCAGTTCGAATTTTTGATATTGGGTAATGAAAAAAATAGGCTTTTGTTGGTTGGTTCCTTTCTGCAATTTATGGAAACTACTATCTGATTATAAGTCAAATGTATGTATTTAAAGAAAAACGACAATTATTTATTTTCAAACAATAAACAAAATTTGATTAAAACTTAAATTAACTGATATTACAATTGAAATAGTAATATCAGTTACTTTTGACTTTCTGCTTTTATTTGAAAGTCGGGAGTCCCTGTGAATCCGTCCACATCATCTTCCAACCCCTCCTCACCTCGTAAGCTACTAAAAAAATGTTTACAATCCTGGCTGTGCCGTAAAAATCTGCAGGACTCAAGCGCGTAACTATAATCTTATTTTTTGCGGCATTCTCCTATTTTGATTGTCAAAATTGGATATTTGATAAAATTTATTTAATCAATATTTACTTGATATAATTACTATTTAATTGGAATAAAATTGCTTTTCAGAACGAGAAAAACACTTTTTACAATAAAATTTGAAACACAAATTACCACCAAACATATCCTTATTGAATGTCCAGAATATACCTTGGAAAGAATTAAACACCACCTGACAGGCTCAATGAAGGACATACTCACGGCGTTCTCTATAGAGAACGCCGTGACATGCTATATGGAGAAACAAATAAACTTTTTGACTTCCTAATAGAAATTGGTTGATGCGACCTGTTTTTTGTGTTTAAATAAAAAAATAAAAATAAAATTTGAACAAAGGAACCAACCAACACCCTGATGAAACTGAGAAAACAGGTATCAAATATTTAAATAATTTTAAAATTATCTGTAAATTTTATGCCGATTTTGGACTTATGAAGGTTTAAGGGATATAATTTAATAATTTCTTCAGTTCGAATTTTTGATATTGGGTAATGAAAAAAATAGGCTTTTGTTGGTTGGTTCCTTTCTGCAATTTATGGAAACTACTATCTGATTATAAGTCAAATGTATGTATTTAAAGAAAAACGACAATTATTTATTTTCAAACAATAAACAAAATTTGATTAAAACTTAAATTAACTGATATTACAATTGAAATAGTAATATCAGTTACTTTTGACTTTCTGCTTTTATTTGAAAGTCGGGAGTCCCTGTGAATCCGTCCACATCATCTTCCAACCCCTCCTCACCTCGTAAGCTACTAAAAAAATGTTTACAATCCTGGCTGTGCCGTAAAAATCTGCAGGACTCAAGCGCGTAACTATAATCTTATTTTTTGCGGCATTCTCCTATTTTGATTGTCAAAATTGGATATTTGATAAAATTTATTTAATCCATAGATGTTTATGATTTAATACTATTTTGCAGAAAAGATCCAACCCACTTGGATCTATTCTACAGATTCATATACACAATATTATTGAATGTTGGTTGGTTCAATAATTAATATATAGATTTCACTACACTTGCATTTTGGCTATGACCTATTTTGCAGATAAATTTTACATACTTAATTAGTTCACAGGCTAAAGATCTCGATTTTTTTAGTTTTGTGGGTTGGTTCCTTCCTGCAGAAAGGCGTCCAAAAAAAAGTTGCGAGAAAGTTTTTTTTTAATTCTTATTTTATGTCATAAAATTAATATTTTTGACAAAAAAATTATTTTTTTCAATAAAACTTAAATTTTGATAAAAATAATTAAATTTTGTAAATTGACTATAAACTTTTTAAAGTATGTATATCCACGGATAGAGGGCCCAAGAGGACAAATGGACTACAATTTTCATTTTTCGAGCAAAAGTCACTCTTCATAAAAAGTTCTGCTTGTTTTAAAAAGTCTATTGTATAAATCCTATACAAAGACTTATAGTAAACTCAGTATTCCACACTTTAAATTAAATTATGTAAATTAACTATAAACTTATAATTATAATTACACTGCGCGTCAAAATTAACGCATAATAAGTTAAAAAATTCTAACGCCTTTACTAATCTTTATGAAATTTTGTATAAAAATACTGTAACTTATATCTCAGTTTACGTGTTCGAGGGTTTTTCGAGAAAATATTTTTAAAGCCCTTTTATTTAATAATCAAAAAACGTTTGAAAAATAACTTTTAGGGAAATTTTTTTTAAGTAAATAAAAAATATGCTGTTAAAGACCGTATTTTTGTTAGTAAACCCTGAAAATTTTGTACAAATCAAACGAACAGTAACGAAGATTTGATTATTTTGCTGAAAGGGTATCCTTACAAAAATAGGGTATTTCATAGCATATTTTTTATTTACTTAATTAAGTTCCCTATAAAAGTTTTTTTTAGGGTTTTTTATTATTAAATAAAAGGGCTTATATTATATTTTCTCGAAAAACCCTTGAACACGTAAACTGAGATATAAGTTAAAGTATTTTTATTCAAAATTTTATAAAGATTGGTAAAGGTGTTTTAGAGTTAGAATTTTTTTACTTATTATGCGTTAATTTTGACGGGCAGTGTATAAGAGATAACAATTCTATATTGTAAATAATGAAAATGTTGCTAACTCATACAAACCTGTATGTAATCTTTTGTGTTTCTTCAAGAAGTATTTGGTGGTGAACATCTTCGAGCAAACATCACATTCCCATTGCTTATTATCTTGTTGCTTCTGCTTATTGCTCACTTTGGCCGAATTCTCCTCAACATTTTCACTTTTCACAACTTTTTTCTTGCCATTCGTTGTCAATGGTGCATCGGTATCGTGACTGAAGCCATAATGCGCGACCCTGAGGTGCACCATAAGGCTCCCTCTCATCTTAAACTTTTTGCTGCAAAGATGACAGTGGTAGCTGTATATCCCAGTCTTTTTATCGGGGATTGTCTGATGCAGCAACTTCTGATGCATGTCGAGGATGTTTTGGTCGGTGAAACAGAACCCGCATATATCACATCGGATGTTTTTCTCTTGATTTTTCTTCTCTCCAACATTCTTACGCCGATGCACTTCCTCCACTTTCTCACTGGAACTTATGCTGTCTATACTTTTGTCGATTTCCTCCAACACAGTTTGTTCCTTAGTAGCAACTTCCACGTGACTTACGTGACCGAATAAATGTATTGTTAACTTGTCCAAGCCATGTAGAGTCTCGTTGCACACTGGGCATGACAGGTTCGACGTCGCGACGTTGACCAAAGTCGATCTAAGCGCGTCTACACCGTCGAAATGGGGTTTGAGACAGACAGGACAGGATATCAATTTTGTTTCCATTCTTTGCATTGACGTTTTGATCGAATGTGTTGTTCAGGTGTTTGCGGCTGGACAAATGGCGGACTATGTGGCAATATTTACAAATTTTTGACGGTCTATTTTTATCTGGTAGCGGTTACTCGCTATGAAATGCTGTTGCCTGAGTTAATTTTAGATTTTCGAGTTGTATGTTTGATTTAGATTGCTGCAAGTTCATGTTTGATACATTTGGTAAATTTTTTTGCTGCCACAAAATACATGTTAACATCATAGGTCGTCCAGGGAATGTTTGAAGGGAATTCCCAATGGCAATTCCAATGCTGTTATTTTTTTTTTAATTAGCTGACGAGCTACATTTTTAGACCGGATTTAAAACAAAAATCTTTCCCTTGCTATAAAAAAACCGAAACCCCTTCAAATTCCTGACCGTCCCCTTGTCCCAAACCTGGTTTTTAACTTATCTAGAAATACTTCAATATGAATAAACTGTAATAATGATAATGTTATTAATGATTTCTGTAACAAAAATAATTCCTCTAAAATTTCCTCTAAACCTTTTCTAAATTTCGGTTCAAAAGTATCCTGAAATTGTTATTCCTTAACCGTCCCCATACACATTTAGTGGAAAATAAAATTGAACATACTACCCCACCCAAATTTTACTTGTCTTAATAACGCGGGAATTAGCAGAGACAAAGGACCTTTGTCTCTGGGAATTAGTCAGTTACAGCAATACAAAGTAAAAAGTTGTGTGTCATAAAGTGATTTTGCGGTGCAATAATAAAGTAATTATTTGCTTCCGTATTTTTATTTTGTTCCGAACCGACCCTAATGATAATAGATATATTTATTATTTATGTTTAACAATAACTAGTAGTTTATTTATTAACATTATGTTGTTTAAAATTTATACATAACCTAAATATGAAATTCTGCCATTTACTTATCAAAAACATCGGACTTTTTCAGACCGTCCTTTTCTCAACCTTCCGTTTTTTAAACATACTGGTCGGAATAAGGCAAGGACGGTCAGGAAAACTATCAAGTTTTGTACAGCTTCATAAATGGGGCAAAATTTGCCAAGTGTACCAGGTGAAAAAAATTTTGTCACCGATTTTGTTTAAACTTTACTTATTTGTTGTTCTTATAACGAAGAATCATAGCATACATTTTTTTTGCTCTAGGATTGTTCATTCAAGAGTTATGGATTATTGAAATTTATCGATTTTTTACTTTTTGGTGAAATCGCTTTTTATTTAAAAATTTTGTCACCGATTTTGTTTAAACTTTACTTACACTGAAAAAAAAATATTCTTGTATCAAATAAATTTATTTGATTCAAAACAATCTGTGTCTCATATATAACGAAGAGAATATATTCTTTAAAATAGAAAAGTATTTTCTTAATTCACGTTGATTTACTTTAAGAATATTTTCTTAATGTAAGAAAATTAAATTTCTTTAAATAAAACTTTGATTGTTTAAAAGCAAGAATATATATTTTTTACAAAAACAAAGAAACACTGCATAATTAGGCATAAAATTTAAGAGAAACGTGTCGGCATCCCCACTTCTACGCAGTTTTAAGAATATGTATTCTTGGCAAAAGAAAATACTGTTTATAAAAACAAATAAACAAATTTAAGAATATCTATTTCTTAATATAAAAAAATTAAAAATATCGTATTCTTGATATAAAAATATTAACAATTGTACCAAGAAACCAACTTAGATTTCCTTCAAGAATATTTATTATTTGAATTAAAACATGCAACTTTTTAAAACAAGAACCTGTTTCTTAATACTAGAATATTTTCAAAAATACAAAATTCTTTTTTAAAGAAGTTAAATATTTTTAATTGAAATATATATTCTTATTTTAAAGCAAGTTGACTTGAATTAAAAAAATATTTTCAAGATGATTGGTATTCTAAATGTAAGAAATCTTTTTTTTCAGTGTATTTGTTGTTCTTATAACGAAGAATCATAGCATACATTTTTTTTGCTCTAGGATTGTTCATTCAAGAGTTATGGATTATTGAAATTTATCGATTTTTTACTTTTTGGTGAAATCGCTTTTTATTTAAAAATTCATAACTTCTGTTCATCTCTTTATTAAATATTTCAATTTAACCACCTTAAATGAATTTTTCCGTACTTTTCAATGGGCTATACCGTTTTTGCAAAAAAATAAAAATTGCATTTTTTTTTTTAAATTTTGCAAAATTTTGCATTTTTTGAAACAATGTGTATTTTTTTATTTTTTTTTAAATAGCATAAAATCCAAGTTTATTATGTTACCTTTGAATACAAAAAAAATTAAGAGTGGGCCCGACATGTATAAGGGAAGTTTTTCATATTTGAATGCCGCACGGTCTAGCCATCGAATAGCTACTACACTGCCGTATGCGTTTATACCTAGTATCTATAGATGCGAGTAAACGAATACAAAATGATAATTTAAAATGTAAAATTATGTTTGAGTAGTCAATGATGTATTTTAAATATTTACACTGCCGCACGATATAGTTTTTTTATTGTGTATTAGTCCTTCGGAGGGGACTTTAAGCCCTCGGTCCGTTCCTACCCCTAACCCGCACAAGCCATTCAGTTGGCTTATGGGACTTCTTAAGAAGTAAGGGTGGAACTAAAAGAGCACTTTTGTATATAAACTGTATTTTTTTGCACAAATTGTTTAAGCATGGGTCTACATAGATTTCGCAAGGAGGGTCGTCGACCCTGGGTCGATGATATTAAATAAAAAATGTATTGTTATAACCGTAAAGGCGCCATTCAGCTTATAGGCAAGCCGTTACGGTTATAACAATAAATTTTTTATTTAATATCATCGATCCTCCTCGCGAAATCTATGTAGACCCATGCTTAAACAATTTGTGCAAAAAAATGCAGTTAAAAAACTATATCGTGCGGTAGTGTAAATATTTAAAATATATCATTGACTACTCAAACATAATTTTACATTTTAAATTATCATTTTGTATTCGTTTACTCGCATCTAATAGGTACAAACGCATACGGCAGTGTAGTAGCTATTCGATGGCTAGACCGTGCGGCATTCAAATATGAAAAACTTCCCTTCTACATGTCGGGCCGACTCAAAAATTTTTTTTTATTTAAAGGTAACATAATAAACTTGGATTTTATGCTACTTTAAAAAAAATTAAAAAATACACATTGTTTCAAAAAATGCAAAATTTTGCAAAATTTCAAGAAAAAATTGCAATTTTTATTTTTTTGCAAAAACGGTATAGCCCATTAAAAAGTACGGAAAAAATCATTTAAGATGGTTTAATTGAAATATTTAATAAAGAGATGAACAGAAGTTATGAATTTTTAAATAAAAAGCGATTTCACCAAAAAGTAAAAAATCGATAAATATCAATAATCCATAACTCTTGAATGAACAATCCTAGAGCAAAAAAAAATTATGCTACGATTCTTCGTTATAAGAACAACAAATAAGTAAAGTTTAAACAAAATCGGTGACAAAAATTTTTTCACCTGGTACACTTGGTAAATTTTGCCCCAAATACAAATATTAAAATATTTAGGTTTTATGTGTAAATGATGTTTTAGGTACCTACTTATTTTGTTAGGTATTTCGTCAATAGTGATTCGGTGTTGGTAGATGAAGTAGTTGTACTAATGTTACATTGGACTGTCGTCATCTTGGTTTTCTTGATTTTCACAACGTTTCGATTGGTTGTCTCCAATCGTCTTCAGGTGATAATGGTAAAATATTTCGAAACTTTTGTTTAAATAGCTGGTTGATCTTGTAAATTGAGCTGAAACTGTTTGATTTCTACGCTTGGTTTGCTGAAAATATTGTTATTCTGGCTGATGTATGTAGATTCCAGGAATTTTCTTTTCAGCCAGTGTGATTCTCTGTGTAGAATTTTTGCGTTAAACCATGAGATATTGTGGTGTTCCTTCCATGCATGTTCAGCTAATCCAGATTTCGTGGTTTCCCCTTTTGTTGTGTGTGTTTTATCCTAACTTCTATAGAAGTTAGGACAAGCCTATATAGGAGAAACAAAGAGACCACTTAGTGGTCACCACATAGTGGTCTCTTTTATTCTCCTATATAGGCTTGTCCGCAATCACAAGGGACGTGATAAATTACGTTTTTTGCTAGGTTTTGTCCTGGTTAATAGGCTTCTGAGTGTGTTTCTTGAAGAAAAAACCGTTCTTACTCCTAGAGGTTTTGCGATTCTTCTAATTTTCTCGGAGATGCCCTGTTCGTAAGGTATTGTAACAGTTAGATTCAAAAAATAATTTTAACAAGGAAAACTGACAAATTTTATGTTTAAAAAATTTTGGATCTATAAATTAATACATTTATAGGATCTGTAAGTCATACTTATAGATATACACAACCATATTTGGTAAATTATATATAATTATATAGAGTTAAAATAATTTTAACCCAGTTAATTATAGTTTAAGTTGACTTAAGAGTTAAAAAGGAGTTAAGAAAAGGGTAAAATAAACCAAAAACTACCAAACAATAACTTCTACTTAACCAAAAGGTACATTAACCAGATACACATAACGTTAATTTTACCACTTATGTTTTTGTGGAAAAAATAATGAAATAATAAAGAATAATATAGGAATGAATACTACAGAAAATACTAATACTAATACTGATCATATACCGGTGCAAGATATTAATGATAAGATACAAACAATAAAATATACCCCTGCAATAATTAAAATGTCCATGGAGCCTAAAATGTCTTTCATTGATCAAACACATCCAAACCTCTTCCCATAGCAACCCTCAAACCTGCTTCATGTTTGTTTCGTTGACAGTGAGTTTGACTGACTCTCATTTGTGAGTTCTTTAAATGTAAACACAAAATATTGGTTAAAATGGCGCCGGTCAAAAATTTAGACGAAGTTTTGAACGAGCTGGGATGGGATTCTGGTTTTCAACTGCCCATTTCCAATGCGGAAAACAGGGCTTTGGAAGAGGAAGTGGCCAGGTTGACTCTACAGAAGATGAACATTGTTAACAATCACAACTCGGTGGAGGGACGATTAGAAGCATTTAAACATCACTACAAGTTTGTCAATCAGGAAATCGATCAGACACAGGTAAATTTTTACAATTTGTTGTCGAAATCAATATAAATATATGAATCTTTTTTACAAATTGTGTTGAAATGCGGATAATAAATAAATTGTAAACATTGTAAACATATTCAAAATTGTAGGTGATCATTTTTTAAAATTTTGAAAGTTAATTCAAATACCAACTGTAATTTAGTGACTTATTTAAGATTTTTTGTGAATTTCTTTAATACTGAGCCCTTTAGGAAAAAAATTAAAATAAACAATTAAAGACGACAAAATTATCTATTAAATGATGCTTGAACAACCGCAACCATTGGCGTAGATATATTTTTTTTAATTAGGTACAAAGTTTTTGCACATTAATCGCCGAAACCATATTTCAAAAAAAATGGAAAGGAAAATGGTTTATCTATTAAAAATGTATTTAAAAAAAACAGGACCCTTAAATAAATTGTAATGTATGTTCAGTTGAGGTATACGCTCACGCGACTACCATCAGTTGCTTACATTAAATTGCCAACAAGGAGTAAATAAAAAAATCTAGTTAGCCATCACCTTTGCCAGGCAACGTATTTTGGAACGGAATAGTGAAACTTCTGTAAAAAGAACAGGCGTTGAGATGGCCTAAAACACTGAATTTGGTCTGTAAGAACTACCCCAGACAGCATCCAATTCAGAAAGATTTCTGTACGAAGTCTGTTAAAAAACATCTTACCGAGGTCACAATATGACATCTTAGAGAAATCATTTTTAGGAGCTCAAGATTAAGAGTTCTTGATGAATTCATAAATGAGAAGTCAATTTTTTAACATCTTAAAATATCTTTTTTTCTGACCTCTTATTGAAATCAAAATTGGACTTCAGTTATATGATATCTTACAATATTCTCTTTTCTTACTTCTTACTGAAATCATATTATTACTCTTTAAGACGTCAACAAGAAGACTTCACATTTATGACATTTTAATGCGATTACTTTCTTCTCACCGCTGTAACTGCTTGTGTTTGATATAAGAAGCGGCGAAGTAGAATTTAGAGCGTGCTCCATACCAAACGGTCTTAGACCTAGGTAAACGGCTACCCGATACTGACGAGCTCCAAAAGAGCGAAACAGGCCGTCTATCGGTGCCGGTGAAGATCACGCTTGAATTTAAACAAAAGTGAGACAAAGTAATCGCAATTCCAAAAATAAGCGAATACGAGCAAATTATTAAAATGATTTTAATAAAATCAATTTAACAAATTCGTTTGTTATATGGTAATTAAACAATTGACATGTCAAAATAAGCAACGATCCAGTATGTATTTTTTCCCTAGTGGTACTTCTACAAAACGGGAAATTCTAAAGAAGTATTTTTATAAGTTTATACATTAGGACTCTTTAAAATGCTTAAATGCGAAGTCAAAGAAAAGGGTTCCTCAAGAGTTCTTTTTTGAGAAGTCTTGATTAGTTCAATAGGTGGCGCATTCGAAGTCTTAAGAACTTCTTAAAAACTTCTTTCTGATGTTGTATTTGACGTACAAATCATAAAATAGAGCTTATGCAGACTTAATTAAGACGTCATATTGCTGCCTGGGACCAAGGTGACATTTTTTACGGAAATGGATGTTAAATGCTTCTGAAACATCCTGACACTCTTCTAACAAAAGATTTTTTGCAAACTGTTAGTCCTTTGGTCATTTTACCATACTTGTCCTACTATGGAAAAATTAGTTGAGAATTATTATTATTTTTCCACCAAAAAGCCAAATTTACAAACATTAGTAGTTATGTTTAAACCTGCTGATATATCTCAAACTTTAAAAATTCATGTACTAATTTATTATTTGAAAGAATGTCCACCGCGAGTTTATAAAATTTTTGGAATAAATAAAAGATAAACAACATGGCACATCCTTACTTCAAAGAGTCGTTAAAAAGAGCGGTTTTAGAGTTTACATAAAAAAATGTAATGCTTTTTCTCATGTTTATAACATTTCTTTGATTAATAAATATATATTATAATATTTGACAATTATTAAGTACTTGCTTGCTATATCCATTTTTAAAATGTTGGGAAAATGGCAAAAACTCTCCGTTTACTAGCCTTTACGGATAAAAAAGATGCACATTAAGTAAGTTTCGTGGGCACAAAACTTAAGATGCATTTTTTTTATCTGTAAAGGCCAGAAAACGGGGAGTTTTTGCCATTTTCCCAACATTTTATTTAAATGGATATAGCCGGTTTTGCACGGATGCTCCTCACTTGTATTTTTTTTATATAGGTTATATTTCTTTAAAGAAAAATGATGCTGCAATGTTAAAAGTAACCTATGGCAGGTTATTTACAAAAAATTTAACATAGGTACCCAGTTAAACATAAAAAGTTCACGACTACGTCCATGGATTTCGTAGGCCAATAATTTAGGCATAATTATGAAGGCATGATTTAATATATAATTAAGTTACCTTTATGTTCCGTAATTGAAGAGCGTATTTTATTTAGTATACCCTGAAAATTTTGTACAAATCAAGCGAACAGTAACGAAGATACAGCGCTTCAAATTCGTAAAAAATGACCACTTTTCAGCAAAATAATCAAAAAGGCGTCATTTTTAGCGACTTTGAAGCGCTGTATCTTCGTTAATGTCCGTTTGATTTGTACAAAATTTTCAGGGTGTACTAAAAAAAATACGCTCTTTAACATCATATTTTTTATTTATTTAAAAAAATTCCCTAAAAGTTATATTTGAACTTTTTTTCATTATTAAATAAAAAGGCTTTAAACATAATATTATATTAAAATATTATTTTCTCGAAAAACCCTTGAACACGTAAATTGAGATAAACTGATCGAAAAAAGTTAAGGATATTGTGAATTCTCTGAGAAAAAAATAGTTTTCAAAAAAATTTGTATAACGTACATTTACTGTCATCTCTTTTAGAAATAAAACACATTTGTTGAACTGAAAAAATTCTTTAATTAAAATTTACGGGCAACTTTTCTCTAACAATGTAACAAAACAGATAATTATAAAAGAGAAAAAATGATTAATAGCGTGTAATTCCACCTCTGTTGGCTATTACTGCTTCAACTCGGCAAGGCATGCTTAAAATTAAACGATCCAACTCATTTTGATCCAATGAATCCCATAAATATGGAAGAACTTGCCTCAACGACCTTACGTCCTGAACAGGAGGTTGATGGGCAATTAGTGCCCTTCCGAGCATGTCCCAACCATGCTCGATGCAGTTTAAATCTGGAGAGAGCGGGGGTAATGGCAAATGATTAATTTCATGGAATGCTAGCCGTTCATGTACTACCCTGGCTCTGTGCGGGCGAGCGTTATCATCCAGAAATCTGAAATTGGGCTCCAAATTCCAACGATAATCATCCACAATGTAGTCAATGATGTCGCGAGCATAAATTTCACCGGTCATGGTACTTTCACAAACATACAACTCCGTTCGACCTCCGTAGAAAATTCCACCCCAGACCATTACACCTCCACCTCCAAATGGATGCACTTCTTGAACATACCGGTCATTAGCTCTTGAATTTCTTGGTCTCCAGACACGAACTGTACGTCTGTCAGGACGAAGACAAAAGCGGCTTTCATCGCTGAACATCACAGTACGCCACTCATCATTCCAGTTGGTTCTTTCATTACACCAAAGCAAACGTTGAGCTCTATGAACTGCGGTCAATGGAGGGCGGCTTATAGGCCTATAGCAATGTAAACCTGCTTCATTTAATCGATTTAAAACCGTCCTAGGGGTAATACGAACTCTATTGGCAGCGAAAAGGTCCTGGCTGAGAAACGTGCAGTTTCTTGTAGGATCCATCCTAGCTCCTCTCACTAATCTTCGGCCTTCCCTAGCATTTGTCGATCTTGGTCTACCCTCCCTATGCCTTTCCAGGACAGATCCAGTTTCATTAAATCGGTTACTAAGTCGGGAAACTACACTTTGAGAGACATTATACCGATCAGCTACATCGATCTGTCGCGCACCTCCAAGAAGCAATCCAATGGCTTGATTTGCTTCTTCTACCGTTAAATAACGTCTATTCATATTGTCGATGACAGAATAACCACACAGACCACATTGCGCTTAGCAACACACAAACAAAACTAAACTGTACAAAAAACTACATTTTTTGTGATAAAATGCTTTTTATCTGTTTGGGTACAATTTTATATGTTTGCAAGCAATATTTTCTTAAACATAAACGTCATAGGTAATAATAGCTATACCACATTTTTTCTAGACTGCACGTTCCTCAGCCAGGACCTTTTCGCTGCCAATAGAGTTTGTATTACCCCTAGGGCGGTTTTAAATCGATTAAATAAAGCAGGTTTACATTGATATAGGCCTATAGGACGCCCTTCATTGATTGCAGTCCCTAGAGCTCAACGTTTGCTTTGGTGTAATGAAAGAGCCAACTGGATGAGTGGTATACTGTGATGTTCAGCGATGAAAGCCGCTTTTGTCTTCGTGCTGACAGAATTACAGTTTTTGTCTGGGGACCAATAAATTCAAGAGTTAATGACCGGTATGTTCAAGAAGTGAAGGTACTATGACAGGTGAAATTTATGCTCGCGACATCATTGATAACATTGTGGATGATTATCGTTGGAATTTGGAGCCCAATTTCAGATTTCTGGATGATAACGCTCGCCCGCACAGAGCCAGGGTAGTACAAGAACAGCTAGTATTCCATGAAATTAATCATTTGCCATTACCCCCGCTCTCACCAGATTTAAACTGCATCGAGCATGGTTGGGACATGCTCGGAAGGGCACCAATTGCCCATCAACCTCCTGTTCAGGACGTAAGGTCGTTGAGGCAAGTTCTTCCATATTTATGGGACACCTTGGATCAAAATGACTTGGATCGTTTAATTTTAAGCATCCCTCGCCGAGTTGAAGCAGTAATAGCCAACAGAGGTGGAATTACACGCTATTAATCATTTTTTTCTTTTTTATAATTATCTGTTTTGTTACATTGTAAGAGGAAAGTTGCCCGTAAATTTTAATTAAAGAATTTTTTCAGTTAAACAAATGTGTTTTATTTCTAAAAGAGATGACAGTAAATGTACGTTATACAAATTTTTTTGAAAACTATTTTTTTCTTAGAGAATTAACAATATCCTTAACTTTTTTCGATCAGTTTATAAGTTGAAGTATTTTTATCCAAAATTTCATAAAGATTAGTAAAGGCGTTTTAGAGTTAATTTTTTTTATTTATTATGCAATAAATTTGTCGGGCAGTGTATTTAAAAATAATGTGATTTATAATAATTTTAATAAAAACTATTATATTATTGAATGAATTATAAGTCATTATTTAAAAATATTGTCTAAATTTATAATTATAGGCAAATTTTATTTAAAAGACCTAGACCATAGTTGAGGAGCATCCGTGGAAAACCGGCTATATCCATTTTAATAAATGTTGGGAAAATTTAGGAAAACTAAACCAAATTAAAAGTTAAAAAATAAAAAAAAAGAAGTGGGGAAAATTGCTATTTAGTTTAGCATCCTATAAACAAGAAAAATGTATTACCAACCAAATATTGTTTTATATATAAATAACTCATTTTTAATAATGCTCAAAAAGTTTATCATTATTTAGAACTTCTTTTAAATTATTGAGAGGACTTTCAAATTATAATTAAGTTTTTTAGCAGCATAAAAAATGAGTTAGGTATATACAAATAAGTTTGTTAAGCTCCGAACAAGTTTTTGGTTCCTTTTAGATAAGCACTATCCAAATAAAGAACCCAATTTCTTATTGTTGTTTGGTCGTTTGGTCGTTGTTTGCCATGTATAAATAAATTGACCAGTTGTGAATGTTAATTGACAAATTGCCATGAGAAGCTATCTGTCAAAAAGCAGTTTTTGCAATTCAATGTTATATTATATTATATCAATGATATTTAATAAAAATAATTTTTACTTTATTTCATACCGCTATTGGAAATTTTTTAAATAAATTAAAAATTATTTTTATTAAAATTGGAAATGTTTCAAATAAATAAAAAATTATTTTTATTTAAATTATTTAAATGTAACATTGAATAATAATAATATATACAAATCCCCTTGTTTCCCCAATTAAAACTATGTAAAATATCTGGACAACTTGTAAAACCGCCCCAAAGAAAAATGCACTCCAAATAATATTTCAAAAATAAATAATTCTTTAAAATTAAGTGTATTACGAAAGTATTTAACAAATCATTGCCTTTTAATCCACGCCATGTAGTGAACAAAACATAATTTTGGGAATATAACATTTATTTTGAAAATCAGTAGATACAAATTTAAGAATCCCGCATTATTTTCCCCACCTTCCTATCAAAAAGTCATCGAGCGTATATTCCCCATTGTTGCCAGATGTACGGGCTTCGTATACTGCGTAATACTTATACAAAGCTGTATATAATCTCGTTTGACTCGTGTGCCCCCTACCGCCAAAGCATTGGAACTAAGGGTGTATATTTTGATAGGTTTGAATGGCATTAGGAAGCCCACCACTTTTTCGCCATTGAAACAAGGGGGCATCACTTAACTCTAAAACAAATTTATACACGCTAATTTTAGGAAGCCCGATTTCGGGCTTCGTAAAAACCGAGTGGGCTTCGTTTATACTGTAGAATGTAACGTTTCGGGCTTGGTAATGTAGGATTGCATATCTATATATATATACATATATATATATATATATATATATATATATATATATATATATATATATATATATATATATATATATATATATATATATATATATATATATATATAAGGGGTCATACATTAATTACGTGAGGTGGGGGAGGGGGTCGAGGCACGTTTTGCGACAACTCTCTTACAGCAAATTAGGTTTTCAATTTAGAACGTAGCAAGTGAAGCGACAGTGACATAAATTCTTTTCATGTTTGTGTGCAATATTACCACAAGCAATATTGTAGGACTTAATTTAAAACTATTTCTTTCCGTATATATCACTTAAATCAGCAGACAAATTCTTTGCCAAAATTCCGCCCAAAATTTGGCAAAGTATTTTTACAAGTTCCCCGATGCCAACAAATTAACATCGTAATTTTATTTAGAAAATAATAACGGCTCATAAGCAACAATTGGACTGCGAGAACCAACGGTACATCCAGCTGAGCCAGGAGAAGAAAAACTTCGAAAGCAACCTCAAAAGCACTCAAAAAAAGTTCGAGGAAACCGAGAAAACATGCGCGAGCCGAACCACTCAGCTGGAAAAACACGTCGCGAAAATGGATAGGTTGAAAGCCGAAACTGATTGGGATGAAGCAGCGCTGAACGCTTGGGAAGAATCCCTGAAGAAACGAGACGACGATAACGAGCTGATCAAAAAGTTCTCGCAAGAGGACGAGCGAAAATACAACGAGTTGGAATGTAGACGGCAGGCTCTGCAGAACGATTGTCTAACCAGAGCCAACACAATCGCCAAGCTCATAGCCGACATACAAAACTACGAGCTCGTGATGGAGAGAACGGGGAAGATGATCAAGCAACAGGTGGTGGAAAGGAACGCTCTGATCAACCAATGGAAGGACACGGTCAAAATCCTGCAGCAAAGGGACGCCGAAATAGGGAAAAGTCAGGAAAAGATGATCCTGTACCAAGAAATGATCGAGAGGAAAAATGCGGCTCTGATAGACGAAAATAGTTTCTTGGAGCACGAGAAGGACAACAATCGCGCCATTATTTTGGAGTGTCAGGATCTACGTGCTGGATTTGCCAAGTTGAGGAGGGATTATGCTTATGCGGTCAAGGAAATCGCCAAGATGGGACCGGAAGTGAATGCCTTGAAGACCAAAGTTTCCGTTTCCGCGAAAATATTGGAGAAGGAAAGAATGAAAAGCAAACAAATGGATAAAGATATATACGATAAAGAAGGGAGGTTGATAAAAGTGGAAAAGGATTTGGAAAGACTTTATCAGAAAGAGGATGAGATCAACAAAAATGGCAGCAATTCAGGTACAAAATTAAACATTATTATATATTATACAGTTGCTTCTTAAGATTAGAAAATATTTTTTTTTCTAACAAGCAGGGCACCCAGGGGAATTACCTAATTCGAATACGCTAAATCCAATGGTACGTACCATTGGATTTAGCGTATTAGTACTAGTTCATTTTTTAGGTTAGCTCTTGTTTTCGAGATATTTTAGGTTTAAATTGTAGATCCAAGCATCACAAAAAACATTATTTTTCTCATTTTAAAACCATTAACTAATTATAAATTGATAAAAATCGATGGAATAAATGTATAGACAGATACATATTTTTTTATAAATACAGTATTAAACGTACTAAGATGTTTGGAATACGGCCCTGATTGCCAAGTCGCCTTTCTTAAGTTTTTCGAAAGGTTTTTTAATTTACTATTTAATTAGGTAAAAACATACTGGTTGTTACATTTAAAATAAAAAAGTTATTAACCTTTCAAGTTAGCCTAATTTGCCCTGAGTTTTCTTAAAAAATGTTAAAGAATTGAAATGAAATCTTCTAAACAATGTTTTAAGATTCCAACCTCATATTCGCAACCCTAATAAAACAAAAGTTATAGGCTATTTTTGATTGACGCGCATTTAGGTGCCCATAGGACATGGTATAGTAATTTTAATCAGAATTTTATGTAGAATTTAAAAATGTAAAAATATATGGGGTGTTTTATTTAAAATAACAAAGTTGATGTCACTTCCGGATAAACCGGAAGTAGCATTTTGTTTAAAATATTTAAAAAAAAATACTTAAATGGATTATAAACGCTTTTAAAATTTCAAATCGATATTTTTTTTCGTTCTCCAGAAACTTCTACCCAACCCAACCCAACCACGTATGTGAAACACCCTGTATATATATATATATATTTGTTTTCATAAATTTAAATTCAATAAATGATCTAAAAATTGAAAAAATGGTTTTTTGTGGTGATTGCAAGCTCTTGGGCCCATGCCATGGGCCCAAGAGCTTGCATGGGCCCCATGGGTCTACAATTTGTATCTAAAATATCTCGAAAACAAGAGCTAACCCAAAAAAACGATTAGGTAACACCATTAGATTCAGCGTACTCAAATTAGGTAATCCCCCTTGGTGTTCCGCTTGTTAGATTTTTGAACTAGCACAGAGAAATTAATAATTATTGTACCAAAAATAACATAATTCATTTTACAGGTGAACGAGTAAATGAACTCGCGAAAATCCTAAATCACGAAAAAATGCAGGAGGATGTAATCATAATGGAGATCGAAATACTACAAAACCGCCTGTTTAAAAATCAAACAGTACTAAAAGACGAAGAAGACGCCTTGTACCTTATGAAGAGCGATACAAAAACCGAAGAAAATATCATAATCAAATACCAAAAGCGACATGCCACCTTGAAGAAGCAACTGGATAAAGTCATCGAAACTGCATACGACTTTGTAAGAATTATATTTAGTTTAATTTATGTTAGTTATATAAATTCTGTATAGGATTTTCGCATAGGTCTTCTAGAAAAACAACTGTACGAAAGGGATAACATCCACTATCAAGACGATTACGAAGAAAAGGAGCAAAGAATATTATCTCTGGAAGCAGAGCTGAACGAGCACGTTGAAACCAGTAACTTTCTTCAAGAACAAATCACGAGAATCCACGAGGAGATGCGAAGATTATCCACTGCTATGGACCTTGATAAAAACGATTTGGAACAACTGAAAGAAAAGTTGGAGTATCAGATGATATTTTTCGATATCGGAAAAAAGCAAGTGGTAACAATTAAGCAAAGTGTTCAGGAGAAACAAGTGGAGGAGAATTTGATTAGACTGCAAGTCACCAACATAGATAAGCACGTGAAGAAAGAGGATAAAAATATCGTAAATCTGCAAAAACTGCGGCTTTTCTTAGATCAGGTTTGTATACAATTTTTTTGTGATTTACAAAACTCAAAGGATACTGTAGGCGATGAGGGAACGCCAGCTGGAAATATCAGCCACCAAAACAATTCTACAAGCAAAAAGGCGCAACCTAGATGAAGACAGAGGCCGCCTAAAAAGCGAAATCAGTCAAAGATACTACAAACTGGACATTCTTCAGAAAAAATACCACGTGGTCCTGATGAGTTTGGGTAAAGACGAGGATGGAAAATTGCTCTCTGTATCGCATTTCAAGGTTAAGGCAGCCCAGGAAAAATTCTTCCTGAAAAACGAGGGAGACAACTTAGATGAAAAAGTTAAAACAGCGGAAAAGGAGATTGTTGCCATGGAGAATACTTTAAAGCTGGTGAATGTTACCAATACCAATTTTAAAACGAGTTTGACTCAAATTAAGGAAGATGGTTTGTATTAAGATAGCTATCTCTCTCGCACCGTGTGACGTTATGTGCGAACCAAAAGCTGGCAAAAAACTAGGTTGGAATGTTATTAGCACTGCAAATTCGCGTTGTATTCGAAAATTATAAATATAGAGACGGCCTGGGTGCAATTATTAAGTGTAACAAATGTTAAGAGAAACACTGCCAATGAAAAAATATATCAAGTTTAATGGACCTGAATATGGTTCTTTTCAAGATTTGACCTTTTATATTCGCAGCTTATGTGTCCGAATACTTTGCTGCTCTTATATTTTGTGGATGTTTTTACCCTCATATATTCAGTATTCCGCACCTTGAATTACCTATACTGGATTTCTATTCATTACAAAATATGACTATAGTCATTGAATATTTTGTAATGAATAGAAATCCAGTATAGGTAATTCAAGGTGCTGAATACTTCTCAATTGATTAAGTTTCTCAATACCTCTGAAGTATTCACAGTCAAAGTTGATGTATGTTCTGATTTCTACACCTGAGTCAAGCGTTCCAATCTTTTGCTGATGAATCTAATTCATTACGTGTATGTAGATATTTGGGCTATGTAAAAATGAATATTGTATGCTCTCTACTTAAGTCAAGGATTCAAATTCGAAGATTAAGTGGAAGAGAACGATTTAAGATAGATAGTAATTTATAAACAGAAAAAACGACACGAGACGGAAGTGACGTCATATACGGTGTGGGCCCTGTTTTTGTAACAAATATTTATATGTGTTATAACACAAACTTAACAAATAACCTGGTGTAAAACACCGTGGCTTATAAATGCCTTTACGAAAAACATTGCAAAACCATCGTGCGTGGCTTATACTTAAAAAAACACAATAAATTCGGAAGAAAATCTTCTTCTTCCTTGGTGTCCAAAAGCCTTAATGGTCTCGGTTTCAATGTACCATTTTGACCAGCAACAAGTTTTATCGTCCATGCGTTTCACGAAGCCATTCACTCATAGACACGTGAAAATTCCAATCTTGGAACATCCACAAAATATTTTGTACAAATCACAAAATACCTCAATAAAAGGTCAAAGCTTGCGATATTGTCTAAAAATACAGGTATATTTTCATACTCGGAATCCAATTTTGTCCCTACTAGGTCAAAAAGTCATCCATATTTCATACTTTTCATTGAGCGATCCGCAGACTAGCGTTATGCCTATGCAAAACTGTTTGTAACATTTGAATCCAGTGTTGGCAACTCCAAATGCAATAAAGTAGCTAGAAGTAAAGTTTAAAATGTCTAGATTATGGCTAAATTTTAAAATGCTAAAAAACGTATCAAAAGTATACTTTATAATATATTATATTATATAGTATATTATACTATAGTAATACCTGAATTTTAAAATTGGAAGGAAATTATTAAAACAAAAATTAAAAATTTGTACATAAATAATGTCCTACCTATAGGTTATAAGCAACAAATAACACGACACTTCTAATTACAAAATTAAATTTCCATTTGAAAAACAAAACTTAATCCTATGGAATATTTCTATGATAATAAGGTGTATGTTACATACACCTTATTATCTATGAAGTATTGTATGTATCTTGGATAATAACAAAATTTGTTTAATATTTAACACAGACTTTGATATGATCTGTTAAATTTACACAGGTCAAAAAATAAAGCCAGAACATAGCCAGATGATATTCAAAAAAGGCCAGGATTCCGGGGTCCTGGAATTTCTTAAAATTATAGCTAAATGTCTAGTTAAAACTGCTAGATTTAGCCATAAATGGCTGAAGTGAATCTGGTTCGCACGTGACGTCACATGCTCAAAGTCGACGAATTTTCGTTTCATAACCAGCATACCGGTTTTTGTGTATCGTGGTTTTTATATTTTTTACAGTGTGGTTTTTATTAATTAATTTTTTTTTTGTTAGAGCCCGAGGTATTGGAGTTGAAGGCGTTGGAAAAGGATTTGTTAAATATTAACTTTGAAATGAAAAAATGTTCAAGAGTATTTTACAATAAAGAACAAATATTAAACGGTAATTATAATTTATGTAATTTAAAAAGACAGGATTTTTGAGACTTAAAAATATATGGGGCATTCCATGCCAACTCATCCTACCGATTGGATTTGCATCTCCGATTTCGCTGAAATTTGGGTATCTTTTTGTACCCTTCGAAAAAGGTTTCTATGAATTTTTTCAAATTTTTTCATTCAGCCAATCGAGAGATATGAATTTTCGAAAATTTCGGGTATTTTTTTTTAAATAGCCATAACTTGGTGAAAAATTGTCCGATTTGGGACTTTTTTTTTTTCAAATTTCGTGTTTTTTGATGAACTTTTTGAAAAATTTATGCAAAAAATTATTCATCATAAATTTGATTGTTTTTTTTCATTCCAAAGTTAAAACAAGAATTTTAAGATTGTTTGTATCCTTCAAATTTTTTTAAAAAATTCTCAAAAATTCTACTCTTCAAAACACAAATTTTAAGCCTAGTCTCGTAATGGGATAATAATGGGTTATAATTTTTTTTTAATTTTTAAATTATTTTTTTTTTCTGTTTTTTTTTCACTATTTGTGTATTACTGGCGGCTTTATTAGATGAGATTCGAAAAAAATCATACATCAATATAATAAATAATTGAAGTCAAAATTTCAATTTCTAAGGTAAATTTTATTTATAACTTTTTAAAGGTTTTTTTTTTATTTTTTTCTGGCGTTTGAATATTCGGCCATTTCAAGCGCGCGAAACGCACGAATTACAAAACTGTTTTTATAAAAAAAATTGTAGATTATTTATTATATAATATTTTGGCATCAAAATTGTCAAAAATATTCTTCTTTTATTAGGTTATACATTAAATTAAAAAAAACGCAAGAAATATTTTATGAAAGTAGATATAATTTTAATAATTGAAAGGGGTGGACGGGACAAAAAAAAGATTTATCTTGTCCCGTCCACCCCTGTCATTTATTGAAATTATCTCTACTTTTATAAAATATTTCTTGCGATTTTTTTTATGTAATGTATAGCCTAATAATAGAAGAATATATTTGACAATTTTGATGCAAAAATAATATATAATAAATTACCTACAATTTTTTTTATAGTTTTGTGATTTGTCCCGTCCATCCGCTTGAAATGGCCGTATTTTACAAGAATAAGTTTTATTTGAGCAAGAAATCAGTTTCATTGTGAGTGATCCATCTGTATTTGGTATAACGCAATGATACTTTTGTGTACCTGTGATACTTTTAGCTTTTGAATAACGTATATTTAAATTCTCTTTAGCTTTTTCATAATCTGCAATAGTTGAATATCTTACTTCGATTTTTGGCAAGTTATTAGATTGCGCAGCCCATTGATACAACTCTCGGGGGTTATTATATTGATGTATGATTTTTTTCGAATCTCATCTAATAAAGCCGCCAGTAATACACAAATAGTGAAAAAAACAGAAAAAAAAATAATTTAAAAATTAAAAAAAAATTATAACCCATTATTATCCCATTCCGAGACTAGGCTTAAAATTTGTGTTTTGAAGAGTAGAATTTTTGAGAATTTTTTAAAAAAATTTGAAGGATACAAACAATCTTAAAATTCTTGTTTTAACTTTGGAATGAAAAAAAAACAATCAAATTTATGATGAATAATTTTTTGCATAAATTTTTCAAAAAGTTCATCAAAAAACACGAAATTTGAAGAAAAAAAAGTCCCAAATCGGACAATTTTTCACCAAGTTATGGCTATTTAAAAAAAAAATACCCGAAATTTTCGAAAATTCATATCTCTCGATTGGCTGAATGAAAAAATTTGAAAAAATTCATAGAAACCTTTTTCGAAGGGTACAAAAAGATAACCAAATTTCAGCGAAATCGGAGATGCAAATCCAATCGGTAGGATGAGTTGGCATGGAATGCCCCATATATTTCATATAAAGCAATATGTCAAAAATAAGTTTTCCACTTATCAAAGCAATCTTAAAGCCTTTCTTCCTCCCGTAAAAGATGAACAACACGAAAACCGTAGTTCTGTTTATAGATTCCCGTACGGTTATCTATAAATAGCACTACGGTTTTCGTATTGTTCATCTTTTACGGGAGGAAGAAAGGAAGGAAGGCAATCTATAAATCAGGCTTAACCCAAATTGCGAAACTCAAAAATATAAATTCGCTTTTAAGTATAACCGAAAATTTGAGTGTCCCCGGATCGGTTTCTCTGGGAAAAACTTTTTAATTATTTTTTCTACGAAAAAAGTATTGCTCATAAATACTTCTGCTTGTTTAAAAAATGAGATTTCTATAAAAATAATAAATCAAATATACAGGGTGTTAAAAAATTAAAACTAAAAATATTGTAAAAACCATTTTTACCAATTATATAATCTCTGGTTTCAAGATAAAAATTTAACCAAATAATATTTTAGAATCAAAAGCAACCTATGAAGAAGTAAAGGAAAAGAAATCCAAAGCAAAGGTATATTTAATTGAACACGAAAAGGAGTTTAGAAGCATAAGAAGTCAAGCTAACGATAAAGAAGAAAAGCTACAGAGAGCCGAGTGCCATTTGAAAAAGCTTCAGAAACAACTTATCGGTTCCGACTTGGAAAAATACCACGTAACAATTTTTTACCGTATAATATACCTGAACACAATGTTAATAAATATTTTTTTCCAGAGAGACTTTGAAATACGAAGAATAAAAGACGCTAACCAAACTGTGTTGCATCAGCTATCAAAGATGAGCGTGTCTGATCAAGTTTTGACCCCGAAAATCAATTATTATATTATACAGTACGGTCTTAGTTTACCGAAACCGGATAAATCACCGAGTGTCAGCTCTGCCACGTCTTTGTCCCTCAACGATTCTTGCTCTTCACTAAGTTTGGATATAAGCGAAGCCTCCACGCTAGGATCAAAAAAATCAGCTATAACGAATAAAGTGAATCTTGGACTTAATATATAAATAAAAAGAGGGATGTTTTTTCTTATATTTTATTAATATAATTACCTATTCATACAAAAGATATTTTATTTTGTTATTCCATTCCAGGGGGGAGGGGTTCGGAACCCAAGACAGCCACGCTAACAGGTGGCGGAGATGTTATAACCTAAAAAATTAACATTTACAGTAGACTAGGCCAAAAAAATCGACTATTTTTTTTGTAAAGTATATCAAAAATATTGGATGACAAAAAAAAAATATTGTGAAAGTTTGAGTCCATAATATTAATATTAATATCATCGCAATTTTAGATTTTTTTTCCTGAGCGAGTTTTTGTCTCAGAACCCCCAAATCATTGAGTTTAACAAAATTGACTCAGAAATATTTGTTTAAGTAAATTGAATGCTCTACAAAAAAGGTTTCAATTTTCCGTCAGATGAACCGTTTCCTTAATATTAATATTATGGACTCAAACTTTCACAATATTTTTTTGTCACCCCAAACAATATTTTCGATATACTTTACAAAAAAAAATAGTCAATCTTTTTGGCCCAGTCTAATATACATTGTGTCTACTCAAGATGGCAACATATGGAAAACTTTATATTATTAATTTTAAGAAATAGAGTTATTCTTATTAAAAAAAGTTGATCAGAACTAAAAACTAAGTTCAAATATACAATTACTTCCATTTACATGGTAAAAATCATTTTTTCTTTTTTGTTTACAATAATAATGCAAATGTAACTGTAGTTACATGTAATCTAGAATGCACTGACAAACAAATGATTTGTTGATAGCAAGAAATGTTCGACATTGAATGTCAAAACTGCTTATTACTTTCTGAACGGAATTAATACCTAATATTTTGTTATGAATCGGTAATTAATTATTAATCCTATAGGATAAGTATACTATACTATATACAGTGTGTCCACGGATTGACTATATTTGTAAAAATATTTATTTTCAATTTTTCGAAGAAAAGTCACTCCTCATAATTTCTTCTGCTTGTTATATAAATACCATTCACGATGAGAAACTTCTATTTTGTTATACAGGGTGCGCACACAAAATACAATTGTAGATTTTGCAAAATTAAAAATTGTTAAGTATTTTTTTAAGGTATTTTTGCTCACCCTGTACAACAAAATGGATGTTTCTCAACGAGAATTGAATTTATATAACAAGCAAAAGAAATTATGAGAAATTTAGTATATACTATATAGTTAAGTCCATCCGTGGACCCACTGTATATTAAAAAAAAAATAATACATGTTGAAATATTTATAATAATTAATAAATTCAACTAAAACTTATGAGCATAGATCTGTGGGTACGAACATAGACATGGGTAGGAACATCTTGAGTGCGTGGACGATGCCTTAGTTAGGTACGAGCGCTCGCGATTTAGCCATGAAGCGCGATAAATAAAAATTCATAACTTTTCCATATGTGCGTATATCCAGCCAATTTTTTGTGTAATTATAAAGTAAAGTTTACTGAACAACCATATGTAGATATCAACGTGGAAATCGGAGGCAATCGTAGTTAAATGCCTATTGCATTTTTTTCTCTTAATTTTACCAATTAAACGTTATAACTTTTAATTTTTATTTTTTTATTCAAATAGGAATTTTTGTATATGTAGATTAAGGTGTACTTAAAACTTATTAAAAAAATATATATACATTTTTTGTTCGATTAAAAGATATAGTTTAATAAATGTGTGCGTAATTTTTAGCCAATTTTACTGTTTTAAAAACAGTCTACTTTGAGTTGTCATAAAATCAAAATATAATAATTTAAAAATAATTCTTTTTTTATTTTGGGTATTTTTATGACCATAATTTGTTAAAAACATCTTAAATTTAAGTAGTGCGGCTTGCCATAGTATAGTGTTTAACATAAACATAAGGAATAATATGTGTAAAACAGTTTTAAAATTATACGATAAATAGTAAATATAAAACTAGAAAATAGAGCAAAATTCTTACAGCAAAATCCGGTTGAGATGCAGGCATTTCGGCGGGCAAAGGTGCAGGGACGGGCTGAGGTTTGTACGTGCCCAAAACGATTTCCTGCACGGCCGCTGGAATGTGAGCTCTTTGTGCCTCAGTAAACTGCAGTAAATGCTCTTTAAGAGGGTCTTTTAAATCAGCACTCATCTTAATAGCGTCGGTGAGTTGGAGTGGTGGAAGTTGCATCAGAACGGTAAAACTTTGAGGTATGGTTCTTTGACAGCACTTCACGAAACCTTCCCAGACAACCTTGTTTTTCCACACCTTAAAGTATTAAAATTTTAATAGTATTGTACCTAAAGTTTTTTTTATCTGGATTGCGGCAACGTTGCAAATTTAGGGGTTTGGTTGGTAAATACGGAACCAAAATTGGTTGCATTGATTAAAAGAAACTAAACTAGTTATAAATGTAATTGAGGGGCCTAGAAGTAAAAGGGTTTAAGTGCATTTTTGTTAGTTCTGAGATAAATGGCTTTAAAGTTAACTTGATTTTTAAAATTCTAGAAGAGTTTAAAAAACTGTGTGAATATTTTAGTTTTGTTTAAAGACAAAAAAGGATTATAAAGAAAAAGGAATTTTTCAATTTAGCTTTTTTGTTAATTTTTTTTACAAAAATGTACTTAAATCGTCATGCATGTAAGATAAAATTTAGTGGTAAAATGATTTAAATGCAATTACTGTACTAGAACAAATTTTTTTTTTTTTTAAATTTGCGTAAGTTTTACAACAAAAAGTATTATTCATAATCAGAATCGCTTGTGCAAACATACGTCCGACGTCTGCTGGCCGATATCCTATGGCCGATTCTATTCCGACGTCGCCACGTCGGAATAGATCCGACGCGTCGGATCAATGTCAGTAGGGACTAACACTGAAAAATATCTGTGAAAACACGTAATCACTTGACATGTTTTAAAATACTTGTCAAGGCTTTAGCAGCATAGATAATAGCCTATGTTTAGCAGTAAAAGGCGCACTAAAATCGTTTTACCAAAGATATATTTTAAAATATTTTGACAGGTTTTTAAAGACTATAAGAAATGGCGCCAGGGAATGTAAAATGTACTTATATAATTTTACCACTAAGTTGGAATATTCTTTAGGTGTGATATTCTGCACTTAGACCATTTATTTAAAAAAGTGCACTTGAACCGTTTTACTTCCAAGCCCCTCAATTATAATGTAATTGTGGTTATGTTTAAATTATTGTAGGATACATTGAATGGCTGTAAAGTTGAGTCAAGTTGAGTTGTCAAAATTCGTAGTTAAAAATGCAATTAATTTGGCTTTGGTGGTGCGTATATGAGTAAAATCATATAACAAAGTAGTTAAATATAGGTGACTACGGCCCAGGAGACAAAGTATTTCTATCGGATAATAATCTTCAGCTTGAAAAGAATTTATACATATAAAAGAAATTCAAATTTTATGTAAACACACGTGAATGTTGCCCAATCATTGGACTCCAATGGTGAATGGATATTTTGTTAAAGCCACTGGACGTTAATACGTAGTGGCTTAATAATAATTATAATGTATATATTGTCCAGGACTATTAATGATCAGTAACTTGCAAATTGAAAGAACAAAAAGTTTCGTGATTATTGCTTATCTTTTCCAAATCAAATGGATGCTATTTTCAAAGACAGAAAAATTAACTATTAGATTTTTCACAAAAAAGTTGAAAATAACAGCAAATAATTATTATTTTTTGTTTTTTTATTTCCCCCTTATTTTTTAAAATTTCAAAAATGTTTGATCTGCCTAGCTGAAAATAATGTGCGATTTAATATTTGTAAAACCAGAAACGTTACTTTTTTTCCAAAAATGTCCATAAGGCAATTGAGGCATTTGGCATAACTTCATCGAAATAAAGTTTTGCCCTTAAAAGTTCTTTTACTTTAGAATCTGATATTATTTTTGGCATAGTTATCTTTTTATATCCAAAAAATATAATAATTAACAAGTAAATTATTAATAATAAATATTACTGTCAATTTGACAGGGTCAGAGTATTTAATTAAGGTCTTCAGCAGAAGTAACATTTTTTAAATACTAAATCAAACTGACATAAGCTACCAACAGAAAAAAAAATTATACCATTGGTATATAACCGCCGATATTATGCGTATAACGTTTGTTGTTCTATACTTTCCATAATACCTATAAAAAACAACCGCAAATTTGTTAGAATTTAACAGTATCTATTTGAATGTAATGAACAAATTTAATTTAATTCAAGCTAGCAAAACCAATGCTTTTAACTGATAGCTATTGGTAACGGTTGTTTATTTGTTAAATTTGTTCAGAAAAACGTGATGGACATTCAAGAAGATATCAAAGAAAATACCTATTCGTGCTGAAGCGGCCGCATTAAGTTCAAATTTATTGCCAGAAAATACCAAGGATCGCTACAAAAAAGAATAGCTTAACGTCCTAGGCCAATTAATTATATAATTATCAATACAGGGTCCGATATAGGTATTATAAAAAGATTTGTATTACCTGTTTTAGTATTAATCTTTGTAGTATGTTCATTACAAATCCAGATAGCCTAGGGTAGCTACCTAAAGCTTGTATAACCGTTCTCATTAACAAAGTTGGTAAAGGAGTTTGTTCCATGAGTTGTTGTAGGACCACAGCCAATACTTCTTGAGTGAAAACCTTAAATAGGATTTTGTACAATTTTTAAACATAATTATGGCACGCCGTTTTTACATTTCTTAAATAATTTTTTTATTTAAAATTTTATTGGTTTAAAACTAAAAATTTTAGGTTTACATTTCTAAGTTTAAAATATTTTCAACTATCATCTATTGAAATACAAGATTTAGCAACTAACAGTTCACGTCTGTATTAAACAATATTATTTCCAATAAATTTTTACAAATATTTTTAACCATCATTTTTTAATAAAAATAATTTATTTGGGCAGAATTTTGTAAATCCTAAACAATTTATTTATATTAAATTGGTAAAGTTAAATTTTTTAATATTTTAAAATATTAATAAAAAAAATTTGACAATCAATTGTTTTGAATTTAAAAAAATATAACTTTGTAAATTTCTGTTAAAACATCATCATCAGGGCTCCCACGGCTAAATGACAAATTATTAGGAATTTAGGAGGTTTTTGGGTAATTTTAGAAGAAATAATTATTATACTTTAAAGTATGCAAATAAATTTATATAATTAAATAAAAACAACTCTACACTGTACTTAAAAATTAGGGGAAAAAAATTCTTTTTAACAAAAATATAAATAAATATCACTTATTTTGTAAAAATAGGTTACATTGACTAGTTTTTAGCCAAATCACTCCACGAGTTTTTTTTAATTAATATTAAAAGTGGGGTAAAATTACTACTTTCGTATATCTGAGGTATACACAAGTAGAAATTTCAACACACTTTTAATTTTATTTAAAAAAACGCGTCGATAGCTATGGCTAAAAAACTAGGCCAAAGTCAAATGATGTTATATTTATATTTTGAAAATTTAAATTTGACCGTTTAGTTAATAATAATAATAATAATAATAATAATAGTAATGTGGATCTTGTTACTCAAAAATCTCATAATAGAAAAAATATAAAGTTTGCATAATGCAGCAAAACATTCTTTAGATTGTTAACTATTTTAGCTATCATTTAATTGAAAATTAAAAATCCTTGTTTGATATATAACACGGTATATTTTTGTCGTAAAGAAACGAAGTATGGCTAAAAATTACAATTTTGTAGAAGTCTATAGGAGCTACTACATGGATTTTGTTTTTAGGAATATTTTGTTGTTTTTTAAGAAAAATGTAGGTTGTGATATATAATTTTAAAAATAATTTAACAAACTAGAACCTAAAAATATATATTTTTTAAAATTCATTTTAGTTTTTAAGATTTAAGACAAATTTTAGGAATTTTATGAGTTTTAGGAGAATTATCCAATAAAACGGGGTGCCATTACACAATAGACTGGGCCAAAAAAATTATTGTGAAAGTCCATAAGATTAATATCATCGCAATTTTAATTTTTTTTCCTGTGCGAGTTTTTGTCTTAGAACACCCAAACCATTGAGTTTAACAAAATTCACTCAGATATAATTTTTTTAGGAAATTGAATGCTCTACAAAAAAGGTATCAATGAAATTTTCCGTCAGATGAACCGTATCCTTAAAATCATGCCTTAAAAATTGGTATAGTTTTACAATTTCATCTTTTAACTTTGGAATTTTGTAATTCATGTAAAAATCAGTACCCGGAAAAAAACGATAAATATTCTCAAGCTTAAAGTTGGAGTCAAAACGAAATTCTTGTTTTTTTCTCTGTAGATTTATTTTTTATGGATGATAATTGGATTGTTTTCTTTATAAATGTTTATTATATAACTAATTAACAATTTCCAATAAAAACAACATGATTGTTATTATTTAAACAATGTGTAATATATATTTTTTAATTTTCAGTAGGTAATTATATCAAAAACATAAAGATTATCATCGATAAAAGAATTCAAGTTTTTAACTGATCCAAAGAAAAATCTACAGCGGAAAAAACAAGAATTTCGTTTTGACTTCAACTTTAACCTTGACTAACTTTTGATGGAGTGAATTTAGCCAAAAATGTTAATTAATTTAATTTCTTAAGAAACTTTTTTGTAGAGCATTTAATTTCCCATATTGGATTTTTTTCCGGGTACTGATTTTACATGAATTACTAAATTCCAAAGTTAAAAGATCAAATTGTAAAACTATGCCAATTTTTAAGGCATGATTGTAAGGAAACGGTTTATCTGACGGGAAATTTCAATCAGACCTTTTTTGCAGAGCATTCAATTTTTTTCAAAAAATATTTTTAAGTCAATTTTGTTAAACTCAATGGTTTGGGAGACAAAAACTCGCCAAAGAAAAAAATCTGAAATTGCGATGAGAGACCTCTTAATATTAATATTATGCACTCAACTTTCACAATATTTTTTTTTGTCATCCCAAACAATATTTTCGATATACTTTACAAAATAAAATGGTCGATTTTTTTGGTCCAGTCTAATATCTACACAATAATGGTATTAAAATTAAAAATTGTGGACAAATTTCAAACGGAAAGAAATGTTCTATTTAATATTTACCTGTTTTTCTTGCAAACACATGGACGTAGCTTTTATAACAGTCTTCAAATCCGCTTTACTGGCATCAATTAGATGCAAAGACACAAGCAACTCCGTTGGTGTTATTGGACTCTCGCCGTGTTGCCCCAACAATCTATTAAAAACCTCTTTAACCACGATAGGGTTCAACTTTATCAACTTCGGCAACGCTGAAATAACCTCCTTCCTGCTTAACCCGTTCAATACAGGGATTAGGAATCTAACATCCGAAACCCTGGTGTTGTACAACTCCCTAACGCGTTGCACCAATTGGGAGCTAGGGGGCGCTTTATCCGTCAAAATGTGTATAACTCTGGTCACCAGAGTTTCGGATCCCTTCGGGCACTCTTCGACCAGCTTCAGCAGCTCCGGAGACTCCATCCCCATGGATTTGACGGGCCCCTCGATCAACCTCAAAATGACCCTCTTTATGTCAGCATTGGTCGCTATGTAAATTTTCGCGAGATCGTGCACAAGGCTTTCGTTTGCCGGTAGGAGAGACACGTAAGGCACCAAGCAGGCCTTGATGTAATCGTCGCCCCACGATTCGGCCTTGAGCCGGCCCTGGTCGTGGCCGCTCAAGGAGTCCGGCGGTCTCTGCAGCTTGAGGAACTCCAGGTTCATCCTGGCGAACTCCTCGATTATCATGCTCAACTCCGGTCTCTTGTGCAAGTCCAAGACATGCCCAATAGCGTTCTCCCTTACCACCGGAGAATCATAAGTGGTGTATGAGAGTAAGGCGTTCAAAAAGGTTAATTGTTTAGGCGGTTTTCTCAAGGTTAAGTCGCGGAGTAGACCTAGAGCCCATCCGCTTTTGTTTTCGTCTCGACATATCTCTTTTATTTGCAACATGGCTTCTTCTGTTATTAGAGGGGCTTCCAGTAGTAACCGCGAGATTATTAGAGCGTCGTGTGTCGATGATGATATGAAAATGCAAAGGAGTTTATTGTAGCTTTGATCTGGCCTCGAGCCTTTTCTAAGAGGTGGAACCCTTGCGAAACCCTTTAAAAAAGATACAGTTGCACAGGGGTTTTATACATATAATTTACAATAGGAATAAAAAGTATTTATAGGATGAAAAATTAATAAAAAAATATGTTCTTTATACACTATGGTATATATATACAAGGTGTCCCTAAACTTAGTGGCATAAATTTAGGAGCAAATTAAGCAAGTCAAAATAAGAGGAAAATCTAAATAAATATTTTTCCTAATTACGTATGTTTAAAAGATAAAGGGTGATAAAGTGTTACTTATCATATCAGTTTTTTTAATATAACTTTTACTGTGGTAGACTTGGAAAGGTGATATTTTGCGAACAGTCACTTACTACCAAAACACATATTCACACATAATTACAATTGTTCGAGTGAATACAGTGTCGTAGAAACAGGGCATGCTTAAGCTTATTGTCCCATACAAACTTTGAGGTTAGGTTTTTTTACCATTTGATTTCGATTACTCAGTTCGGCTACAATTAAAAAGGTGTCCCGCTCAAACTTTGATAAAATAAACCGTTTTCGAGATATTCGAGATTACAATAATTGTTATATCGCACTAAAGGACTAAAAGGTATATGATAACAAATTTTTTAATTGAAAAAACTACAATTTTTTTTAATGTGACGGTCAGGGCAAAAAGTCCCGAGGCTCATGGAATGCCCTTTTTAGTTTTTTCAATTAAAAATTAAAATTTGTTATGATATACCTTTTAATCCTTTTAAATAATGCGATATAACAATTATTGTAATCTCGAATATCTCGGAAACGGTTTATTTTATCGAAGTTTGAGAGGTACACCTTTTTAATAGTAGCCGAACTGAGTAATCGAAAAATTGCATCAAATGTTATAAAAACCTAACCTCAAAGTTTGTATGGGACAATAATCTTAAAGCAACCCCCGTTTCTACGACACTGTGTTCACTCAAACAATGGGGTAGTTAAATTTTTTCTGACCTATACTTTTTATGGTTTTATTCAAGGCGTTTTGTAATTTTAAACATTTCTGTGAAATCAGAATTTCAATTGAGTTTACCGTTTTCGAGATATTTACAAAACAAAATCTCCTAATTACGTCACTAGGCTATTGACAACGTTGCCAGCTTTTTCTATGGTTGCCAGTGTGTTTAGTTTACGATAGATGGCGCCACGTTATAATATTTTAGTTGAGAAGAAGAATTGATTTTTTGACGTTTCTTTTTTTCGGGTTGTTTTTTTTTAAATTTAGATTATTGAAAATCAATGTTATTGTTATGTTATTTGTAATTGATATTAGATAAGTGATTTATTAATAACGGACTCCAAAGCAGAGAAATCTTGTGGAATGGTTGGTTACATTGAACATTGGAGCTTTTAAACAAAAAAGGTAAGTACCTATAATAATTATTATAATCATATTTTGTCGTAAATGCATTTCATTGGTATAATGCCTAGTTCTTTATATTCTTTTAGATATATTATTATTTTTTGTAAATTTATTTCATTCATTTTCAGCTTTATTTTGCCACTTTTTTCTATGAAATAAATTAAACTCTGCTTTAGACAGTTATTAGGTACCTATTTATTACATTTTATTATGTTTCACACGGTGTTTCAATGTGTAAACCTATCAATAAAACTTTTAATTTCAGAATTTTCTTTAACCTTCTCTTCTTCTTCTTTCACTCAACTGACAGTGACAGTATTTGTACATAACCTCTTCGGGTATTTTCTGACATAACCGAATGAAATCATTAACAAGACAACTTGACAACAGGGTAATTTTCAACCAATAGAAATCTTAGAATGTTGGTCACATGACGGGGTTTGTGACGTCATAAAAATTTATATTTTTTGTAAATATCTCGAAAACGGTAAACTTAATTGAAATTCTGATTTCACAGAAATGTTTAATATTACAAAACGCATTGAATAAAACCATAAAAAGTATAGGTCAGAAAAAATTTAACTACCCCATTGTTATTATGTGTGAATATGTGTTTTGGTAGTAAGTGACTGTTCGCAAAATATCACCTTTCCAAGTCTACCATAGTAGAAGTTATATTAAAAAAACTGATATGATAAGTAACACTTTATCACCCTGTATCTTGGAAACATAAGTAATTAGGAAAAATATTTATTTAGATTTTCGTCTTATTTTTACTTGCTCAATCTTTTCCTAAATTTATGCCAATAAGTTTGGGGACACCTTGTATATCCACCAATTTTTTGTTATTATTTGACATTTGAGTACAAATAATATTTGTCAAATATGTTATATATTTTCTGAAAATAATACAAAATATGTATTTTTCTGTTCTAAATATGCACAAATATGCACAAAAATTACATGTACCTATTGCATTATTTTCAGAAAATAAGACGAAATAAGCGTTAAACAGAGAGATGCATAACCTCAATTATTTGTATTCAAATGTCAAAGTGGTACTTTTTTGTCTTTGTCGCTCGTTTTGTAAACTTGACCTCGAGCGAAAAATTACATTTTAAATATAGCAATAAAAAATCCTGGTTCATTATAAAACAAAACATCCACGAAATTTGACACGTAAAAACACTCAAAAGGTTTCTTTTAAATTAGTAATACTTTTGGAAAAATCTAATTTTTGTATTAAGGTAGTATCTTCATATGAAGAGTTTCCATCATATGATTTATTATCTATGGTTTCCATGCCTATTTCCATGGAGCCTACACAAGGAGTCCAAACTGCATGTAAACAAGAATCTTCCTAAGGAAAGTAGGCGCTGGTGTACCGTTTATTCTGAAACAATTGACTAAATTGTACCGAAACGCTACCAAAAGAGCAGACGTCAGTACCCATCAACAATCAGCGCCGCTGGTGGTGAAAAAAAGACTTAATTTGTGCAATTTAGAGGGCAGGTTTTGTCAATTTCCCCTATTAAGTTCGGGCTCCTTGTGTAGGCCCCATGCCTATTTCTTTGGAATTTGATTATGTTGGTACTATATGTCAATATACTTTGGTAATTTTAATAATAAAAATTGGTACTCCTGTTTAAGGCCTTAATTTTAAATACTTGACATTTTTAATTTAATTGAGGAGTAATTTTTCTTAACGCGATAGCACAAAAACTACATGAAAATAAAGACTTAAGTATACTTACTCTATAGAGTTATTTTTGGCCAACTTCGTTTGTAATGAAGTTTGATCAAAAATTGGCAAAGGGTTTGTAATGCAGATTGTGGATTGATCGAAAATTGGCAAATAGTTGATCAGCATGGAAAAAGAATCAGTTTAATATGCTCAAAAGCCTGATTTATAGATTGTCTTCCTTCCTTAAGGAATTCCTTCCGTAAAAGATTAACAATACGAAAATCGTAGTGCCATTTATAGATTACATGGATTATATTATGGAAATCTCAAAAATCAAGTTTTAAGCACTTTTTTAAAATTCTCATTTCAAATTTCGTGCTGCCAACATAAGAAACATGACAGTTTTAAACATTAATTTTTTCATTGTAAAAAATTAACAATTTTTATTTACTTTTTATGTTGTCTTTAGTTTTAAATGAAGTTTTAATTTGTTGATTAAAATACGTTTTATTTTTAATACTAATAACCAAAATATTCGCAAATAAACTAAAACAATCTTACCTGCATGATGCTATATTCTTCAAACAGCAATGACAAAGCCAAATCCACATTGGATCTAAGATCAGCCAACAAGTGACTTAGAACGGTATCCCTGACAACTGGGCTAAAACTTGCAGCAAAAGTGGTGACAACCTTTTGATAGACACTCTTCAACGCGAATTTTTCGCTCAACAGCATTCTTTTAACGGAAGCAATCAACAGATTCTCCTTGGTTTCCTTGTCCATTGGTTTGGTGATTTCGGATAGTTTTAGAGTTTTAATTTTCACAACTTTAACTTTTTCTTTCTTTGCCACCTTCTCTTTCTCTTTTTCCAGCTGTTTATCTTCCTCGTCTACTTCTCGCTCGCGTTTTTTGCTAATGACTTCCGGTTCTTTTTCTTTTTGTGGAGGTGGCTCCATCTTTCCTCCGGGTCCCAACCTGTTGTCCAAAAGTTGTTTTGCCAGTAAGTGCACGCAATGCGCCTTTCCTATTCTGCCACTATGCACGTATTTGTTGTAGACTTTGGCAAAATCCTGTGGCATTGTACTGGGTAACTTTGGAATCGACGTCATCATGAGATACACAGCCTTATCCACACTTAAATTCTCATTCACAAACTGCTCATTGGTTTCTATGGGCGTCAAAGCCACCCCTATTTCATTGGCATCTTCATAATCATAGTTGGTGTCCAACTTGGGTTTCTTAGCAGCCGACTGAACCGAAGACTCAGCTGAAAGCGTTCTTTTGGTGTACTTCTTTCTATCCTCGGGTTTCGATGTAGCCTTGGTAATATCGGATTGGCTACAACCCAACTCTAGAAGTATTGGCGTTATTTTGCCAACGTAATCAAAGGCAGCAGGATGCTTAATAAGCCCCAAAAGTTCAGATTTCAACTTCTTCTTGACAGCATTCACTTGGGTGGTACTCAAGGTTGGTGGTAGGTTGTTGTACAAAGATTCTATAGCACCTACAACTCTACCCATGAATTCTGCTCTTACTTTGGCTAAATTTCTTAGCACTCCTATGCAAGCCAATAAATTGGCACTACTGATGTGAGGGGAACCGTGAAATTTCACCAGCACTTCAAATAGATTACTAAAAAATAATATGATACTTTGGAATAAAAATGATTTATATATATTTATATGATATATAGGTACTATAATTGAATACTTTACAAAACATATTTGTTCTAGGTATTATTATACATATTTTTTTAAATTAACAAAATTTAATCAATGTAAATAAAAAAAATAAAAAACACCAGTTTTTTGTTTGTTTTATACTATGCTTGTTCTACTCCCATTAAGTAATTTTCGTTAATTAAAAATATATATATATATAAATAGAAATCTTCAGATTTTAAAGATCATTATAGTACGACGTCGCCCCTCGTATTTTTCAGTTTTAACCTCACTTTCTCCAAATTAAAACCCGATCACCCAATCTCAGCTTTGTTATCTATGTCTCAGCCTATGTTCCGTAATTTACTCCTAGGTTTGGTCTAGGAATTTACTGTCAGTACTGTCGGTACTGAAAACGCATTCCGAAATCCACTTTCAGTTACTGAGCTCAGTGGTAAATACTACCCTTTTATAAATATACGGCAGATTAATTTTACTGAAATAACTGGGGACAGAGAGGTGCTGTGGCTCCAGTAAAACACATAACCAAACTTTTAAACAAAAAATAGCTGTCAAATAAAGTGAAGGATATAAATTATATCATATAATGGTATTTGGTGAATACCTATATGACTAATTATTTCAATATTTATTGATAAAATATTACTTGAAAGTACAAGCAGCAGTGACGAAGGCAGGTCGGCGGGGAGTACCTACGCATACGAAGACCCAGAATACGAAACTACCTACTATAGTACCTAGAAAATGTTATATATTTGTATTCAGCGGACGAATTTAAGAGTAATTTTTGGTATTTGGCTTATTGTTGTGGTGTCAGTGAAATTTTATATGGCCGTTGCTAGTCGTCCGTATATTCGGACGATTAATATATTTTATTCATCCGATGATCGGACGATTAGACAAGTCGAAAGGCCGTTGCTAGTCGTCCGATCATCGGATGAATAAAATATATTAATCGTCCGTATATTCGGACGATTAATATATTTTATTCATCCGATGATCGGACGATTAGACAAGTCGAAAGGCCGTTGCTAGTCGTCCGTATAATCGGACGAATAAAATATATTAATCGTCCGGTAATAACATAAATAAATAATAAAAAGATTATCGGACTCAAACTCAACAACACAACCCAACCGACCCCGCCCCATTGCCCCCCCCCGCCCCATTGAACAAAAAACCCAACTAAAATGGGCAAATTTATGTTACGATAAAAATAAAACACTTTTTAACAAAGCAACAACAAATTTATGAAATAAAAAAAGTTCGACAACTTCTAGTAGATTTTATGTTACGATAAAACTAAAACAAACCAACCAACCCAACCCAACCGAACACTGTTTAACAAAGAAACAACAAATTTATGAAATAAAAAAATAAAAAAAATTCGACAGCTTCTTAGTATCGAACCCGGGACCTCTCGCATGACAAGCGAACGCAAAATCAAAATCAAAATCAAAATCAAAATCAAAATCAATATATTTTTAAATTAAAATAATTACAATTCATAAAAAGGGTATATCATAAAAGGCCGCAATGTGGTGATGTGGTTGGCTGTAAAGAGGCGCGTGGAGGTGTGGTTCCAGCTCTTGAGCCTCCCTGCGGTGAAGATGCGTGGTACGGGTGGTAGCAGCGCAGTCTTCCGAACGCCCTACCATATAAGCTATCTAGCTTGTTGTCAAATATTAAACGGTCGGTGAACAAAAGCGAATTATAATTATGACGTAACTAACGTTATGTTATTACCGGACGAATAATATATATTAGTCGTCCGTATGTTCGGACGATTAATATATTTTATTCATCCGATGATCGGACGATTAGACAAGTCGATTTTATATTTCCTATTCCTATATACATTTTTCGACGCGGACGACGATAACATTAAATTTTCCATATTTCTCTGCCATAAACCAAACATTATATTTCTTATAATTATAAGTTAACTGTTATATTTATTTTTTATTTATGTTCTCTGCTGTGCCGAAAGTAAAGTTTGTTAATTGTCAGTAAATCACAAATCATAACCTTGCGTAGGTAACCATTGTCACTTTCTGCTGCTACCGAGGCGCGTTCCAATTTGACTGTGCGTCAGTACTGAACATGCCCTGTGCACTCGCCTTAAACAAACAAAATCCACATTTTTGTCTAGTCGACTTTGGTTTTAGTTTACACTCGAGTTGCATGTGGCAGGAGCGGCAGTTAATCTTGACGGTTGCTTGGTAACGAAATCAACAAACTTCAGTTTGATAAATTTTGTAAAGTTTTGTAAATTCATATTGTGTTTATTTGGTTTGTTCTGTACGCTTAAAAACTTTTATAATTGCGATTTATCGTTATCTGTGTACTCTATTTTTTATATATTGCTACATTATTTGAACATTAACATTAACATATGGTGTTGTGCTGTGCTGTGGGCTGCTCTAACAGTCAAGTTATGATGCATACTTTTCACAATGATGACAAGGTTGTATTGTATTATTCAATTATAACTATTTTATTAAAACAAGGTACTTACACAAATGTGGTACATAATATTATTACTTTATACTGATTTGTGTTCTTTAATAAGATAAAATTCACTTGAATACATTATTATATTGTTAATTGGTTTAGTTTAGTAAATACCTTGAATAATTTCAAATATAATAAATTTATTTTTGCTTTTCAAATAAACAATTTAAATAAACTATCAGGCCTTTTATTTTTTACTATTTTGACTGTCAAAATTTGACAGGATAACCTAAATTAAAACCATATATGGTTATAACCTAAAACCAATAAATGTCAGGCGGGTACACTAGCGGCATAGCGGGCCGAGTGTGCGTAACAAGGAGCGTCAAATATGTGACAGTGGCGTATCTATATGATTTATTATCTATGGTACTGAATAAATTACGGAACGGTCCTTTTCCGCTACTGACAGTAAAATTTGACAGGATAACCTAAATTAAAACCATATGTATATGGTTATAACCTAAAACCAATAAATGTCAGGCGGGTACACTAGCGGCATAGCGGGCCGAGTGTGCGTAACAAGGAGCGTCAAATATGTGACAGTGGCGTATCTATATGATTTATTATCTATGGTACTGAATAAATTACGGAACGGTCCTTTTCCGCTACTGACAGTAAAATTACTGACAGTAATGGCAGTAAATTACGGAACACAGCCACAGTGAAAAACGAAATCGGACAATTATAATAATTGGTGCCTGACATCGGGAATATGGAATGTTTTTTTCTCACTATTTAATTATTTTTTCTGATTTTTTTTTGTTGAAGTGGTCGGGGCTCAGGTAAAAAATTATTTTAAAAATCTGAAACTTTAGGAGTACCTTCAGAAGGGTAAAAATGTAGGATAAAACTTTGTTTGAAAAATAAGTTATAATTTTTAAAATATGATTTTGTTTACACTTTTTTTAAAGAAAATGTAGGAAAAAATACATAATTTTTTACCCTTCTTTTAGGATTTTTTTGTTAAAGTGGTCAGGGCTGCTCTTTTAAGATTTTTTCTGATTTTTTTTTGTGGTCAGGGCTCAGGTTAAAAATTAATTTAAAAATCTTACTTTGGGAGTACCTTTAGAAAAGTTAAAATTAAAAAAAAACAATTTGAAATAAAAACTGTTTTTATCTTAATTTTTTAGGATTTTTCCTTTTTTTGGAAAAGTGGTTGGGGCTCAGGTTAAAAATTAATTTAAAAATATGAAGGTACCTTCAAAAGAGTAAAAATGTAAGAAAAAACCTTGTTTGAAAAATAAGTTATAATTTTTTCACACTTTAGTAGGATTTTTTTTAAGTGGTCTGGGCTGAGGTTAAAAATTAATTTAAAAAGTTAAATTATTCACGAGCGGAGCTTGCGGAAAAGTTTATAAAACTAATTGCAACACTATAATTTATCTACGACAAACGCAAAGTAATATTTTTTCAGAATTTATAGTTAAATTTAATCTGACATCCGTCAAACAGTTTTACCCAATTTAATGCAATAGTACATTAAGTACCTTAATACACTGTACATATATTTAATAGTGGAAGTAAATAAAATATTTAAAATAGAAATACCCCCAAAACAAAATATGATATTAAAAACTACCTTGCTTCTTCCTCCAACTTCCTCCTTCTGGCGATTTTTAAAGTCAGTGGAACATCATCTAGAGAAAAATCATTTTCCCTCTTATTATCCACTTCATCAGGATAGGTTTGCAGCAAAATAACACACTCCAGAAATTTCACAGAGCTAGTACGGATGCCATCATTGTCACTATCAATCATGTTGGCTATTTCCAATTTGATTGTGTTTAGTTGTTTCCAGGCAGCTTCCATTTCATCTGTACTATTAGTGGCTCTGCATAGCCATGCTAAAGTTTTTCTATAAATTGTTATGGCAGCTTGTATAACCCTCTTCTGCACAGTTATAGATTCATCACATAACAGTAAATGTAAACTTAACATTACTTTTGGTAATAATGATTCACGAACCTTGCTACAAATACAACAAATGTTACATAGTGAATTCCATTATTACACACAAGAACACTATAATAATAATATAGTGTAATTACATAACTAGAAATATTTTTTTATTGTCTCAAGAATGTCAACATTAGCTATATATATATATATATATTCATCATCTTGGTTTGATGAATAAAGTAGATATGTATAAACATCTTAATAATGTAAATTTAAATTTAAGAAGTTAGGTATCTTAAGAATTTAACAAACAAAATTACAAATTTAATTCCAGTGATACATTTGGGTTTTACTGTATTTATATTATTAACTAATAGTTACCATAGTTCCTCAATAAAACCGACGAGTGCTTTCTTAATATCCTGATTTTTATCAGTAGTAAAATTCAATACATTTTGCAAATATTTGGGTAATAAATTGGGATGCCTGTGAATTAAAAACTCCTGTATTTTACAAAATAATTTAAGTTTTTCCTGACCGTCTGTACATGAACTAGCTTCATTAAACCATTCAACCACCTATAATTACAAACATTAGAAAATTGCGGTATTTTGAAAAATATAATAATTACAGAATTTTCGTCGTCTCCTTCCATATTAATGAATTCTTTAGCAATTTAATATAAATAGATTCACTTAATATTAGTCCTATAAGTTATAGTTCTTAAATATTCATAAAAATAATGTTTTTACGCAAAGTAAACATTTTCCAGACAACCACAAAACATAACCTATCTAATAAAAGAAGTGAAGTAAGGCCCAAGTCAAGCAAGCCAACTATGCTGTCACCTTGACAACCAGTTCTACCAACATACTCCTTTGCTTATCAGTGTTGATGTGTCACTTGTTATAAAAGTATTATTTTTTAAAATAATGTAGGGCTTTAATTGAAATAATTTAATAGGAAAAAACATAGAAAATAAATAACTAAACAACTAAAGAAAAATGGAGAATGCACCTGAACAGGGTAAAAAACACAATCTAGAAGATCTATCAAGGGAAGATTTGCTGAAAAAATGCAAAAGTTTGCTTGTAATTGCCCAAAAAGCCAAAACTGCCAAAGATACTTATCAGGAAGAAATTAACGTCCTTAAAGCACAACTTAAAAAATCTGCAGACTATGAGAATGAAGCCACAAGGGAAATAATTGAAAACCTAACACAACAAAAATTATCACTGGTCACTACAATTGAGGAATTAAAGCATAAAAATCAGTTTTTGGAGAAAAATGTTGAGCAAATGCAGGAGAAGATTGATAGGTGTAGTCAGGTGGAGAATGAGAATGTATCATTCAAAAGGCAAAATGTGAGGTTAACTGAAGAAAATGAGCAGTTGATATCAGATTTAGAGACCTTGGAAAAACAAATAAGCGAACTTAACAAGCTTGGTTTAGAACAGCAAACGCAATTATTAGAACTGGAGAAAAGTAAAAGCCAATCTAAGAATGTTGGCGAACATGAAACTAAAATAAAGGAGTTGCAAAGTATGTTGAGTATTAGCTTGGAGGAGGTGAAAAAACTGCATTCCGAAAATACAATGAGTTTACAAAAAATAGAAGATTTAAAAATAAATTTGGGTGAGAAAGATAAAAACATTCTTACTATAAGTCAAGAATTAAACTCAAAATGTGATATTGTTGAATCCTTAACTGAAGAACTGAACTTATTGAGAACATTTAAATCAGAAAACATAAGTATTATTGAAAATTATGATAAACTAAAGTTAGATTACAGTGAATTGAGTATGAAAAGTAAAGACAGTAGCATAGCTGGGGAAGATTTACTGGAAATTAACAACAGATTAAAAGAAAAACTTAAATTATATCATTCCAAACTAGTTAAATATGCAGGAAACATGAAAATACTAAAAAATGATAAAAAAGAGATATTAAGATTGTTTATGGTCTACACAGATCAAGTTAAGGATTGGGAAAAGCAACTAAATTTAGTTGTGAGTAAATTGCAGCAAGTTGAGAGAGATTTTAAGAGTGAAAAAGATGTATTACTCGAGGAAAATAATAAACTTACCAATGAGGCAAAGGATCTGCTTAAATTACATGAAGACAGTAAAAACGTAGTGGAGAAAATGAAGAATAAGAAAGAAGCCATCAAAAGCAAGTTAAAGGAATATCAAGAATATGTCACAGAGGCAAACAAAAAACTTGAAGGTACATCTGAGAAAAGTGACATCACAAAAGAGATTGAATCACTTAAAAACACAATAATAAAATTGGAAACTGAAAATAAAACCCTTCTGAATGCACAAGAAAGCATGAAACTTGAACTAGAGGATGCATACAAAAAATTAAAGCAATATAAGGAAAAACATCAATCATTTGAACGCGTTATTTCTGATTATGAAGAAAAAATCAAAAACATGGAACATTCCAAAAATACTGAAGGGCAGCTGGCTGAAATATCAGGTGAAGAAATTCTGAAACTTGTGGAGGAAAATAAGGAACTCAAAGAAAATTTCAACAAAGTTCAGCAAGAATTGGACACCATAAACAGAATAAGACGACAATCTGTGAATGAAGAGTGCCAAACAAAACTGCAAAATAATGAACAGGATGAGCAGTTTGCAAACTTAAAAAGAGAAAATGGAGAACTTTTACGGGAAATGAACGAGATGAACCAAGCTCTGAAGGAAAGAGGGGAAAGCATATCACAATTGGAGGCACACTGTGAAGAAGTAATGAAGAAATTGCAGGTGTATGAGACGCAAGCCAATAAAAATGATGATAATGCGTCACAGAAAGATGAAACTATCAAAAAACTGACCAAGGATATAGAAAATCTGCAAAAATCCTCTAACAACGGAAACGATAATAAAGCATCGGAAATTAGAGCTCTTAAAAACGAAATTGAGCAACTCAAGGAAAAAATAAACTCCAACATGGACTCCAGCTATGCTGAAAGCGATATAATGTCGACCAGCACCATTTCAAGGGCTGATGAGGCAAACAGACTGAAAGACCTTGAAGGGTCATGGGAGGAGCGTTATGGAAAACTACGCAACTTGGCTGTTAAGTTAAAAGCTAAAGTAAAAGAATTAACAACTGTAAATGAAAAGGATAGCAGGGAAAAGGAAGAATTGCAGAAAAAACTATCGCAAAACTTGAAAACAATCCAAACTCTACAAGGCCAAATAGACAACCTTCAAGATGAACTAGAACACGCAAAAAAATATGAAGCAAGATTAAACACAATAGCTGAAGAAATATCAAAGGATAAACAACAATTGGTAACAAATGAAGAAACTATTTCAAAACTGAAACAGGAACTAGAGCAGCTGAAAAATGAAAAGCAATCGACTGAAACGTGGAAAAAACAAGTAAGCGCCAAAATACAACTACTAAGAAAAGAATTGGAGGCCAATACTTTGCTGAAGAAAGACTTTGAAGCTAGGATTTCGAGGCTGAATTCCGATTTGGACGCCAAAGAGCAGCAGCTTAAAAGCGAGATGGAAAATCACAGTAAAACCAAAAACTTGCTGGACCAATCTAGCAACGAATGCAAAAAGAATTCCGTGTTGAACTTGGAGATGCAGGACTACGAGAGAAGTACGAAGGAGCTCGCGCAAAAAATCGAGAAAAAAGATGAGCTTATCACAAAGCTTAAAAGTCAAGTGGAGTCGCAGAAAACAACGCTCAGTGCCTTAAGAGAGCAACACAAGATGTTGGAAGAGAAACTTCAGAGTGGAGAAACGACTTTAACCAGCGCCTCAAGCGAGATAAACTCGTACCGAAAGAAAATTTCCGAGTTGGAGAACACAGTGCAAATTAAAGAGGACAAAATACACAGCACCACTGATTTGCTGGAGTCTGTAAGGTCTGAAAATGAGGAGTTATCGACGGAGCTGTCCAAAGTGATTGCTGAACACCAGAAAGCCATAAATAGTGTCAAATCTGAGAAGGATCACTTGAGAAGTCAGGTTTTGGGCCTTCAACAGAGTTTGAGGCAAACTCAGGGCACTTTAAAGTTGAAAGAGGACGAGTTGGAGTCGGTGATTTCGGAGTATGAGGGGTATAAGGTGAGAGCGCAAAGCGTTTTGAGGCAAAATCAAACCAGAGATGTTGGGTTGGAGGAAAAATTAAATGAAGAAGTAACCACGCTAAAATCGCAAAATGATTTGTTAAATTCCAGGTTAAAGAAGTTACAGTAGGTCCATTACAACTTTGTAATTCCAGACATGTTATTATGGTTTGTTTTAGGGACAACAAAACCGATTTAGAGAAGCGAAATGAAAAAATCTTGTCTGATAAAGAGGAAGTTCTCAAGAAATTCGAAGAATCCTCAGCTGAAGTTGAAGATTTGAAAAATCAATTTGCACAACTATCAAATAAACATCAGAAGGCGTTAAATGAACATGCTGAAACTGTCAGAAGTTTAAAGGTAATACATGATAATAAACTATTAAATTTTGTTATACAGAGTGTTTCTAGTCAAAGTATAAAAAATGCTTAAAACAACAATGAAAAATGCATTTTGGCGATAAAATAAAAAACGTTAAACATGTCAATAAAAATAACAATTGAACGGAAACTGACCAAAAATAATTTTTATCAAAAAATACTATATATAATAAAATATTTTGATTTAAACACCATCCACAAAATGTGACATTTTGAAACCCTAACAAAATTTTTTGAAGGTTTTGACTAATTAAAACCTAACCTTGGTAATTAATATTAATTAAAGATTAATCACTGAGATATTTGTAAAAAAATAGAGTCTTAGAATTTCACAAATATAAGAATAAAGTGCCAATATTTCAAAAACTAAAGATTTTTCCTTTCATGTTTTGATATTCTGGTTATTTATGAGCAGTCCTCCAAAGGATATTGTTGACTTTTGAAACACCCTGTATAAAAATAAATAAATTTAAAATAATTAATAAATTCTCAATTAATTTAAAAATAATATTTTTTGATAAAATTTTATTACTAAAATGATATGAATAAAGTTTAAAAATTTTAGAAAATCATTAGCTGCGCGTTGCCAGTAACTGGCAACTGTTGTAAAAAATTGTGTCTTGCAAAAAATAAATAATAAATACAAAAGTTTTATGCTCTTAAAGCTCTAATACCCTCCTGTATTTATTTACTCATCCAGCTATTAGCTTAAGCAATGATTAGAAAATTTAGTACCTATTTTAAAAACTCCATAACCACAAAATTAATTTTTTCATCGGTTTTTTTCTTTCTGTTTACTCGGATGAAATTATGACAAGTTCACAGGTTAAACTTTAAACATTCAATTTTTGTAAATAAATCCAAAAGTTAAGATATTAACAATTTGAGCACATAACCTAAAATTTGAAAGAAATGCACTAATTAATGGTAACAGATTCTGTCATAAAAGTTGCCAGATTTTGTTTGAATTTACCTTCATTACAAAAATGCCATAATCAACAATTAATAAAAACGCCAAATTAACAATTTGCATTGTTGATTTTGTTATTTTTGTAATAAACCTAAATTTAAACAAAATCTGGCAACTTTTTTTGATAGAATCTGGAAACGCTGCTCCTTACCCTAAACCAAAGGTTTAGGGTTGTTACAAACCATAACATAATAAATTAAATTAGGCAACCAGATTAGCCTAAAGTTCCTAGTCGATCAGTGTTATTATAATAAAAAGTTTCAGGTGCTTTTTTATGGACCCTAAGAAACTACTCATTTTAATATATTATATTAATTACATAACACCTAATTAGTATTAGTAGTATTAATACATAGTAAATTATTATACGAGAGATAATGCGCATAATTTCTAGAGTAATACTATACTTTATCTACTCAAATAAGTAGATAATTAAATGATTTAAAAAATAAAAGTATATTATGTATCAAGTTTGATAAACGCCATTTTAGTCACGAATTAATTTAGACACGAGCGAGCTTGCGAGCGAGTGCTTAATTAAATGAGTTGCCTAGAAAAGTTTATAAACGAGTTGCATACCATATTTTTTTTACTTCAAATACTTAATTAAGTTATAATATTATCTAAAAATAATATTATCTAAAATTGATTTAAATTAAATATTTGTATAAAGCGACATCTATACGAAAATAAAGTAACCATCCCAATAAACATTTTTGACATAATTTTCACCATTAACATTGCCCGTTATTATTTTAATTAAATTTAACAATTATTTATAGGTACTTTAAAATATTAAAATAACTTAAAAATATAATTATGTTGAGAAAATATTTTATTCTTTGATTTCTTTATTACTATAATTGCAAAATATTATCAACTTGGGAATCTAGTAGATTCAATCTCCCCATGTTAAAATCTCAAACTTTTCAGTGAAAATCAAAATTTCCCCTTGAAGATATAGAAGCAGTTTTTCACAGTAAAAGATTGTATGACATTTGACAACTGTCAACTAACTTAAAACTAACTTCAGCCCGTGACTAAAAAACCGGTTGCTAGAACTTGTAAAAGGTCAATTAGTGTCATGGAAACATGTGTGAATTATCCAAAATTAATAAAGGATAAAAATAAAACAGTATTTATAATCATAAAATGGGATAGCAAAACTATAAAATAGTATAAAAATTAGTATATTGTTAAGTTGCAATTTTTTTCAAGGTCCACGCTGAGACCCTTTCGCAATGCTACAGACAGCAAATCTCTGAGCAAGAATCCCGACACAACCGCGAAATAATCGAACTCCAGAGCAAGCTGGACAAAGCCCCCACCCCCAATGGGGACCCCATGCTCCCCTATCCCCCCACCACGCCCCGCGAAGAGGGGGAAGGCTCCGAGAGCATCGAGAGCCTCGCCAACGCCGGCATCCAGCAGCCCGTGCCTCTGGAAAGACTCCTCGGAGCTGACACGGACCGCGAAGTACACAGCTTGAGGAAAAATCTGACCGATCAAGAGTCCAAGGTTGTTTACTTGACCGCTCTGTTGGCCGATACCGAGCAAGATTTGGCCAAACACGTGCAGATGAACAAGATGCTCAAGGAGGAGATAAGGAGGCAGCAAAGGTCGGTCGAAAGGGAGAAGCACGCCGAAAATTTGGAGTACTTAAAAAATGTTGTGTTCAAGGTAGGATTTTACTTGAGTTGGTGAAGGTTTTTTAATATTTGGAACTCTACTTTCTGTAAATGCACTTTTAAATTACAAACATATTTTATAAGGGTTTTTAAAATTGATTTTTATTGACTTTATTTTTTTTAAATATTTATCTATACTATGAAAGGGTTAAACACAATTTCAAAACAAAAAATTTAAATTTTTTTATTAACAAGGTTATGATCCTGTAGTACTTTTATTTTGATCTTAAAGTTTTCCCTTTGAAATAGGATATATTTTTCAATTTCCTATAGCTTGGCTGTATTTTACGCTTCTACAGTTTACATAGGTGCAATTTGTACATAATTAGTTGCTTTTCAAAAGTACTTGCAACAATTTTTATACAACCTACATATATTTTTGACCTGTAAACGTCATATTTTTAATGTCTATTTTAAATGCCTCTACGGCTTTACGGTTAAAGTTACAGGTAAAAAAATAAAAATAAAAATTATAAAAAATTTTATTTCCCATAAAAAAGATTCCTTGCATAAATCCAATAAAATGCATAGTTTAAACCATGTAGATCATTTAATAAATAAACTAAAATACAGTAGAAACCACCAATATATGAACGTGACTCATCGGGTGCCGAACTTGTCTTGTACATTCGATGCAGCGGTAAATGTACTCACACGTAGGTTTTTAAGCATCCGGTCTAAAATGCGCCATCTGTGATGTAAAACTGCCTAGGTGTTGGACAAAGATGGACATATGACGCGTGTCCTAGCTTGTTACTTATATTCAGTAGAGTTCGTGTTTTAGGCATTTATTTTATTTTATTACATAGTAAGGCAACCAACTTTACCGTCGGCCATTTGTTTTTATATGTCATATGATCTTTGTTTTTGCATATCGTGTTTTTGCTGTGTGTTTATGGATTAATAATCGTTTTAAACGTTGTAGTGGCAGTGGTTTATATTATGTAACACAGGTAGATGTCGTATAAAAATCCTTACCTAGAAATTCTAGGCTAGAATACAAAAATATTTTTATTATATAAATTTTGTACTAGTATTAGTTTAATACATTCTGAAGAAGCTACTGTGTAGCGAAACAATTGTCAATATTTAATAAATTTCTTAAAACTAACGCAAGTTGTTTTTATATCCACACAATTTAAATATCTTTCACTTTGTACCTGACCTGCGTAAACATTTTTGTTTTTTGTCACCTATTCTGAAATATTTGCATTTACAGTTAAAAGAATAGTATATTCTGTAACAAGTTTGACGGTTTCACGAGAGGGGAATATGCAATTCCAAACGTGTTTCAGACTATACTTTTTCTACGTTTCCAAAAAATACCATAGACAAAGAATTTAATTGGAAGAAAGTGAGGTTGGATCGGTCTAAAAATTTGTTAGATATTAAAAACAGAGATGTCGCCACGAGTGTACGTTCTGTCATCAGATGATAGAATATTTCATTAAAGTTAAAAGAAAAGTTTATTTATTAATTAGTTTCTAAGAAAATTACATTTTATTTAATTATCGTAGATGTTAATTATGTTAGATGTTAATTATTTAACTTTAAAAGCAAATATATCATAAGTATAGCAACCAACATTACACTCAAGATTTTTTACAAACCGGACTGCACTGGACCGTGACCTTCGATAGATTGCTTCGTACGAATGTGTCGGATGAGTCACGTTCATATATTCGTGGTTTCTACTGTACTTTGAACGTAAAATTTATTAAATGCTCTATATCTTCTAAACTATACATTTTATTGTATTAATATCTACATAAACCATGTTTGTAGAAAATTAAATTTTCTATAAAAGTATTTCTTACTTTTTACCTGTATCTTTAACTATAGTGCCATAAAACAACATACTAATTAATTTATCAATATTTGACAGTCAATTTTATTAAATGCTTTATATCTTTTAACCTGTGCATTTTATTGTATTAATCCGTATGACTTTTTTTGTAGGAAATTGAATTTTTATTAAAAGTTGTATTTACTTTTTTCTTGTAACTTTAACCGTTTTGCCGTAAATCATTATAGCACCAATTAGTTTATCAATATTTCACCCTAAAATTTACTAAAATCTTTTAAACTACCTACCTGACTTTTTTGTAGGAAATTAAATATTTAATAAAAGTTTTATTTACTTTAACCGTTTAACCAATTAGGAAACTACATTGTATTGAATTTTGCAAATTACCTTTTTATAGAAAATTAAATTTACGGCTTTACTGTTAAAGTTACAGGTAAAAAATAAAATAAAAATTATAAAAAAAGTAATTTCCCATAAAAAAGATTTTTTGCTAAATTCAATAAAATGCATAGTTTAAAGGTGTAGATCATTTAATAAATAAACTGTTAAATTTCGATAAAACTAATTACTTTGAACGTAAAATTTTTTAAACTATACTATTTATTTATTTCTAAAAAAGTATATCTTACTTTTTACCTGTACCGTTGTGACTTAAAACAACATAGGACTAATTAGTTTATCAATATTTGACAGTAAAATTTATTAAATGTCTTATATCTTCTAAACTGTGCATTTTATTGCATTAATCCGTATGACTTTTTTGTAGGAAATTGAATTTTTATTAAAAGTTGCATTTACTTTTTTCTTGTAACTTTAACCGTTTTGCCGTAAATCATCATAGCACCAATTAGTTTATCAATATTTGACCCTAAAATTAACTAAAATCTTTTAAACTACCTATACATTTTATTGAAACATTGCAAATTACCTTTTTATAGAAAATTAAATTTACGGCCTCTTACAGCTTTACGGTTAAATGAAAAATAATTTCTCATAAAAAAGATTTCCTGAATTAATCCAATAAAATGCTTAGTTTAAATGATGTAGATAAGTAAACTGTCAAATTTTGATAAAACTTATTAAATGCTCTATATCTTCTAAACTATACATTTTATTGCATTAATGCATAAAACTATTTTTGTAGAAAATTAAATTTCCTATAAAATTATTTTCTTCTTTTTTACCTGTACCTTTAACCGTTGTGCCATTAAACAACATAGGACTAATCAGTTTATTAATATTTGACAATTAAATTTATTAAATGCTTTACCTATATATTTTAAACTGTGCATTTTATTGCATTAATCCGTATGACTTTTTTGTAGGAAATTGAATTTTTATTAAAAGTTGTATTTTATTTTACTTGTAAAATTAACCGTTTTGCCGTAAAATATCATAGGACATCATAATTTATCAATATTTGACCCTAAAATTTACTAAAAGCTCTATTTATTTTAAACTATACATTTTATTCCATTATTTCAAATTACCTTTTTTATAGAAAATTAAATATCCTATAAAAATCTTCATAACTTTTTACCTGTAACTTTAACCGTTTTGCCGTAAAATGCAAAAATACTTTTTTTATTAAAAATATGACGCATACAGGCAGTGTTGTAACGTATCTAGTTACAAGTAACTAGATACAGTATCTAGATACTTTTGATGTATCTGTTTGTGTAACTAGTTACTTATCCCAATATAGTAACTGTAAATGTAACTAGTTACAAATTCTAAGTAACTAGATGCGTTAAGATACAAAGATACATTTTTAATTAAACTGCGACTATTATTTATTGAGAAAAAGAAAACACGTCCACTTCGACTTCTGACACAATTTTTAATTTCTGAACGCATCCAACAGTATGTTCATATAATATATGGTCATACTGTTATTTCTATTATTTTTTAACGAATTAACTTCCGTTGAGTATAGAAATATAGTAAACTGGTTATAAAAGGTTTTAAAAACCGTGGTAAATACAGTTTTCTGTAATCTGCACTTTTGACAGTTAAAGTTTGTTGATGTGAAAAAGTATAAAGTTATACTAGAAATCTTTAGAATTTACAATGTAAAATGTTATTAATGCTAAAAAAATAAATACCTACTATAATAAAAGTTATTTTAAATTAAATATTATAAAAAAATTAAAAAAATAAACAGGTATATTTTTGTTGTCACTTTAAAATTCCCTTTTATTTTTATTTTAATTTTTTTTAAAGCAAAAATTAATTTGTATGTATCTTAAAGTATCTAGATACTTTTTGAAGGTAACTGTATCTGTAACTACTTAGTTACTGCAATAAATTATGTATCTGTATCTGTATCTAGTTACAAATTTTGGCAAGTAACTGTAACTGTAGCTAGATACTGAAAATATTGTAACTGTTACAACACTGCATACAGCAGGGGCGGATCTAGAATGTGTTATTGGGGGGGGCGGAGTTGAAAATTTTTGTAAATAATAAGAAAGTTGAATTAAAGTTATTCCATTTTTTTATTATTTTCTATATTAATTTAAAAAGTTATGTTCAATTTCAACTTGATAACTTACTTCCGGGGGGGGGCGATCGCCCCCATCGCCCCCCCCTTGGATCCGCCAATGGCATACAGGTCTAAATATATGAATTGTAGTGACATTGTTGGAAGTACCTACTTTAAAAGAGCACCCAATCATGTTTAAATTGCATCAATGTAAATTGTATAGGTATTGAAAAAAAATCCTGTTATTTCAGTGGAAAAACTATAAACTCAAAATACAAGTACTTAGAACAGCTGTTAGCAAACGTCATGTTAGTACAAAATGGAAATTAGCGCCGCTAGTAGTAAAAAAGAACACGTAATTGGTGCGATTTAGTTGGCAGGTTCTGTCAATTATCAATAGACCTATCCCATAAAACAGACTTTTGGATAGCGCGTGCCTGAAGAAGAGTGGTATCTCTTTCTTTTTTATATAATTAAAAAAAGACGACGTGCCTTTTCACGCACGCGCTATCCAAAAGTCCGTTTTATGGGATAGGTCTATTGAGTTCATACTCCTTGTGTAGACTCCATGCTGGAGGTAGAAGTTGTAGATGCGTTGTATATTTTGTTTCCATAACAACCGTTTTTGGATGTTTTAAATACATAACGTTGCCGAGTTTTTAAATTTTAATGCTTAATAACGACATTTTTGTAATTTGTGCAAAAATATATTATTCTAAATTAAAGTAGGTATCATCAAAGATTAAATATACAATTATATATAAAGAGTATATTTAATCTTTGGTATCATCTGCAAAGGGGTCTAGATGCCTTAAAATTTTTGGATGGAATTCTGAAACACCCTGTATAAATTATTAATTAAATATTTTTCTAATAAGGGACAACGTTTTTCCAATAAAAGGTTTTAATAATATAATAATACCTATGTATGTACCAAGTTGCAAGATATAAATTATTTATTAGCATTTTGCTAATATTTTCGCAATTTTTAACATTTGTCTTTCTTTTCAGTTTGTAACATTAAACAGTGGCGATGAAAGGACTCGCCTGATCCCAGTATTAAACACAATATTAAAATTGAGTCCGGAAGAAACGCAGAAATTGAGTTTGGTTGCTAAAGGAGACCCTGGTTTGAGAGGATGGTCGAATTATCTTCCTACTTGGTCGTCGCCGACGAAACCCCAGTAATTTTAAATAATGTAAAGCTTTATATGTATATATTCCTATAGGTAAATAAATAAATTATTAATATAAACAAAATGTCTTATTGCATTCAATTTGAACTGCCGCGAAATGAATCATCCCTAAACGTCACATCCCCGTGCAATTTCTCGCGAATTCCCATTGGCCGCGTATTTATATCCTGTGCCCCTATCCGCGCTTTGCCAATTTTTTATTCCGTTTTTAGCGGGAGATCAGCCCAAGTTATTTTCTAATTATAGACGACTTAGCTGCAGAATGCATTTTAAGTGACAAGGGGATATAAACTTTTCAAATTAGTGAAAATGATTAATCAATACATCACCCCCTCCATGCGATTTCCCCTACTGTTTCCGTTCGTTCCCGGCTTATAGAGCTCTTACGTTTTTCTCGTCCTCTTGCTGTGCTTTCCGAAGGTAAGTGAAGCTTTCAATCATTTTTACTTAATCCTTTATTATTTTAACAATGTAAAGTCATCGAATCGTTTAAAATCATCTTAAAATTGCTTCGATTTCGCTGTATTAAACGATATTTGCAGTTTCAAATGATTTTGACGTTTTATGACAAAACTGTCTGCCGGTATTTATTGCACAAATTGTTGCAATTTTCTCTGCAGTTCCTGCTTAATTTAACATTTCGCGTTAACAAGGTAAATTTGCTTTATCAAACGACTAATTTTGTTATTACAAACATTTGTTATTTTTTTGTATTTCTAATTGTTTAAATTTTTGTGTTTTATGCGCTCATTGATTTTGTTTTATTGTTAATTCAATAACGATGTTTATTTAACTGTAAAATGTAATTTTGGCGTTTTATATTGGCGAGGTTTATGGGCCTTGACCTGCCCCAAGGAAGGCGATGTTAAAATCGATCGGTCCGGGTTTCGGATTTTAAGATGACAAAAATGTCCAAAAGTTTTCAAAATAATTAATAATATTGCACCACAATATGGCTGCCCTATTAATAAACCTTTGTTATGATTCAGTTTGTCATAATAATGATTCAATGCATTGCAATGTGCGAGATATCGATTTTTCGGTGATTTATACTTTTTACAGGTGGAATAAAAAGGCAATTCAAAATGGGTAAAGAAAAGATCCATATTAACATTGTGGTCATAGGTCATGTAGATTCAGGTAAATCCACCTCTACCGGTCACTTGATCTACAAATGTGGAGGTATCGACAAGCGTACCATTGAAAAGTTTGAAAAGGAGGCCCAAGAAATGGGAAAAGGCTCTTTTAAATACGCCTGGGTTTTGGACAAACTTAAAGCTGAACGCGAACGTGGTATTACCATTGATATTGCCCTGTGGAAGTTTGAAACAGCTAAATACTATGTAACCATCATCGATGCCCCTGGGCACAGGGATTTCATTAAGAACATGATCACAGGCACCTCTCAGGCAGATTGTGCCGTACTTATTGTGGCTGCGGGTACCGGTGAATTCGAAGCCGGTATTTCCAAAAACGGCCAAACCCGCGAACACGCCCTTCTAGCTTTCACCCTGGGGGTCAAACAGCTGGTCGTAGGAGTCAACAAGATGGACTCCACTGAGCCCCCATACTCCGAAACGAGATTTGAAGAGATCAAGAAGGAGGTGTCCTCATACATTAAGAAGATCGGCTACAATCCGGCTGCTGTTGCTTTTGTGCCCATCTCTGGTTGGCACGGAGACAACATGCTGGAGCCCTCCGACAAGATGCCCTGGTTCAAGGGGTGGAGCGTCGAGCGCAAGGAAGGCAAGGCCGATGGTAAATGTCTGATTGAGGCTTTGGACGCCATCTTGCCCCCGTCCAGGCCGACCGAGAAACCCCTGCGTCTCCCACTTCAGGTGAGCGAAATATAGGTTATGTTATGTATTTTGACCCTCCAAAATTAATTTAAACTAAAAATGCGGAATATAAAAATTATAGATCCTAAAAATGTCTACAAAAATATAAAAAATTTAATATTATTTTGTCCACCTTTTCCAAGTTACAGTTACAGTTTTAAAGCGTAAAAAAAAAATGTGGAAAAAACCTCTTTAAGAAAAATTTTTTGGGAAATTTTAAAATCCAAAGTAGCATTTTTTATGTTATTTACTTTAAAGTCAATTTTTCTGATAAGATAACCTTTAAAAACACACACTGCTTGTTTGTAACGCGCAAAATAACAATAGCGATACCATTAATGGCAATTGCCTGCAGCGGTGCCATCTTGTGTCACAGTTATAAACTACATGGGTTACAGAGTTCTTTGCTAAACTCCAGTGTATTTTATAACAAAGCCTGTTTTTATTTAGGCGGTTTCTGACCTATCTCTGTTTCTGACGAAGTAGATATTAAATATAAGGACAACGCTTAAAAAAATATTCACCGACATTTTTTCACATTCTTTATTTTTTGTTTCATACAAAATCTATAAAATATATCAAGTTTTCACTATTGCAATGTAACTTTCAACCTTAATTAAAAATATTTTTATATTTAATTGAAATTTTTTTATTAACTTTTGTTATTTAAAGTTCTTATTTATGAATTTAATTGTCTCAATTTATTAATTTTTTAATAAAAAATGTTAGTGACAACTGATAAATGGCAGAGCCTTCATAGTATAATAACCCATGCATATAAAGTATGTCTACAATTTCTAGAAGAATCCCTGTAAATTAATTATAATTATAGGGTGTTGCTTTTGAAAAACAAAGTTGGGATTGCCCACTGTACAGGGTATCACCCTGTACAGTGGGCATGGAAAATTTTAAAACCCTAACACTGGTATAATAGTACATTGTGTATCAAGGGCGGAAAGAAAGCGATTTTGACAAGTGTGAAGTTTGCCGCACGAGCATAAAATGCGAGTGCGGCAATCACACGAGTCAAAATCACGTTTCCGCCCGTGGTACACATACTATACTATAGTATGTGTACCACGGGCGGAAACGTGATTTTGACTCGTGTGATTGCCGCACTCGCATTTTATGCTCGTGCGGCAAACTTCACACTTGTCAAAATCGCTTTCTTTCCGCCCTTGATACACAATGTACTATTATACCAGTGTTAGGGTTTTAAAATTTTCCATGCCCACTGTACAGGGTGATACCCTGTACAGTGGGCAATACCAACTTTGTTTTTCAAAAGCAATATATTTTGTGTCAAATCTGCCCTGAAATTTTCAATTAAAAAGGCTTTTACAAAATAAAAAAATCATTTAAAAAATAAAAATTCTATAGGCAGCTAATTTTACTACGGTGAGTTTGACAGTTGTTCAATAATTATTATAAAAATGACTTTCAGTCAGTTCAAACTGAAAAATAATTTGGAAAATATTGTTAGTGATAATAACAATTATGATATATCTTGTACGCCCCCGGAATTAAGAGAGCTAGCGAAAGGTGTACATGATTCATTATTGCCCGCAAATACGAAGCGGCGTACTTAACCTATAGTGAATGGAAAAAATCTAAGAACGTCAAAGTGACATCGGAAAATGTTCTTATCGTTTATTTCCAGGAATTGTCACAAAAGTGGAAAGCATCTACGATTTGGGCAACTTTCTCAATGCTCAAATCTACCATTAGTATAAAAGAAAACATTCAGATTGAAAATTATAAAAAATTGGTTGCTTATTTGAAAAGAGTATCGGAGGGCTGCAAAGCGAAAAAGTCAAACATTTTGCAAGCAGAAAATTCCTAAATGAGGCTCCTAATTATAAATACTTAGCTACTAAGGTAATAAATAACATTTTAACATAGCATAAATACCAAAAACTATCTTATCATGCAGGTTGCTTGGTTTGGTTAGGTAAACACAAATGGTCTTTGTCGCCCTAGGGCGGAAATATTATTGCCCGACTCCGCCCACCGGGCACAATCTGACTCTTGGCGCCCGCCTAGGCGCCTAAGCTTACATGCATGTAAAGCCTTATTTCAGGGTAGGTTTGACACAAAAAAAATTATAATTCAGTATACAATTTAACGTTTACTTTTATTTTCTTGAGTCAATTCAATGTTAAGATTTATTTGTATTTTTTCCTGTAATGAATTTGTTATCCTTAGGGATATTTTTTAATTAAAATGTTAAATTGTTGATTGCTTTGTATATTTTCAAAAAAATATTAATATTTCCCAAAAAAGACAATTTTTCCCTTTTTTCCGACACTTTAAAACTCTGCATAAGACTTTTATTTCCACCTTCTTAGTAAATGGCATTTTATAAGTTCATTTTGTTGTTTTTGTATCCAAGTAAACGATACATTATGGGAACAGACCTGTAATATTTTACGGACCTGTAAAGTTTTCAGGGTTGAAAAGCAATTTAAGAAATGAAATGTCACATTTGACATAAGTATTAATTAAAATTTTAAATTTGAAAATCGTTATCTAAAGGTGAAAATAAAAGTTTGTACGTGTCACGCTTTGCAATTAATCTTTACTAGGCTCATTGGATTATGGGGTTCGCTCCTGCGTCGCTCACCCTACAAACTTCCAGCTCGCCCGTAAAGATTAATTTACAAAGCTTGAGACGTAAATAACTATTTCTGTGTAAAGTTAAACAATGGGTTTCTGGTGAATTACCCTCATCTGAGTATTTTGAAACATTTTTATACAGACTTTTATACTACCCTACAAAGTTAAAATGCAGTATATCCATTTTTATGATATTTTGTTACTCAAATTTGATACAGTACAGTACCGACATGGTCATTTTGTTTCAGGACGTGTACAAAATCGGCGGTATCGGAACCGTACCGGTGGGCCGAGTCGAAACCGGCGTGCTGAAACCCGGCATGGTGGTGACGTTCGCCCCCGCAGGTCTCACCACCGAAGTAAAATCGGTGGAAATGCACCACGAAGCCTTGCAAGAGGCCGTCCCCGGCGACAACGTCGGCTTCAACGTGAAAAACGTGTCGGTAAAAGAGCTGCGTCGCGGCTACGTGGCGGGCGATTCGAAAAACAACCCGCCCCGCGGCGCCGCCGACTTCATCGCGCAGGTGATCGTCCTGAACCACCCGGGGCAGATCGCCAACGGCTACACGCCGGTGCTCGACTGCCACACGGCGCACATAGCTTGCAAGTTCGCCGAGATCAAGGAGAAGTGCGACCGGCGCACCGGGAAGACCACGGAAGAGAACCCGAAGGCCATCAAGTCGGGGGACGCGGCCATCGTCAACTTGGTGCCCTCCAAGCCGATGTGCGTCGAGTCGTTTTCCGAGTACCCGCCTCTCGGCCGTTTTGCCGTGCGCGACATGCGCCAAACCGTCGCTGTTGGTGTTATTAAGTCTGTAAACTTCAAAGACACCACTGGTAAAGTCACGAAGGCCGCCGAGAAGGCCCAGAAGAAGAAATAACTAGGCTTAGTCCAGTCTTCTGCCGCCGGCCCCAAGAAAATCTTCATCACTTATTACTATTACTTGCTATTCTCTAGGTGGCTTCAGCAGAATTATTTTCATCGGAAAGAGTTCAGGAGGAAAAATTTAATCGTTCCGTATTTTAGGTTTTATTATTTATTATTCGATTAATAATATTTATCTGTTGTTTTATCTCTTTCATTTTATTATTACTGGAAAGGCATTTCAGTTAGGATAAGGTTTTTAATTCATATTTGTTGATTTTTGTTAAGATGAATGATAGACTTGTACTACACATGTAACGGCTTCATTAAATAACTAATAAAGATGAAGCATCTCAAACACTACTCTTTTATTTCAAAAACCATCTCCCAAAAATAAGATTTAATTACAAATTTTAAATATATATATATTATTTGAAAATCTTTTTTTAATAATTGAAAAAAAAATATTGTCAAATGGCATATTTTTGTAAGAAATTAAATGCTTTACAAAAAAGGACTTAAGATGTATTAATTCATAAAATATGGTCTTTTTATAAGAGACTAAAGAAAAAATGGAAAACTGATAAGGAGGATCTTCCTATTAATATTAAGAGCTCAAATTCGGTGAGCACTTTCTAGAAATGCCTGAGAACCAATTTTTCAGTGTCTGAAGTAAAAAAAATATTCGATTTTTTTTAAACCCTAATATATAATAGTGTGACCCATTTGTTTGCAACTTACGAAGGCGTAGAAGGGCCAACAACAATATTTATTTTTTAATACAATTTTTAATCGACAATTATCGATCGGATCGACAATATATTTATAAAGATTTTACAGGGGTGAGTCGCGAGGGAATTGAACGCAAAATCGACTTTTTAAAAAAATAGAAAATTTTTCGATGTCAAATTCTAGGAAATTTTTTTTTTAAACTTAGTCCTCCATTTTTTTGTTCATAAAAATGATTAATTCTGCGTATAGTGTTACTACAGCAGCATTTATAAATCCAGTCTGTCAATTTGTTTTTTATATTTTTTCCCTATTTACTTTCTAATAAAATTTTTGATTTATAATAAAATAAATTTTATGATATTTTACACTTAAAACGATTACTTATAACAATCACTATATGTAGTGTCTTAAAAACCATCCAAACTAAGTATATGACAATAATAATAGCATATTAGAGAAAAAAATAAAAAGATTCAGCCAAATCGTAAGGGTTCGGGCATTGTGGGTTCGGGTTCAAAAGTGGTCGATTTGGCGTGGAACAACCAAGGACCAAATAAACTATGAATATGGGATTCCCCGAAATTATAAGAAATCTAGAAGGCAAAGGTCCAACCCTGTATATAAAATTTAAAAAACAGTGTCCTTTGTTAACGGCATTTATATTAACAAAGGACCCTGATTTACCGGCATTAAACATAATCGGTGACATAACCTACATCTAGTGTCAAAATGAATTTTGCAAAAACAATAACTTCCCTATTAACACCCTTGTGCACGAGCCAAAACGTGAGTATTCCTTAAAAACTACCCCCAAAACTTACCAATTTTTAATTTATCACGTGCCTTAGCTCCAACAAATCAGAACAAAATGGGTTAACCGATGGATGATCAGAGACGTAAAAAGAAGAAAATTAGCCACCGAAATGGCCCCCGAAAGACTCCGTATCAACTCTCTAAGAAGAAACAACATACTACCCCCAGAATTAAGGGAAATTGCCGACACGGAAATAGCTGCAATGCCAAGAGATTCATGCTTGTCGAGAATCAACAAGCGATGTGTTATAACATCAAGACCCAGAGGTGTAGTGGACAGATTTAGGATGAGCAGAATCGTGTTTAGACATTTAGCAGATTATAATAAATTGTCTGGTGTACAAAGAGCTATGTGGTAACTAATGTTAAGTTTATAGTAAACAATTTAGGTATCGTTTAATCCTTTTGTATTTTTCACCTCCTTACTTTAAATTTGGAAATTGACACATTTGATCACAGAACATTTGATCATAGATAACAAAGCCTTTGATTATGTTAATATACTTTGGTATTTTTAATATTTAAAATTGGTACTCCTGTTCAAACCCTTAATTTTAAATACTTGGACATTGTCATTTAACTGTCAGAATTATAATATACACGTGTATTTATATGCTGGGAATGCAAATTTGACTCTTTTGGGCCGTTAAGTCACCTAAAGTTCATCATAGGTGAACTTTCAAAATTTATAAATATAACCAATTATAAATTTAGGGTTTCTAGAATTTTTGACGAATGTATGATAATGAAAATTAAATTATTGGAAATGTAAAAAAATACTAATGATCCAATGACACCAATTAAAAAGATCCAAATAAGGTTTTTTATTTGTACTTCCCAAAAAATCTTAATTTACCAGCTGGTCTATCTAAATTATTTATCTTTAAATTTGGCTTCAATTTTGGTTGTAAGTATGACTGGGTTATAAAATAACACAATTGTCTTATAAAAACGTGTTTATTCTTAGATTAAAACAAGTTTTATGTCCTTAGTCGAAAAGTCCAAGACCCATGTCATCGTCAGACTCTTCAGGTTCTTCTTCCTTCTTCTTTTCTTCCTTGGCTGGGGCAGCGGCGGCTGGTGCAGCAGCAGCTGGGCCAGCTGCAGCTGGACCGGCAGCACCAACTCCGGAACCAATGTTGGTGATCAATTCCTTGATGTTTACACCTTCCAAAGCTTTAGCGAAAAGTCCTGGCCAGTAAGGTTCAACATCAACGTTGGCGGCCTTTAAGATAGTTTGCAACTTCTCTCCCTAAAATACAAAAAAATCGCCCTGTATAAACAAACCCAAAAAATGACAACAAAACATTTTTAACGAAAAAATATCACAATAAACTATTAATCCAACGCTTTACAGCATCGAATAACCATAGTTTACAATCGGATGGACAAAAATTAACGAAATATTCGCGGATTAAACAATCTACCGCGCAATTCATCAACACATAACCTCAACAAAAAACATGATTTTTACTTACGGTGACGGCGATTTCATCGTCAGCCAAGATCAAGGCGGAGTAGACGCAAGCTAATTCAGCGTTGGAAGTCATTTTTATTTATTTATTTCTTGATAATAGTCGTGCAAGTCGCCTTTTGGCCTTAGCTCGTAGAGAACAAGCACTCGTCTCTAAAGCAGTTAACGGAAAGAAGAACTTTTGGAATGAATTTTTGACAGACAAAATTTCGGTCACGTGACCAAGAAGCACCAACCTAATATTGACAAGTAAGTTACCAGATTAAGGTGCGCTTACACAGTTTTATAAAAGAATTCTATTAAATTAATTTTATTTCCTTATTTTTAAATGATATTAAAATTTTTTCCATATTTGATTTACTCTTTGGTTAAGGTTTTAATAACTGGTAAAACAATTTTTATATTCCTTTAAAAGGTTAATATAACTTTGTAAACAAGGTTATACAAAGAAGCCTTTATCTATTTTATATTATAAAAAAATATTTCAAAGCCAACTTATGATGTTTTAGAGATATTTAATGAAATCTTAATACTCAAGTAATTATAATACCTACTCAAGTAAATATATTTTTACCCAACTTTACACAATATTTATTTATTACATAATTATTTTTTGTACTTTCTCTTTACTTTATACGCAATTTTAATCTATTTTAGGATGATATCTGTTATAAAGGGATTTTTGCCAAAAGTAAACACCGTCTTAGCAACCTCAGGCAACAATTTAAAAACTTTTATAAGATCTGAACATGGGAGATTGGAATCTCCTGGACATAGGGTTAACAACTTGGAACGTAAATTTCTGGTATGGACAGGCAAATACAAAACTGTAGAAGAAGTTCCAAACTTTGTTGCCCAGAATGTTATGGAAAGGGCTAGAAACAGGATGCGTATTAGGATTGCAAATTATATGATTGTCGGTACAGCTGTGGGTTGTCTTATCATGGTTTATAGCGGTAAAAATGCTGCCAAAAGAGGCGAATCCGTGCAACAACAAAATCTTGAATGGCACAAATCAGTAAAAGAGGAGGAAGAAAGGGTTAAAAACCAAAAGTAATTGTTTATTATTAACATTTTAGTCTTCTATAGGTTATATTGTGAATGTATTTTATCAATTTTGCTTCATTGTATATTATTATCTCTGGTAAATTAGGAATTAAATTATAAAATTATATAGGTAGTTATTTTTATCACAGTGACTAGAGGCACGCTAACGTACCGCGATTGGAAATATTAAAGGCACGTTAGTTACGTCATAATTATAATCCGTTTTTGTTCCCTGTCCATTTAATATTTGACATCAAGCTAGATAGCTTATATGGTAGGGCGTTCGCTTGGCATGCGAGAGGTCCGGGGTTCGAAACCAAGAAGCTGTCGAATTTTTTTTATTTTTTTATTTCATAAATTTGTTGTTTCTTTGTTAAACAGTGTTCGGTTGGGTTGGGTTGGTTGATTTGTTTTAGTTTTATCGTAACATAAAATCTACTAGAAGTTGTCGAACTTTTCTTATTTCATAAATATGTTGTTCCTTTGTTAAAAAGTGTTTTATTTTTATCGTAACATAAATTTGCCCATTTTAGTTGGGTTTTTTGTTCAATGGGGCGGGGGGGGGGCCAATGGGGCGGGGTCGGTTGGGTTGTGTTGTTGAGTTTGGGATGGTTTGAGTTTATGACGTAACTAACGTGCCTTTAACATTTCAAATCGCGGCACGTTAACGTGCCTGTAGTCACAGCGTATTTTTATAAATTTTATATAAACATAACCTAAAATATCCTAGGGGCAACAAATTATCTGGGGATTTTTGATTTTACACCAGAAATTGTCATCTTGTTTTATTTGTTGATAGTTGTTGCGTTTTGTAAAATTGCGTAAAAATAAGAAAAACTCGTATTTAATGCCAAGTTAAGTGCTTATAAATCAAATATATGCTATCTGTGAGTTATTTAGTAATTAACCATAATAGTATTAAATACATAAGTGTTCATCTATTGCCATGGGTAGGAAGTGTAGTGTAGATGGTTGTTTATCCGATTCTAATAGAAACGAAGACGCCGGTGTGACTTTCCACAAAGTTCCTGTACACTCCGATATACGCCCAAAATGGTTTTCATTGTGCCACATACCAGAAGACAAAAAAAACTTGAAGGTTATTTATGTTTGCTCTCGACACTTTTTGAGGGCAGACTTTTGCAATTTCAAGGGTAAAAAGTACATGTTAAGGCAGGGAGTGTTACCTAGTGTGTTTCCATGGGATAAATCCAAGCTGCAAGCTATTAAAGTTAAGAGAGAAAGTGCAGAAGAAAATGTGTGCAAAATTGAGCCTGAAGATTCTTCTGAAGAAGTGCCCACACTTGAGCTTAAAGCTGAAGATGAATCTGATGTAAAACCGGATATAAGTATGGTGGTTAAATCGGAACCAATGGAAACTGAAGAACCTATTGTTGTTAAAAATGAAGAAGTACCTAAAATTATATCTGAAGAGGATATTAAGGTTGAAGAAAAGGATATATCGAAAAAAGAAGAGATGGATAAAATTAAGTGCACTTCTGCTTCAGGAATTAATTTCTCTATAAATTCCAAGCTGGAGGCTTTAGATTTTAACAATATGTGGTATCCCGCTAAAATTGTGGAAGTGGATTATGAGGAAAATGAGGTTTTGATACATTTTGAGAAGTTCTCTAGTAAATATGATGAGTGGATTTGCATGGACAGCCCCAGGTTGAGGCCTCTATTACCACCAGGCAAAAATCCTGCTGCTGCAGAACAATTTGCAGTTGGTGAAAAATGCATGGCTGCTTGGAGTGACAGCAGAAAATTCCCTGCTACAGTAACAAGGATTTTGGAAAAGGGTAAGTTAAAACAATATTTTGTCATATCACATTGACAGACATATTTGACTTATTATTCACCCATATTAAATATCACTTGGCAATTGATTACTTTACTGATAAGATAAGTCCATTGTGATTGATTGTAGATGTGTATGAAGTGTTGTTTGATGATGGTTTTGTAAAAACTGTGAAGGGACATCGTATGAGCAAATCGCAAGGCAAACAAATGCAGACCTCGCCATTGTTTGACCCCATTAAAAGCACCAAGCAGGAAAGAAGGGACAAAAAGCGCCGAATCAATGTGGCCGCTTTGTTCTGCAAAAGAAGCAGGGTGGGGGGAAGCGGGGATGACAAAAAACCGCCCCCTGTCAGTGTAGACACTTCAGTTGTGGAAGAGGAGCCTCCGAGGGAGCCCTGGATGCCTGTGTATGTTGTCAAGAGTTGTGTTTGCTTTAATGGTGATAATAACTTTTGTTGCAGTTGGGAGAACGGTCGCCCCATTGGGACTGAAGCAATCGTTGAAACCAATGATGGGCCGAGGAATTCAGTCATAGTGCCAGATCATAGGCTGCCTTCTGGTTGGGTTAAGCACTTAATGCAAAGGGTACATGGTACTTCAGCTGGTAAATGGGACACAATTATTGTTGGGTATGAATACAGTTTATTTTTTGTTTTTGGTAATATTTTATTTTATTGTTTTTAGGCCTGATAATAAGAGATTCAGAACCAAATCGGAAATAAAGTCTTACTTGGAACACCATCCAGGTTTAGGAGACATTAATGAAATGATGTTTGACTTTAGCTTACATAGACAAAGGCAGAAGAAAAAAATAATACCTCCTGCTGACATTCAGGAACCAGGACATGAAGACTCATATCCGGAAGAAGCTCCAAAAGAAGGTGTGTATTTATTTATTATAATATTATTAAGGTTTTATTATTCCAAGTCTTTGGGTTAGGAAACATTTTTTTTGCAATTTTAACGTTAAAATCCGAGTTCTACAAACTTGTATATTTAATGAGTAATAACCGATTATTTTACGATCGAATATATATTTCTTTATTATCTTTATCGCCGAAATTGTCATTTAAAAGTTGTTAAATATGTATTAAATTTTAATTACCTACAACTGTTATTGGAAAAATTGTTTCATGCAAGCAATTGTTTACTGTTTATACTGCTTATTTGCGACATTTTGTATGGATGTTTCTTTTTTAGATTTTACGATACACTTTTTTTTTTTCAAAACTACCACAATAGTTCACAATTAACTTAATTAAGTATATTCTGTCAATAATTAACATTACTATGGTAACGTTTTTCGCTTGTGACGGTGGCAGTGACAGTTCTATATGCAGTGTTATTTAAAATCTTAAAATGAGTTCTATAAACGAATTTAAAAAAAAGTATCAAAACAAAAAATAAAGTGACAAAAAACATGCAGCATGTCAAATGCAGCTAAAATCTAAAGAGGAGCAGAAATCAAAGAGAAGATAATCATAAAAGGTAGGATTGACTAATTAATTAAAAATGAGGACTAAATACAATTATGGTAGTCACCAAATAAATCAAACCAAATTCGGTATGCTGATGCGCATGTTATAGCTATCTCTCTTGCACCGTGTGACGTCATGCGCGAACCAAAAGCTGGCTGGGTTGGAATGTTAATGGCACTGCAAATTCACGTTATATGCGAAAATTTATAAATATAGGGACGGCCTGGGTGCAATTATTAAGTGTAACAAATGTTAAGAGAAAGTTAAATTGGCAGCAAGCGCTTTTAATACAATGTAACAAATTTTAATCAACAATTATTTCCTACTTTCCTATTTTATTTTTCAAAATATAGTCATAGCGTATGGCTATGCAAAATTGTAACAATCTGGTTCGCATGTGACGTCACTTGTACTTGTACTTGTACAATACTCATTTTTCTGGTCAAAAATGGTGCTGCTATTCGCGAATTACCCTCAATACAAGATGAAGGAAAAGCTGCAAGGAGTTGATGTTTAAAAACATTTATCTCAACCAATGAATTGCAATAATACCTAAAGACTTGGACTGTTGTAATTTTATTATTTTATTTTATTCTAGAAAACCCAAATGCCTTAAAAATCGAATTCATCGACAACGCCTTCAAATGTCCGATCGAGGGCTGCGGCAAAAACTTCCGCAAGGAAAATTTGGCCCAAATGCACGTCAAGCATTACCACAAAGAGTACACCAAATATCTCGACTCCACTCCGAACGTGGCCGACCTGGCTTACGCCCGAACGGTGGGCGAGAACCTCGAAAAATCCCCCGGCCCCCCCAAACAAACCCCCACCAGAAGCGCCGCCAAAATCACCACCCCCAAAGCCCCAAAAGTGCCCCTCGAGACCGAATTGAAATGCCAAGTTGGGGACTCGACCAACAAAGACTCGGAGATAATTAAGTTGTTGAGTAGTAAGCCTTTCGATAAGGATTCAGTGGAATCCATTCGGCCCATACCGTCCGGTTTACCTTCGAATATGTATCCCGATATCAAGTTGAAAGATCTTCTGGTTGTTTCCGAGGCGGTTCCGAAACGCGACGATATCAACATGAAAACCTTGTGTTCCACCCGCCCCCCCATCGGTATTAAAACCCTTCTTCCGGTTCGCGCGGGAGATTCTTCGGCGAAGCGCAAGCGCGGTTTTTCCGAGAACGAGAAAGGTAACCCCCTACACCCCCCACCACCACCACCACAACCACCAATCACAGACGCCACACTACTCTCCCCGCTGACGCAACTCAACACCGAAGACCAGTTTCACCCCCACCACCCGCCCAACAACGACACCATCATTGAAGGTAAGGATGGGATCTATTTCTACTGATAACTATCAGTAATTTCGAGTGAATTACTGATAACTATCAGTAGTTTGTTTTTTCTTGGAGTACTTGTTTCTAACTGCATGTTTTAACGCCAGAAAATTAAATAGTTTATAATTTTACCTAAATACTTGTTATAAAACCTATCGGCTATAATATGTATATTGTTTGGAAGTCTGTTTTAAATTATATAATATATAGTATAATATAATAGACTTCAAAACAAAATGTTTTGATGCTTACGGTATTTTGGCAAAAAGTCATCGATATAATACACGGAAATACTATTCGTGAATTCCACGAGTATTTTTTACGAGTACATTGAATTTGGTTTGTAAGTACGAGTAATAAGTATTTCAAATAAAAAATACTTATGAGTAAAAAAGTACTCGTACTTTTTTACTCCTAATTGAAATACGAGTAAAAGTACTCAGCCAGCTTTGGTATACGCCTCAAATTTGGAATATATTACATTATTGAAAATTTTGACTGAGACTAAAATATTTGATTTCTTATTATTTGCCCTAGTAGCAATTCCGGAAAAGTCTTGGCCCAGCATGGGTCAAGATACTTTGGACAGATTTTTGCTCAAGAATTGTTCCAGATTCTTGGCCAAGATTATTGGGCAAGACTTGAGCCAGACTGTGGCTAGAATTTGAAAAGAATTTGACTAGAAATCTGAGGCCATCTATTGCTAAACTTTGGGACTATCCTATAGAGAAGATGTTCTCATTCTACAGTAGTATCATTCACAATAATGTATACTAGTTGAGAAGTGAGTTGTCTGTAGGAAATGAGTATAGTTTTTTTGTTTATGTGAAAATACGAATAAGAGCTTATTGGATTCGTCTTCTAGCTAAGAAAAAATTGATTTTTTGAAAAATAAAAATTGTTATTTCTAAAAAACAAAAATTAAAAAAAAAAGTGTGTGTCAGCTCTGACGCATAACTAGAGTTTACTTTTTATGAACATGAAAGATTATAAAATACATGTTTATTTTTACGGGCACCTGTTTTTTTTTAACATAGAAAATTAAAAACTTTAACTCTTTCAAAATTTGTTTCGTTTTTAATTCTATTGTTTACCAGATTTATGGATAAAAACCGAATTTACTGGAAAGAAATCGTGGAAAATTAATGTTTTTAGTAACATTCTTAACTTTTGAAGTCCAACAAAATTTTGTATTGACCAAAAATCTTGAATTGAAAGTTTCTATTTAACGTGTAATCGTGTAAAAATTCTTGGCCAAGAATCTGGTCAAATTCTGGTCACAGACTTGTCCAAGTCTGCCACCAGTCTGGATAAAGAATTTTGATCGAGTCTTGGTCAATAATTGTCCAATTCTTTACAAAGTGCTTCTCCAAGTATCTTGACAAAGAATCTTGTCCAATTCCATTGCTACTAGGGTGGTAGTTTACACATAAGAAACCAATAACAATGTAAAAAAACTTCTATTATAGGTAGTTACTTTTTTTTAAAGACCAAATCAAAACAAACCCTGACGCCTGATCGCCGCAGGTGGAGAGCGCGGCCCTTATTGGTCAATTCGGTGGTAATGGAACGTGCATAGCACGTGACTGTATTTATATTTACTAAATGACATTTTGTGGCTAAATTTTAGTCTATAAACTGGACTGGAAACATAAAAAATTAGACAAATAAAACTAACCTTCAGTATTTGACTGCACTGTGGTATCCTGCACGTAAAGGCCTTATTGTGCCTATTCAAATCTTGCAAAATAGGGCGATAAAAAATATATACAACCTCCCAATTAGATACAGCACAAAAGCTCTTTTTGTAAACTATAATGTTATGCCTCTTGAAAACATCTATAAATACCAGGTATCTGTTTATATACACCAAGTTAATCTTAATACTCGCCATTCCAATATTTCATTAAAATTTCGCAACGACTACCATGACCATAACACACGTCATAAGTCTGATGTAAACCTAGAAAGGGTTTTATCAATGAGAGGTAAAGGTTGCATATATCATAATGGTGTCAAAATTTACAATGCGTTGCCTATTGAAATCAGAAACAAACACATTAGGGGTTTTACGTCTGGTTTGAGATGTTTTCTGGAGTCTGACTTGAGATATCTTTTGGAGTCTGAGCTGTAATGGTCACCAGTGTGGTCTATGCTCAGACCGCACTGATGGTTGTTGTTCGGGCTTTGGGGGACGCCTCGGGTTAGACTTCCAAGCTAGGGTGTTTCAACGGGTATTGTCATTTTATTTTATTTTTATTCTCTTTTCCGTCCTTGCATTATCAAACATGTAATGTACCTATCTATAGTATAGAAACTAGCTTAAGCTTTTAAAACATGACGAAATGTGAAATGAATATCTACTACTACTACTTTTATATTTTTATTTTTTATTGTTTGTATATTTTTGTTGTATTGTTGTGAGAGGATGAATCCGTATAGAGTGTTAACGTGCACTCTCTGGATTTTTCAAAATAAACGTATTTTCTTTCTTTCTTTCAACTAATCTTGAAAAAAAACATAAAATAAGTCACATCTCTAGTAATTACTGACAGTTTTCCCATCCTTAATTAAAGGTGGGGAGGTGATCAAAATAGTGCGCATGAAGCAGGAAGAGATCATAAACTGCACTTGCGGATTTACTGAGGAGGACGGCTTGATGATCCAGTGCGAGCTGTGCCTGTGCTGGCAGCACGCCTACTGCAACAACATCGAGCGCGAGAGCCAGGTGCCGGAGAAGTACGTGTGCTACATCTGTTTGAACCCAGTGCGGGAGAGGGCGTCGATGCGGCACGCGCACGATCAGGACTGGCTGAAGCAGGGGGCGCTGCCGGCGGCCGGGTACCACAGCAAGGACGAGGAGGCGATGCAGAAAAGGTTCGAGAAGTTGAAGAAGCTGCACGATATTTCCGGCGCGCTGGGCGAGCTGAGGGAGTTCCAGCACAGTTTGAGCGTCAAGTTAAAGATTGCGGGGTAAGTTTTGTTTTTTTTTAAATACGTGGACGATTTAATTATTATTTTAGACAATTTATATTAATTTATATAATTTATAAGCGATTATCAATCCTTATGAACCTTTCAACTCCAATTCATTGAACACTGTAAAACGACACGGAATTGTTTTCAGTCGCTCAAATCTGTCAAACTTACCTTGAGAACTTTACTATTTAAACTAATTTAAACAATTGGGAACTTTACTATTTAAACAAATTTCTCGCTAAAACAATTGAATGAATGAATTTGTGGTTATGTTTTTTTATTTAATCTGAAGCGCAGCTACGAACGCCATCTATTCAAATTAATCCAAAGTTGTACGAATTTTGATTTTCGGGCTGTTCCTTTCGGTTTTTCCGAGGGTTTTTCCCAATCTATTTTTTATTTAAATCAGCCCTGTATTAAGGCGACCAAAACAAAAAAAAAATATTCAAATCGGTTGAGCCATTTCTGAGTTTAATAGTAATTTAATTTGAAGCGCAGCTACGAACGCCATCTATTCAAATTAATTCAAAGTTGTACGAATTTCGATTGTTTTGATTTTCCGGTTGTTCCTTTTGGTTTTTCCTAATGTATTTTTATTTGAATCACACCTGTATTGAGGCAAATTTATATTTTTTATTTTTCAAAGTCATTTCTAATAAAATATTCCGGTCCGCCCCGGGCCCCCGGTTCAGAAGGGCCCCCAAATCTTAGAATAGAATAGAATAGAATTGGGAACTTTACTATTTAAACAAATTTCTCGCTAAAACAATTGAATGAATGAATTTGTGGTTATGTTTTTTTATTTAATCTGAAGCGCAGCTACGAACGCCATCTATTCAAATTAATCCAAAGTTGTACGAATTTTGATTTTCGGGCTGTTCCTTTCGGTTTTTCCGAGGGTTTTTCCCAATCTATTTTTTATTTAAATCAGCCCTGTATTAAGGCGACCAAAACAAAAATAAATATTCAAATCGGTTGAGCCATTTCTGTGTTTAATAGTAATTTATTTTGAAGCGCAGCTACGAACGCCATCTATTCAAATTAATTCAAAGTTGTACGAATTTCGATTGTTTTGATTTTCCGGTTGTTCCTTTTGGTTTTTCCTAATGTATTTTTATTTGAATCACACCTGTATTGAGGCAAATTTATATTTTTTATTTTTCAAAGTCATTTCTAATAAAATATTCCGGTCCGCCCCGGGCCCCCGGTTCAGAAGGGCCCCCAAATCTTAGAATAGAATAGAATAGAATAGAATTGGGAACTTTACTATTTAAACAAATTTCTCGCTAAAACAATTGAATGAATGAATTTGTGGTTATGTTTTTTTATTTAATCTGAAGCGCAGCTACGAACGCCATCTATTCAAATTAATCCAAAGTTGTACGAATTTTGATTTTCCGGCTGTTCCTTTCGGTTTTTCCGAGGGTTTTTCCCAATCTATTTTTTATTTAAATCAGCCCTGTATTAAGGCGACCAAAACAAAAAAAAATATTCAAATCGGTTGAGCCATTTCTGAGTTTAATAGTAATTTATTTTGAAGCGCAGCTACGAACGCCATCTATTCAAATTAATTTAAAGTTGTACGAATTTCGATTGTTTTGATTTTCCGGTTGTTCCTTTTGGTTTTTCCTAATGTATTTTTATTTGAATCACACCTGTATTGAGGCAAATTTATATTTTTTATTTTTCAAAGTCATTTCTAATAAAATATTCCGGTCCGCCCCGGGCCCCCGGTTCAGAAGGGCCCCCAAATCTTAGAATAGAATAGAATAGAATTGGGAACTTTACTATTTAAACAAATTTCTCGCTAAAACAATTGAATGAATGAATTTGTGGTTATGTTTTTTTATTTAATCTGAAGCGCAGCTACGAACGCCATCTATTCAAATTAATCCAAAGTTGTACGAATTTTGATTTTCCGGCTGTTCCTTTCGGTTTTTCCGAGGGTTTTTCCCAATCTATTTTTTATTTAAATCAGCCCTGTATTAAGGCGACCAAAACAAAAAAAAAATATTCAAATCGGTTGAGCCATTTCTGAGTTTAATAGTAATTTATTTTGAAGCGCAGCTACGAACGCCATCTATTCAAATTAATTTAAAGTTGTACGAATTTCGATTGTTTTGATTTTCCGGTTGTTCCTTTTGGTTTTTCCTAATGTATTTTTATTTGAATCACACCTGTATTGAGGCAAATTTATATTTTTTATTTTTCAAAGTCATTTCTAATAAAATATTCCGGTCCGCCCCGGGCCCCCGGTTCAGAAGGGCCCCCAAATTTTAAGTAGTCTTTCTCAGTCCAACAAAAACTATCTAAAATAGGGTTTTCAAATTTTCGGAAAAATTGAGCCGGCAAAAAAACGTTTTTTTTTTCGAAAAAAAATTGGGAAATTTTCAGAAAAATTGACTTGCATTTTTCTCATTTTATTCAAAGAATAATACGAAAAAATGCAAAAGTCAATTTTTCGAAAAATTTACAATTGTTTACAGATATCTAGGTACTATCCGTACACTGATATCGAGAATAAAGTAAATTTCCGACGCTGAATATAGACATATCATTTTCTTAAATCAATTTAATTTAATTCAATGTTTAGTTTTATTTTTTTTAAATTAAATTAATGTTAAGTTGTTGATTGCTACTTTTCTCAAATGTATATATTTTTCCAAAAAAAAATTCAATTTTTCCCAAAAAATACATTTTTTTAAGGCTTGTTTTTTCCCCAATTTTTTCGGTTTTTTTTCGACACTTTAAAACCCTAGTATACGTATAAATATTTCAGGACCCAGCTTTACCATAAAATATAAACTGATAAAAAAAATACCCCGGAGATTTCAAGTTTCTAAAAAATAACATGCTATGAAAAAAAAACAAAATATAAAGTCAAAACTAAAAAAGATTTTTTAATATTTTGGTCTCGGGAGCCCCTAGCTGCAATCCATCAGGAATTAGAAAAAAAATTATTAAATAATGGTTAATCTTAGACTGCCATGATCTACTAGCAAATTTAAAATAACAAAACATTAATATTTACAAAACAATCACATTATTTCACAAGCAGACTAGGGGCCCCATTTTATTTTACCGCCCCGGGCTCCGACGGGTTTAGTCCGCCACTGTATACAAGTAGTCACAATCTACACAACACAAAAAATATTAAAAATTACGAAGTTAGGCACAGACTCAAACGGCGGTCATTTGTTGTTTACAATTCTTGTGCTTCGGGTTTGTGCTGTTGATACAGATTAAAAATCGTTTTAAACGTAATCTTTTGTAAAAATTAAACCCTATTCTATCAGGTCTGTCATCAAACTGTCAAATGTCAATTTTAAGGTTAATTTGTGGCTATGGTAAATTTGTGGGTCATGGTAAATTAACCTTAAAATTGACATTTGACAGTTTAATGACAGTCCTGATAGAATAGGGTTTATTTTTTACAAAAGAGGAGTAAAATGGTTGCCCTTAGCACTTTGCAGACTCTTTTAAGGAAAGAAACACAACATTTAAAACGATCTTTAATCTGTATAAACAGCACAAACCCGTAGCACAAGAAGCACAACATAAAAATGGCCGCCGAGTCTGTACAGTGGGTTGCCTAACTTCGTGATTTATAGTTTGAATTGTGCAAGTAGTAAAATTTGTGATTTTAACTAGGTACAGGGTGTTTAAAAGTTGGGAAAACAAAATCTATTCTAGACATTTTAATCACCCTGTAGTTAAAATGACAAATGTTACTGTTAGAATGTTATTTTTTTTACACAAGAAACATTTTATCAAGAATTACTTTTCTTGTAAATATTATAAATAAAAATTTAAATAAACTAGGTTATGAAAAAAAAGAAGAAAAATAAACTTTAGACTTCGTTTTTAATTATTAACAACTTTATTAACAACTTTACGATGGAAATTATAAAGTTTATTTGTTTTTTCCAGGATCAAGTTTATTTTCATTACATTTTTGATTTTTCAATAAAAGTCATTCGTAAAAATGTTTTAATTGTCAAAAAAATAATATTCAAGTGGTAATATTTGTAATGTTTAAAATTTAGGAAAACAACGTCTATTCAATACATTTTAAACACCCTGTAGTTAAAATCGCAAAATTTACTACTTGAATGTTATTTTTTAGACAAAAAAAAACCTTTTATAAGTATAAATAAACTCAATTCTGGCAAGAAAAAAAAAATTCAACTTCAAAATCAGCTTTTTCCCTCTTGTAAACTCTATCTGGGGTCATACTGTATATTTAAAAATGAGAAAATGAGATTGCATAGAATGGAAAATATCACCCAAAAACATATCATTTTTAGGGCCAAAAATCATCCAAAACTCTACCTATGGTCGAAACCTTGGGACAAGCCTCCTCTACCAGAAAAAGCAGACCTCCCGAAAGACAACAAAGACGACATCAAACTCAAAACTGAAGAACCCGAAGACGTCAAACTGGATTCCCAAAACGACTCGATGTTGATGATGATTCTCAAAGGGAAAGGCGACATTACCAACCTCGTGGACTCGAATGCCCCCATAATTCCCAGGCCGGAAGCGGCCATAGACTCCGCCGATTGCAAGTTCAATCTCTTGGAGCACATTGCGCATGCGGAGTCGCTCATAGACGAGAGGTTGAGCGATTTCGAGAAAATTGTCGAGGGCTTGGAGGAGGGAATGAACATTGAAACCGACGAAAATTACCCGAAAACGCGACAAACCTTGCAGATGCTAATGAAGGACATTGGAGTTCTTGGGGAGTTTAGTCAGTTGACCACACTTTAATTATGTTAATTTTTTATATGTTTATGACTAACTTACTAGTCACTATTATAGTTCATTTTTATATCAATAAAAATATCAACAGTTCCATTAAAGTTTTATTAAAAAAAATAATATAACCAATAAATAAACATTAACACTAAAAACTATGGCACGTCGTTTTAACCTTTATTAAATTTTTAACTTCAAAGTTTATTAATTATTATTCCCAACTAAAAATTTTAGGTTTACATTTATAAATCAAAATATTTTCAACTATCATGTATTGAAGGTCAAAATTTACCAACAGTTCACTTCTGTATTAAACAATATTATTTTCAATCAATTTTTGCAAAAATTTGTAACCATCATTTTTTAATAAAAATAATTTCTTAAGTATAATTTATTTGGGCAGAATTTTGTAAATCTTAAATAAATATTTAATACAATTATTTATATTAAATTGGTAAGTTTAAATTTTTTTAAACTCAAATTGATAATCAAAAATATTTTTAATATAAAATGCAAATGTAAAAGACTTAGTTTAAAATATTGGTTTATTTTATTCTACAAAATTATTGGTTTAAATTTGCTAAAAGTCATTTAAATGATAGTCGATAAATTTTTAATCCAAAAATTACCATTTAAATGTAATGTGCGAATTTTTGTATTAAACATTAATCATATAATTTTGTAGACTAAAATATTTGTACTAAAATGTTTAAAAATCGTTATTACAGTTGTATTTTTATTTAAAAAAAAATTTGACTCAATTGCTTTCTGTTAAAACATCATTAAAGTGCTAAACTTTAATCTTCAAACTATTATCTAATAAATGCTTAAACGAGGTGCCATAAAAACACATTACAACTCATCGTCGAAAATTTTCCTTAACCTACCAATTCTTTTAATTTCATTGCTGGACTTATTCTCAGGCAATTCGCAAATAATACTGTATCTGACAGAACAATCAGTCCCTTTATAAGAATAGGATCTTAATGCAGGATCGTAAGCTAATTTTAAACACCTCCCTTCCCCTGTAATATTAGCCGCAGGATTTTTCTTGTTTTCTGTGTTTCCCGGCGCCACTGGGCGTGCGCTGTTGCTCCAAATCCACAACAAACCAGGGTTTAAACCACCCGTCCAAAAGTCTTTACCTGAAACAGTAACTTAAGATTTATGCCGCTCAGTGTAATTTTAGTTTTGGGCTGTTTGAACTACCGCTTGTAGTAATGCGCAACTACTGTCGAAAATGTGAGCAGTTGGTAGACATGTTTGTTTAAAATTTGACGTTTCTAGCGACAATTGACCCCTTTTTCTATGATTGACCCTTTTCCCTTTTACTTATAAGTACTATAGTTTTAGTTATGTGGTTTTAGTTTAGTTATAGAAAATTTCTATTAGAAATCCCTGAGTGGGAGTCTATCTCTGGTGGGAGTTTAATGCTAAATCATGGAATATATGGTAAGTTTTTTACCTCTTAAAAACTCATTGCTTTGTATGTGTGCAATAATATCCTGAGCTTCCTCAACGCTTTCCATCTCAGCCAATACACCACCTTCTTTTTTGCAATATTTACTTGCGGCTTTCCAGTCATATTCCCTGCCTGCTGTACTTGAAAATTGGTAACAATTTGGCCCCACTCTCGAGTAACTATTTGGACAAGGCTCAGCTACAATATTAAAAAAAACATACCTATTTGGAATTTCATTATTTAAATTTGTATTTTGTGTTGGTAGTACATTTTTCATAAATATAGGTTATGTTTATGTCATAACAAAAACATGTGCATGTAAAAAACGCAATATTTTAATTTTCGACTTATATAAATATACAAAAACGGATAAAAATGGGTAAAAATAATAAAAAGAATAATGTTTTTAAAGTTGCTGGTGCTAAAAGTTTTAAATCAAAGGCGAAAGCGAAATCAGTAAAAACAGATTTAAAAAATGTAAGTAAATTTGCTAATGTAGATAAATCTAAAGTTCCTATAAGAGTATTTGTATATTTTAGATAAATAATATTAAAAATAAAAAGCAAGAAGTTGATAAATTATTGACAGAATTGCAAGATAAAGTTAGGAAAATTGATACCGTACCTGAAAAAAGTACTGTAAATAAAACAAAATTAAAAATTAAATCCAAAGAAGATGTAGAAAAAGAAAAAAAATCTATAGAAACATTAGATAGTATGAATGCAATGTCAGTATCATAAATAAATAAATTCTTATATTTAATTAAGTTTATGTACCTTCATTATCAACCCTATTTCCAGCCATAACATAGTAAAGCATTTCTTCCACTCTCCTTAGCCTTTTCTCCATAAAATCATGTTTGTATACCAATTTTTCTATGGCACTAAGTAAATATAAGTCAGTTTCTGATATTGGCCGACCAGCTGGTTTTTTATTGTAATTATTGTTATAATGAATATTATTATTGTTGTTGTTATAGTTAGGATTATTATTATTGGTGACGATTTTTCCCGGACTTATTTTACTTTCCTTTTCTATATTAGCAATTGGGACGTTATCTATTTTATCTTCCAATATGTATGCGGGCCGCATAAGAGGTATTTGCATGACACGTCCGGTTCTAAAAATATTTTTTTTTACTAATTGCAAAAATATTCTTATGGAAAATATACATGTTCGAAATTAATATATTTTTTACCTTTTGGTTCCTACAACCCAGTCCTCCAACAGGGGGCCCCATATAGCCTCATCCTCAGTCCACACGGCGGGGTTATCACTATATTTTCTACTTGTATTTGTTACAAAAATAGCCTCGCACAGGCTTAATAAAAAAATACCGGTTAATAAAACGAATATTAAGTTCATGTTCCACTTTTAATTGACACGAATTGACACGGCGAGACGCTGCTTTAGAATGGAGCGCTAAAAGACCAAAATGATTCATTGAAAATGAAAGTACTCTCTCTTTGACGCGTATTTTCACATTAAAATATTAAAATTGTGAGGCATGAATATTAAAATTGTTTGTATATGAAATGTCCTGTTTTATAGAAGATGTTGACCCCTTGACCCAAAATTTTGCATGTTGAGTAGGATCTGGGTTTTACCTAACATGCAACAGTGTTTGCATTATTTAGATCCTACATAAATTAATATATCTACAAACAGTGTCCTGTTTTAAATTAACTACAATTATAATTTATTTGGTTAAAAAAATATATTAAATATAATTTTTACATTACCAAATTTTGGTAATGTTAACATAAATAAATTTATTATGTTAGGTTTTAGGCAACAATAATGTTTTGCCAAATACCTATAATAGGGACCTAACCTAATTTAATAGTGAAATAAAACGTAAAACCAATTAACTTTCTCAAATAATATTTGCATGAATTTCAGCAAACGTTTACAATAAATATACAGTGTGTTGTTTTTCGCTGTAAAATTTAGTGTTGGGATCATTCGAGTGAAAAATAACCTACTACCCGGTTATTGAAATAACTTAAATTATTCGGTTATGAGTTTCGGATCCAAGTGATGAATAACCGGTTATTTGCGCAGTGTTTATTTTTGAAATAACCTGGTTGGCAAAAGTCTGAAACGCCGTGGTAAATAAAGTTATCTGTAATATACAGGTTATATTTTTAGTAATCTGCTCATTTGACAGTTGAAGTTTGTTTAAAATTTGAATTTATAGAAATTTGTTAACAAAAATTAGCATTAAATTTAAATTACTACGTGGAAAAACTAAAAATGTAAACACTTAAAAATTTAATAATAATTTTTTGCCTACTAAAATTATGTTGAAAACATACCAAAAAAGTAGATTTCTAGAAAAATGGTAATACTGCTTGAACATAGTATGTATTACAAGCCTTTTTTAAGGAATCGGGTTAACAGAAAATTGCTTCTTTACAATCCGGTCCGGAATGTAAAGAAGCAACCCCACAATTAGGGTTGCCAACCGTCCTATATTCAATAGGACAACCTTATATTTCACGCTTGTGTCCTATATTGTTCTATATGTCCTATATTGTCCCTGTTAAAAATCACCCATAGAGACCAATAGAAAAGCTATTGGGATTTTCCAGCGGCAGCTCTATTGGTTTGAATTGGTCTCAATAGTGGTATCTGTACCATGAATTACCGATTCAAACCAATAGCGACACCGCTGGAAAATCCCAATACAGACCGATAGAGACTAATCGTATTTTATTGGTAATTCCCAATAGATATATTATAGATATATTTTATTGGTAATTCCCAATAGAACTATTTGGATTTTCCAGAAGTACCGCTATTGGTTTGAATTGGTCCCCACTATCCATTTTAGACGTCTTTAAGGTAAAAAATTACGTGTTTTGATGGTTAAATAATTTCTCAAAAATAGTGCTGTTTAACATTTAATTTAAATTTTATAAACAGCTTCTGCTAAAAGTAAGTAGTGGGGCTCACTGCTTACTTTTCGCAGAGTGGGCCACAGGACGATCTGTGCCCCTTTAAAAATTCCAAAACGCCAAGCGTTTCCATGGCCAGTAATTTTGCCTTAGTAAGGAATCCTTACTTAGCAGCTCAAGGCATTCCACCTTTATAGGCCTATGTATTGTGCTACAGAGGCGAGAGGTATGCATGGGTTGCCTACCTATTGGCGAATTTTGAAAATAAATATTAAAGTGGTAAATACCAATAGGGTTCCTTGTACCTACACACCGATAAAATACCAATTCAGACCATTAGTTTATCTATTGGTATTTTCCAGTAAGAAAATTGACAATAGAAACAAGTGGTCATTTGTATTAAATTGCGCAGGCGCTGAACATTTAAGTGGTTTTTACCAATTGAATTTCTATTGGGAATTTCCTGTACTTGCAACTTCTTATAAAAACCAATTCAGACCATTAGGTAATCTATTGGCATTTTCCAGTACGGAAATTACCAATAGAAACCAATGCTCATTCTGTTGAGAAACCAATAGGCCCAATAAAGACCAATTCATTCCAGTCTGATTTTTTATTGGTTTCTATTGGTCTCTATGGGTGATTTTTAACAGGGGTCCTATATTTCATCAATTTGTCCTATATGTCCTATATCTCAAAAACTAGATTTGTAGAATTTAGGTATACGTTTTTGAATACGCTTAGGAAATTAAATAAAAATAAAAAAATCCGATAGCTCTGAAAATAGAGTATACAAAAGCATTTTAAAACCATTAACATGTAGTGGTCAATTAATTTGGGCCACAAAATTCTCTAATTAAAACGTTACGTTAAAGCATTTTGAGGGTCAAATTCGTTGACCACGATATTTGAATGTTTTAAAATGATTTTTTGTTCTCAACTCTATTTCGCCAACTTTGTCGCTTGATTTCCACAGCGACGATATTATACGGGTGTCCGGAAAAAGCCCCATGGTGCACCTACGCCATACGACACTCTAGGGTGTTTATTTTAAGTATAAAAAACTACTTTTTTCCGACGAGTAGTTTTCGATTTATTAGGCATTTAAGTTTAAAAAACTCGACAACGCTGTTTTCCTAAGCCCATTTATGAGACATATAAAGGTGGTTATGGAAACAAAATTAATGCATTTACAGAGAGCTGAAATAATTTTTGAAGCAAACATCAGAAAATACATTTTTCAATCGTCAATTATCGACGATTGAAAAGTGTATTTTCTGATGTTTGCTTCAAAAAATGTATCCTAACTTTGTTTTGATTTATTATAAATAAGCCTTGGTTATAATATTTTGGTTGGTTAAAATATAGTTTTCGCAAGGTTTTTTTTTTGTTTTTATAGAATTATATTAAAAATTAAGCACATATTTTAATATAATTCTAGAATACGATTTGGAGTTAAAATTTCATCGATTTAGTCGCCGCGGCTAATGTTTTCCGTTCCGACAAACCGATTTTTGACATTTGGAATTAATGACGCCAACGGAGAACATTCGCCGCGGCGACTATATTTATAAATAAACCTATTATTTATAACTAAAAAGTTAAAGAATATACCCCTTATTATAAATAATTTTTAACTTTTTCTTTTTGACACGCGTTAACAAAATTGTTTTTTACCCTTTTATATAAATAAACAATCTTAAAATATTTATAATTTTTAAACCCTCATAACTAAAAAACGAAAAAAAAATTAAATTTATTTTATACTTAAAGTAACCCTCCTACAGCGTGATATGGCGTAGATCCGCCCTGTATATTTTTATGCCTTATAAATTATTTTATTTATTTGTTTTATTTTATTATATATTATGTTATTATATATGTTTATATTATTATTTTATGTTTTTGACTAAATAGTCTATTGTTTATTTATAAAGAAATGAAATATGCTGTATTTTTAATTTATTAAATATATAAATATTTGTGTACCTTACTTGTTACTTGGAATCAAAATAAAAATATAATTGAAAAATATTAGAAAAAAATTGAAAAAATAAACGCTTAGGTTAAGTACTCTTTTAAGAACATTCTAAATTTTAATCTATGGGCTGTTTGCTGCCTAACCTAAATCGGACCAAGACAGCCGACGCGTCCTATATTTTTATTTACAATAGTTGGTAACCCTACCCACAATGAGCATTCAAGTGATCGTCATTCAAGTGATAATCCGGTTTTTGAAATCACTTGAATACTTGGTAATCGGTTATTGAAATAAATCGGTTATTTTACTAAAATTGTTTTTTTTCAACCTCTGATTCCTTATTTGATTTATTTTCTTAACAACCTTGGAAGTAAATTATACAGCGTTGCCAGGTTTCATAAACTTAATCATAAAATAACTCGTATATAATACAAAAACAGTTTATTTTAATAATTGTACATATATTTAACAGCCTATAACTAAGATATGAAATCTATTTTACTTGGTAGCATTTTTAAGTATTCCAAATTTAAGCTTTTGTCAGAAATACACTGTCAAATTGGAATTATCCAAAACCTTTGGTGTCGTGTCCATATTATTGATATTTTCTGTGCTTCTGTCCGAATCAGTCTATAAAAAACAAAATATTAAACCTAGAAATTTTAACGAATTTATTTTTACCTTATCGTCCCCCCAACTTAACTTCTTCACCCTGGACGAGGCGGAGTGGGGCCACATGGGGGGTTGGGGGGCAGGATGCACCTTCGGGCTTGGAATTCTCGATTTTAAGTCTGTTGGTATTCCCCCCATTGCGGTTGCCATAGGCGACAGCTGCCTGTCATCGCCGAACATGGGGTTGCTGACTTTTTTGACCCCTCCCAAAGTGGATGAGGGTTTTACGGAGGAGAGAGTTTGGAGGTCTCTTGGAGGAAACCTTTTACTAAAATAATAATTTTACACGATAAAAGGGAGAAATAAGTTATTATTTTTATATTTGTAATGTATGTGAGAAAAGTAAAGATAAGAGTATGAAATGCTGTAATTTTATTAAAATAAGCAAATATACTTAAAACAATAATAAGCATTTATATTTTATGCATTGATAGTCAAAAGGAAGCGGTATGGCGATATATGTAATTAATAATATTGTTAGGATAAATTATGCAGAAATTATTATTTAAATTAGAAGGAAACTGAAAATTGAATCTGCACTGTAATTACAAATCTTGGTATTGTGTTTATAGCAAAGTATTTGATTCTAAATAAAATTTTGAACATTCGCCAGAACAAGAATAACTTTAAATGTGATTTACAGGGTGTTTTACACAGCAAATAAATCGTTATTTGTATGTTTTTAAAACAAATTGGGATTAATTTTGTGAGTAAAATTTTAGACAACAGAAGTTGCGCTCGTTCAGCCAACGAAAGCTCGACAGTATAAAGTTGTTGTTGCTTGTGTGTTCGTGGCGTAAGAAATTGGTGGCTTTGCCAGATAGAAATAAATAAATCCAATATGGGGCGGCCCTAAAATGGCGGATAGTCTATTTTTTTGATAACCTCTTCGTCATGGTTATCAAATGAAAGGGTTTAACGAGAAGAAAACGATAACGGAAGTGAAATTTTCAAAACATTCAAAATCATTTAAATTTATTTATTGTATTTAATAACTTTCTTCGATTATTCTATAGCTTTTACATAAATTATTTGCATGCAAAATGACAGACACCATTTAAAACACCCAGCAAACACAAGTCTGATTATGTAATGGCCCATTACATAGTTTCATGGCTTAATAATGGCATTTTTAGCCAAGGCTTTCTTTCTACTGGACCTTTACAGAAATGTTTTAATAAAAATATTAATTTTGATAAAAGGCTGTCGTGATTAGGTTTTGCAATGGCCCTTTTCAGGCTAATATTTGCATATTTCACCATAAAAGATCCATGTATAGTAATTTCCAGTATCAAGTTAATGGAAATTTAAAAAACCATTGAAGTGCAAGGCCGGATTAAGCTTTCATTGGGCCCGGGGCTAATAAAAATTTGAGGGCCCTTTGTGAAAGCAAACTTTGACATCATGAGTTGAAGTTAACAAAGTTAACATTTTTTGACGTTTGCGGAAAAATGTATTTTTTACATGCCTTTTAAACGGTAAACCTTTAAATTTAAATAGTAAGTACTTAAAATTGATATTAAGAGCTCAAACTTGGTGAGAATTTTTTTTTCTATATGCAGATTAATATTTTGCCTAAGCACCGAAAATAACAAAAACTTTGCAGAAATGAATCACCCTAAATCACCAAAAAATGTTGTAAATTGTTGTGACGTTAATTGTTGTGAATTAAACTGGCTTGATGAACCATAAATGAGGTTGTAAATTGAATCCTTGATGGATCACGAATTATTGATGATTGTGCAATTTGATTGAAACACTCACTTAATTAAAATAACACAACTTTATTAACTATGTACAATAAAAAATGTTGCCCAGAGATCTGCTGATCCTGAAGCGAACATGTTAATCTTACGACTGCTTAATATTGACTCTTAAAATATGTGCAAGAAGTAAAAGTTATACTCCCTTAAATCAAGTGGCTGTTGCTTCGTTGATGATTGATTTGTGTAGATTGTAGCTGATGCCACTTTTATGTAGATGTAGACTGTTGCCAATTAATTGCCCACATCCGGTATATGAGTACATTAGATGCACACCTCTGTATTTGCAGGATAAGTGATTTTAAGAAAAACACGAAAAACCGCTCATAAGGTCATATTTGAAAAAAAAATACAAAAATCGTATAGACGTGCTTTTGCATCATTTCTTATTTAAAAAAGTAAAAAAAGTCCTTTAAAATTAAGTAGTTTAGTAAATAATTGAAATCAAAAGATTTAAAAACATAGTTTTGCATCTTCCTCGTTCAAATACCAAGTTTTGCAAGTGAAAAGTGCAAATACCAAAAAAATAACAATTAATCAGGTGATTGTTATGCCGTCAGTTAATGCGTATACTAGCGACGTGATTGGTGATTGGTCAAATACCGAGTTTTGCATCCGACAGGAAAAAACAAATGCAGTTTTGCAGCTGCGGTAAGTTTATAAATGTATTTTATTCTACAAATATTAACTTATGCATCTGGTTTACTTAGGTATGCTGTGGGCAGTGCAGTTATGAACATAAATAAGATAAAATATATATTTTTTAAAAATGTGCAAAAACCGAGTTTTGCATCTAATGTACTCATTTATTTCTAATTATTACATTTAATGAAATTCCATTTTTCACTTTACAATACAAAAAAAACCCTGAACTTGAGGTTTCGCAATCACATATGGTTTAATTTAATGATCACGAAAAATTTTTTTCACATTATTCCCTCTTTTTTAAATCCATTTTCTTGGGCGATTTCGCCCAAAATCAAATCAGAATCTTTAATTAATCGGCCTTGATTGAAGTCGATCCATCATAGTGTTATCAGTTATCACATCGGTGGATGACTATTACCTTGATAAAAATAATATTAAAGTGAAGAAGATACTGGTGAGGTTACATTGTCTCAGCAGTCTATCACTATAGAATGGTGTTCTCATTGAAAAAAATGCTGTCACAAAGTCATCCCAACTACCTATACACTATTCCAATTATAATTATTGAACAACTGTACCTAATTCAGGTAATTAATATATCTTGTTTCCTTAATTAAGTTTTCTATACACAATATCACTATACACCTATCACTAAGGAATCGAAAGAGAAAAATTCAAATCTTATGATATTAAAAATTGTCAGAAAGCCTCGGTTTACGATTAGTATTTTTCGTAAATGAATTATCTCCACTTACCATGCAACGCTGAGTATTGCTAACTATTTATTATAATATATATAATATATAGATATATCATCCACGGAATTTCACAAAATAAAGTATAATTAAATAAAAAAACAGACACTTCACTTAGGCAAAATATTCACGATTACTTTGAGGAATACTAACAGACTATACAGGAAGACTCAGAAGACTGAAGAAGAGAGACAATTTGAATTTAATCGGGGCATCGCGGCACACATGACATATTGTACATTGTGTTTGTTTTGTCTAATTGTGTCTTATACTTATGATTTGCGATGCGGCGGTTTTTACTACCGCCTTTAGCCTTTGACTTTGGCGTGCACTTTTCGCCATTTCCCATAGAAATATATTAATCTATGCCTTTTCTGAAAGGTAATCGTTTTGCTTTTTGCTTGATATTTTGAAACATATCCCTGTCCACAAAATATGGCTTATTATTTTTCCTTTTAGTGACTGTTGACTGATCCCAGTCGACCACAGTCGAATTAATTAGTAGTTGTTAGTTGTTGAAAATTCGTTGAATTGTTCGGCTGAAATTTTTTCAAAGCGGGGCCCTACTGAATCGCGGGGCCCGGGGCTTCAGCCCCTTTAGCCCCCCCTTAATCCAGGCCTGTTGAAGTGCCAAATGTTTTCTGTATATAAAACTTACATGAACCTTTAGTCGTTTTTTCGCGTAAATACTATGTAATACTACGGTTAAATAAGTCATGACGTCACAGTTAATTCATATAACCATGGTTAGGTTTCTAACATTTGACATTTGTTTACTTGTTCATAACCTATAATTTTTTAAATGTGTTTTTACCTATTTATATTTAATTTCTATGCTTTTACCGGTGTAAATAAATTTCTTTGCCACTTCTTATACCTAGTATATTCTTTTTCTATAGGTACTAGTTTTTTCAATACACGTTATCCATTTCTCCTACATGTTTAATACAAAATAAGGAAGAATATAAAACAAACCTGCATATAATTCCTCCACTTGTGGAGATTCGACAATATGGAGCACCCTATCATTTATTTTTACTGACAACACCCCGTTTACCATTTTAATACAAAGTTTAAATTCGGTTTAATATTTTAAATTTCAAATGTAAACAACTTTTTGACAGATCAAAACAGAAAAATATATATTAAAAAGAAAAAGACTATTAACCACGTTGAATAACTAGCTCAGCGATATAGTTTTATGGTCTGGTATTTGTGACGTCATAGTTAGGATTTTTGAACGCACTCTAAACGCAAAAATGACTTAACTATTAACCAAGGTTAAGTTTAATAACCATAGTATTTCATGGTATTTACGCGAAAAAACGACTTTTAATTATCCTTTGGTTACCCCATATTTTAAAAATTCCGTTCAGTGTAATTACTATAGTTTTAAAAGTGTGTTATACCACTTAAAAAATAATAATAATACCTATTGGTTGTTAAATTTAAATGAGTAAATAGGTTCATTTTTAATTTTACAAATTTTAGAAATCTTATTACAAACAAAATACCGCCAAAGAATTTAGTAGAAAGGTTTAATTGATAAGGTCGAAATTGGGCAAATGCAAATAAAAGAAATGAATAATGGCAAAGAAAACCTAATATATTATAAACTATAGTTTTTATTCCGACCGTCAGAAATTGTATTGTGACGGTAGGAATAACAATTTCTGATTATCGTTGAATATCCTTATCTAATATATATACCTACCTCATTTAATCCACCATAATAGATACTTGATTTATCCATTAAAAATTATTTAAATAACCACTATAGAATCTTTAACACCCCATATCAAAAACTTTAGCTTACCTCATTTGTACCTTTAAATCTGCCATATCATTAAAGGAACGCGACATAATATGCACAGTTCCATTAGAGTTAGCCTTTATAGGGCCTTTAGTTCATTAAAGGCAGGTTTATAAAGGGCCATTATAGAACCTTTACGGTTGTGTTTGCTGGGCAATCATATAAATGACAAAAACTTACGCTTTGCATATATAGGCAATCAAAAGTGCTATGACAAAAGCCAATATAAGCAAGATAGCCCCCAGTCCAGCCAAGAGAAGGGGCCCTACATTATTCCCCCTCGTGGAAACGACCCCCGCTGCATCCAAGGCCTCTGGAAAGTGCACCGTAACGGGCACACTGGCCTTCTTGCTCGGCGTGCCGCTATCAGTAGCAGTGACTGCCAAATTAGCGACTCCGGTGAACTCCCTGGCCTGCCTGAGTCGCAGCTCGCCGCTGGGGGTGATGAAAAAGGAGGTGGCGTTGACGCCGCCTAGCGTCAAGGTCAGCCTGTCGCTTCGGTCCCCGTCGGCCGCCTCGATGCGGCCAATCAGCTCGTTCGGTTGCCCGGTAACGTAGAACTCGTAGTGCGGGTAACGGAACCTCGGTTCCCATTCGTTGACGTCGCCTACTGTTATGTTCACCACGGCGGAGTCGTTCTGCAAATCGCATACGCATTTTTTTAAATTTAATACCCAGCTCTTCGTTTATTATTGTTGGGTATTTATTAAATGCCCCGGTTGTTTACGAAATATACGATTCCTAATTATATTATTACATTATTTATGGGATGTCTTCAGGAAAAAGTGCGCTAAGTAGAGCGAAACTTAGTTGTTGGGCTTCTTGGTACCATTGAATAAAGTAAATCAACCTTAGTACTACAGTAAAGATTTCAGATTATTTAAGTTTAATAAAATTAAATAATGGTACATTATTTAACAGGCCGTTAATATACTTTCTTCGCAATGTTGTATATACTTTTTTTCTTCTTCAGGCATTTAATAATTTTGTGCGTACATTAAAAAAATTAATTTAAAATTAAAATTTAAAGTTTGCGACACTTATATTGAACTTTTTTTTGTTTCTCCCTGTATATTATATCATAGGTTACATTAGGTTACATTTTTTTTGCTGATTTCGAGCCTAAACGCTATGTAATTTTAATGTATGTTTTCATTATTGTACGGCGGTGTATAATTACGTATTTGACTTTTGAAATGCGTAGAAATATGAATACTTTCCATATAGGCTTATAAAATTGTCATACGCTTGAAAAAATTTTTTTAAGCAAAATTAATTGTAGTAGGTACTACACGTCTTATAAGATGAGTTCGTTGTATTAGTTTTTTAATTTGCCAAAAATTGTTTCTATTTTCCAAAATGTTGAAAAATTGGCGATTTATTATTTATTCTGACTTCTTTTAAACGCAAATAATTCATTAAATTATTTATATTTTTAGCAAATACCTAAAACAATAAAATAAAAAAATAACTATACTTGGTATATTAAATTTTATCAAATCAAAAAACCATTAAAAGAATTAAAAAAAATAAAAATTTATAAATGAAAAGTGCTTTAATTGCTTTGAAAAGGGGACGTGAGCCGAATAATTTTTTCGCGTCATATAGGTGTGTCAAGATGAACGAATGAATATGTGCAAAAATAAAAATTCCCAACAACATAACCAAACTCTTTCCCAGTTATAATCTTTTTACATGTTATAAAACCATTATCTTACGTATCTTACGGTGAAGTTCATTAAATTATTTTAAAAATTTAATATTTTCACCCCTTGATTTTCAAACGATTTAAATAATTTGAAGAATATTTAACACCGTGCTAGAAACAGATGTTGGATTCATTCGTAATTCTTGACACATCTGTTATAACATCGTGACTTCGCGCGTTCTCGTCAAGGTCATCGTTTTGAACCTTGCGTTTTTCAAAACGCTGCACAGTACCTAGGCCAGAGAGCGCTTCCAGCGCGCGGAAATTTAAAACAAGTGTTATATTTCGACAAAATTTAGGAAATTTTGAATTCTTTAATATCTGTAGATTAAATCACCTTCAAATCTGTTGAAAATTTATCAGGTAACCAGTCAAACTTTATGAATTATTATTACTTGCTTCGTGTTGCACAGCAAACGGAAAATTATAGAAGTGTATAGGATGACTCCGCGTTTGAATATCAAATCTTAAAGTTTTATCATAACTGTATTGAATCGACTATATTTAAAGTCAAACTCAATGGTGTCTTACAAGATACATTATTTTGATTTTCTATATTCAACAGAGAGGTATAAACTCGACCCTGTCGAATGGTGCAGTCATTTATGTCTCTAGAAATTATTAAAAAAGGGTTCAGTCCAATGGTGCAGCAACTTCGGATTCCTATTCTCCTCAGAGACATAGAAACTCAAGCTTTTCGAATTTTACTGGCAATGATTTTCGTTAATGTCCCCGAGAATTATACAAAAACAGCGCAATGCAATATCGCAACGGTTTCGACTTCTCTTTACTCTACCAAGTTATAGAAACTGGAGTCTCTCTAATACTGTTCTAGTCATATTTCTGAGAGCATAAAAAGAGGGTGTAATATTGCAAGAAGTTTTGATCTTTTGATGGATGCAAGTAGTTTGAATTTTCTCATTTCTGCATATGATTTTGTTGAAAATAGTTCCTTTCTTTGGTTCCTTTGTCTGACTTTTATTTACCGTAACAACTCAGGTATGTAAAGCACAGAGGATAGGATGTTAAGTATATTTATGTATTATATAAAGTACCTATATTTGTATTAAAAATTTCAGAGGTTATGTTGAAAAAATGATCGATATGCTATTAAACTTTAATAATTTAGTAATTAGGTCTGTTGGTAGACCCTGCACTATCTCCACTGGTATATGTTAGTTTTGTAATATTTAAATCTGGTTGATGAAATAGTACACACCAGTGCAGGTTATTGTAGCATCTACGAACAAATGAATTAATGGCCCATTGGCAATTATTCCTTTAGGAAAAATATTCAACACAGCTTAATTAATTAATAAAATGAAAAAAATCACAATCATGTCGTATATATATATAGTTTTTTTTAAGCATAAAATAATTTTTCTATTAATACCAGTTCAAAAGTGAAATTACGACCTCTATACTGTGGAGAGTATTGAAACGCTCGACTGACGAATAAAACTCTATACCGTGGGGAGATTTAGAAAACCATATTCAAACGTGGCGTCATCCTATACACCTCTATAATTTTCCGTTTGCTGTGTGGTAAATTACGCGTAAAGGTATTGCTTCTCTTACAATGTTTATTACTAATTTATTCTTAATTTTTGACTATAATTGTATTAAATACCTACTGTCATACGTTATGGCTGGAACGAATAATGGTAAGTTTTTATTATTATTGTACTGTCACCACTTTAATAAAGTAACCGCTGCATATTTTTAATGTATATACATACATATGTATGGACTAAGGTTTTAAAAAATGTCACGCACTGTCACACTCTGTGATTTATTAAAAATTAATTATAAAAACCTAATAATATTAAAAGAAATCTTACCGTCACTCCATCCGTAGCAAAAACCTTAAAATAATACTCTGGCTTCTCCTCGAAATCCAACTTCCTCCTCAACGACAACTCCCCCTTGGTATTCAAACCGAAAGTCTTTAAAACCCCCTGATCGGACACAAAGTACCTCAACTGCTCCCCAGGCCGGTTATTCGCTAAACTCCCCACCACCGAACCCACAGCCAAATCCTCGGAAGCCTTGATATAGAAAACGCTATGCAAAAAACGTATCCCATTGGTCGAAACTTTGCTGACGGTCAAGGTGGCCAAGGCGTACCTGTCGGGGTTATCCTGTTGGGTGGCTCTGATCACCAGGGTTGCCGGATGTCGTAGATCGTTTTCCGTCAGATCTTTGCTCACGGTTATTTTTGCCGTGTTCCGGTTCAGCTTGAAGTAGTTGTAGTCCTGGCCGATGCCGTTGAAAGTGTAGTAGACCGGGGCGTTAATACCGATGTCTTGATCGAACGCTTTTATGTCGCGCGGTTGTACGGTGAGGGTGGATAATTTTTTCGGTAGGTTTTCGATGGAGGTTATGTAGCGGTCATCTAGGAATCTGGGGTTTTGGTCGTCGGCGTCTATGACGTGTACTGAAAGGGTCGTGTCTGTTTTGCGAGGAGGTTCGCCGTGGTCTAGCGCTCGTATGTTTATGTCGAAGGTTTTGAGGGTTTCGTAGTCCAAAGGTTTCTTGAGAACCAGTGTGCCCTCGAGTTCGTTTTCGAATTCGAAGTAGTCCGAGTTTGGCCCGGGTAAAACTGAGTATCTAACACTTGAGAACGGTCCTTGTTGGTCATTATCAACGGCATGAACACCTTGTAATACTCTTGTCCCTACCACTGTCACCTCCGATATGTTTAAGACATAGGGGGCGTTGATGAAAATCGGAGAGTTATCGTTGACATCGATCACTCTGATGTTCACAGGGATCACGAACTCCGAGTCTTTGGTGTGCAGCTTCTCGCATATTATGTTCACGAACACCGACGACGCGCCGGCGATTCCCTCCTTGTCCAGCTGCCGGCGCAGGGTTATGTTCTTGGTGCCGGGGAGGATGGAGACGGGGCTTTCCGTGCGGTCGGTCTCTTTGAGGCGCAGCGCTATGGAGCCTCCGGGTCGCGGGTCGCCTAGGACGCGGACCTGCCCGATGTTGGAGCCGATGGCCAGGTCTTCGGACACGAAAAAGCTCTCCGACGATGCGCCGTTCTCCAGGTAGCAGCGGTTGTCGGTCAGGGCTGGAATAAAAGTTTTTGTAGCACTACACTGCAAACGAGAAAATTTTGAACGTATTCAAAGCACTTATACAGTGAATTGAAGATTTGAACCCTTGTGGGAAGTATAGACTTTATTCAATGTTGTGATGAATAAATGCCGGTTGATGGTATTGAGCACGTGAATGCTTCTAGAAAGCATTCGTTTTAAAAAAAACAAAGTTATTGCAGGCGCTGGGTATCAATCTCGGTACCTCTCGCATGATAAGCAAGCGCCTTTCCAACTGAGCTATAAGGTTCGCTCATAAAAAAAGCTAGTTTATATAGTTGGAATTGATTGACAAGAATTAATAATAATAAATATTAATTAAAGGTAATTTCGGCCAATTTTGTATAGTTAACTAGGCAGCAATATATTACAAGAGTACAAACGAATTAAAAAAAAAATCTCAAAAAAACGATTGTTATTCAAATGATATAACATTTTTAATATTATACCTAATGTTTCGTTCAACAGTGTATAGTTCCGCGAATCCCAATGTGCATAGATACCTCACTGACCAGGACTAAAGTGCAAAGTGCACAGTGTCACCCCTGTCATCCACCTGAACAGGTGGTTAATTGTGTCGGGAAACTGAAAGAGGAAACAAGGGATATCTGCGAAATTCGGATAAGTATTTTAATAATATTTGCAGATATTCGCATCCGCATCCGCAAGCCAATTTTCTGTTTTTTAAAGAAGTTGAAAAGTCACTATGTTATAATATAAATGGTACCTCGATTTTCAAACGATTACAATACTTTGAAGAATATTCAATTAACCTATAGGTTCTATAGAAACCACGGTCTTATACTGAAGACCGTGGATTAATTCGTAATTCTTGACACATCTGTTGAAACATCGTGACTTCGCGCATTCTCGTCATGGTCATCGTTCTGAACCTTGCGTTTTTCAATAATTGTTTGAGATTTGAGAAAACCATTGGAAAAAAATTAAAATTAAATAATAATTTAATGGTCTTTTTTTTATTAATTTGGATAAAATACGGAAATTATGTACAACTACGGTTATTGTTACACACTTTTTATAATTTCATTTAAATGAATTATCCATCGGTAATTAAATTGTAATTAAAACATTATTTTTATAAAATGTTACTTCATTCATTTTAAGCGTCTTAGTCTAGTTACTTTGATTAAATTTAAAAAATTAACTGTTGGGTTCAAAATTAAAATTGTTAATTGTTTATTACATAGATCCAACCAAACTGTTTTATATTAAAATGTATGTATACCACAGGTCTGTGATGTATACCAAATATCGAATATGTATGAAAGTTTTAAAGTAAATCCAAAAAGTATTATATTATCATAATATTATTATGTGTGCCTACGTATAAATTTTATTAGATTTAAGGTGATTTCGTGCAAAATTACATTATATTTATTAAACAACTTTATTATTTCTTTAAACAGGATTGCATGACATAAAAAAGTAGTGTACTTCAGTAACCCATGTAGCATAAAGTAGTGCGCTCAGGACATGCAAATCTTGAGTAGATATCTATTGACAATTTGTTATTTTAAATTATTACTTATACATGGCGTTTATCTTTTTGCAAAAATGTTTTGTTAATACGATTAATTATAATTATGGGTATTTTAATTTCTTAAACTTTCTAAACAAGTGAATTAAATGTTTGCAAAAAAAATTATATCAGTTTAATTAGGTTATATGGTTTGAGAATAGTTAATTGGTTATGAATTTGTAGTTTATGTATGAAAATAAAAAGCATGCGATTTTATTTCGTTAAAATATTTTTTTCAAGAGGATAACTTTATAATTTTTTTTAGTTAAATTAGGACACAGCTTTATGAACAATGTTAAAGTTGGCAACATATGATAAACTTTTTTATTAATTTTACGAAGAAAAGTTATTCTTTATAAAAAGTTCTGCATGTTCTAAAATCTAAAATAAAATCATCATATACCTACGAGGTTTGACAAAAAATATGAATTTGGTACAAGAGTAAAGTTCCTTTATTTGTGACAATATCGAAAACTGTGAGCATGAAAAGTTGTTAGAAATGAAAAACTATGTTAATATGCAATTACATCCTTCTACTTAAAAACATAACTATAGTTACATTTTCATTGTTCCATGTAAAGTAATTGCATATATGAACGTAGTTTTTAGTTCTGATCAACTTATTTTAATAAGAATTTTCGATATTGTCAAATATAAAGGTAGGTACTTTACTCTTGAGTAAGAATAATATTTTTTGACAAACAGCGTATACGACTGAATTTTTTTTGTATCTGCATATACATGCAGAACCTTTTAGGAGGAATAACTTTTTTCTTCAAATTAATAATAAAAAAGTTTCTCATATGTTGCCCACTTAAGTATAGGTACTATTATAGTATATATATATATATATATATATATATATATATATATATATATGCCAGTATTATATCCTTGAACCCAAACAATTTTGTTCTTCGAATCCACCTGTCGATTTTTCGACACAACCCAGCAAGTACGAGCGACGATGACGTACGACCCTGGCGGGTTGGAAAATAGACATTAAAACACGATCGTTGCAAACAACAAAAGACAGGTGAATCGAATCTAGCGGCGCGGAAGATGTTCAAGATACCGTAGTTCCTTCCTCTTCGGCCCGACGAATTCTTTTTTGTTTTCCAAACGTCTCACTGTACTGCTAGAAATGTTGTTTATTTTCTACCCATTAAAAGAATCACGCCAATTATAGGAGTGAATCAGAGTTTATTGTATACATGTAAAATGTTAAAAATTGTACTGATATAAAAAAAATGTTTTAATCCGTACCTGCAGTTATATTAGTAAAGTAGAAAATCAACGTAAACGCCCAGAGGGCATTGTAGTAGGCGTCGTACCACTTTGCCATTCTAGATTAAACATCTGAAAAAAAAAGACAAAAATTAAATATTTTATTATAAACATCTGGTATATAAGTGTCTATATACATCGACAAACAATAATTACTTATCAATAATTGTTTAGGTAATTTTATTTTCGAGAAAGTGCAATACATAGTATATACATACATTTTGTTTTTAATACAACTGATGTAGGACAAAGTTATTTTCATCAGGTAGATATAATTATTGTTTATTTTTATGTAAGTAAGTAGTAGAATTGGATGTCAAGACTATAAAAGTAAAAGTTAATTATTTGCAAAATGCGAAAGAAGAAAATAATACGGTTACTAGATGCAATTTTAAACAATTTTATTTAAATTTGGGTAATTAAATAGCTTAGAAAAAAGCGTAAGATATAATTACGTCCTCATAGGTAAGATTTTTTAATAATTGCATAGGTATGTTAAAAAACGTTTGCATAATATTTTTTATTAAAATCTACTTGATAGTATATTGGGTATGTATCAAGTTATATAAACGGCATTTTAGTCACGAATTTAATTCAGCCCCAAGCGAGCTTGCGAGCGAGTGTTTAATTAAATGAGACGATAATTAGCGTTTTAAAGGTGGATAAAAAGTGTTTTTATAATAATTATTGCATTTATGTAGCATTTTAACTTTAACTATTTTAATGGCAAAATTTTATTTATTTAGTTGCAGTTATAACTTTTTATCACCATTATTTTATAAAAATTAAATAAAAATGATTTAAGTAATAATACGGCTTGTAACGATAATTGCTTCCTATTTTTATTAGTTTTACACCATTTTTTGGTTTATTTAATACACGGTATATTATAAATTGTGGTTACAAACTAACAATGCGGTTTCTAAAATGATTAACCAAGTATCCTATCCAAAAAGATTTAATCAATTACATACAGTTCATTTTTTTTATTTGGTCTCGTGTTTTTTTATTAAGTTATGCCAGTTTGATTTAGTATTTAAAAAATGGTACTTCTGCTGAAGACCTTAATTAAATACTCTGACACTGTCAAATTGACGACATTTTATAAAAGGGTCCAATCGACCTCCGAGACGGTGCTTTTTTAAAATTTTTATTTATTATTTAGTTGGTGCTGAGGAGCAGCAGACACATCTTAAATCGGCAGTAAAGTTCTACTTTACTGCCGATTTCTTTTACTTTACTGCCGATTGTTGACTACTTTATTGCCGATTTCGGATAAAAGTAACGTTTTTGATTTTACAAATATTAAATCACACATTATTTTCAACTAAGCAGATCAAAAATTTTAAAAAATAAGGGGGAAATAAAAAAACAAAAAATAAAAATTATTTGCTTTTAGGTTCAACCTTTTTGTAAAAAATCTAGGAGTTAATTTTCCTGTCTTTGAAAAAAGCACCCATTTGGTTTGAAAAAGATAAGCAATAATCCCGAAACTTTTTCTTCTTTCAATTTGCAAGTTACTACGCACTACGCACCACCAAAGCCAAATTAATTGCATTTTTAACTACGAATTTTGATAACTCAACTTGACAACCGTTCAATGTAACCTAAAATAATTTAAACCACAGAACATTTAAACATAACCACAATTACATTTATAACTATACAATTACATTTATAACTATAGTTTAGTTTGTTTTAATCAATGCAACCAATTTTGGTTCCGTATTTATCAACCAAACCCCTAAATTTGCAACGTTGCCGCAGTCCAGATCGGTTCTTTAAAAACAATTATTTTGCAGTTTTATTCCTAAAATTAAGTAAATAATATAATAACGTTTTAAGTTGGTTTTATTTAACTTTTATTTTTAAGCAGGGCTCATAAAATGGCCTTAAATTTTAAAATTGTGTTGGTTTTACTCCATATTTTTTTACCAAAATAGCTAATTTTTTTTATAATTTTAGTGTTCTAAAGGGAAACAATAAACTTTCTTCGATAAAATGTTAGGTATTGAAAAAATCCTGGCACACAACCGGGGACATTCCCATAAGATATACAGGGTGTCTCAGATTTAAATCGGGAAAATTTAGTAGACAAAAATACACCTTCGTTTCCAAGATACTTTAAAACTCAATTTTATTTTTTTTATTTAAATTTTTAAAGAAATATTTATTTATGTACAATGCTCCAAATTTGAGTTAGGTATTTTCTAAAAATAATACTATAATAATAATGTATTTTTTATGTTCAAAGGTCTTAATTTATAACACAAAAAATTTGAGTTAAACTGACAAGATACATAACCTCAATTATTATTTATTATTAGTATTTAAATGTACTTTTTAAAGTACATGGTACATGCAAGGATGAACACAAGTTAAAATGTGTTAATAAATATAAAGTTTTTTTACACAAAATGTCAGACAAACAACAATGTAAATTTCAGCAATAGCTGTGTAATATTCAGCAGAGTAAAATTACACGTTCCCGAGTGTTGGGTGTTAACAAAGTCGAAATAAAAAACTTTAATACTAGACGTTACAACTAATTGTAAATATTTCTAAATATTTTAACAAAATGATCTCTGAGATGTGGAACATCCTGTACATAATAAGCATATATTAAAACATTTAGGATGCAAATTACGAAATCTTTTGTTCCAAATTTAGTACGAATTACTCTGACGCTTACCCTTATTATTTCAAATTAGCACCGTGACAAATAAATTACAATTTTGCGCAACATTGATAAAATCGCCTCCGAACATTACTACTCGTTCGTCTATGCACTTACATGAGTGTGTTTCGAAATTTTATTCTCTAAATTTACGGAAGTTTTCTTACCACGCCGTCTTGATACGCCGCATTGTTTCGTTATTGGAGCACATTATTTAAATTATCCGAAGAGCAGGCTTTGCACCAATCACTGGTCACTTTGCTCGACTTGGATTATCTGACAAAAATTAGAATTCAGATTTCTATGATTTAAGACAGGCATAAAAAGTATCTGCGTTGGGAGATATACAGTGAATGTTCTTATAATGGAATTTTACTAACATTCTGTTTTTATCGATATACATATTATTATTCAAAACTTTCACGAAACGTTTAATTGTATGAAAAAATACCGTTTTTAAAATTTAATAGAAAAAATCGCCGTTAAAAACACGTAGGTACCCATCTTGTTTTTTATGCTAAGCAAAAATATTTTATTAAATGAATATTTGCTAGAAATCAATAATAAAAAATATTTTTTGTGATACGCCACTGGTTACACACTTGTGTTCTGTGAGTACCTAAATAACATTGCCAGTTGTAAAAAAATGTTACTAAAAATTTTTCTTGCAAAAAATAAATAACTCAATAAATACAAAATTGTTATGCCCTTAAAACTCGAATACCCTTCTATATTTATTTAATCATCCAGCTATTACCTTAAGCAATGATTAGAAAATTTAGTACCTATTTTAAAATCTCCATAACCAAAAAAATTGTTGCCAGATTTTGTTTGAATTTACCTTCATTACAAAAATGACATAATCAACAATTAATAAAAACGCCAAATTAACAATTTGCATTGTGGATTTTGTAATTAAGCAAAATTTTAACAAAATCTGGCAACTTTTTTTGACAGAATCTGGAAACGCTGGTTGTTACCAACCATAACATAATAAATTAAATTAGACAACCAGATTAGCCTAAAGTTCCTAGTCGATCAGTGGCGTACTTTTTGGTAGGGTAAAGGTTATTATAAATTATTTTTAGTCTTTAGAATTTGGAAAAAAAAAGTTTCAGGTGCTTCTTTATGAACCCTAACTACTCATTTTAATATATTAGATTAATTACATAAAACCCTGTATTATCTATTAAGTTTGATAGACGCCATGTGTTTAATTAAATGAGTGTCTAGAAAAGTTTATAAACGAGTTGCATACTATACTTTTTTACGACAAATACTTTATTTTTATTATTATTATCTAGAAATGAATTAAGTAAATTAAATATTTGTATAAAGCGACATTTATACGGGAACTTGACCATGATTGAAAATTAATATTTTTTTAAAAAATTTAAAAAAAAAATATTGCCAACCTTTCGGTGGGTATAAAAATGACGACGTGCAAATTCATTTTGTTAAGTTGGCTTTTTTTGGCCATTTCTTTAAATATACATATACATATACATATTATGTATATAAATATTGTGGCTGAACCTTCAAAGTCGAATTTCTTATAAAAATATATTTTACGTTTAAAAAAAATTGGCACTAGCAAAAACTCATTATCATAGTATTTAAAATTTTAAATACCTTTTTGAATAATTATAGATAACTGTAACACCCTGTATAGTAAGGAAATATTAAGGCATTATTTAGTAAACATCATATTTAAAAAAAATATACAGTGTTACAATTTATTTAACTATTTTTTAATGTTTTTGACAGTTAAGTAAAAAAAAATATTCAATCGCACCCTGTATATGTCGCAACAAGCATGAAGACTTTAAACACGATTTTTAAAACGATAACACAAAACGAACCAAAAACATACACAAAAACTAACTTTAAGTTGAAAACAATTATTAAAATCACTTGTTATTTTTTAACGTTGCTAGTGCTTCTAGCGCGGTTGCTACAGAAATGAAGTAATTCGGTTTTGAATTCGTGCACCTGTGTTCCCGTGTGCATCGAGCGTATACACTCAGAAAGCGGCGGATTTTCATTTGCACAGGACGGGTAGCCAAGAAAAAGAATACAGAGGGTGGGAGCATTTCCTCAATGGGTTTCGTGTCTGCATTTGTAAGGGGGTGAAATAATTAAGACCAAGTGGGCGGTTTGTTTGGTATGATTGTCTGTTTGAGCAGTGACGTGGTTTCTTGGGGTAGGGGGGAATAAAAAACGAGATTTAAAAAATTCAAAAAAAAAACAACATTAATCAAATAACTAAGTGAAAAAACATAAATAGCCAAATAACAATAACAAATTCATACTTCTAGTTTTTAAATTATCACCCTGTATTGAAAACTATGTTTACTAAACCGAAATGACAGATAAATATGCTTAATGTGGTAGGGGGAAAATGGGGGCAAAAAAAATATAATTATAAGATTTAAAATAAACAATTAACTAAAATAAATAACGAATATTATTCCATAAGTGAAATCTAATTATGTACCTATGTATATTAAAAGCTGTACAATATTTTAGATAAATAGAGCTATATTTATAAAAAATACTAAAAACGTTAAACGTAAAATTAAATTTTTTGGTAGCATTGAAAATAATTTATAAATTTCAGAAAACTTAATCAAAACACAATTTACCTAAAACGCTTACAAAATTAAATTCTTTTGAGTAATTATTGTTATGTAATTTTTTTTTATCCATTATCTAGTCTGCCGTGAATACAAACGCGACTGACTATTGGTTGGTCATTTACCTACTATGTTTATTATGTATATCGATTTAAATTGTCTTGTTCAGTTGGGGTAGGTTCGGTCAATGATGAAATGTTCTACTACTACCACTACTAGTAGGTATAATTATGGGTTCACTTTATCTACACTCTGTAATTTACAATTTCTAAAGCGAATACTTTAATATGGAGGGTTTAATCAAATCAATGCCCCGAAGTAGTATTCTTAAATAAATACGAATATGACAAATTATTTGCAATTGCAATTATTTGTTTTTCTCACGAAAAATACTACTTAGAGAGAGCCAAGAATTTATGTCAAAAATAAATGTGTATAAATCCCATTAAAAAATAAAAATGGTTTGATATTATATATAATATCAAACCATTTTTATTTTTTTATGGGATTTATACACATTTATTTTTAACATTATAATGTTATTTGTGAAAGTTTGTTTTTTACTTGGAAGTAATAAAATATTATAATCCTATTAATATTTTTGTTTTTCTTATTAATTGACATACTTGTTTAATTGGTTATCGTTAATTAACTTAAGTTATTGATTTAAATACCATTTTCAGTGCAAGAAAAAATGTGGAACTCCGGTTGACTGAACTTTCATCAACAGTGTGTAAAATACTTTTTTTGTCAATATCTTACACTTATATAAAAATATATAGGGTGTTTCATTGAAAAAAATAACGATTTTTAACTTTCAAAATTGCGATTTTCCACGGGCTGTAGAAAACACTCTGTAGGTATTATATTTTGTAATAAAATTATTACCAACTCCTACCTTAGTTAATAATAAAAATATTCTTCCCTAGATAAGAAATAATAATTTTTACCTTTTTTTTTTTAACTTTTAGCATTTGAAGAAAATTTATTTATTTTTTTAATCTTTAGTTTACTTTCTTTAATATTACGTTTACAAAGTATATCTTAAGAAGTGTATGGAATCTAAAAGTACAAAATAATGTAGAAAATAAGAAAGTTGGTAACGTGCCAGGGAAAACCGAATACCCTGTAAAATAAAAAATATAAAATTTTACATCATAAATTTTTGTTTTTGACAAATTTGTTGTGAGTTGTGAGTTTTTAAGAGTATTATATGGGTCACCTATAGGTGATAACGTGGTTCACCCTGTACTTTCTTACTTCTACTCTACAATTACAAAAATATTCGCCCAACGGAATATTTTTAAAATCTTTTCAAATAATATTTACAGAATTTTTTATGTTTATAAATAACTTTTTAAATTAAGATTTAAATTATATTAAAATATACCATATTTTTTTCAATGTGTAGTTATTATTTAATATAGATTTATTATTGTTTATATTAAATGTTGCTTAATAGGTTAGTAAAACCGTATAGGTATATATAAGAACTAACTTGCATAAACCGGTATGTACCATTATAATGTATTACATACCTATTTAGCAATATTATCAATAATTTAATGATTAAATTTTAATCTATTTAAATAAATTATGTATATATACATGTATATACATATTATGTATACATAACCGCTTAACTTGTCGCGGAACTTCCCAAACTCATGAGCCCAAAAGTATGCCTCTACACACAGGCAACGGTTAATTAATAAAAAGATGAATTGTTCGAACACACCGAATGCAACGTGACCGCTGTTTCACGTGACCCGCTGCGACCAATGGGAGAGCGTTCGGCGAAAGGATCACGTTGACTTCGCCCATTCGAAAGGAAAATTCGCATGGCAAGTGAGTTTCTTATACCTATTAGATTTTCGGCGATTTGTGCGGGTTTTGAGTTTTTGAGCGAGTACCTATTGGGTATTATTGAGTGGTTTTATTAAAAAATATTGGTTGCAGTACTTTCTTATAGTTTGCCGGCCTTCATTTTTAGACTGATACTTGTTGATTTGAAGGTAAATTAGTATTTATTGTTGTTATTTCATAAATTGTTTGTCGATACCTACAGGGTGATTTAAATTGTGGATTTTTGCTTCCAAACAATTTATAATTTAAAATGTACACATATAATATGTTATGTATTACAAAAAATAAGCACATTTAATAATATTAAACTACTTTATTTAAAATATACATTATAAACATTATAAAAATCAATCTTACACATTGAGATAGAAAATCTCAATGGATCCAACTCGAGTTCTATACTAGGTGGGTATTATTTTTTTGACAGGAAATCGGTAATTTTTGTTTGCACATTTTTCGGCACGTTTTGCTATTTTTATCCGCGTCAACAATTGGTTAGAAGATTTTATTTGAATGAAACAAAATTAAATTAAATTTTTCGAATAAATTTTATATTATATAGGTATGTAGGTAGGTATTTTCTTTTATTGTAATAAAAAACAATAAAATTTATATATTTACCTACATTTTGTGAATTTAAAATACAAAAATTGTACAATATTTTTTTCAAGCATTTATTTTGTCACATCATAGGTCGGTATTTAACCTAATTAGGTTTGGTTCGACTGACATTTTAGACTTATTTTCATACGGAGGTTTATAATGATCTGAATTTTAAACTATAGTAGGTAATAATATGAATTAATTAATTAATTAATTATAATTAATTTATAAAGACTTCATATTTGTGCGCAGCAAAGTCAAATTATTATACACCGCCGTACAATAATGAAAGTACACAAAAAGAGTGGTTTCATCCAAGATACACAAAAACCGGTATGCTGGTTATGAAACGAAAACTCGTCGACTTCGCGCATGTGACGTCACGTGCGAACCAGATTTAAATGTTACAAAGAGTTTTGCATAGGCATACGCTATGCACGGGTGTTTTACTACGATTTCTTTTGAGTTTTTTCCGAAATTGTTGTGTGTTTTAAAGTACTTATAAGCCACGCACGATGGTTTTGCAACGTTTTTCGTAAAGTTGTTACTGCATTTATTGAACAGCAATAACTATTTACCAGGTTATTTATTAAGTTTGTGTTATATTTGTTACACTTAATAACTATTTAAAATATGCCGGGCTATGCTGTAGCAGACAGCAGAAATATGAACGGAAACTCCAACACCCAACATAACCTAACATTAAGTACATATTTTTGATTTCCAAAAAATAAAGATCTGGCAGCACAGTGGATAAATGCATGCAAAAGAAATGATAAAATAAAAATAAAAAACGGCAATTTTTGGTATACCCAATTTTTTGTTAAGTACTTAAGGTGAATTTATGCTCACTAAAAATAAGAAATTAAAAAATAAGAAATAAGAAATAGTTTCATTTGTTGTCATTTATGTCTGATAAATAATAAAAATAATAAATAAGAAAAATATGCAAAAGTGAGGTTAAACCTGATTGTTTGACAGTTCCCAAAGCGTTCGTTTCTTTGGTTGGTTTGTTCTGTGCTAATTTTTTTTAAACAAATTTTATTGCTTACAACAGCATTTTTACTGTTGCAAAAAAGAATTGTTCGTTAGAAACGGGCTGCGAGGCGGTACAGCATTCGACCCCTAAATCGTAATCGCAGGGTTACGGGAAATTTTTATGCCCGTCGTCCATATTTCCAATAATATAATTAAATAACACAAAAACAATCCAAAAACGCCAATTAAACAACACAACAATTTAGAATTAACTATTGCACAAAAGTATTTGCGAATTTCCGGCGCGAAACAAAAACCTGTCAGCTGATGACGAAAATAAATCAATTGCGCACAAAAATACGCAGAATAAGAATCTTAAGTTGAAAATTGCCAACTTTTATTTTTATTTCTTATTTTTTATTTCTTATTTCTAATTTTTAGTGAGCATAAATTCACCTTTACAGTAACTTTTCACCCTAACCACAAATTTTTTTACAGCTTGCATAAGTTTCTAATAATAAAAATTAAAACACAATTGTATCGGAAACCCGCTTTAAAAGTGTCACGAGTAAAAAAAGCAGTATTGAGATTTTTTTTTACTTTTGACACTTTAAAGCGGGCGTGCGTTATTATTACCTGCATAAATGCATTTTTATAATTTTGTTATATTCACATTTAAAAAAATGTAAAATTTGGTCTAGCGTGAGTTAAGTAAATTTAATTAAATAAAAAATATTTTGAAAAATAATAATAGGAAGGTAGGATTTTAATTGTTGCTTAAAATATGTTAAATTTTTCAGGTAAACCACCATGACGAGCGCTTTAGGGCGTCATCTCCAGTTCTGCGTGAGCACCGTGCGGTAGATGAGTGGGGTGGCGGGGAGCGGTTGTCGGACAGCCAAAGGGGGTCAGCAGCAGCAGGACAAGCACATGGTACATTGGTTCAGGAAGGGGCTCCGCCTGCACGACAACCCCTCTCTACGGGAAGGCCTTAGGGGCGCAAAGACTTTTAGGTGCGTGTTTGTGCTCGACCCTTGGTTCGCCGGCTCCTCCAACGTGGGGATCAACAAGTGGAGGTAAATGAAACTAAACCGAAATGAACGTAAAAAAAAATCGAATTTTTTTCATTAACCTTATCGTTTTCTACTCGTCAAACACTGTCACTTGACCAATGTCAAGGAGGCTGTGAATCCGCCATATTGAATTTATTTATCTTACTTATGCACAGCCACTAATTCCTTACACACAAGCTTTTTTTTTTAGCTTATCATGTAACCATTTGTGGCCATTTGACAGATTTAAATAAAAAAAAAATATTTTAAACACAAACTACAGGTAATGAAATCTTTCTATAACTTGTTTTATATGTTTTAATATAAAGGGTGGGCCATGTTTATGTTGAATTATAAAATAGCAATGAGAACAAGAAAAACTGATTTTTTTTCAACGAATTTTGCTTTATTTGATACAATGTTTCTTCCGATTAAGTATGGAAAATGATTTTATTTAAGTGGCCACCTCAGCTGGCTCGGCAGTAGCCCATCCTGGAACACCAATTTTCGAGCAGTTTGTCAAAAGTTTGCTGCTCTATTTAGGCAATTTGAGCTTGAATGTTTTGTTTTAAATGGTGAATAGGCTTTGTTACGGCTACGTGTGGATTTTCCGTGGCCCAAATCCTATAGTTTTGCTTGTTGACATAACCTCCGAGGTAAAAATGCGCCTTATCCGAAAAGATGATTTTTCTTGCAAAATTAGGGTCATCGTTCAACTGGTTTAAAGCCCACTCAGCAAAGCGAAAACGTTGTGGATGGTCAACTTGCTTTAACTCCTGAACAAGCTGGACTTTGTACGCAAACATACCGAGGTCTTTGTGCAGAATCATCCTCAGAGTGGTACGGGAAAGGCCGAGTTGTAGACATCTGCGCCGAGTTGATGTTGACGCGTTCATGCGTACATTTTCGGCCACAGCAGCGATTGCTTCAGGTGTACGTCTAAGACGAGCATGCGAAACATGTTTTATGTCCACCAGCATTCCATTTCTGCGCAATTTTTTGATCAATTTTGTAAAACATTGATTTGACGGCGCCACTTTTCTGCCAAACGCAATTTTCTTGCCGTCTCTGCAATCACAGTCACATTCAAAGTAAGTTTTGAGTATTTCGAAACGTTGATTCAAATTTATTCGGTGCATATTTTGTAATCGGAAGGTTAAAACTAAACCACTGTCAGCAATTCATGGCGCTTAAGTTGAAAGCTTCATTAATAGCACGTAGTTTAAAATTCAACTTATAGATGGCCCACCCTTTACTTACATCTAACAGGTTTTATAGTTATAAAGATCCAAATATATCGTATTTCATTCTATTTTAATACATCAAATTAACTGATACTGTATTCAATTTATAAATAAACCTAAAAATTGATTTGATTTTATAAATGAAATTGGAATAAAATTGCTTTTTAGAACAAGAAAAACACTTTTTACAATAAAATTTGACAAAAAAAGTTATGGTAAAGTTTTTTTTTAAATTCTTATTTTATGTCATAAAATTAATATTTTTTACAAAAAAAAATATTTTTTGCAATAAATTTACATAAAAATAATTAATTTTTGGGTATTTCCGCAAAACCATGCACACCTTGACAAAAAATCAGATGTGTTATTTAACAAAATAACAACTATATCTGAAGTTAAATAGTTTAATTGCGACGTAATTTATAGCTAACATTAAGAATAAACACGGAAGAGTTTCAATACTCGATAAAATGTTCAAATGTCGCACCCGTTACATTTTGAGAAAACTTTAGAAAATAAAGTTTATAATATTTGTGCATTTAAAATACGTGCTTGTTTAAGGCTACTATTTAAGTTTTACACAAAAAATTATTATTATTATTAGTAATAATTTTTTGTATTTTTATTTAAATTATTGATATATTTGAACAAACACTTTATTATCATAAAAAACGCAGTTTTAGTGTCACACCCGTAACAATGGAAATACCCTTTTGTAAATTAAACACTCGCTCGCAAGCTTCGCTCGTGCGTGATAAAACTCGTAACTAAAATGGCGTATATAAAACTTGATAAATAATATGCTATTAACCAAAAACTACAGGTAATGGAATCTTTCTATAATTTGGTTTATATTTTTTAGGTTTTAATATACTTACTATTTAACAGGTTTTATCACAATCCACACAACAATCCACCTTAAAATTGACATTTGACAGTTTTATGACAGCCTTGATAGAATAAAGTTTATTTTTTACAATAGAGGAGTAAAATAGTTGTTCTTGGCCCTTTAAGGCCTCTTTTAAGGCTTACTAGTAAACCCAAAGCACAAAAATTGTAAACAACAAAAATGGCTGCCGTTAAACTGTGCAGTGTTGCAGTAATTTTTTGTATTTTTAGTACGAGATAGAACAGACCTTGTTGTGTGGATTGTAGGTTTTATAAAGTTATACTTGTATAAAGATCTAAAGATATCGTATTTCATTATATTTTATACGTCAAATTAACTTATACTGTATATAATTTATAAGTAAACCTTGAAAAGAGAGGAAAAAAATTGATTTGATTATACAGGTACCTATTGTAAATGACCAACAGAATCCAATAAAAAATAAGTAATTGGTTTGAATTGGTTTGAAATGTGTTTTGGCGCTATGAATCACCAATTCATTTCAGTTGCATTCCTATTGATAAGTTCCAATGAAGTCAGCGGCTTGGATTGGAAAATACCAATCCATGCCTATGCTTGTCTCTATTGGCTAAACCCAATAGAAATGCACATGGAATGAATTGGTAATTCATAGCGCCAAACCCATTTAAACCAATTTGAATCAATTTATTTTTATAAATTTGGAAATAGAAATACCAGTTTATTTTTCATTCAAAAATAATTAAGATAATTAAGAATAACCTGGTAAAAACCAGAATTCATTTTTCACAAAAGAGACAAAAAAATTATTATAACTGAGTAGGTAACTTTATTTCTTAGTTAGTGAGATATGTATTGATATATATAACTTACTAACAAAAAAAGTAATAAAAAATATAATTTTTTATCTTTCTTGCAAAGGATGTTTGTAGGCATGGTCGAAATCAATATTATTTATGTCAATTTTTTAAAATCTTGTCCGCTGTAACCACCATTCTCACGCCATCGTCCCTAAACCTTACACATATAAACATTTTTTTAAGATGTAAGTACACTACTATCACTAGGCACTTAACACAGAAATCGACTAATAAAAAAAACCGCTAATAAAATTTAATGGCGTCCAAAGAGTTGTTTGTGTTGATTTTTCTTTATGATGGCGTCTCAACCGTTGGTTTTGCGCAGCTACACGAGAGCCGTCTTGCGATATTTGTATTGTATTGGGAATAACCAATTAGCAGATTTTTCGAATCTTACACTGGGAATGCCCAATTGAATTCAATTGGAAATTACCTATAGGTAGCTTTATCCAATCGAAACCGCTAAAATACAGTAAGTAGAATCCTAATTGGATTTTTCCATATTTTAAAGTATTGAATTTAATTGGAAATTACCCATATGTAGCTTTATCCAATCGAAACCAATAATAGTATATTAAAGAACTAATGTCATAAGACGTCATTTTGTCGCACGCGGACAATGGACAAGTGCGACAAAAGGTCTTATGACATGAGTTCTTTATGCTATTTTATCTATTTTGCAAACATTTCATAAAACAAATTAATTTAATTATATTTAATTTGGTCGAATTTTACTTTACATAGTTGGTATCTCAGTTTGAAGTTTGAATGGTCATTAACCTTTCAAACATTATCACATTCTTTCGCTATGGCGTCGTTAATTTACAATAAGTATTTACAATAAGCGGCTGTTAAAGAAGAAAAAAGGATTTTCTTTGGTTTTAAACAAAATTTATTGCACGAAAAGTCTCGTAAGTACTAGAAAACAAATCATAAAAATATTATAACCTATAGGTATTCAAAATTGTATTTTACCAGTAGCCAACCTATAAAATCAAAATTTTGGGTGGAATAAAGTACCTCATTAAAGAACCAAAAGCGGTGTTATAATGAAGTCATTATGAAACCAAAATAGATAAAAAACATTAGAATCCTAATCATGGAAAATACCAGTAAAAACCAATTTCTGTTTTATATCGCGCCCAATTAAATCCAGACCCATTGATACCAACCAATACTTTAATTGGTTTCTACAGGAATTATTCGGTCATTTACAACAGGGTAATCAAATAAAAAACGTTTTTTCCCTCTTTTCAAGGTTTCTCCTGCAATGTTTGGAGGACTTGGACCGCAGTCTAAGAAAACTAAACTCCCGCCTCTTTGTAATCCGCGGTCAGCCCGCCGACGCGCTTCCGAAACTCTTCAAGGAATGGGGCACCACCTCCTTGACCTTCGAAGAGGACCCGGAGCCCTTCGGTCGGGTCCGCGACCACAACATAACCACACTCTGCCAGGAGCTGGGCATCACCGTCGTGCAGAGGGTGTCCCACACCCTCTACCACCTGCAGCACATCAGCGACAAGAACGGCGGCAAGGCGCCCCTCACTTACCACCAGTTCTTGGCGGTCATAGCCTGCGTGGACGCGCCGCCCAAACCGGAACTTCCGGTGACGGCTTCCTCGTTGAGCGGCGCGCACACGCCGCTCTCCGAGGATCACGACGAAAGATACGGGGTGCCAACTTTGGAGGAGTTGGGTTTCGACACCGACGGTTTGAACCCACCAGTATGGCAAGGTAATGTTTTTTTAAATACTTTGTATGTCACAAACGGGATAGTAAATGCTGCTCTGTGTACAGCACAGCAAACGGAAAAATATAGAAGTGTATAGGATGACTCCCCGTTTGAATACTAAATCTTAAAGTTTTATTAGTACTGCATTGAATCGTGCTTTGTTTTTATATTTTTCGCCTATATAGCTATGCACGACTATTATAGTTAAAGTCAAACCCAATGGTGTCTTATAATAATATTATAGTATATTATACATTATTTTGATTTTCTATATTCAACAGAGAGGTACAAACTCGACCCTGTCGAATGGTGCAGTCATTTATGTCTTCAGAAGGGGGCAGTCCAATGGTGCTTTAGAGACAGAAACTCAAGCTTGCTTTTCGAATTGTACTGGCAATGATTTTATTTAATGTCCCCGAAAATTATAAAAAAACAGCGCAATGCAATATCGCAGCGGTTTCGACTTCTCTTTACTCTACCAAGTTATAGAAACTAGAGTCTCTCTAATACTGTTCTAGTCAATATTTCTGAGAGCATAAAAAGAGGGTGTAATTTAATATTGCAAGAAGTTTTGATCTTTTGATGGATGCAAGTATTTTGAATATTCTCATTTCTGCATATGATTTTGTTAAAAACAATTCCTTTCTTTGGTTCCCTTCTCTGATTTTTGTTTACCGTAACAACTTGTGCGAGATTTAGAAAACTGTATTCAAACGTGGCGTCATCCTATACACTACTATAATTTTCCGTTTGCTGTGAGAGGATGAAATATACCTTTTAATGATATTCCTTACAACGTCCTGCTGGCAGTACGAAAAGTTCTCCGGGTCCTACCACCTTTCACATGAATTACGAGTACTTTCTAGCCTTCCAGCAGGACTTTGAATAAAACCATTGAATAAGCTGTTCTTTTAAAATTGGCGCAAAACGGGTTGGTGCTCTGTTTTTAAGGAAATGGCAGCCAAAATAGTGAGTGGGTGTCATTTTTAAATATGGCGTTAACCAAAGGAAAATTAAAGGTTCATGTAGGTTTTATATACAGAGAACATTTGGCACTTCAATGGTTTTTTTAAGTACTTACCATTAACTTTACTGAAAATTGCCATACATGGGTATTTTGTGGTAAAATATACAAATATTAGTCTGAAAAGGGCCATTGCAAGACCTAATCACGTCAGCCTTTTATCAAAATTAATATTTTTATTAAAACATTTCTGTAAAGCAAAGTACAAGGGATACTTTGGCTAAAAGTGGCATTATTAAGCCATGAAACTATGTAATGGGCCATTACATAATCAGACTTATGTGTTTGCTGGGACCGCTATACGCCTTGTTTTTGTTTTTTTACCATTGTCTTGGTACCAAGTTTTCTAATGCTCTTTGTATTTGTTTTTTAATTATGAGTACTTATCGGTTTTTGCTTCACGTAAGGTTCTTCCTATTAGTAGGTGGTTAGTCCGCCAGGTATGCGGTCACTTATCACTAAATATGGGATATTTAGGTACTAAAAACTAAAAAATAGGTAACTAAAAAGGTACTAAAAAAGCATTTAGGTTAAAAACAGCATTTTAGGTAAAAAAACATTAAAAGTTCAAGTTTCGTTTATAATTTTGTTTAGCCGCATACCCAAACACAGAACATACCCACAATAAACTATTTCTATGCAATAAACTGTGTTTCACTGATTGACACTCACTACACAGAAGCTCACTACAAAGAAGGTAACTGTAAAGAAAGTTACTGTTACAGTCTGTGACCATAAGAAAAAATTCTATACCGTTGAGTTGCACGCCCTGGATAAAATATTGGCAAAAAATTTAAAAAGAACACTAAAAAATAAAATAAGTAAAAATACGTAAAAATAGATAACAAATATGTGAAAATAAACTAACAAATTAAAAAATATGTAACAAAAGTATAAAAAGTTAGTTTAAAGCAAAAACCTCCAAAAAAGGTAAAAAAGGTGAAAACAAGTTAAAAAAATAGGTAACAAAAGTATAAAAAAGTAGTTTAAAGCAAAAACCTCCAAAAAAGGTAAAAAAAGGTGAAAACAAGTTAAAAAAATAGGTAACAAAAGTATAAAAAAGTAGTTTAAAGCAAAAACCTCCAAAAAAGGTAAAAAAAGGTGAAAACAAGTTAGGTTCATATAAAAGAAAATCTTTTAAAACACCTTTTGGCATTATTGGTTTTCAAATAGTTACATCGGTTGAAAAAAGGTAAAATAACTAAAATCCCATCCCTACTTATCACTCTTCACTTAATTACTTCTGTGTCGATACTATCCATTCTAGTTTATATGCAATGTAGAAGTGTATTGGGTATTGAATAATTTTTTTTTATTTAAACAATGTATTTATTCAATGAATACATTGTTTAAACAAAAAACCATGTTTTATTTAAATCAAATTATTACTGTAACCAAAAGGTGGCGAAAGTGAGGCGCTGGCGCGATTGGAGCGCCATCTGGAGCGCAAAGCGTGGGTGGCAAGTTTCGGCAGGCCGAAAATGACGCCGCAATCCCTTCTACCGTCTCAGACCGGTTTGTCGCCGTACCTGAGGTTCGGGTGCCTTTCGACGAGACTGTTCTACTATCAACTGACTGATTTGTACAAGAAAATCAAGAAGGCCTATCCGCCGCTATCGCTGCACGGCCAACTACTGTGGAGGGAGTTTTTCTACTGCGCCGCCACGAAAAACCCAAACTTCGACAAAATGCTGGGCAATCCTATTTGCGTCCAGATCCCCTGGGATAAGAATGCCGAAGCGCTGGCCAAATGGGCTAATGTACGAATACAAAAAATTATATATGGGCCTTTCCATCTCAAATCGACCATCATATTTTTTATGGCAATCGTTTTTACAGTTTCTCTACCAAAATCGATGAGACCCGTATTTTTTCTTTTTGCTTAAATTTGTTTTGTTTACCCGTAGGAAATTTCTGAAAAATGGCCAGAAACATCGATTTTTCTCTTTTTACGAGCCAAAAATGTTTCGATCGTTACAATTTTTTTTTTAAATTGTAGTTATATGTTACTAAATACAAAAAATATAAAAAATTAAGTTGTTTTTTATAAAAAAGGCAAAAATTTGACATTGCCACATTTTTTTTTACTTTAAAATTTTCAACTTTCACCAAAAGTCCCGAGTTGATAAATTCGTAGTTTCGGAATTATTATTTGTTTAATGAAAATGCCATTTACTAGTAAATTCGTGGTTCATCGCAAAAATTTGGTATTTTATCTAGGGTGACCTTTATAAAGTGTAATTTAGAACTTTTTGACATATTTAACATATTTTTGTAACTTCCGGTTTCACCGGAAATGGTGTAAACTTTTTATTTTTTAATAAAAATAAAATTCTGAATACATACATATGTCATTTGCCAATTTTTGAGAAGTCAAATAATTTTTTAATTAAATTTTATTTCTTTATCCAGAGTAGTTTCAAACTTTCAAAAATTGAAAAACCATACTTTATGCCAAAACTATTTTTTTAAAAGAGGGTGGTTTGTTGGTCATAAAAGAAATCCACTTTTTTTAAATTGGATTTTAAATATTAATGAATTTTTAATAATATCGCTTTCAAACTTTTAATTAAATTTGAATGTTTATTACGTTTTAAAGTGTGTACAAAATTAAATAAATTAAGAAAGCTTTAAATCCTTTGTATTAAAAAAAAGTATCAGATTTGACAGTTCGTTAGTTTGTTTTGCTGGTAAGTGAATATTAACATTTTATTTTACTATAAAAACATACGCTAAAACTTTTTATACAATAAAATAAAAGTAATAATTGTTGTGGGAATCAAAGGGGTGTAATGTAAGTAACTGCTCAACATTTTTTGGTTTTAAACCTACGAAATAAAATCATTCAAATATTTTGAAACGATTATAAATTTTTATATATCTAACCGCCCCATAGTGTGGCCATTGTAGGGAATCTCTGGCAATAAATAAAAAAACGAAATATGAAATCAAATGAAAATTTGTTATTGCCCAACATAAATAACCAGCGCATTAGTTTCTAGACCTCTTAGGCCTAATGCTTATTTCCCTTCCTGATAAAGCCTCAGCCAAAAAGAGTTTCGCGACTGCCTCACTCAAATCTGTTAACCGACCAAAATATTTGGGAATTGTTTGTGTTCTACATTTCCTCGAAATCGCGTTTTTTAAGTTTCTTACTCTAAAATCTTTAATAATTTAATTTACTCACTTAAGACAAAAATTGAGTAAATCACTTAATTTATAATAACAAGTTATCACATTTTCAAGAATAAATGTCACTCGTAAAAAATAAAAATCGATGTTTTTGTCCATTTTTCAAAAATTTCCCACGGGTGGACAAAACAAATTGAAGGAAAAAGAAAAAATACGGGTCTCTTCGATTTCGGTCAAGGGACTGTACAAAAATTTTTATTAAAAAATAACGAACTACCCCTTTTTACCTGGTCGATTTAAGATGGAAAGACCCATATATGCATACATTTGTGATTTGTAATTGTGATTTTTTTAAGGGTCAAACGGGATTTCCCTGGATTGACGCCATAATGGCACAATTAAGACAAGAGGGTTGGATCCACCATCTTGCCAGGCACGCCGTTGCTTGTTTTTTGACACGTGGCGACCTCTGGCTCTCTTGGGAAGAAGGAATGAAAGTAAGAAATACGTCCCAACATCAACCAAAATTAACCCAAATTTATTCATTTCTTCTTAATTACTATTTTTATCCACATAGGTTTTTGAAGAACTACTTCTGGACGCCGATTGGTCAGTAAACGCCGGTATGTGGATGTGGCTATCATGTTCAAGTTTTTTTCAGCAATTTTTCCATTGTTATTGCCCTATTAAGTTTGGCAGAAAGGCAGATCCTAATGGAGACTACATAAGGTAACTAAATTACATCTAGAAAACTTCGCTGTTCCATTGGGAAGAAAAACTTTTTCTTTTTAAGAAAGTATCTTCCAATCCTGAAAAACGTGCCAATTCAATACATCCACGAACCATGGACGGCCCCGGAGAACGTCCAGAGAGCCGCCAAATGCGTAATAGGAAGAGATTACCCAATGCCCATGGTGAACCACTCTTCTGCCAGCCGCGTGAACATCCAGAGAATGAAACAGGTCTACCAACAATTGGCCAACTATAGAAACGTCAATTGTAGCAGTGGACAAGGACACTTTAAGGAGGGCTACCAAGATCAACTTGCCATGGCTAACGTAAGTTGTCATTGTTTTTCTATTTTGTCTTTAGTTTTTTTATAATTTACCATAGTTGGCGATACTGACACAATTTTTCGTCATTTGTTTGCAGCTCTATGATATTGAGGACGCTAAATATTTAAAGTCAACTCAACAAGCAGATCACTTTGAAGATAATTTTAATATGATTTGATTAATGACACAAACAACATTTTAAAATTTATTGTTTCATTGTTGTTTTTAAATTTTGCTTATTTGCGATATTTTTATTTTCCTTTTCCAGGAGTTGATGTTAACCATACATGGAAATCAATGGATTTAAAGTAGACTTAACAAAAATCTGTAATTCATACTTATGTTTTAATAAGTTTTAACCAACATCTTGCAGAATATCTAGGATACCAAAATTTTAATTTAGCCTGATTTTTATACAAATATTGTAACAAATGCATATTAGATTCTATTTTAAACAACAAAGGATTTTTATTTTTGCTATTGAGTGCATTTAAACAATTGGTTTGTGTTAAAGAAATTAAATAAAAAATATTGAAAACATTCTATTTTTTTAATAATAGTACAAACAAATATTGCTTGTAAAAACAAAATAAACTGGGTTACAAAAAAATTAAACTTGCATTTTTTCTCCCAAAAGATAATAAACTATTTGGCCTGAAGGTTGAGGCTCCACAATTGTACCATTTTCCAAAATAAATGCGTTATTACCTAAAAAATAAAATAATAGAGAATCATCATTGAGGTCTTAAAATAACGATATTGCAAATAAGGTAAAAATCCCAACTCCAAATTTTAATTTTGGGAGGTTGCCCATCAACTTTAAAAAAATTCAATTGAAAAACCACAGGGAAAAGATTTTTTTCTAGAGCCAAGCGAAAAGTACAAATTTGCGCAAAAAAAGCGGAAAGTTGCACTTTTCCGAGGAGCGAGCGTTTTTTTACTTTGTCGCTCACCGAGCGACACAGTTACTTTGCTCGCATAGTTACCATGGAAACCATAATAAAGAAACGATTAGTGTATTTGCGACTTTTGACATAAACGTCAAATTTGAAGTTATCAATAATTATTAATTTTTACTAGGGCTGTACAATTTAGCTGGTTAAACCGGCTAAAAAATTAGCTAAGTTAATTAGCTAGCTAACTTAGCTTAGCTAATTAGCTGGCGGCTTAACCGGTTAATCTAGCTTAGCTCAGCTAATTAGCTAACGGCTAATTTTTTAAGCTATTTAATAATTTAATTATATATATTAGGGTGTTTCAAAAAAATCGGCTTTTTCTTTTTCTTCAAATGGTCAGCAAATTCTTTCAGAGGATGTCAAAACAAAGACCTCGTTAAAATTTGAGCTTTTAATTTGAACATTTAGAGGTCGCGGATCGCAATTTTCTATTTCCCATTTACATAAATAACATGGGAACATATTTATATCTGAAAGATAAGAAGTGTTGTAAAAAAAAACAAAAAAAACAAAAAATCGTCATTTTTTTCCAAAGCCTACTACAAAGTTTTAATGAAAATATGAGATGTGTATAATATGCAGAGTAATTTATATATAAATGCATTTTTCTCGAAAATGGTGCATCTGAGCAATTCAAATCAGGAGTACCTATTTTTCGTAAAAAACTATAAATTCTCATAATTTCATAAAAAAAATTAAATTATTAACCCAGAAAAAAGTTGTGGCTATTTTTGTAACTTTGCCCCCTCCAAATGTTACGCCTATGATTAAATTTTAACAGTTTTGATCATAGATCTAGATTCAGCATGTCAAAATTACCAAAGTACCGAAAATTCATTTGTTCATGTTCAACCCTCTAGGAATAGTTTTAAAAAAAATATCCTCTTAGACTCCTATTCAGGGGGCCGTAGCTCCTTTAGGAAGCATTTTTTGATACATGTTTATTAAACAAAAAAAGTGTTATTTTTATACAAATAAACTGTTTAAGTTTGGCCCCCTAATTTCGGGACACCCGTATAATGATAATTGTACCATAAATGTTAAAAAACGCGAAAATTCGATGGAAATCAAACTTTGGCCTCGAATAACTCTGGAAGGAATCAATTTATAGAAAAATGATAGGAGACCTTTTTTGTAGAGCGTTAAATTTACTATGAAAATCTAAGATGATCCTTGACATAAGTTGATTCAATTCAGACGTATAAAATTTCAAAGTTAAAAAAAAAATCCCATGTTATTTAAATGGGAAATAGAAAATTGCGATCCGAGACCTCTAAATCTTTAAATTAAAAGCTCAAATTTTGACGAGGTCTTTGTGTTGACATCCTCTGAAAGAATTTGCCGACCATTTGAAGAAAAAGAAAAAGTCCATTTTTTTGAAACACCCTAATATATATATATAAATATCTTAGATAAATATATATTATTTAACCTAATAAATTACTCTATTATTGTTTGTCATAAAAGCAACATCAATATTATTATTTTTTTAACCTGCCCGTAAATAAGAAATCATTATATAGCTTAAAAAGCGGTTTAGCCGGTTAGCCGTTAGCTAATAAGCTGAGCTAAGCTAGAGTAACCGGTTAACCCGCCAGCTAATTGAATTCTCCAATTATTAAAAAAATAAAGTTAATTTAAGGTTAATTTAACCAGTTGTGTTACTTGGGAATGGTCTTAAAAAAATCTCTTACTTAATTTTATTTCTTGTTCAGTCCCTGCTAAATCTGGCATAGATGGCAGGATGTCACTGTTAGGTTTGGCTTTATTTTCAATAGGTGCACTCTGCATTGGAATGCTAAGTAAATTTTCCACAATCCTATCATTACTTTCATTAAGAAAATCTATGTTGTCTGTGGTACTTTTAAGCATATCTTCAAACTCAATATTTATATTGCTTTCATCATTGCCACTCATACTAATATCAGTTGTGAAGTTCATATTGTCTATTGTTTCCTTAAGATCCATTATGTTCAAGTCGCTTTCGGTCACTTCAACTTTTTTCTCCTTCTTTTTACCAGCAAATTTGTGTTTATTCGGCATGATATCCATGCCTTGGTAATCCTTAATATCCGCGTGTATCCTTTTCATGTGCCTTTGTAGGGAGCTCTTCAACTTCATCTTTTTATTACAGGCAGGGCATTGGAATAAATCGATTGCATCGCTGAATTCGAATTCTTTGTGTTTTCGCTTGTTGTGTTTCTCTAGGTTCCACTGGGTTCTAAAGCTGCACGGGCAGTATGGGCACTTGTACGCAGCTTCTTGGTGCATTTTTTTGTGGAAGAATAAATGCTTTTTTGACTTTAATTTTTTATCGCAAACATCACAGGAAACAGTCTAAAAATACAAGATTATATAAATTATATACATATACAGAATCATCAGGAATATAATTCTCTATGAAGTCTCCATAAGCATGCGACCCTAATGGTCCAAAAAGAAGCATATTTTTTTATTAATTTAACGTAAATTTGCTTTGCTTAAAAAAGTGTGATATAAAGTTACAAAAGCTTGTAGTTTTTTGGAAAATTTTATTTTCTTTGTGGGAAATTATTTTACATTTGTAAACATTACAGTTATCGAAAATTATGTATGGAGGTAACTTTAGTTAAATCGCATTATTTTGGTATTTCATCTAGGATTATTTTTTACAGGCATTTTTATTTATTTATTTTTTAAATTCATTTAAGAATGGTAGCAAATATTGTACAAAACATTCCTTTATTTAATTAAGGTTCGGGCACGATATTAGTCGCTATGAGAAAACTTTGAAAAAATTCTAGGTTGTAGTAGACTCTACTTTAAAAGACATTTACAAAGTTTTAGAAAGATTGACCGTCTGGTTTTCCAGTACAAATTTATTAAAGCAGCTAAGTTGTGAATGTTGACAACATTTTATATGCTAAATCTACAGGTAAACACATTTAACAAACTGCATATTTTCTGCTGCTTTATTTTAGGTTCCTATACCTTTTTTTAATTTTTTTTGTGGTTGATTGCATTCGTCTCGCAGAACGTAATAATTCGTTTTTACAGCTCATTTTAAATATCACTGCATAAAGAAATGTCACTGCAACTGTCAAAAGCGTTACCATAGAAACCAACTCGCAATGTTGTCGCGTTTAAATTCTATTTTTACGTTTTTTAATTCATGTTTCTGTGCTACAAATTGTAACTTACAATACATTGTTGTGTGTATCATATACATGTATTATATAGTGCCTTTTGTATTAAAATAAAATCTACTAATTCGAGTAGATGATTTGCATCTCTCGTCTGGAGACTCGAGACCAAAAAAAAATTAAAATTTTACAAAAAACCTCTTTAAACCCAAAGGTTTTCTTAGCTCGAAACATAGAACATTTTTTTCGGTCGCAAAGTAAATTTACCGCTAAATAATAAACAATATGCAAATTAAGTGCGATCATTAGTCGTAAGCTTATTGAGACCACTTAAGTTGATTCAGTTTTTATATCATTGCACTGTTTTAATATTCACCTCCAAGTTTGTGACAACATGCGACAGCATGTGATGCTTTAAAACGTCATTCCTGTGAAACTTTCTGTCGCAAACCCGGCAAGCGTATTTAGGTTCCTCGTGCGTCTGCGCGTGAACATTAAAACTGACTTTGTTGGTGAATATTTTCGGACAAAACTCGCATATAAACTTTACTTCGACAACCTTGGTCTCGTGAATTTTGCTGTGGATTTTCAGTGCCCTTTCGTGGAAAAACTGTTTTCCGCATTTTCCGCAAGTAACGTTTCTTTCGCGATTTTTCGCCTCGCATTCGTGATTCACCAAATCCGTTTTCGACTGATACGAGTGCGAACATTTGCTACAAGCGTACTTCTTGAAGTGCCGCACTGTAATGTGCCGATTCAGGTACTTTTTTTGGACGAACACTTTGCTGCAGTAAGTACAGCGGTGACGATAGAAGGCGTTGCATTTGTGGGTGTCCAAGTTTTCTTTGTGGGAAAATATCTAAAATATAAATAACTTTGGTTTCATTCTTTAACAAAAAGTTCATTTTTTTTATCTGCACTGCGGCAACGTTGCAAATTTAGGGGTTTGGTTGGTAAATACGGAACCAAAATTGGTTGCATTCATTAAACAAACTGAACTATAGTGTTTTTTTGTTAGGTTGGTGGCTTATGCCAGTTTGACTTAGTATTTTTAATATTTAAAAATGGTACTTCTGCTAAAGAATTTAATTAAATAATTTGACACTGTCAATTGACAATATTATTGTCAATTTAAATTGACAATAATATTTATTATTGAAAATTTACTTGTCAATTATAAATAAAAAGATAATTAGGCCAACAGTAATAGCAACGAATTCGAATGCCCTTTTGAGGGCAAAACTTCATTTTGATGAAATTATGCCAAATGCCACAATGGAAGAAAAATTACATCGCCTTATGGACATTTTTTGAGTAAAAAAGTAACGAATTTGGTTTTATAAATATTACATCAAACATTATTTTCACATTATTCACCATTGGACCACATTTACGTTTACAAAAAAATTTAATTTCTTTTATAATTCTTTTCAAAGCGAAGATTATTATCCGCTAGGAATACTTTCTCTTTTGGGCCGTAAAGCAACCTATATTTAACTACTTTTTTTATATGATTTTACTCATCCAAGCACCACCAAAGCCAAATTAATTGCATTTTTAACTACGAATTTCGACAACTCAACTTGACAACTGCACAATGTAACCTTCAATAATTTATACATAACCACATTTAGATTTATAACTATAGCTTGGTTTGTTTTAATCAATGCGACCAACTTGACAACTGTATTTACCAACCACAACCCTAAATTTGCAACGTTGCCGCAGCCCAGATAAAATGAACTTTATGTTTGTGTTAAAAATAGGTGCGTTATTTTCGCCTGAGATCTCAGCTCACTTCAGTTAATGTGATATGAGATGTACTGATGTGAGTAAGCATTAAAAAGAACGACACACTCAATTGAAACGCGCAATCTGAATAAGAGGCAACATAACCTATCTCTGATATCATTATGTTCTGTGTTATATCTTTATTGGTTTAAATTTTGTGGTTTTCTATGTTCAAATTTGGGTTGAATTATAGATAATACAAAAATAATAATAAAGGTTTTATTTGATGAAGACGATGAAGGTGATAAAATGACATAAAATAAAAATTAAAAAAAAAAACAACTTCACTTTGACATGTTTTGATAAATTTTATAGTAAAATGTGTTTTCCTAGCTATGAAAAGCAATTTTATTCGAATTCTATTTATTATATCAAGTTTATAGCTAATTTACAAAATTTTATTATTTTTATTATTTTAAGTTTTATTGCAAAAAATCACCTAAATAAGATTAGGTTATGTTATTTAAAAACTTAACAAATCAATCATTTCTTTATCACCTCCACTTTATTTCCGACTTAATTTAAACTGATTCCCCCGCACAGCATATGCAGTATCGGTGAGGGGGGAGGAAAAATCTCAGCTCACTTTATGCCATAAAGTTTATGGTGAGTGAAGCAAAAAGAACGCGTACATTTGCAAATTTTACCGATGTGAGCTGAGATTAACTGAGATCTCAGGCGAAAAGAACGCACCTAATGTATCAATTTAAACTTGTTAAAAATAAAAATTTGTTTTAAATTTCTCAAGAGTCATTTAAATAATAGTCGATAAATTTTTAATTAAAAAATTACCACTTTAAAATTTAAAACTAACATTTAAATGTAATGTGAGAATTTTTGTATTAAACATTTATCGACTATCATTTAAATGACGCTTTACAAATTTAAACCAATAATTTTGTAGAATAAAACATTAAAACCACAATCCACACAACATTGTGATTAAAACTACAATAATAATTACAAAAAATTGTGAAATAAATGTTGAAAAATATTTACGTAATATTCATAAATGTTTCAAAAATATTTGCATAACACTTATAGAAATATTTTTCCCTTACATTTCATCAACTTTTCATTTATAAATATTCTTCTACAAACGGCCTGACAACATTTTTAAAACACACTTACTTTGTTGCACTCTTTGCAAAAATATTTTCCAGTATGCAATCCCAAATGCCTGATGAGAGACCTCAGACTCACAAACACTTTCAAACAAATATCGCAGACTATGTCTTCTTCGGCGTCTTTCAACTCGAAATTAAAGTGATCCAACTCCTTGACGTTATCATTGAGCAAATTGTCGACGTTAAAATTTTCGGTGTCCATTAGGGTATTGTGGTTGTCGATGTTTGCTAGGTTAAACTGGTTCAGTTCTTCATTTTTTTGTATTAAAAAATTCGAATTATCCAGGCTGTCGTTTAGGATAACGTTTAATAGAGGTCCACCTAGTGAAACGTCCTTGCATTGCATGCTGCCTTTTATTAAGGGAATTGAGCTGGTTTCTTTGGGAGCATTTTTAATTCGATTTGTGGAATGTATTAGTTTCATGTGCTTTTGTAAATTCTAAAAATACTAGTTTATTATCTAAATTCAATATTTTTACTTACTTTAAAGTAAAAACTTACCTTATAACTGTTAAAAGTGGCTTTACATAGCTCACAATGTTTCTTTAATTGAAGCCTATAATGCTCCAGTAAATGTAATGTAAAAACGGTAACGTTTGATTCCAGTTTTCCACAAAATTTGCAGTTCCAAATGTCTCTTTTCATTATATTTTGCTGTGATTTCACCAAACCATCAATAACTAACAAAATATAAATATTTACCAAATGAAAATTCCTTAAATTATGCCAAAATAAAATTCCCAGCAAACACAACTGCAAAGGTCCTATAATGACCCTTTATAAACGTGCCTTTAATGAACTAAAGGCCCTATCAAGGCTAACTCCAATGGAACTGTACATATTATGTCGCGTTCACCTTTAATGGGCATGTAACGGCAGTCAATAAAGGCACTTACAAGAACCATTCAATTTTTTTATGTGGCGCGCTAAAGGTTCTGACATGGCAGATTAAAGTTACAAATGTGGCAAACTAGTTTCTGATATGAGGTGTTAAAGATTCTATAGTGGTTATTTAAATTTTCAATGGATAAGTGAAGTATCTATTATGGTGGATTAAATGTGGTGGGATGTATTTATTAGATAATGATATTTCACGATAATCAGAAATTTTTATCCCTACCGTCACAATACAATTTCTGACGGTCGTGATAAAAATTTCCGATTATCGTGGAATATCCGACCCAATAAATATAAACAAACCACATTTAATCCACCTTAACAAATACTTTACTTATCCATTACATTAATTAATATATTATCGTGAAATGTAATACTAAAACATTCATAAATTTACAACAAAAAATACAAATTTGTTGCTTAAGCAATGTGTTATAATAAAGACCTGTAAAGCTGTTAAGTAAAACATAAAATTTTTATTTTAAAAACTGTTTATTAGGTAATAAATGAAATCCATAATATTTAAATAAATAAAAAAATCTTTAAACTAAATAGAAAATATTTAATATTAAAATATATATTTACAAATAAGTTTACTTGATTTTTTTGGTAGATTGTCCACTATAACAAAGAAAACCCGGTTTTCTTTGCCATTATTAATTTATTTTATTCGCAATTGCCCCAATTTTGACCTTATGAATTAAACCTTTATACTAAATTTTTTGGCTGTATTTTGTTTGTAATCAGTTCTAAAATTTAAAAAATTAAAAATAAACCTACTTCGTCATTTAAATTTAACAACCATTTGGTATAAAACACTATTAAAACTATAGGGGCGTCATTTTTAAAATATTAAAATACTATTAAAACTATAGGGCCATCATTTTTTAAATATGGCGTTAACCAAAGGATAATTAAAGGTTTGTGTAAGTTTTATATACAGAAAACATTTGGCACTTCAATGGTTTTTTAGTCACATTAACTTAATACTTATATATGGGTCTTTTATGTTAAAATATTCAAATATAACCCTGAAAAGGGCCATTGCAAGACCCAGTCACAAAAGCCTTCCATTCCTGTAAAGGCCCAGTACAAGGAAAGCTTTGGCTACAAATGCCATTATTAAGCCATGAAACTATGTAATGGGCCATAATGTTTACTGGGGTGCTACAAAATAGATATCTAACTTTTTGCAATAGATAATAAATCAATTGTAAAAACTAAAATTTACTCCAACAAAAAAATATAGCAGGAAATTAAACATTTTTAATGCTGGAAAATTACTAGACACTTATAAGTGTACTTACCTATGATAAATATTATTAAAAATAAAGTAGGGGAACACCTGAACAGTAATTACCTTCAACTAAAGTATTTTCCATTTTGTTTTCTTCTAATGCCACAACTGGCTGTAAAACATTTTGATTTATTTTCTCTGCATAAAAAGGTGCATACCAAACCCTTAAATCTTCCCCAGGATTGATGTCATTCAAACAAACATAATAAATATTATTTTTATCCTGGAAAATATTTTTATTAAATGAAATACAATTTATGTAATTTTGAACTTACCTGATAGCAAATCATATTTTGCTCTTCCAACTCAGCAGCTGGACTAACAAAGTACATCCAGCTACACTCTGTTTCCTCACTGGTGTCTAAAAAATACTCTTTAAATTCATCATCTTCATCTGAGGTGAACAATTTCAGTGGAAATCTAATGGAAGGTTTGAGGGTTAACAACCTTTTGGCTTGAAAAGGCCCAAATTGTGTCCCCTTGGGGATTATTTCTTTAGTGCACACACTGAAACTGTTATCGGCCAGTGTTTTAACTTCCAAAAAATCAGGTAAGGTCAGTCTTGCTTTCGAAGGCACCAGCTTATCTGGTATCTAAAATATAAGAAAAAACGTAAAATAGACAATTTTAATTTGATACAAGCTATTTACGAATTAACCGAAAGTAAAACTACGGGGCTATCAACTTACATGACCGGTAATTTGTATTAATTTACATTCTAATGCAGTGTGCTCTTCGCCGCACATACCGCACTCCTCTGCATAGCTATTGTCATCATCATCATTTACAAAATTGAATGGCTCCGGAATACTTAGTGTTTGAGCCATTTTATTGCAAAATTAAATAAATAATAAAAACTAAGGTTAGGGCCTGTATTATTACAATGTTGCCAACTAATGAAAAATGTCAAAAATATGGGAGTTACTATTGGGGGATAAAAGTCCCTGCCTGCGGTGTTGCCAAGTCTACCGCTTTTCCAGTAGACCAAGCTGTGATGAATCATATGATGTGATTTTCCTCTGTAAGTACATTAAAAGCTATTACAACATGTTGTAAGATAATCACCTGTCTCAAACTGTCTTTTGTACCTTAAAAAATAACACAAATTACTAATAGAAATGTTTCCTATTAACTTAATACTGTTTTCTACGAACATGTAATTTGATCTGGCAACGCTGCAGTTGTCAAATTGGATATTTTATGATGTCTAAGTTGGCAACAGTACTTGCAAATCACGACGTGCCTGCAAAAAATAGTTCTGTACGTCAACAATCAAATTAATTTCGTTATTAAAATTTAATAATATATTTATATTTAAACTATAAAAAGTTAAAAAGTAATTAAGTGCATTAACAATTAAGTGAAACCCCTTTTAGATTGAATTTAATCCTTAATTTTGGTCGCCATTTTGTATATGCCGGTGGATTTTTAGTAGACTTGTCAAAAATTGTGTTATAAATAATTTTCCTTCTGTGTCAAGTTTTTTAATTATTTTTTAACTTGCATTATTAACCAGTATTAAGTGATCGTTTAATCACATTTTACACAGGTAAGGATCATTGTTTTTTCATTAGGGCCAAGATGTAAACTGCTACTTTTGTCATTACTGTCACTCCCTTTTATTTTTCTCTTCAAATTGACGTTTGTCAAATTACAGGGCCTATTTCATTTAAAATACCAGATAAAATACTTGTATGATTGTCCGGATCTTTTTTAAATTACAATGTCTCCAAAATTCAGCTTCTTTTCAAGGTTTACTTAATGTTGACATTTTCAGTTTTTTCAAACAATGATCTTTTAAATCGGAATAATGACTATTGCTACCAGAGGACAAGGAAATTCAGAAGACACTTTAGATCCACAGGTAAGTCACTACCTAAACATTTTAGTTAGGATAAAAGTACCACAACATAACATAACACAGACATGTCATCACATAAGCTAATGTTTATGAAGTTGTTTTTTGATCTCTTTTCATTTTACCTTCCAAACGTTTTAAGTATGGGTATGCCACTAATATTTTTATATTTTTTTATAGCGTAGCTTTATGAACAGTTAAGTTTGAAATGCAAAGTTATCTCTTGAGTTTATTTTTTAAATTGGTTAAAGGTGTTAACTTTAGTAGATAAGTAAAATAAATGACAATGGCATTTTGAAATAGTGTAAGACACAAAACATGTATCCATAGTTTTATATTGCTGTAATAATATGTTGCCTATATAATGTGTATATTTTGTCTTTTTTAAAAAGCATTTAAAGACTAATGCAATATTATTTTAATATGGATAACGCTTATATAAAAGGAACCAAGCGCCAAAAATTTTTTCTGTGCTTATTTAAATTATTTGTAAAATAACCTATTTTTAATAATGCTCAAAAGGTTGATCATCATTTGGAACTTTCCTCAAAAGGATTGAGAGGGTCCCCAATTCATTATTAATTTTTTGAGCAGCGTTAAAAATGAGTTATTTTGAAAATAATTTTGTTTACCCCAGAAAAAGTTTTAGGGGCTTGGTTCCTTTTCGATAAATGCTATCTATATGTGTAAATACAGCAAAATTCTAAGAAAAGATACAATTTTTGTTGTCAAATGCTGTTTGTTTGTATTGGAAGGTTTTAAAACAATATATTTTATTTATTTATATTTATTGAAAGGAAGTTAAATGAAATGTAAAAATAAAGTTATAAATCCTAATACCTAGCAATAATATTTTTAACTTTTATAAAATACAACTGTTAACCTCAGCAACTTTATTTGGCTCTTTCTATAAATACTGTTTTTAAAATATAAATATAAAAATTTCTGTTACGCCATTTTAAATTTATTCATCATTTATCTTATTTTTATTCTTATTCTTTTGTAATTTACTTGCCTAAAATAAACAATATTTTGATGAAACATTATTATTATTATCTGCAGGCTATTACAGCTGGGCCATCCCAAGTAAACAATGAAGAAATACCAAATGAGAATGTGGAACCAGAGTTTCCACGCGACAAATTAGCGTCCTTGGACGAAAAAATATCAAATTTACGATGGGTAGTGCCAGTTTTGCCAGAACAGGAGTTGGAGTGTTTGTTGAAGGTATCTGTAGACCTAGCGAAAAAGAATTTGGATACGAGATCAGAAGCATGTCAAAGATTCTTTCGCGAAGGTCTTACAGTATCGTTTACGAAAATATTAACTGACGAGGCTGTATCGAGTTGGAAAACGAACATACACTCGTGCATCAATCAAAACTGCTTGAAATTAATTGAATTATGCGTGGCAAAACTGCCTCACGACTGGTTCCCGCTGTTGGACTTGCTGGCCATGGTTTTAAATCCCAACAACAAATTTCACACGTTCAACTCCTCAAGGCAAAGTGAAACGGCCGCCACAACGGCCAATTTAACTGAAGAAGAGCTTTTTGCTAGGCCTTCAAATGACCCGAGGAACCCAAGAGGATGGCTGGTTGACTTAATGAACAAGTTTGGGGAGCTGGGCGGCTTCCAGATTTTGTTGGATAGATTTCAAAGTGGAAAGAACCTCAGTGTTTCCATTGTGTTTGCTTTGCTGAGACCTTTCGGCCTTTGCTATGAGTACCTTACCCCTCACACTATCAACAAATTTATTTTGCCTATTTTGGTAAGTACTTTTTATTTTATCAAGTATTGTTTAGAATTTGTAAAATCCTAAATAAAACCAGCTAAGTTGAAAAATTTTCCAGTTTACACAAAAATAAATCAAGGAATTTAAAAAAATTGTTTTAGGTAAACAGCACATTATAAACAAAATATACATTTTTATAAATAAATGTCAAGATTTTATTATTCTGATAAAATTAAACAGTTTTTAAAACACATTTAAAATTAAGATCTTATCTTTATTAGTTTTAATTTACCTAATGCTTTGCTATTGTTTAATGAAATTTAAAAATAACGAATTTTGAAAATTTATCTAGGACATACCAAAATGAACCATCATATTATATTTCTAAATTGAAAAACACAAATTTTGTTGTGTGCTGGCATTTTTCCAAAGTTTTCTTTTAAGGGATCTTATTTATTCACCGTTTCCATAATTTATTTTTTGACAACAAAGCAATTTTTTATTACTATAATTTGGAAATTGTATTTTAGATTACAATCCAAATTTTATAAAATAAAAAAATTTAATAAAATAATATTTTTTTTTACTTAAATAAAATATTCCTTACCAAACAAAATATTGATCTATTTAAATTTTTTGTAATGATGTTACCTTATATTTCAAATTAAATTAAACCACATTCATAAGTTAATACAAATATGTAATAAGGTTTATATTATTGATTGGAACAAGAACAAAATAACCTTAAAACATTTTTGTTTAATCCTTCTTTATGGTGATCTAACTTAATTACATTTTCATAACCTTGGTAAATCATGAATAATGAAATCCGTATTTATATGCTTTTTTCTGGAATTGAATATTTTAAATTAAAAAAAAAAGAAATAATCAACATAAATTTTTAATAAAACAGTGAACCGCTCGATTTAGAAGTTGGAAATGTGTGACATTTTGAAAAAACAACAATTTTTTTACGTCACACACGTCACATTTAATGTCTTGTTTAACTTATTTTAATTTCGAGTTTCTAAACACAGCGATTCAAAAAATAAAAGGTTTTTTATGCGCTTACTGTATATCTCTTAATATGTAAACAAAACCCAATAACAGATAAAATAAAATTGCAGCCTTAATTTTTTAGAGATTTAAAAAAATACATTTTGTCAAGTTAAATTTTTTATTTGTTTTTTAACAGTTTAGAAAAAAACTGCATAGTTATATTTTTTTAATAAAAGCTTAACTCATTAACAGCTCTAGCCAAAAAAATGCTTACTGTAAATAAAAAAGTTTTGTCAAAACCTTGGAAAGAAAGATAATATTATTTAGAAAAATTGTCATTATTGAAAAATCAGTTTCCCATAAACAGTGGAAATCCAATTGAATAAATAAATTGCATACAGTGCCTGTAAATTTTATTGTACCTATTAGATACAATAAATAAACATTTTAGTAATGATTTATGTGAAAATTGTAAACATTTTAATTCAGTACAAATCAAAAAACAAATAATAATCAATTTATTCATGATTAAAAGCGTTGATTGAGACAGTCTCCACTTAACGGTAAAAAGACCAAAAACGGGTAATATATTATGCATTATATTTAATAGTATGTTGCCATGAATTCGTAGATATATTTTGTTGTTTACTTTTTTAAAATGCAGTTGGCGGTTTTTTAAGGACTCAAAATTTCTTATACAGGGTGTCATCAAATAAGCTGTTTTTCCTCTATAATTTTTGCATTAGTACCATTTTTGTTAATACAAAAATCATTAAAATTAATCATAAGTGTCGCTCTTGCTATCATATCCGAATGATTTCGGATTTTATCTGCCGCTGCAGTGACAAGTTCGCGAAGATGTTTTAATGTGTCAACTTCGCACTGGTACACTAAACTGTTAATGTAGCCCCAGAGAAACCACAATAACAACCAAACTGTCAGTAATCAATGATAACAAAGTACCTACTAACCGATTTTGGATAAGTTTAAAAGTTTGCTTGATATTGCATGATACACTGTGCGCATGCCTGTTTCTTTTTTGCTTGGATAAATAATATCATTGTTTTTGGAGGTAAAAACAATGATGATATATAGGATAGGTCAGTGACATCAAGTGGCTTTAATGCAAAAAAGATAGAGGAAAAAACTTTCTTGTTTTGGCGTGTACTATCATCCCCCCAAAGGATGAAAATTTATTAGGTGATCGAGTACTAAACCAAAGTTTTGCAGTTTTTTCTTGCAACGCGAAACACAAATAACGTTCGCGATTTAGCTGTGCAATTTAAAAAAATTTGTCGAGTAAGACTGCCTTCCTCTCTTTTGTGAAAAAACTACTTATTTATTTAAAAATGTTGTGCAGTTCGTATGCTTTACATTTATTGTTGACAAACCTTGTAGATTAATAATGCTATTGAGCTCCACCAGATGGCGCGCGTTTCTATAACTGAAAGTTTTTTAGCGTATACCATTAATTTTCTTTATCCAGGAAATGATACCCGGTATACTGGACAAGCTGACTGACGACGAATTAAAACGCGAAGCCAAAAACGAACAAAAAAGCGACATCGTATCGGCCATAATCAAAGCTTCGAAGAATCTGGCGTCGCGCGTGCCTAACCAGGACGAACTGATCCGCACGCTTGAGGGATTCAGGTTGACCATGATCCTGCGACAGCTGCAAATTTCCAGTTTCAATGGAAAAATGAACGCACTCAACGAAATCAACAAGGTGATCTCGAGCGTCACCTACTACCCCAACAGGCACCACGGCATCGAGGAGGAGGAGTACCTGACTCCCGAAAGGATGGCGGTAAGAAAATATTAATTTTCAGCTTAATTAAAATAATTAAAAAATTGTAATTGAATTACTTTAATTCAATTACCGAGAAAAAATAATAATTGAAATTGATTTTTAAATTACTGAAAAAAAGTTATTGTAATTGATAATTGATTTTAACAATTTAATTATTTTTAGAGTAATTGAATTTAAATGATAAATGATAGCTAAAATAGTAAACAATCTAAAGAATATTTTGCTGTATTAAGCTGGGTCTCCACCAAAGCAACACAAGTTGACGACATTGTCACCAACTTTTGTTGCTATTTTCATAAACATTGTCGAGAAATATCACGTTTTCCCCACTAAAAAAATATTGTTACCGACTTTATTTATAGACTAAAAATGGAAAAGTTCATTTAGTGTTTAGCAACATGTGGAACGACGTGGATCTAATTATAGTGTATCATTTAATAAATAATAAGAATTATAAAATAAAACCAAAATTGTGTTTTAAAAATATTTGTCTTATTTTTTAAATACTTTGAAGAATTTTAAATTTTAGACCATGTTCAACTTATTTTCTACTTTAATTTTTTTTAATTATGTGCTTGCTCTTAGAAATAGAAACAGTAGGTTTTGGGTAAAGGGCTTACCAAACTTCACTACTGTCGGCACACCGTACGAATGACCAATCGCATCTAATTCGGTGGAGACGTGTTTCGACCTATCTGTAAACATTGTCGCGGGGCTGCTTTTTCTTTGATGTACCGCTTTTCGACGGAAAACGAAACAAAGTCGGCCACTTCAATTTGCGACATAAAAAGTCGGCAGCTTTTTTAAATTTTCGGTAACTTTGTTGCCAAATGTTGCTTTGGTGGAGACCCAGCTTTATGCAAACTTTATATTTTTTCTATTATGAGATTTTTGAGTAAAAAGATCCACATTACAATTATTGTTAGTTAACATTTTTTTTCTCAAAATATAAATATAACATCATTTGACTTTGGTCTAGTTTTTTAGCCATATCTATCGATGCGTTTTTTTAAATAAAATTCAAAGTGTGGTGAAATTTCTACTTGTCTATATACCTTAGATACAAAAATAGTAATTATACCCCACTTTTAATTTTATTAAAAAAAGACCTCGTCGAACGATTTGGCTAAAAAATTATTTGTACAAAAGAAGTTATATTTTTGTTAAAAATAATTATTAATTTTTTTCTTATTTTTAAATGAAGTGTTGTTTTTATTTTAATACATACATTCATTTGAATACTTTATCTCCTTAAATTCTCCAAAAACCCTTGGCAAATCAGCTGTTAAACAATTTACATTTAAAAGAAACTTCCGACTGGAAACTTTACAAAATGGAAACTTTCCTTAAAATAGAAACTTTCCGATTCCCATGTCTAGTAATTGGCCTAAATATTTTTTTTCGTTTAGAAATGGATAAACGAAAACAAGGTGCTCGAGATAGTCCTCAGGGATTCTCTGCACCAACCGCAATACGTCGAAAAGTTGGAAAAAATCCTGCGCTTCGTGATCAAGGAGAAGGCCCTCAGCCTGTCCGACCTGGACGCGGTGTGGGCCGCGCAGGCGGGCAAGCACGAGGCCATCGTTAAAAACGTGCACGACCTGCTCGCCAAGTTGGCGTGGGACTTCAGCGCCGAGCAGCTGGACCACCTGTTCGAGTGCTTCCAGGCCAGCTGGACCTCTGCGTCGAAGCGGCAGAGGGAGCGGCTGCTCGAGCTGATAAGGCGGCTGGCCGAGGACGACAAGGACGGCGTGATGGCGCACAAGGTGCTCACGTTGTTTTGGAACCTGGCGCACGCCGAAGACGTCGCCACCGAGATCATGGATCAGGCGTTGACTGCGCACGTCAAGATTTTAGGTGAGTTGTTGTCAGTGTTGCCATTTGCAGGTACTTTGCCCGAAAATCGGGGATTTTTGTCATGCTTGCGGGTAAAGATGTAACAAAATCGGGTTTTTAGAAAAAAACGTAAAATTTACAATAGATTACATTTTCCACTATTGAAAATTTCGTCTGGGACTAAAAAATTGATTTCTTATTATTTGCTAGTTTCCTCATAAGAAACCAATAACAATGTAAAACTTCTTGAAGTCTATTATAGGTAGGACTGAAAAAACAACAAAAACAAATGGATCTAATCTTGAAAAAAAAACTAAAATATGAAAAACTAGTTGAAAAAAAACTGTGAAAAAAGTAAAATTTCTACTTGCGGGTATTTTGCAAATTTTGATACTAACTAAAGATTTAAAATTTTTTTTTTTTATATATTTACTAAATTTAACATAATTATTTTATTCCATCCTGTCACCATTCAAAATCCAATTAATTTTTCAAAATAGAGTAAATGCGACAACAAATTTATAAAAATAAGTATTTTATATTTTTTGGTTGGGAATTTTAATTAAATTCACTGGGGGTAATGTAAGTTTTTGTTTATAGGAACGAGTAATGGGTAATGTTAAGTAATGAGAACATGTTAAGTTTAAAAATTTTCAGTTTAATTATCCAAATTTTAAATAATTTATAAAGCTTTGAAATTATTACAATTTTTGATTTTTTATAAACGAGTTAAATTTCTGTTTTTACGGAATTTTTGAAATTGTTAGTTTAATAATATTAATAATTAATTAATAATATATTATTGTATATATACAGGGTGATTCATTAGAAGTTTATGGTGAACGGAAAAAGATATTGATTTGAAATTTTTATAGCAATAATAAGGCAATGTAAACTATTTTTTAAAATTATCTTCAATGCGTTATTTTTAACAGGTTTTGAGATATTTACTTTTTTCCCCAAAATTTTGACACATGGATGGTCTTTCCTATATGTCTCTATTACCTCTAATTGTAATGTTAAAAAGTTAATTTATGGTGTACCTGTTAACTAAGGAGCACTCTATCAAAAGCCATTAATAGTATTTGAAAATTGTATACAGGGTGTCTGGTATTTACGATTACATTTTTGTCACTTTAAATACCAATAACTTTCTTATTTCAAACGAAACTACCATACAATTTTCACATCATTGGGCACAAAATAATGTTTTCTATTGAATTGCTGGAGCATTCCCTATACCTAAAATGAATATTTACAGAGAAATTATAAAAAATGTTAAAAAAACGCCTATTTTTTTGTTTGTGATATCAGTGTGCGTTGGATTGTCTTGTATTTTGTTTTTATAAAGTAATGTTAATGTCAACGTCTCTGACAATAATTAACTATTTTGAGATTGAGATTTTGACAGATGGATGGTCTTACTAATATGTCTGTATTACCACTAATTGTAATGTTAAAAAGTTAATTTATAGTCACTTTCTGAAGGGTTAAGTTGGAATACTTCTCATTAAAAGTTCTTATTCTTTCTAAAACTGTTCCGCACTCACCATATGTATAAAACATGTTTAGAATATCTTGTGTAATTATTATTACCCTTTTTAACACAATTATTGTGTTCTAAACATGTTTTATACATATGGTGAGTGCGGAACAGTTTTAGAAAGAATAAGAAGAATAAGAACTTTTAATGAGAAGTATCCCAATTTAACCCTTCAGAAAGTGACCATAAATTAACTTTTTAACATTACAATTAGTGGTAATACAGACATATTAGTAAGACCATCCATCTGTCAAAATCTCAATCTCAAAATAGTTGTATTTGTTCTTTTGTTTTGTTGTTTTCTATCACCCCCCAAAACCCCCCTGGGGGGCGATTCTCGAGTTGAGAGAACGCTATTCTCATGAGAAGTGGGCGTGTTTCACTTAAGTTTTGTAAAAATCATGCAATAGTATGGTTCTCCTAAAGCAGAATAGTATATTCTGTAACAAGTTTGGAATACAGCATATTCCGCTCGAGTGAAAAGTTTGTCACACGAGCCGAAGGCGAGTGTGACGGTTTCACGAGAGCGGAATATGCAATTCCAAATAGTCTAAGATCCCAAGTAAGGTCGACCTTCACCCATCTGCTTACCAGATGAAAATTATATTTTATCAAATAAAATATGTTTCTGAACATTATCCAATAGGGTTGCCATAAAAAATATGATCAAGGCTAGCTATAATAAATAAAAAATTAAAAAAAAAATAATTATTTTTTTAAATTTCACCGACTTGCTTGCCAAATGAACGAAATTCCAATGGAAAGCATACAACATACAGAATATGTAACAGCTAGGTTGCCTACCTTTTTCTGGTCCCTATTACCTGGTTGCTTTGTACAGGGTGATCCCCTATAATGTCGCCCCCCTTTAACTTTTTTATTTTAAGTGTTCCAAAAAATTTAAAAGTGTGGTTATGTAGGAACTAAAAAATACTTTTTTTCTACGTATAAAGAAAATTGGAAAATTGATCAGTATACAGGGAAAACAAAAAGTTTATTTTTTTCAATGGATCACCCTATATATGAATTTATTTTTCGATTCCTTGTAAAATTCTAAGCATATTTCATATATCATACCATATACCTAAATTCAACCGTTTCTGAAATATTTAAATTATTTTTAAGATAATAAGTTGAAATAGTTTGTTTTTCTCTGTCTGAGTACGCCATTTCTACTTATTTAACAACACTTATTGACATAATTTCACTATAGTAATTTATTTTCAATAAAAATTTTGGTATACTGAGGCTTCTTGATTTCTAACAGTTTAAAAAAAAATATTTAATGATGACATTTCGAATGCGAATATTTCAGAAACGGTTGAATTTAGGTATATGGTTTGTTATATAAATTATGCTCAGAATTTTACAAGGAATCGAAAAATAAATTCATATATACGGTGATCCATTGAAAAAAAATAAACTTTTTGTTTTTCCCTGTATACTGATCAATTTTCCAATTTTCTTTATACGTAGAAAAAAAGTATTTTTTAGTACCTACATAACCAAACTTTTAAATTTTTTGGGACACTTAAAATAAAAAAGTTAAAGGGGGGCGACATTATAGGGGATCACCCTGTACAAAGCAACCAGGTAATAGGGACCAGAAAAAGGTAGGCAACCTAGCTGTTACATATTCTGTATGTTGTATGCTTTCCATTGGAATTTCGTTCATTTGGCAAGCAAGTCGGTGAAATTTAAAAAATTAATTATTTTTTTTTAATTTTTTATTTATTATAGCTAGCCTTGATCATATTTTTTATGGCAACCCTATTGGTTTATGTTCAGAAACATATTTTATTTGATAAAATATAATTTTCATCTGGTAAGCAGATGGGTGAAGGTCGACCTTACTTGGGATCCTCTACTAAAACGTGTTTCAGACTATACTTTTTCTACGCTTATAAAAAATACCAGAGAAATAATTTAATTGGAAAAAATTAGGTTATCTTTTGACAGATGTTAGATTTTATGATGGTAGTAAATAAGATAATTTTTAAATAAGCTTATAAAAATTACTTACATAATTTTGCAGAACCTAAATTAGGAAGTATAAAGAAGAAATGGACAAATTGTAAGGAATGACAAATAAGTTATTATTTGAATTTCAAATTAACTAATGAGTCATTAGTAATGACAGACGTAAACAATTAACCAGTGCTGCCATCTCTTTGGGACTAAGTCAAACCTAAAATTTAGGATTCTATTAGAATATTTAATATTCTAATAGAATCCTACTAAATCGGCCAAACAGAATTACAACTAGCTTGAAAAGAAGATATATATTGGGTATTTTTATTAACGCAAACTGTTTTAAATCCTATTGTATACTACCGATTAATATTTTCTACCGGGCCTTTCTGAAAAAACTAGATTTGGTAGGAATACAAGTGAGTTATAAAATAAACATAGAGATGTCGCCCCCAGTGCTCATTCCATCATTAGAACATGTGCGGAATAATTATTCTGTAACACTTTATGGAATATACGTAATTCCAGATTAAAAAGTCATATAAGAACTGTCAAATTCCGTAATAAGCGTAGAAAAAATAGTTTCCGAGAGAAGAACGCAATAACTTATCTTAAATTCAATAATGCAGCCTGTCAAAACTTGTGAGAAACGCCCACTTCTCCTATGAGAATAGCGTTCTCTTAACTCGAGAATCGCCACCCTGGCCAATTTTAAGGTGGAATTCTTTACTTTTACATAAGGACAAGTATAGTTATAATAGGTTGTATAATTTCTTTAAAAAACGTCGAAATTATGAAATAAGCATTTTTTATATTCGCGATTTTTTCTGCCGCCTCAGACTACAGCTGCTCTCAGGAACGCGACGCGCAAAAAACAATCTGGCTGGACAAATGCGTCGAAGAGCTGAAAACCGGCGAAATGTGGGTCCTGCCCGCATTAAAACAAATCCGCGAGATCTGCGTGCTGTACGAACAAAACACGAACGGTTCGCACGGCCAGCGCACCCACCACATCTACTACCGCCAGGAGGTGATCGAACGGCTGCAAAGCCAACACTCCCTGGTGATTTTGGTAACCAACAGTCTCACCAACTACATGGACAACTTGCGCGCCATCTACGCGGAGAATCCCGAGCTGACCAGCGAGACCTACATCCCCGACGGACGCTACTGCCACACACTTCAAGTGCAGGAACGACTCAACTTTCTCAGGTTGGTGATCTTTTCCTTGTTAGTCGGTTGCTTGACGAGTTTTTTGCATGCTTTTTACGCCTACACACGATTTTATTCACATACACCTAATGCCGGTAAAAGCATGAAAATTTGCTGTAGCTCAAGTTTAAAATAACAGAAATATGAAAATCTAGAATTGATGGCACAATCAATATTTTTTTGGGGCGGAAATTTATTAATGAAATTATGTGGGTTTTGACTGTATAAAGTTTTTTTTTAATAATAATAATAATCATTAGGGTGTTTCATTTAAAACTATTTTTTGTTGTTCACCAAAATATTGTTCAAAACATCGAAAAAAGTTCCCTTTTTCATTTTCAATTTTTCCCATTTAAAAAGCATGTATTTTCAATCACTTTTTTTAAATTTTTATATCTTTGTCGGGTTTTAAGCTATCATATTGTGGTTCATTGTTATTCACAGAGTATTTAACGCTTTTTAAAAGAGCCTTTAAAAATTGTTCTCTAACTTGATGGTACATATTTTTGAAAATATTACTAGTACTAGAATGGCTTGGCTACCAAAAAATTTTAAAGGAAAATTTAATTCTCTATAAAAATTCCTTAACTTTATATCGCTAAAGTGCACTGTTTACAAGATATGAGCAGTTTAATGTTTAAAATTTGAAAAATTTGTGTTTTCTTGAGATTAATTTGTCTTAAATTCGATTCCATGACTATAGACTATATATAACATAGAAACTTTTTTGTAGAGAAATACATTTTTTACAACTTTTTCTTTTAAAATTTTTTGGTAAGACAAGCCATTTTCTTAATATTTATAAAAATTTGTGAAAAAATTAATAAAAATGAGTTTCAGAGCTGATACCATCAAGGTGAATTAAGTTAGAGAAAAAATAATATTGGCTCTTTTAAAAAGCGTTAAATACTCTTTAAGTAACAATAAACTGCAGTATAATAGCTTAAAACTCGGCAAAGATATAGAAATTAAAAAAAAGAAAGTGGTTAAGCCAGTGTTCAGTAACCAAAGGCGTCAAAAACTGCGCGTGCCTGAGTTTAGGTATCTGTCACTTTAAATTTGAGGTTATTTATCTGTCACCTTTGGTGATGCCTGTAGCTTGGTGGGGGGCGTTTCCGGACACATCTCGTGACCAGGGTTTTAAAGTTTCGAAAAAAACCGAAAAAATTGTTGGAAAAAACCTGTTTTTATCCCAGGCCTTGAAAAAATTTTCTTTTTTGGTAAAATTTGATTTTTTTTTTGGAGAATATACCCATTTTAAAAAAGTAACAAACAACATCTTAACATTATTTTATATTTAAAAAAATATTCTTTATTACAGAAAAAAATACTAAAAATACTATAAAAAATATTCTATAAAAATTAATTTCTAATTTTTTAAACGAATTTTTGAAAGAATTTATGGAAAATAACACTTGTGCAGACGTGTTATTTCCCACAGATTTCCCAATTCAAAAACGCAGGAAACAAAATAGGATGATGTTGATATCTTAAAATTTGATTTATTTATTTATTTTATTTATTTATTTAAAACCAGATATACGTGTACAGAAATATATAATTTCCGCCTATTGGAGGTAATAAATTACCTGTACATAGGTCCGGTACATAACTTAAAAACTAGGATCTTAAAACTAAACCAAAACTAAAATAATATATAATATTTTCATTATCATTGCGACAACAGTTTAAAATTCCAACATTTAATACTATTAAGTTAACAATGAATTTTATTTTTTTTGGAAATCTCATGAGCGATCTCGAGAGATACAAAATAAAAAATGGCGTTTGAAAACAAATGTAACTTCAAAAATCATTTTCCTGGAATCTGTGCTGAAAAAAATCTGAAATTATTTGTGAATGTGTCTCAAATAAATCATATATTAAATTTTGAAGACATTCCATCATACTACCTTAATATTTACCATAAAAATGCTGAATTATCTTACACCCACATATAATCTTGTGCCATCATTTCTTGGTATGCACTAGAAACACTGTTACAGATATCCTCTGGTTGTTTCGTTGGGGGTTTTCGTTACCGTTTTTGCTCATGCCCGATTTTTTTGCCTCTCTGAACAGGTTTATAAATAGCAATTTTCCAATTGACAGATTCCTCTTGAAAGACGGTCAATTGTGGTTGTGCGCCGAGCAGGCGAAGCAAATCTGGCAGTGCCTGGCGGAAAACGCGGTTTTTCAATCGGACCGCGAAGCCTGTTTTAAGTGGTTCTCGAAGCTGATGGGCGACGAGCCCGATTTAGATCCCGGCATCAATAAGGATTTTTTCGAGAACAACATATTGCAATTAGACCCGATTTTGTTGACGGAGAGCGGCATAAAGTGCTTCGAGCGTTTCTTTAAGGCTGTCAACACGAAGGAGGGTAAATTGCAAATAAAACGCCGGATGTATTTGACGGAGGATCCGGATCTGATCGGCTTGGATTATTTGTGGAAGGTGGTGACGTTGTGCGCGGACGATATAGCCGCGCGCGCTATAGAGTTGCTGCGCGAAGTTAGCACCAATTTGGGGCCGCGTTTGCTGCAATCTCAGCTCGAATTCCACGAGAATTACATCACGGAGTGCTACGATAGGCTGCGCGCGCACTACGATACAGTAATAGCCCTGCAAACGTCGGAAAACGATAAGGAAGTGGAAGGCGCGCAGATTAGAAACCGAATCAGGGCCGAGGCGGTTAAAATGTGCCGCGTGATGCGCGTCTTGCACGAGTACGTAGGCGAGTGCGACAACGCCTTCGTCGCGGAGAGAAAAATACTGCCGCTGCATCGGGCTTGCCACGGGAAGCACTTGTCTCTGGTGGTGCGATTCTCGAGCCCCAACAGGCAGGTCGAAGACATCGATTTGTACACGCACTCGAACGACACGCTGTCGTCGCTGAGGAAGGGGATCTTGCGGAGGATTAAGCCGGGCGTGCACTGCAAGTTGGAGCTGTACGTCAACGGGGAGCCGCTGGATCCGGCGGACGACAGGAAGTTGCTGTCGCAGGTTCCCATCAGGGATAAAATGGTGAGTAAACCGGACACGCTTTCATAATACATTTTAAGTATTTTTTTAATAGAATCTAAAGCACACTTTGAATTGAGAAAAATTAAACCCGTATTAAAACAGGTTTAAAGAATTTCATTAAAAGTAAATTTATGTAGAAAATTTTAATTTTAAATTTCAAATAATATTTAAAAAGAATTTTAAAAACAAATTATTTAAAAAATACAAACTTTTTGAAGTGAAACTTTGCGGACGGGGTAAACCAAAACTTTGTAAATTAGGGGTAAAGTGGACAGCTGTTTGCAATTTGAAAGCAGCTTTGACTTCTTTAAATAAAACTAATAAAATCAGCAAAGCAAAGCGAATTTTAATTAAAAAGTCATTTAATGAAATAAAGTTTCTGAAATGTCTTGTTTTTTTACTATAAAACAGCATGAAGTCTATGTTATTGTCGAACAAACCGAGTTTTGTCTGCTTTAAACATATTTCTGAAATTCTTAAGGAATGAATATTTTTGAGGTTAAGTTAATATTGGAGGACTTATATTTTCAAATTTACTGACATCTTGAATTTTGCTCCAAATACATCAATAATTTCACACCATACTTTTGTGTTTTCTGCAAATTATGCAATTTGGACAAACCGCATTTTGGAAGTCTTCTAAAATAAAAAAATGACAATTTGATAAATTTTAAGCTTTGAAGCTATGTTAAGGGGCGGTCTATAAATCCCATATCACACGTTTTTTTTAAATATTTTTAAAATTACACACATTCATAAAGATATTCCTTTTAAAAATATTTTTTAATGTAATAAAATCGTTTTTCGGCCAAAATTGTTGGTCAGAATGCCGTTACGCGAACCATTTTTGTCCGATTTTAACAAAATTTACATAATGTATAGCTTTATCTATGTTATTTCTTACATTAAAATTTTAAACAAATCAAAATAAAATTGTCACAATGACACTCAAATCAACCGCGCGTAGTTACGGTCATTTCTCCTCCTGACGCGTGTACTACTTAAAAAAAAATCTGTTAACAGAAATTAATAAATGTTTAAATCTAATATTTTATCTAAAAAATAATATTTGCCATTTTGTTGACATTTATTTTAAAAGTGACTCATGCAAAAATGTATATTTTTTTTAAACATTAAGTTAAACAGTATTATTGCTTTTTGTTTTAAAACTCGTACAAATACATATTTTAACTCATAACTTTTCACAGAATTTATTTAAGGAGTCGTACAAATGCCAGAAGCTAAAATTACGGCTAACATAAATTTTGACACGCGCGGTTTTTTAAGTGCCATTTTTTTTTTAAAAGTATATCTAAAATATGGTTTGGGGTGACAAAAAAAATTATTGTGAAAGTTTGAGTCAATAATGTTAATATTAAGAGGTTTATCATCGCAATTTTAATTTTTTTTTCCTCAGCAAGTTTTTGTCTCAGAACTCCCAAACTATTGAGTTTAACAAAATTGACTCAGAAATATTTTTTTAAGAAATTTTAATGATCTACAAAAAAGGATAAAATTAAATTTTCCGCCTTAAAAATTGGTATAGTTTTACATTTCGATCTTTTAACTTTGGAATTTTGTAATTCATGTAAAAATCAGTACCCAGAAAAAACCAATGAATATTCTTATGGGAAGTCAAATGCTTTACAAAAAAAGCCTCTTAACATTTTTGGCTAAATTCACTCAATCAAAAGTTATTCAAGGTTAAAGTTGATGTCAAAACGAAATTCTTGTTTTTTCCTTTGTAGATTTATTTTTTTATGGGTGATAATTTGATTTTTTTCTTTATAAATGTGTATTATATAACTAATTAACAATTTCCAATAAAATACAACATGATTGTTATTATTTAAACGATTAAATAGGTAACAGTGAAAATAATATTTTCTAAAGAAAATAGCTTCATAAAGCGAAAAAACTGTTATTTTTTTGAATTTTCAGTAATTTTATCAATAACATAAAGATTATCATCGATGAAAGAATTCAAGTTTTTAACTGACCCATAAATAAATGTAGAGCGAAAAAAAAAAGAATTTCGTTTTGACTTCAAATTTAACCTTGAACATCTTTTGATGGAGTGAATTTAGCCAAAAATGTTTGGAGACTTTTTTTGTAGAGCATTTGATTTCCCATAAGAATATCTATCTGTTTTTTGCCGGGTACTGATTTTTACATGAATTACAAAATTCCAAAGTTAAACGATCAAAATGTGAAACTATACCAATTTTTAAGGCATGATATACGAATTGAAATGTTTGCAAATTGAAAAACCAGTTTTGTCACAATATTGCAAAAACAGAAGAAAAAACAAAAAAATCACTTTCTTCTAGCTGATTTCCGCCAAAGTAATCCAAATAAACTCGAACATGGCCTCGTCGCAAGACTCCTCGTCTGACTCGTCCACTTCGTCGCCCCAACACCCGTACGACGGGCCCAACCTCGAGGCGGAAAACCTGCTGCCTGGCGTGCTGATGTCCATGCAGCACAACTACGCTCAGTTTTTTTGCCAGCTGTCCGCGCTCGGCGGCGCGCTGGAGTTCCCGCCGCTCAGGGACAGCGGGCACGCGCTGCTGCAGCTGATGCCCTGCGACTCGGTCACCGTCGAAAAATTGCGCACGCTGTTTATGTCGAGCGGCGAAGCCAACATCACCATGGATTCGATGTTTTTCAGCGCCAAACCTGCAGAGGTAAGACAACATTTTTTTTTATATTTTATTTTGGTTGACATGTATTTTTTGTCTGGAGACCAAGGAAATAAGTTATTAAAATTAGAGATGTAAAAACGGGGTTTTTCAGGATTGAAAAAAACATAAAAAACTGATTTTTTTTGTTTTTTTTCTTCAAATGCGCTACAATAAAACATTTTGTCAATAAATAACATCAATCTTAAAAAATTGAGAATTTTTTCAATATGAAATCTTGATCAAAATGTATACAGGGTGTTATTTAATTAATGTTATATATTAAAATACTGAACACCTTTTGACATAAGGAATAAACGAAAAATATTTAAAAAATCATTTTTCCAAAGATAAAGAAAAAATATGCATTAGAAGTTTTTTATATTTTTTGTGATACGCCACTGGTTACACACTTGTTTATCTCTGCACACCTGTATTTTGTGAGTACATAGATACCAACCAACAAAGTAGCTATGCAATGCCAGATGTAAAAAATTGTTACTAAAAATTTTTCTTGCAAAAAATAAATAAAAACTCAATAAATACAAAAGTTTTATGCCCTTAAAGCTCTAATACCCTTCTGTATTTATTTACTGATCCAGCTATTAGCTCAAGCAATGATTAGAAAATTTAGTACCTTTGAAATTTGAAATCCATAACCACAAAATTAATTTTTTCATCAGTTTTTTTTTTGTTTACTCAGATGAAATTGGGACCAGTTCACAGGTTAAACTTTAAACATTTAATTTGTGTAAATAAATCCAAAAGCACTTCCCTTAGTTAAGATATTTACAATTTGAAAACAACCTAAAATTTAAAAGAAATGCACATCATAAAAGTTGGCAGATTTTGTTTGAATTTACCTTCAGTACAAAAATGAAATAACCAACAATTAATAAAAACGCCAAATTGACAATTTTCATTGTTAATTTTGTCATTTTTGTAATTAAGCTAAATTTAAACAATGTTTGTCAACTTTTTTGAGAGATTTTGGAAAAACTGTTGTTACCAACCATAACATAATAAATCCACCAGATTAACCTAAAGTTCCTAGTCGATTAGTGGCGTACTTCTTGGTAGGATAAAGGTTATTATAAATTATTTTTAGACTTTGGAATTTAGAAAAAAAAAGTTTCAGGTGCTTCTTTATGGACCCTAAGGAACAACCCATTTTAATATATAACATTAATTACATAACACCCTGTATATATAATATATTACATTTTCAATTATTGAAAATTTTGACTAGGACTAAAAAATTTGATTTCTTATTATTTGGTAGTTTTCACAGAAAAAACCAATAATAATGTAAGTCTATTATAGGTAGATACTTTTAGTCCAGGAAACACAGATTGTAGAAGGATGGGGAGTCAGGGGTGCTGATAATGAATCAAGAATATTCCCCAAAAATTTATTTCCGCGTCCCCTAATTTCATCCCCGAAAGGGGAGTTTTTTTGCTTTTTGGCTCATAACTCGCTAACCGTGCATTTTTTTCAGAATTTGACCTCCAATACTTTTGATTATGTACTAAATAAGGCACACGTTAAACCCCATTGCGCACCTATATGATGTGCCCTTTTGCTATGCGCAGTGTGCAAAGTTGAACGTTGCTTTCAAAATCACTTTTGTTTTTTTTATTATAGCCCAATTTTAAAAGTAATCGATCCCAAACCTTACGTTATCAAACATAACCGAATGGACGATTTTTTGAGGTACTAGACTTTTTTCAAAAGTTACTGCTTTTCAATGTGGGGGTTCCTGTTTACAGCGTTTTCGACTTGTGTAACAATGTTATTTTAAACTTTTTCGTAGGTTCTGTACAACCTGGAGGTGCTGTACGTGATGCTGATGCCGGCGATGTACACGCTCTCGGAGAAAACGTACGAGTTCCAGTACACGTTCATAACCTCCGGCGAGGCGCACGTCTTCCTCGAGATGCTGACGAAGAACAACTTCATGTCGAGCTCGGACGGCGTGACGCGGCGCTCCGCCTACCTGGTCGTGCTGAAGATCTGCAAGATCATCCTGACGGCCATCGCGCACGTGCTGGTGCGCCTGAGCGAGGAGCACACGCCGCCCGAGCACGAAGCTCTCGCCGAGCACACCACCACGCCCGGCATGTTCCTCAAGCAGGCGTTGAGGTCCGTGCCCGGACACTCGGATCACGTGAGTTTTTTTCGTTGCTTTTTTTAAATTACACTCCCCGGCCAATTTATCGGATTCGCTTGCGAATAGTCGATAATTGATTCATCAATTAATTTTTGTGTTTCATCAGTGATTTTATGAATGTAATCGCGTTAAAACGTTATTTAGGACGATAAAACACATTTTTACAATATAATTAAAAAAGTGATGGTAAAATACTTTTCAATAATCTTAGATTACAACATGTTTAGATATGTATCTAAACATGTTGTAATCAAAGTTTTGTTGCAAAAATGACTACAAAAAATAATATCTAAAACTAGTATACAAATAAATCTCTCAAATTAAAAAAACAATTTTTTTTATAAAATTGTATAAAAAAGTATAGTTTATTCATATTTTATATCACGAGAACTATGAATTTAATCAGTTAAACTAGACTCAGTAGTTTTTTGTTTGGTTTTTCTTGAAAAATGTTAAATGCAAAATAATTTAATAAAATCACGGGACCGCGTAGCGGTCGAGAGGTTTTATTATTTTGCATGAAACTATTTTCCAAAAAGAAAAATCAAAAATCAAAAAACTTACTGAGCATAGTTTGACAGATTAAATTTATAGGTTGAGTGATATTCGTCTGGATTATTTCTAAAAATTATTAAAGAAAACTATTTGACAATTTATAAAATCTGTCGTATACAGTGTGACCCATTTGTTTTTCACTCACCCCTGTAAAATCTCTATTTATTGTGCGATTTTAACCGGATTTGTTTTAAAGTGTAGATCTTGATAAACTGTATTTTTGGAGGATAAAAGACCATATTTGTACAAAATACAAGGCCTATGTCAGTTTTTAAGAGTAAATTTTTAAGAATTCATATTAGCGACTTTTTTAAACAAGATCTAAGCACGGCACTGGATTCACCATCCCTCAAAACGACACTTTACTAAATTTTATTGAAAAATTTTAAGTAGAAAAATGCACAATAATAACTACAAAAATTTATTCTGTCAAGTTATCCATGAAAAAAACATTGAACAAAAATTAAACTAATAGTAACATGGTAGTATTACTATAAGTTTAATTTTATTTCAATGTTTTTTTCATGTCAAGTTGACAGAATAAATTTTCTTAAAAATGTACTCTTAAAAACTGACATAGTAGGGCTTGTATTTTGTCCAAATATGGCGCAAATCCAGTTAAAATCGCACAATAAATAAAGATTTTACAGGGGTGAGTCACAAACAAATGGGTCACACTGTATATTAGTATATTATGTATCAAGTTTTATAAACGCCATTTTAGTTACGAGGATTAATATGCACAAGCGAAGCTTGTAGTGAATGTAAATTACAAAGGGTTGTATACAAATCTATTTTTTAGCTCTAAAATTAAAAAACAACTTCGAAATTTTCGATATTATTTGATTATAGAAAAAGTCAACCCACAATTTCATAAATCCGCGGATCTGGCTAGAAAAACACGATTTTCTGCTACAAAAAAGTAGCAATTTTGAACAGTTACAATCAAAGATGCTACTTTTTTGTTCGTGCCCTTAACTTAAAAAAAATATTCCAGGAAAATTTGGCGTATTTTTTTAGACTTAATTAATTAATTGCAGCTGCTGCGGCAAATTTCCATGAAACTGTCCCTCTCGCTGGCCCAACTGATGGTATCGGACACCAGCAACACCGGCCAAGCGCAAGCCCTGTTCAGCCAAGCGCTGAACTGGGAACTGCCCGACCTGGCGACCACGCTGGCCCTAGTGCGGCTGGTGTGGGCCGCCAGCAGCGACAACCTCACGGCACTGAACGCCTCTCCGGAGGTTTTGCATTCGCTGTCCGACCCCTCGAAGCAGACCAACTCGGTCGAGCTGCACAACGACGACATTTTATTGTGCAAGGAGGCGCTCGAGTTGTTGAGCACCGCGGTTATTTTAAACCCCAGCAGTTTGGAGCACTTGTACCAAGACAACTGGTGGCCTTCGTTTATCACGGATTTGGTTTTATTAAATCCGAGCTGCGCCATCAGGGTGGCAGCAGCCGAACAGTTTATCATCATTTGTACTTTCGGTTCGTCTAGTCGACTGGCACTGCAACACATAGCACCCTTATTATTCTCCCTAACCGACACTTTGGTGCTAAAAAACGCCGACACTTCGCACGAGTTCTTTCAATTGTTGTGTCGCTTGGTCAACGTGGCTTTTCTAACCGGCTGTCCGATCCCGGCGGCCGAGGAGCTTTTAAACAACGAGGTGGCGTGGCTGAGAAAAGCTCGCGACAAAAACGACGTTCTCATCGAGGGGCACCTGGGTTTGGCCAAGGAGCTGCTCAGTTTTGTGTCGTCGGAGAAAAAATGCGAGTTGGGCAGCTCGGATTCGGGCAGTCTGATCAGGGAGTTGCTCGAGGACTTTCTCTTTCCCGCCAGCAAGCTGATGCTGCAGCTGAACAAGACGGGGCAGCTGGGCGAGGATCCCGCCGTCCCGATCTGCGACACGCCGCAGACGCAGGCGGCCGCCTTCGACCTGCTCATCTCGCTGTGCGTGAACTGCGTGCAGAATTACAAGCAGCTGGTCGCCATGCTTACCGAGATGTTTTACAGTGGTAAGTGGACAGCGTTTTCTATTTTTATATCCTTTAAAAAAATATATCAATACAAGATTATGGTTCTGAGATACAAATAATAAACTAGTTAATACTGCATTTTATAGTGATTTTACATAATAAATACACTTTTTTTATAGGAATTGATTTTTACTACAGCTGTACAATTTAGCCGGCTAAAAAAGTTAGCCAAGTTAATTAGCTAGCTAACTGATCAGCTTAGCTAATTTAACTGGTTAACTGAATTAGCTTGGCTAATTAGCTGGCGGCTTAACCGGTTAATCTAGCTTAGGTCAGCTAATTAGCCCATTGCTAATGGCTAACTGGCTAATTAGCTAAGCTGATTAGTTAGCTAGCTAATTAAATTAGCTAACTTTTTTAGCCGGCTAAATTGTACAGCCCTAGTTTTTACAATTTGCCGTTGAAAATACATAAAGGCTTATCTCGTTTTTGTTGCCGCGTGAAAACTCTGTGCAGTGTTGCATGATTTTTAGCATTTTTAGTACAAGACCTTGTTGTGTGTATGACCAAATACATTAAATACAAATACATTAAATATTTTTTCTACTCCCTTTGAAAACGCCCTTTATCGTAAATGTTTCCATGACACTAAGTGACCTTTTAAATACGCATTGACAAGTTGTGGCTTTATGGCGCTTTAGTCACGGGATGAAGTTAGCAACAGGATTTTAGTCACGGGCTGAAGTTATTTTTAAGTTAGTTGACAGTTGTCAAATGTCATACAATCGTTAAAATAAAGTGCCTTTCTTGTAAAATAATACCAAATGTGAAAATTATTTTATCATCTCAATACAAAAAAAACAAAAGTATTAAATAGTTTCTCAACCCCAATATTTGAAAAGTTTATATGAACATTGTACTGACCTTTTAATTTCGCCGGCAGTAAACTATAACTTAAATTCGGGCATGGACTCCACTGTAAAGTGCTCATAAAACATTTTCTTTACTTTCACTGTGAAAAACTCAATTTTCAAGAAATCATTTTGATTTATAACCTTTATCATCTGTGTTTATAAAATATAAAAATTTGACATTTGACGGTGACACACAGATTGTTTCATAGATGGCGCTCTATACAAATTTTTGAATTAAATCATTTTAAGATAGTAATAAGTATTTGTCGTAGAAAAAGTATAGTATGCACATTTTCCGATTGCAATTCCGAAAATGGAAATCAAATATAAGCTGCCTTTTATAAAATTCTGGAAAAAATGGGCCAAACTTATCAATGTTATTTATATAAAAGATTTGACAGATGACCTAACTTCAAATTCCGAGACCCTTTTGGATCTCACACCCCAGAAAATTGAAAAATGCGTGGTTCTGCAAACCAACCAGAATCTAGTTTTCTTGAAATTGAAAAATAAATAAACTTAAACTTTCGTTGAAGATCCCAACACGAGCATAACCGAGTGGGACTACCTGCCCGCCGTCGGGCCGCGGCCTTTCCAGGGCTTCGTGGGCCTCAAGAACGCCGGCGCCACCTGCTACATGAACTCGGTGCTTCAGCAGCTCTACATGGTGGAGTCGATAAAAGAGGGCGTGCTGGGCGCGGAGGGGGCCGCTACGGATCCGCACGAAGATTTCGCCGGCGACGAGCGGACCGAGCCGGAGGGAGACTGCTCGGCCTCCGAGGAGCGGGCGTGCGAGAACGAGAACAGGAAGGACTATCACGTGGGGATTTTGAAGCAGGTCCAGGCGATCTTCGGCCATTTGGCGTGCTCGCGCCTTCAATACTATGTGCCTAGGGGGCTTTGGAGACACTTCAAGCTTCAAGGTAAGAAATTTTATCGGCGCATATACGTACAATAATGGTTCCACGTTTTAGGTGAGCCTGTAAATTTAAGGGAACAACAGGACGCGGTGGAGTTTTTCATGTCGCTGGTCGAAAGTCTGGACGAAGCTTTAAAGTCGCTCGGTCACGAGCAAATAATGTCGAAAATTTTGGGCGGCTCGTTTTCCGACCAGAAAATTTGCAAGGGCTGTCCGCATCGCTATTCCAAAGAAGAACCGTTTAGTGTGATTAGTGTAGATATTAGGAACCACAGCAGTCTGCCCGACTCTATGGAGCAATATGTCAAAGGTAAGAAAACAAATTTTTAGTTGTTAACATCTTTATTTGGTCCTCACAGGGGTCTAGAACATGTTTTTGTAATTTTTTGTTATATTTTTAATAATTCTCGATTTTAATGCGTTACTATAATATAGTAATATATTATGCAATTATTTTTTTAATATTGGGATTAGGACAAAATGTTAAGGTACCTATTATGATAATTTAAAAAGAACTTTTTAAATTTTTTTTACCATTTTTTATATCCGGTTTCATTTTGCCTATGTAGTAAACACGGGTGGCTTTAGCTCACTTTCAAACTTAAGCTTAACATTTTTGTGGTTTTAACAATCATAAACATTAAATATTGTATACCAAAATTTGAGTCATAATAACTATGTTATAATATTACGTAGGGCTGACTTTCAAAAATAAAAATTTAAAACTGGATGTGCAAAGTTACCCCCTGTTGCGGGTAACTTTGTAACAGTGTATTTTCCGTATAAAATTAACTTAATATTTTATTATTGGACACATGTTAGCAGCGACATAAAGCGATTGCAATGGATTACCGATAAAACAAATAAAAAATCGACCTGTAGTTAACCAAGGATCATCATTCCAAAGGATTGCGCCTAAGATAGAAATTGTACCGCGTGTATTTCTAAGAGTTCTGCACTGATGCAATATAAACAATTTTAAAGTGTAATAGATCCAGTTTATTTCTTTAAAACACTGATTTTCCTGTAATATAAACTCAATAGAATAGCTCAATTGACAGGTTTGGACCAACAAATTACAAATGTTAATTTTATCGAGCGCGAAAAGATTTTTCATAAAAAGGTTAAAGCAAAGCCACCCGTGTTTACGGTACTTAATTTTTATTCAAAATTATATTAAAAATGACGCAACAAAAATAATTTATGAAAATATTTATTAAACATCATAAAGTCCTAAACAAACTGTGTTAATTTAAATATTTTTTTGAGAAATAGTCAACAACAGCTTTTTGTACATTTTTCATCAAATTCAAATTCAAATCACTACTTAACTACGGTTTCGCGAAAGGATCGAACGGTCGATTTGCAAGGGTTCAAGAAATCGATTGAAACTTTTTTACCTTATTTCTACATCTTAATGCAGTACTTTTTTCAAAAAAAAAATCTCGTCCATTGACAACTTTGTTTTTATTTTAATTTTTTTCTTCGCTGTGTTAAAAATGAAGAAATTTCATTTTTTTTAAATAACTTTTTTATTTCAAAACGTATCGATTTGAAATTTGGACAAAATGTAGATCTTACTAATGACAATTAATCCATGAAAAAATTTTGTTTAGATTATAACGTACAGGGGGCGCTGGTGATAATTTAGTTTAAAATTTGACAATTTTTAAAGGGTAAATAATCGAAGAAGCAACTTTGTTTTATAAATTTGAGTATAGCACGTGAAAGTATTGATATTTGACTATTATTTGATATATTAACTTTTTTATGCAAATGATGTTTCTGTGGCCAGGATCAGTTTTGAATTAGCAGTAGCAGTATTCATAAATGCTTAGTTTAGTACATTTTGTCATTTTTATACAAATATTGTTTTATCTTTTATTAATAATTAAGTAAAGCATAACACATAAATGACGTTTAATATACAGGGTGTTTCACGTACTTAGTCCGTTGGAAGTTTCTAGGGAATCGCGAAAGACATCGATTTAAAATTTTAATAGCGTAAAGTATTCGCTTTAGACTCTTTTCCTAAATTATTTTAAACAAAATAATACTTCCTGTTTTACCGGAATACCTCATATATTTTTACATTATTTAATTCTACATAAAATTCTGAGTAAAATGGCTATACCATATCCTATACCTAAAGTCAATATTTTTTGAGTTATTATTATTTTTTCAATCAAATATTTTAATTAATTTTAAACAATGACAGATTTGGTGGTGATATTGTTACATTAAACCACATGTAGAATTTCAGAGGTTTGTTGATACAAAATAGTATTGAAAATATTAGAAATTGTTAAATGTCTCTGAAATTTTAACTTTAGGAAAGAGTTACTATAATACCAATCGAAAGATTCTTTAATGTTCTATTTGATTATGTTAAAACATACAGGGTTTTACATTTATAATAAAAACGTTGTTATTGTTTGAAGTTTGCCTAATTTCAAGTGGTTTTTCTCAAGGTATTTGTTGAAAAACCTTTAAAAAACTAAACAATGTTTTAATATTCCAAAAATTCCAACCCCATGTCAACAAACAAATTAAAGGCTATTTTGATTAACGTGCATTTTAACGAAAAAAATTAATATCTTGAAAACTATTGACTTTATGTATAGTCTAAATCAAATTGTATATTCTATTAAAATTTCAAATCCATACCGTTTGCGTTTCTCCAAAAACACCCTGTATAGCATTATATTAAATATAAAAAAATGCAAAATAACTAATTACAAAAAATCGAAAAACAAATGAATAAAAATATAGGTAGGTATATCTAAATAGCCGATTGCAACATAAAAAGTCTTTATTCTAATTTATTTATTGGGTAAATATTACTTTCCTCAGTTAGGAATTAAAATTGAAGCTTGTTTATCGAGTAAAACATAAATTGAAGCTTGGTTGTGGAGCAAAAATACAATTAAAGTAGGTTATAATTTCTAACTTGCTGATACTCTCTATAATTATTATTTAGTGTATTCATTTTAATAAATTAATATTTTAAGTTTATAGTACACTTATAAATTGAAACGCAATCAGTCATTTGCAACTTATAAACTGAACTGTTAAATTATCTTTCATGCTTCCAATGGTAGGTTACCATAGAGATAAGTCTGTGATGCCTACTATGATCAAAATTAGTAAACTTAAAAAAATTTAAAATTTATAAATAAAACTAATTTTAGCTCCATCTATGGCGATTTAAAATAAATATGTAAGAATTGTATGTTATATATAAAATATTGTATGTAATATATAATACATTATCTTATAAAACTAGTTAAAAGAATTTATAATTTGTAAAACACGTTAGTATTGCGCTCTTTGAAGGCTTAACTTAAAAATGGTGTCTCTCGTAGAAACATAATTTGCATTTAGAAGTTTATATATCAAATAATAGTTAATTATCAGTACTTTAACGTGATATACTCAAAATTATAAAACAACGTTGCTTCTTCGACTTTTTAACCCTTAAAAAATGGTAAAATTTTAAATTAAATTGTCCACCGTGCCCCCTGTATATTAAAACCAAAAAAAAATAATACGTGGATTTATTGCCACTAATAAGGTCTACATTTTATCTTAATTTCAAATCGATACGTTTTTAAATAAAAATGTTATTACAAAATATCGAAATTTATCTATTTTTAACACAGTAGAGTGACTTAAGGCCTGAAAACCACAGGGGTCAATGGATGAAATTTTTTTTTTGAAAAAAAAGTACCATTTAGATGTACAAACAAGGTAACAAAAATATATTCAATTCTGGCATCACTTGCAAACAAATGTCCAAAATTTGTTCGATTTTTACGCGAAACCATAGTTAATACATTCATGATGAACGGACTCCCCCGCTTGTTCAGACCAGGTTCCTAAGGAGTATACATAATGAAGGCATTATTTTAAATGGTTAATTAACACGTGAATTTTAAGACAATTCTGTTGCTAAAAACATCTTTTTGAATTCTTCTATATCTATATATTAAAGTATAAAGGTCAGGTGTTTTTGTTGAAAAGTACATTTGGATTAATTTGTTCAATGATTTAAAAAATGAAATAAAACGCATCACTGTCGGGAGTCCCGAAGGATATTTTTGGATAAAAAATGTCACTATTTTTCAGCATCATACGACATGCGTTGCCCTCGACTATTTCTCCATGATACTGCCTTGAAATTTATTATTATTTATTATTTACAAAACCATTCCAGAAGACGTGATTTACTATGCCTTGCATTATATGCAATTCTGGAAGAAAATATTTCTAAAAGACGCACAAGTTATCATCTTCTTAAAAAAAAGGCATGTTAATAACGTTGTTTCAAAATTTGGCTTCTTTTTGTATTTATTTAAATAACGAGATTTTCGTAACACTTTTTAAAGTCGCAGTATTTTTTATGTTGTACCTATCTGAGTTAAAAGTCCAATGTAATAAAGCAGTATGAGCAAGTTTAGTAACCTATAAAATTATAAAAATGATGCTATTTTTTAATAAGACCTGTGTCATATAAAATACGATATTTTTGTAATAATAAAACAAAAATGGCAATAACTTAAAAAAGGGATCTGCTGAGATTTAACTTTTGACTCGTTCCAGGCACTTGTGTCTTTATCATGTTTAAAAATTCTGTGAATTAAATAAAATTAATAGCTCCGAAACTTTTTTTTTCAGGTGAATTGCTGGAGGGCGCGGACGCGTACCACTGCGAGAAGTGCGCGAAAAAAGTGGTTACCGTGAAGCGGTTGTGCGTGAAGAAGCTTCCGCCCATCCTGGGCATCCAGCTGAAGCGGTTCGAGTACGATTTCGAGCGGGTGTGCGCGATCAAGTTCAACGACTACTTCGAGTTCCCGCGCGACCTCGACATGGAGCCGTACACGGTTAGCGGGCTGGCCAAGATCGAGGGAGAGATAATAGACTGTGATTTGGACGCCAGCGCCAGCGAGGTGTGCACCAAGTACCGCCTCAGCGGCATCGTCGTGCATTCCGGGCAAGCGTCTGGTAAGTTCCAAACAAAACATTTTCGATGTTTTTATTAGTGATAAATTTTTATAATATTTTTGTTGATTGGTTTTTTATACATTATATGGGTGATTCTACAAAAGTTGGACAACTTGATGTCATCAGTCAATAGAGTAGGTATTTTAATATTTTTTGTAAATATTTTGGTATATTACAAAAGATACAGGTTTTTTTTAACTTGTCCACCCAATTTTAATGTATTTTTTCAAAAGCCCGTTTGTAGAAAAACATTATAAATATTCAAAACATCAGTACCTTGGCGTTCACAACTCCTGAATCAAATATTTGAGTGATTTTATTTTAACATATATAGAATTTACAGTACTGGCCATAATTAGAGCAACCACTGTAAAAAAAATCTAACTCCAACTTTATTAATCTTTAAGAAATTTTGGATAAAAATATCTAAGTTTACGTGTTTGAGGGATTTTTGAGAAAATATTTTTAAAGCCCATTTTTTTAATATTAAAAAAACGTTTGAAAAATAACTTTTAGGGAAATTTTTTTTCAAGTAAATAAAAAATATGCTGTTAAAGACCGTATTTTTGTTAGTATACTCTAAAAATTTTGTACAAATCAAATGAACAGTAACGAAGATACATCGCTTCAAACTTTGAAGTTCAAAGTCGGTAAAAATGCCCCCTTTTTGATTATTTTGCTGAAAAGTGGTCATTTTTGACGACTTTGAATCGCTGTATCTTCGTTACTGTTCATTTGATTTGTACAAAATTTTCAGAGTATACTAACAAAAATACGGTCTTTAACAGCATATTTTTTATTTACTTGAAAAAAAAAATTCCCTAAAAGTTATTTTTCGAACGTTTTTTTAATTTTAAAAAAATGGGCTTTAAAAATATTTTCTCAAAAAACCCTCAAACACGTAAACTGAGATATAAGTTGAAGTATTTTTATCCAAAATTTCTTAAAGATTAATTAAGGCGTTTTGGAGTTAGATTTTTTTTACAGTGGTTGCTCTAATTATGGTCAGTACTGTATCTTAAATTTTTCAATTTCATTACAAACTATAAAACATTAAATAATGTATTTTTCATATTTTATCATAGATTCGAATATTAGCAATTTTTAAAAAATTGATAATCTTTGTACTCACTTTTACCCGTCAGTTCTGTGTCCAATGTTAAAATTCAAAATTCCTGCGAAATATTGAAGTTCAAACGTCAAGTCCTCGTTTTAACTCAAGTGTTGGTAAAAAATTTCCTACAGAGCCCGTCCTTTGCACGACAGTTATCTTGAAAACAATGCAAGCGGCGAAGTTGTGGTGAATGCACGTATAGTTCCAGTCAAAATTTCAGTACTGTAGTAGGTAGTTATTTTCTTACTATATATATTTCATTGTAATTTATATAAGGCTATATGTAATTTGTTGATAAGTAGCATCCACTAATAAAAAATATCAGTAAAATACTTAATTCCGAATTATAATCTCAAATTTGTATCCCATTCATCAGTACCGTTTCTGTTATCTTTTTTTCGCAAACTTCAATTTAAACTTGTTTACTTAATGTTATTATGAACACATATAAATTTGGTGTGGGTCCCATATCTAATAATTGAGATATCGGTATACCCTAAATCTACCAGCCGCCACTGATGTGTGGTATTATTTGATTTTAAGATATTTAATGTAAAATATGCTCAAAGTTGCAATAAATCTTATATGTTCCAATAAATTATGTATTAATTAGTAATTAGTACCATGGTATACTCGTCACTTCCCTTGCAATCAAATTTAGAAAACACAGATATTTCAGAAACTATTATCTATGTTCTCATAACAAAATACTGTTTAATTTTCTCCGAAAACTATATAAACAAAATGAGGTCAAAAGTTGCCCAACTTTTGTAGAATCACCCATATACTAATAATTGTATTTTTGCCAAATAAGTGACAATTGATAGGTGCTGTTCTGAGAAGTAATTCTCAGCCTTTATGTGAAACTTGAGATTTAAAATTTCCGGAAAAAAACATTAAAATTGGACAAAAATAGTTTAATCTTTTTTTTTCCAATTTCCTAAACAAGTTTCATAAATAAAATTTCAATTTGTTAATAATGAAATTATAATTAAGTTTTGATTTTTTGGACAAGATTGCCAGAAAATACATCTGTTAATTCAGGAGTCTAATATCAAACACAGCAAACCCCAATATTTTGTATTAGCCAATTCCATCACATTGATCAAAATTTTCGTCAACATACAAGTCCAGTCGAAAAAATATCATACATAATAATTATTATTGCTCATATTACTAAATATGTCTATTTTTTTAAAGAGAATATGAAAATGTTATTTAAATTGAGTTTCTGGGATTTTATTTTAGACCCAAGAACACTATATTAATTAAAATAATTATACTTTTTAAATTATCCTCAGCTTATAATTTAATTTATAAATAGGCAAAATTTTAAAATAGATTAAAGATTATTATAGTTTATGTAATATATTATTATATTTTATATAATTCTTATATTTTACAATTTTAGAAATTTATTTCATAATGCCAAAAAAACTAATAACGCTAAAAAGTTTAAAGCATTTTTAGAAATATTAAAATCCCAACTTAAAAAGTCAAAACATATTTTTTTCCAATACCATTGTCGGCTTTTTTGTTTCAAAAGTGGATCATTTTTGACAGAGTCCAATTTTTTTTTACATGCGAGGTCTGATCTAGCGATACATTAATAATTATCAGCGTTGCCAACTTTTTTGTTCGAAAAATCCTGAGTTCTCTAGTCAAATATCCGTAGAAATCCGTGGGTGAAGGGTAAAATCCGGACATTTATCCGTACCAGGGATCAGAGGTGGCAGGCACCGCGGCGACTTAGAAACTTGGATAGATTTACAAATTTTCACTAAAAATTTTGATTGGTACTCAATATTTATCAGCTGTTCAGTTATTTAGCATTGGCATTTGGCGCAAGGTGGCGCTTTCTTAGTAGTGCTTGGCGCTTTTAAGATTTACACATTTCATAAATTCATACCTATATTTATAAACAATGTAATTAGATACTAATAGTGTTATAGATGTATAAAAATCTTTTAAATGTAAATAGATACCAAAACAAATTTAAAACTTTAGTTGCCATTTTTTTCACAGCATCTTTTTGACAGACAGCACCTTTTCTGGTAACCTGCTGGTAACAAACACAAAATTCCTAACGAGTGCGTTCCATGAAACGTTCCATGAGTAGGTTCAGTGCAAGGTTTTATACCTGCAGTTTACTGGACGGAGCGAAATAGTTGGAAAATATAAAAAGGGTTTCAAGCAATTTTTTACTTGTCGCAGGTTTTAATACACAAAATATCAAGTAATTATGAATTATGCGATAATGTCCAAATCAGACAAAATCCGGTTATCCGTTAATGACCCTTAAAATCCGTAGATCTACGGGAAAATCCGTAGAGTTGGCAACGCTGATAATTATTAAAAATTTGTGATTTCATTAAGGAAATAATTCATAGCATAATTCATAGCAAAAATATTATTCACCTCCCTACAGTGTAGTTATCAGTAGAAATTTTTAGTGATAGTTCCCATCACTACTCTCGGGCGTCTCCCACTCTTAAAAACCGAATGCGGCCGTCTACAAGAAAAATGAAAATACGGTATAGTAAAAATCATGCTCATTTTTATTTTGCGCCAGGTGGTCACTATTACTCGTACAGAAGGCACCGCGAGCCTGGCGGCGAGGTGAGATGGTACAAGTTCGACGACGGAGACGTGAGCGAGTGCCGCATGGGCGAGGACGAGGAGATGAAGGTGCAGTGCTTTGGCGGCGACTACATGGGCGAGGTGTTCGATCCGATGCTGAAGCGGCCCACCTACCGCCGCCAGAAGCGCTGGTGGAACGCCTACATGCTCTTCTACACGCGCCACGACGTCGAGGAGGACGTCCTCGCCAGGACCATGCAGCAACTCAGTCTAAGTAAGTCGGTTCGTTTGACGTGTTCAATCAAGGGTTTTCTGGAATAATATTTTCTCTACGACTACTTAAGAATAGTAACATTCTAGTGTAATTTTTGATCATAGAAAGGATGTTTTTCTGCAATACTGTGCGAGAATATTCCTACTCTTGTTTAAGAATGGTCACAAGTAACGACATCTACTGGCTGTTTACTAAACGTAAAAAATTTAAAAATATTTAAATATTACTGTATTATTTATTAATTAAAAAATAATAGCAGTTGTATAATTAAGGTTTAGGCACAAAAAATTAGTTATATTTATTGTTTTTCAAATATACAAATCAAAATTATAATAAATTTGATATTAAAATAATAAACCAGTTACCTACTATACCGGCTTTGAAGTTTTGACAGAATCAAAAAGTTTAAAAAAAGACCTTTAAAATGTAGAAAAAGAATAGATGTTGACATAGATTACTTGTAAAATTAGTTTTGTATTTGTTACAATGTTATTTTTTTATTAGTTAGTGTAAATAACTATTTTTAATTATAATAAAGATTTAGACATACCATTTGTTTAAATTTATTATAATTTACATTATAAAATTGTGACGGCACAAAATGGTTTGACAATACAAAAAACTTAAATGTCAAAAACTGCTTGGTTTCTTTTCTCTGTTTAAAATTATATAAGCGTTACTATTCTTACGTAGTCGTAGAGAAAATAATGTCTGAAACACGTTTGGAATAGCATATTCCACTCTCGTAAAACCGTCACACTCGCCTTCGGCTCGTGTGTCAAATTTTTCCTCGAGCGGAATATGCTGTATTCCAAACTTGTTACAGAATGTACTATTTCAGCTGGCAAAAGAGAAACTCCGCTCAGGATGCCGATCGCGATCGAGAACAGCATCAGGAAGCAGAACATTAAGTTCCTGCACCATCGCAGTCAGTTTTCGGTGGAGTACTTCTCGTTCGTGCGCCGGCTGACGAACTGCGGGCAAGCGAACCCGCGCCACAGCCAGCTGCTGACGAGCGAGGCGCTCGAACAGCAGAACCTACTCAGTGTACAGCTAGTCAGTAACTTCTTGTTCCACACCGGGTGGCACACGAAGAAGAATCTTCGCGGACCCGCAATGGAATGGTAAGAGAAATTTTGATTACACAGTGCAACACAAAATTTTAAACCACATTAAATTGATTTTTCTTCAAAGTATACTTTTTTAATATAATAGTAAAACGCCGCGCTTGGTTTGTGAAAGTTACCTCGAATTTTTTCTATGGTCTTATAAAATTTTTGAGATTTCCTAATTGCAAATTGACACTTCAAATTTCGTTGTTGTTGATATTCATTCTGATTCTTTGTAAAAAGTTTTTATTTTTTAAATAATTTATTTTTATAAACAATTTAGGGGTTACAAAGTTTTATGCCAATGCATAAGAGAGGAAAAAAATCATGGATTTCTTATTGTCATGTTATAAGATATGATTTTATTAATGCATATCTTCTAATGTAACATTGAAAACTTGGTGACTACCATAATTTCGTTTTAATTAAGGCTGTGAATTGATTACGAATAATTCGGATATTCGAGTATTCAAATAGAGGTGGAAATCGATTATAAATTATTTGAATATTCAAATACTCGAATATTAAAACACTTTAAATCAGTATATGTAAAGGTGGCGCAAAAAAACTTTTTTTTGGATACGTTAATTAAAAAAAATTAAGAGCTCTCATCAAAAATTAAGTGGCTTAAGAATTTAGAAAATTACAAAAATAATAGTTTTTTTAAGAACCAGCTTAAAAAATGAATTTTTAAAGGTCGCCCACAAATTTAAAAAAATTTCGAAAAAAATCGATATAGTCGCTTCGTTTTGGACAATAGCGAAAAGTAATTAGTAATAACTAATTAATAGGTATTCGTAGGCAAAATTTATTGCAGCCCGCTGCTTTCACGTGCAATTTTAATTTAGAATTTCTAGCCAAAAAGCCCGAAATCCGAAGGTATAGGCCTATATCTACTAGATATTAGAAATTATCTAGGCCCTAGATTGTAGGGTGTAAGTAGATTTAGCTTCAAAGCTGAAACTTTAAGAACCTTATTACAAAAATTTACCGTGGCAAACAAAAAATGTTTGAATTTTGACCAAAAAAATTGTTCAAAATTATGTGCGACCATTAATTTTTTTTTAATCAATTGAGCTGATTGTTGAAGAGAGCTTTTAAAGCATGATAAAGTAATATTATTTCATAGTAAATCGTTTTTTTGCGGATAAAAATGTAAAGCCTAGAGACTAAATAATAACTTTTTATAATAATAATTATTATTATCTGTTTGATAAGCAAAAAACAGATACAATATTAAATATTATAAGAAGTTTTTATTAAATCTCTAGATTGGCTCAAAAATCTCTAGAACTAGTGAAACTTCACTGGACCATGGTAAATATTTAAAAATTCGAATATTTGAATATTCCAATAATTCGAATATTCTACATAATTTTCAAACGAGTATTCTAATTTCTAAAGTCAATATTTATTTTAAAAAACAGCTGTATTGTTGTATATTTTTTATAATTGCACAATCCTTCCACCTTTTTGCTGCATTCAACATGGTTCCCATACGTTTTTTAATATTTTTTTCTTTGTTGTGGACTTATGTATATCAATTTACTGTAAATTACCCAAAAGTCAAAAACTTCATGAGACCATAAAAAAAATCGAACAAACTTTAACAAACCTAGTAAGGGGTTTTTAGTCGCACAGGGTTATTTTATTCTCTTAAAAGTTTTGGAACATTATGTTCGTTCGATTTTCTCTGAAGAAGCCCAAGTTGAAGAAAACGCTTCGCTTGCAGGTGTGATATATTGTGCGTGCACCTGCGCACCTCAGCCGCGATACGCGCCTGGTTCGCGCATACGATGCTCTTCAGCCACCAGCGTCGCTTCTGCGAGTACCTGCTGAGCTGCCCGAGCAACGAGGTGCGCACCGCCTTCATCAAGATCGTGGTGCTGCTGGCGCACTTCGCCATCAACGACGGCCCTTCGCCATGCCCGCCCGCCCTCGGCCCCGCCGATCCCGCCTCCACTTTGAGCGACCACGTGCTGAGGGCGCTGCTGGCGCTGTTGCAGCGCGAGGTCAGCGAGCACGGCCGCCATTTGCCGCACTACTGCACCGTCTTCCATATGTACGCCAATCAAGGTAGGAACTCGATCTTCTTCAGGTCAAATTTAACCTTCGTTCTTTATGGTTTTATATTATTTTTATTAATTTAACTAATAAATATAATAAAAAATATAATACTATTAAATGATCATGTTAACTTAACTTAATTGACATGATCATTTAATACTAAACCAGTCACAACCAAATTAAACCTACATAACTTTTTAACAAAACAAGGTATTTACTTAAAAGTTGGTCAAATTCTAGAATAAATTGTACATTCCATACCAACCACGCCCCCTTTTTTATCTTTTTCTTCCCTATCAAAAACATTTTTCAAAATTTTTTATTCGGTTTTACCCACAGACCACCAAAACAAATGGACGGATTTGTTTACGTTTAAAAAGCGAGTAAAGCATACTTTCACATTCTAAACACCGTCGAAACAAACAAGGCTTCCAACGTTGTCAGAAGTATAGATTACACGCCTTTTTGGACGTTCATCATAACATAATGAACATTAAAAATTACCAGTAATTCGTTTTTTTAAATATTATTTAGTTGCTGCTGAGGAGCAGTAGACACATCTTAAATCGGCAGTAAAGTTCTACTTTACTGCCGATTTCTTTTACTTTACTTACTTTACTGCCGATTGTTGACTACTTTACTACCGATTTCGTATAAAAGTAATAATTTTTTTGAAAACTACATTTAAAAACAAGAAAAGAAATATTTTGTTCTTTTTTGGGAAAAACAACAGGCTGTTAAAAATTGCTCTTTATTTTTTAAATATCTATATATCTTTTTCAAAAATTGACTTATCAGGACGTTTTTTTTCAAAATTTTTTTTTTACTGTACTTTTCAGAAAAATATAAAAAAAAATTAGGCCGACATAAGTTTTTTTTAATTTTCGGAATTAAATTACTGTCATTTTGATTATTTTTATTTATTTATTTCAACAGACTTAAATAAATTTAAGTGGTTAATTTGTAATGGAATTCGCTTCATGTTGAAGCGTGTAAGATCGGTCTGAATAATTTTTTTCTATATATTTCTGAAAAGTACATTTAAAAACAAAAATTTAGAAAAAAATTACTTAATAACTAAATTTTTAAAAAAGTTACAGATATTTAAGAAATAAAAAGGATTTTTTTGTAAATTTATAACTTTTATTGGTTGGGTAAAAAAATTGAAAAAGTTCTGAATAGCATAGAAAAAGATAAAAAACTTCAGCCAAATCAAAAGGTGTTGGGGTCAAAAGTGATCAAATGCCCCATATATATCTTAAAAATAAATATGTCAAAATTACCTATAAAATAACATTTGTAAGGTGTAATAATTATAACAATTACAATTTTTTACATACCTACATTTATTTTAATAGTTTCTTTTTACATTCGCAATTATTCATCTGACCATTGTCCCAAACAATTGGTCTAAAAACAATACCACTTGTGTACTTATGACGCAATATTAATTTTCTCAGCTGACCGCGTTTTATAGATAGCTTTAGGTCAGCACGTACCCACTGTTGCCGTTTGATGTACAATTTTGAAAGTGGTAATTTTGCAAATTTAGATAAAAAAAGCTAACTAATAATTAATACTTTATATTTACTAAATTTATTATTAATTTAATTCATTTTTCAAAACGGCGGCGAATGCGCTAATAAATTTAAAATATTTTTGGTCGAGAACTTTCATGATATTCATCCGGCAACACTGTACATACCATGAAGTTCGACTGTCGAACACATGCGTTGCGAAGAATTGTTAAAAGTTATTACACCTATGTAATCAACAAGTGATCAGTATGTACACAAACCAAACGTATGTCTCAACTGTTTTATTGTGATAAATTGAAATAAACTTTGCTTACCTACATTGTAAACATTGCTTCTGTGTTGTTATAAGCCTTATAACAACACAAAAAACATTGTTTACAAATGCTTCTCTTTGTGTTTTCTTTTACTATAACCAAATACAACACCTTTGAATAATTTTGGATATTTATTTAAATCGCTATAGATTAAGTATCATTTATCTGCTAAAAGTCTTCCCAAATCTTAGTCTGACTTACTAAGACTTTTTCTGAGTTTTTCCGACGTAATAAGTTTTATTGAAAGAAGATAACATTGTTGGCACTTCTTATTTTCTGTAGGTTTGCAAGAAAAAGCGCAACTGCTGAAAATGAACGTGCCGGCCACCTTTATGTCGGTGGCTCTGGACGAGGGCCCCGGTCCGGCCATAAAGTACCAGTACACGGAACTGGGAAAGCTTAACCAGCTGGTGTCGTGTTTGATCCGGTGCTGCGACGTGTCGGCCAAGTGCCAGGCGAGCAACGGCAACGCGCCCCTGCCCAACCCGTACGCCGACCCGAACTGTCCCGAGTACATTATGACGATATCGCCGCAGGCGGCCGAGATACTTTTCAACCGGACAGGGTAAGACAGTTTGGAGTATTTTGTAGGTAAAATCAGAGCTGAGCACGGCTACTTAAAAAAGTATTCGTACAATTTTAAGTACGAGTACTTAAATTATTTACTCGTAAGCAGAGCTGTCGAAATTCCTCTTAAAGAGTAGTTGAATTACAATTACCAATTATTTTGACACAAAGATATAAATTACCAAGTACCACAGATTAATAAATGTAGTTAAATTAACAATTACCATGAAAAGTGATTGATTATATAGGCAATTACTATAATTGAATTACTTATTTTAATTCAATTACTTCTTATAGTAATTGAATTACTTTTAAGTAATTGAATTACTTTTAAGGGTTGAATTCCTTATAAATTTGTTAAATTATTTGAAAATTAAAAGGCAATTTCTTTTTAGTTAGTTTAGGTAATAATTTAATTTTTATGGGAATAAATTATATTCAATTATAAGTATATTATAATTATATTCAAAGAAAACATATTCCTATTTAAAACTTTATTTAATTAAAAAAGCACAAATTTAACACAAAACTTAAAAATATAATTTTCTGAATTTTTTAAATTTGAAATGTATCCGAAAGAGCACACCGCGAAACCTTACCCCACCTTGACAAAAAATCAGATGTGTTATTTAACAAAATAACAACTATATCTGAAGTCAAATAGTTTAATTGCGACATATTTATACCCTTAAAATATTCGTACAAGTGATGCAAAGAAGCTAACATGAAGAATAAACACGGAAGAGTTTCAATACTCTATAAAAATGTTTTTAAAAATATCGCACCCGTTAAATTTTGAGAAAATTTTGGAAAATAAAGTGTACAATAATTTTGCATTTAAAATACGTGCTTGTTTAAGGTTACTATTCAAGTTTTTTATAAGCTAACTTGGTCGCATTTGCCGATTTTTTAAGGTCGCGCCCGTTACGCTATTCATGACGTTATAAAAAGTTTTCTATACAAGTTTTTATTGACATTTTGTTTTAGTTAAATACCGAATTTTTTATACTATTTTTTTAATATTAACGTATCTTGATATATATGAACAAACAATTTATTATCATGAAAAAACGCAGTTTTAGTGTCGCACCCGTTACAACCTAAGAATTTTTAAAATCAATTATCAATTACAATTACTTTTTTAGTAATTTAAAAATCAATTACAATTTTTTAATTATTTTATTTATTATTATTGTTACTACCGGCCAGTGTTGCCATCTTGGAGAATTTTTCACCATTTCTGGTGATTTTTTGTTCTTGTTTGAGAGTTTTCAAGTTAGATAGCGACCAGTCTCAATCCTGGAGAATTTAAAGATGCATTGGAGAGTTTTTAGCGAATTTTAAGTAATTAAAATACAGAATAAAAAATATTGAAAGTTGGGTTGGGTGCGTTGTACCTACTAGTGATTTTTTAATTAAGAATTTGACCGGTCAAAACTTTGATACACTCCATCCTCATATTTTAAAAATGTGACTCCTCCATCCATTAAAGCTATCAGAGACTCTGTGAAGTTATTACCGGTTACAGTTATGCTGTAAGGACTATAGGCAAAGATTAAATATACTCTTTCTTGAGAAAGAGTATATTTAATCTTTGCTATAGGTATACCTCCTCCCTGATAATGTATTAAAACAAATAGGTACCAAAAATATATATAATAGTATATTATGTATCAAGTTTTATAAACGCCATTTTAGTTACGAGTTTAATTAAGCACAAGCGAAGCTTGCGAGCGAGTGTTTAATAAAAACGAGTGTCTAGAGAATTTTATAAACGAGTTGCATACTATACTTTATCTACGACGAACACAAAACAGGATTTAAAGCCAATTTTATTTGTTAAAATTTTGACATCTGTCAACTGTCACCCGAATTTAACCTCACTTTTTCCTAATTTATAATAAAGCTAACTTCAGCCCGTGACGTAAAATGTCGAAAAGCCACTGTTGTTAACTTCAGCCCGTCAATAAAACGCCATAAAGTGACATCTCGCCAATGTAGGAGTAGATAAAATATATAACAATGAGACTGATAAAACAATAGATGATATAATTGAATATATTGGTACTATCTAAACCCTTCTACAGTTTATCCTAAAATGTGCCCGTCAAACTTTGTATATAGAAAAATAGACTTATTCTGATCTGCACCTATATACATGACGTTAGCAAAGTTTGGCCAGCTACTTTTGGGACATCCTGTATAGCTATATTTTTTTCTTATTTCCATGTTAAAAGAAAATGTTTATTATATAAAAAGCTTTAAAGCCTTATATTACAAATTATTAAAAGTATTGGAGATTTTTTTTTGGTAAAGTTGGAGAATTATGGTGAATTTTTGTTTAGGTTTTTGAGAATTTTAAAATTTTACTGTTGGCAACACTGCTACCGGCAGCTCTGTCTGAGTAATAAGTATTTCAAATGAAAAATACTAATGAGTAAAAAAAGTACTCGTTCTTTTTTACTCTTAAGCCTCATTCAGAACCTCGTAATTAGTGGAAAAAATTAGTGGTTTCAATTATACTTATAATTAACACAAAACGATCATTCACAATGCGCAAAATTAACATCTAAAATTAAGGGAATTTGCTAAAAGATTGTGCATTCTTCTTTACCTGACATAAACAATATTAATTATATTAAAATATTATTTTTACAACCATTTAGGGTAATGACACCAGTAATTGCCATTATAAGCTAGTGTTTACACAAAAAGCTAAAAAAGTACCAGAAGAAATTTAGATTTCGTCCTAATAAAAAGCCATGGTGGTTAATAGATACTTATAGAAGGTCACTATATTACCAAACATTAAAAATTAAAGACATAACTAAGTACAATATATTTTTGTTTTATTGAGGTACAGAGGACTAGTAATTGCCATGACCATTTTTAAAAAAACCAGTAGTTGCCAGTGTACCTGGCCAGTAATTGCCACTAATTTATTTTATTAAATAAAACAAAAAAAATGGAAAATGGCATACCACCTTGGCAAGCAGCCATTGCAGATTCTTTACCTTCTTGGGAATAGCGAAAAAGGGCTTGTTTTTTGGTTCCATGTTGATCAATTTGGATTTTATACCTGGATCAATAATTGCCACTAAAGTGAACCAGTAATTGACACATTCAAAAAGAGGTGGAAATTACTGGATTCTCTTTGAATATAATGTTCTTATTAATGTCAAGTATAAACTAAATATTATAGGTTAGTTTAGAGCTTTAATAAAGGTAATACAATAATCCAAAATTCTCCAGTAGCTAATTACCACAAATGGCAAATATTGGGTTAAAAGAAAAAAAATGCTCCAGTAATTGCCACTACTCTAAATCAAAATACTCTTTTAATTTAACGAACAATTTATATGCGTTTCATTTAAACTACTTGGCATATATGCCTATTGCACAAACAAAACTCAAATTGATTAACAACATATGCCAATATCACGAAAAACTAATCTTACACTTTCTTAACCAAAGTCACAAGAAATCTTGTTGCCTGAATATGTTTTTCCTGTCGAAAAATGCGCCACCTGGTGACAGTTGTTCTAAATACATAATACGCTAGATACACTTCCTTACACATAGGCAGTGCGCCATATGCACAGATATTGCATATAGCTTTGTTTTTGAATTTCTAAATATTAAATGGCAACTACTGGTACAGTGGCAATTACTGGTGCCTTTACCCTATATAACCTTACCTTCACTGGCAAATCTTCAAACTTTTTGCTTTTGACATAAAATATCCGCGTACATGCGCAAAGCCGCTTTCCAATTATAATTAATGGTAAAAGTTAGAAGTTTGCAAACTTTTTCCACTAATTGAAAAGTACTACCACTAATTTTTTGGTTGTGAACAACACTGTATATTCATAAGACAAACTTTTACGTTAATTGAAACAACTAATTTTTTCCACAAATTACGAGGTTCTGAATGAGGCTTTAATTGAAATAAATACGAGTAAAAGTACTCGAGAACTTGGCCGGCTCCGGGTAAAATACGATTAATTTTGTCCAGCTTTGTGAAAAAGGTGATAGAAGACACGAACCTGACGGAGGACGCGATCAAGCTGCTGCAGTACTGCTCGTGGGAGAACCCGCACTTCTCGCGCACCGTCCTGGCCGAGCTGCTGTGGCAGATTGCGTTCGCGTACTGCCAGGAGCTGCGCCACCACATCGAGATCCTGCTGTCGGTGCTGCTGATCGAGGACACCTGGCAGACCCACCGCATCCACAACGCGATCAAGGGCGTGCCCGACGAGCGCGAAGGCCTGCTCGACACGATCTCGCGCGCCAAGAACCACTACCAGAAGAGGGCGTACCAGTGCATCAAGTGCATGGTGGCTCTGTTCACCAAGTGCAGGGCGGCGCAGGTAACAAAATACTTACATTATTTTACCTTCTCCCCTTGTATCAAATATTTTGCTTTTATTATTGCAATTTATTGAATATTGCAGCTTTTGCGCCATCTTGGATTATTGAGTGAATTCGCAAATTTGATTTAATATAAAAAAACAGCCGATATCATTTTTGTTAAAAAAATTGAGTTCTCGGCCATTTCAAGCGCGCGAATCGCAAGAATTACAAAACTGTTTTTAGAAAATAAATTGTAGTTTATTTATTATATAATATTTTGGCATCAAAATTGTCAAAACTATTCTACTTTTATTAGGTTATACATTAAATATTAATTATTAATAATATTGAAAATATTTCTTGCATTTTTTTGTTTAGTGTAAAAGTAGAATATATTTGACAATTTTGATGTAATAATAATATACAAGGTGTCCCTAAACTTAGTGGCATAAATTTAGGGGCAGATTAAGCAAGTCAAAATAAGACGAAAATCTAAATAAATATTTTCCTAATTACGTATGTTTAAAAGATACAGGGTTATAAAGTGTTACTTAAGTATCAGTTTTTTTAATATAACTTATACTACGGTAGACTTGGAAAGGTGATATTTTGCGAACAGTCACTTACTAGCAAAACACATATTGACACATAATTACAATTGTTCGAGTGAACACAGTGTCGTAGAAACAGGGGTTGCTTCAGCTTATTGTCCCATACAAACTTTGAGGTTAGGTTTTTATACCATTTGATGCAATTTTTCGATTACTCAGTTCGGCTACTATTAAAAAGGTGTACCTCTCAAACTGCGATAAAATTAACCGTTTCCGAGATATTCGAGATTACAATAATTGTTATATCGCATTAAAGGATATGTTAACAAATTTTTTAATTGAAAAAACTACATTTTTTTTTAATGTGACGGTCAGGGCAAAAAGTCCCAAGGCTTATGGAATGCCCTTTTTAGTTTATTCAATTAAAAAATAAAATTAGTTATCATATACCTTTTAATCGTTTTAAATAATGCGATATAACAATTATTGTAATCTCGAATATCTCGGAAACGGTTTATTTTATCGAAGTTTGAGAGGTACACCTTTTTAATGGTAGCCGAACTGTTTAATCGAAAAATTGCATCAAATGTTACAAAAACCTAACCTCAAAGTTTGTATGGGACAATAAGCTTAAAGCAACCCCCGTTTCTACGACACTGTGTTCACTCAAACAATTGTAATTATGTGTGAATATGTGTTTTGGTAGTAAGTGACTGTTCGCAAAATATCACCTTTCCAAGTCTACCATAGTAGAAGTTATATTAAAAAACTGATATGATAAGTAACACTTTATCACCCTGTATCTTTTAAACACACGTAATTAGGAAAAATATTTATTTAGATTTTCGTCTTATTTTGACTTGCTTAATCTCAGTGGCGGCTCGTCAGGGTAGGCCTCTGAGGCCGCGCCTCACCCTTAAAATGAAGGAACGAACGACTTTTTGTATTTATATTTTTGCCTATTACAAGTGTATTTTTACAACAGTTCTACCCAATAAAAAGTAAAAAACCAATCAATAATATTAAGCGTAAATAAAAATCCAGGCGCAAAGCGCGTCGAGTCGCTTGTTGTATGTATCTTGGCTTGGACAGAGGCGAAATTTTCACAGCCTCGGAAGCTCCCATTTACGTCTTGAAAGCGAAAATGACTCACCAACAAAAATATCGCCGTAAGTTCGCGAATAAACACCGTACATGAGGCGAAATTAACTTAGCTTGGTTTGTTCTGATTGGTCGTTCGTTTATGGTGGGATGCCAGCGGAGACAAAGAAGGTTGCCAGTCTTATCTTAGCGCTTGTAAAGCACGTTATTGTTTTGATTCAGATTAAATTATTTAAAACTTTTGGCTGATCTTTTATAGTTTTTGTCTCGATTAGTAAAATTTCTTATTTAATTATTGTAGGGAACACACTAAGGTAGATTTAGCAGTTTTTATTAAGCAAATTTTATATTTTGAAATAATAGAATGCATAATTCTTCAATTAGAGACGCGGTTTGAAAATTTAGAATTACTTTTAAATCTCACTGCAGACCAACAATTTTACGACCAAATAATAGATAAATTTTCAATCTTAAAAGATAGACGTATAGTATTTTATTTTTTTTTAATACTTAGGTAGGGGTCGACTTTTTAGTTTTATTTTTATTTTTTGATTCATTTATTTATTTTTAACTTTTTTAAGACTATTTTTTAAGTTTAAGATTAAAACTAGTCTTTGATGTGATATTTTGTTTGTTTTGTTTTTTAGAGTTTATTTTTTGGTTTAGTAGTGCTATCGGCTCCATTTTAAAAAAGGTCAACGCGTCGGAGAATAATACCTCCCGGGTGACGTGGAAATTTATTCGTATTTAGACAAAATTAACCTAATGTAGCCTCACCCTCCTGTACACCCACGAGCCGCCACTGCTTAATCTGCTCCTAAATTTATGCCACTAAGTTTAGGGACACCTTGTATAATAAATTACCTACAATTAAAAAAAAACAGTTTTGTAATCTGTTCCGTCCGTATGCTTGAAATGGCCGTTCTGCAAATTAAAAAAACAAATATATATTCGGTGCCACTATTTTTTCTAATGTAAACTCGAAAATCACAAGGCATTTTTTTTTAGATTTTCATTTTTCATTTTTTTCTAAAAGCAGCTCTACAATTTGCGTCATATATCGAGTTAGAAACAGCCAATCTGGTTACAAAAAATGTCAAACCAAATAGAATCGAATCGGCGACCATTAATACTCTCTTAATTGGCTCGAATATTAAAAAATAGTATATAATTATACGAGAGATAATGCAGGCTATTATTAACGAGGATGAGGTTTGCGTCTCGAGTCGCCATTCTACCATTGCACAGTAAGGTTAAAAAAAATCATGATTAAAAAAAAAATCAAAAATCAATGATTTTTGTTAAAAAAATCAACGAAAAATGATTTTCTTGTTTTTTTTTTAAATATAAGCTTTTTTAATAAAGTGTACTATTAAAAAAAATACTAAAAATAACTTGACTATAATAATATTATATTGGCACTACTTTATAAATAAATAAACCACCGTCCGCAACTGTCATATATTTTTTTGTATATTCCTTTATTATTTTATTTAACAAAATAAGCAGTTTTTCCATACATATAAATTTATTTAAATATTGTCGATATTATTGTGCTTTAGTCTTTGATCTTAAGTGTTTTTTTAGATTTTAGACACTTTTTTAAAACTGATTTAAATCGTGATTTAAATCAGTTGAACCCTGTCGCACAGAGAGGTATTTTGTCCTAAAACGTGGCCCAGAATATTTTGTCACTTTTTCTATATAAAAAAACTGACTAAAAAACATTTCTAAAGAACACAAGTGATAGTAGGTATTTTTACTGGAAATTAAAAAAATATGTACTTTCAAAGATTTTTTACGGAGTAGCTACTTACATGCAAGTTAAACAATAAAAATATTAAAATTAAACATATATTAAATTTTTTGTACTCTTTAAAAAATAAATATTTAAAAAAAATTAATAAATAAATTATCCATCTACCTAAAAATCTTATAAGATCGCACTAAAGTGTCTGTTTTCAAGGGTAAATTTTTCCGAAATGTGAAAACGTGAATGTTTTTTATGGCTACAGTTATTCTAGATGTCCTGAAGTTTAATAACACGTGGGTCGGATGCCGTTGCGAGGTGTTGCGTATATTTAAAATTACCAATGTTTGTTTAAAAAGACAAGAAAAATTTAATATTTTTAATTAGATGGATATACGTAGTACTCAATATGAATAAATTAAGTTTATAACACAAATAATTTATTTGAAATAAATGTTGCTTAAAATATTGTACATGCCTTGATTGACGATATCCATATCAACTTTTTCCACCAATTGAGTTTTGGCCACGTTTTAGCTCAAAATACCTGTCTGTGCATTGTATCAAATATTTTGCTGTTACTATTGGGCCTTTCCATCTCAAAAGGGGTAAAAAGGGGGTAGGTGGTTATTTTTAAACGAAATTTTTGTACAGTTTCTCTACCGAAATCGATAAGACCCGTATTTTTTCTTTTTGCTTAAATTTGTTTTGTTCACCCATAGGAAATTTTTGAAAAATGGACAGAAACATCCATTTTTCTCTTTTTTCTGAAAAATGCGATAACTTGGCCAAAAATTGTAGGTCAATCTTTACTACATCCAAAAATATTTAAAACATTAAGTGAATTTACTCAACTTTTTTTAATTGTTTTCTAAAAAAGGCAAAAAAAATTGAAGTTATTATTTTGACATTGTCACATTTTTTTTTTACTTCATATTTTTTTCGTTTGAAGTTGATAATATGAACAACTTTCACCAAAGTCCCGGGTTGGCTAAATTCGTCATTTCGGAATTATTATTTTTCACTTATGAAATTGCCATTTTCTGGTTATTTCGTGGTCCATCGCAAAAATTTGGTTTCTTATCTAGGGTCATGAACTTTTTGACATATTCTGGTTTCACCGGAAATGCTCTTTAGTAAGTAAATTAAATTATTAAAGATTTTAGATAGAGTAAAATGTAAATTCTTTATATTTTTGCATGTGTTACTTTTAAAAGATGTAAAAAGTTTATTTTGGTTAATGTAGGACACAAACAATTCTGAAAAATTTTGGTTGGTTAAAAGATATGAGTGAGGTAGCCAACTTTTGGTGAAAGTTGTTTTTATTATCAACTCAATCAATCAAAAAAATGTGTCAATTTCAAAATTTTGAGCTCAATTTTTGTTTGCCTTTAAAAAAAAACAACAAAAAATTTAGTGAATTCATTTAATTTTTTATATATTTTTTTATGTAGTAGAAGAGAAAAATCGATGTTCCTGTTCATTTTCTACGCATTCTTGGGTTGTTACGGTAATCACCCCCTGAAACAAAATCTCCCTTTTTGTTGCAGCTGATGCTGCTGAGCCACCAGGACCTGAGGAGGTCGTGGGCCTCTGCGGTGTCCTGGCTTCAGGACGAGCTCGAGCGCAAGTACCCGGCCAACCCGCAGTACGGCTACAACAACACGTGGTCGCCGCCCGCGCAGAGCAACGAAAGCTCGAACGGCTACTTCTTGGAGAAGTCGAACAGCGCGCGCAAAACGTTGGAGAAGGCGCTGGAGCTGATGCCCGAGACGGAGCGCGACGAGGAGGAGGACGTGAGCGAGGAGCCGGAGTCGCAGGTGAGAGTTTTTGCAGCCGAGTGGCGTTTTAAGGCGTTGACACAGGTGGTATATTTTCAAGGCTCCCACACCTCCTAAAACTTATAAAATTTGTCTTAAATCTTGAAAACTCTTAAAATTGCCATCAATCTTTTAAAACAAAGGGGTTTGTGTTTTCTTCAAAAACATTATTTTTTCTTGATAGAGATAATAAGAGAAAATACTAAACTTGAAGCAGAAAAATTTTGAAACTTTTTAAAATAATCGTTATTTATAATAGAGGTTTTTAAATAAAAACGCTAAATAAAACTTGCTTGTAAAATAAACATACATGAGTGTCTTTCAGAGATATATCTAGAGTTGGGGATGGTCAATTGACCGCGGTCAATTGACCTGTCAATTGACCGCTACCTATTTGACCGGTCAATTGCAGCATTTTATTTAGGTATCAACAATTACCCGTGAATCTAAAAATTTTGCGATTGTGCAATATCGACATCATTTACAATTTGGTGGTTCCCCTAGTCGAGGGGTTGCTAGGCCGGACTCGGCGCTCTGCCCTTAAAGCGGGACATATCTTTTTTAATAGCGAAACATAACTTTTTAAAGCCGCACAAACGTTTCTAAAGAAGGATATAACTTTTATAATAAAAAAAAAATTGGTAACGTATTTTAATTACCTATTTATTAAGTACAAATAAATTACAGTAATAATTGTTTTGATATTTTATTTAATTTTATTTTGGTCAATTGACCAAAAACAATTTGACCAGTCAATTCCACAACCCTAGATATATCTCTGGTGTCTTTGAAAATTAAAACAAAAATACAACTAAAATAGATTTTATTTATAAGAAAAAAAAATGAAGCGCTGTATTTTTGTTACTTTTCGTTTGATTTGTACAACATTTTCAGGGTATACTAACAAAAATAAGGTCTTTCAAAGCATATTTTTTATTTACTTCAAAAAAATTTCCTATAAAAAAGTTTTTTTCAAAGGTTTTTTATTATTAAATCAAAGGGCTTTAAGGGTATTTTCTCGAAAAACCCTTGAACACGTAAACTGAGATATAAGTTGAAGTATTTTTATCCAAAATTTTATTAAGATTGGGAAAGGCGTTTTAGAGTTGGATTTTTTTTATTTTCAGTAAAGTTGCTGCTTTGTTTCTCTTAAGTTGCGGTCATTTCTAGTATTCCGCTTCCCGTCTTACAATAGCGTTAGTAAAATCGCCTATCTTTATCCATTTTATTTTCATATGGGGGAAAAACTGAAAAACCCAAAAACGTTTTTGTTTATTGAATTTAAATGAGACGTACATTTCAGAGAAATTTGGTACATTTTAAAAGTCGAATTTAGTACTTTATTTTTCCTACTACTGCACTGTGGGCCCTATGCCCAAACTAGGTTGCAATAAGTCATTATTGAAAATGTATAATTTGCCACTATTGTTTTATTAAAAACATATTCAAACTTGTAAAAACATAATTGCTTTTTGAAAATACTCTACGAAGACTTTTTTATAAATGCCCAATGTCAGATCTTTAAAAGAAAGTCTATTTTTAATGCAATCGTTTTAAGTACGATTTTTTGCGAATTTTTTATAGCTTAGAGGGCCGTGAAAAGCAAAATTTTATAACTGACATTAGACCTGTCAATTAGTTGTGTTGGGTACATAAAATTATAGAAAATTCGTGTTTTTTTCTGTTTTTGGCAAGAACTGATAAGGTAATTACCATGAATATTTAATTTTTTAAATTTTGCAGAGTAAAAAAATAGGAAGGCCAACGAATGCCAAGCCAAAATATATATTTTTTATTAGACAAAGATGTAGACTACTAAAAACTGTTAACCAAAAAAATCGCAAAAAATCGCGAAACTTATCCCAGTCAAAAATGTAAACCTCTGAGAAAAGAAAATATGTATTAACAATTAATATGAATCTTAAGTTGTTTATCGCATGTATTGCTTAGGCAATGAGCAAATTATATACATGGCGTTTAATATTTGTTAAAAGTGTTTACGCCTACTTTTTCTTTTTATCCGTTTTTAATATTACATTAAGGTGGCCTAGATGCATTGTTAAAAATTGCTCAAAAGGCATTAAAAAATCACATTTAAGTCCAGAATTATGTTAAGAATCCGAGAATGTAAATATATACAGGGGTTTCTATTTAATTTTTTGAAGCTGTACCCATTTCCGGTGAAACCGGAAGTGACCGAAAAAATATGCGAAATCCCTCCTCTTTATACACCATTTACCTATTACCAACACTCTGTATTTCACTTTTTATCTGCTAAACGAAGCAACTGCGTTGACCTATTTTCAGAAAAGGAATCTCTAGATTTATAATGTTCAATTTTCGGGATAAAACATAGTAACTATCGCGATATATCGATAGTAGGTATGCAGACATTACAAAATATTTTTTTCTGGCTAAACCGCTCATCGAACTTTTACAGGAGACAAAAAAGTTTTTAAACAAAGTAAGCTTTCTATTTCCTAGCAAACCATTATATCAACAGTAAAAAAATACAAGCGAAAATTAGTAACCTAACCTTGCTTTTCTGATTATTCTAATTTTTAAAGATAACTGAGTGTAGCACCAAACGACGTTAATTGGCAGTTAAAACTTATATTCCAAAAATATTAAAAATACATTAATACCTTATTAAGATATTTAAAAAAATAGTTATTTTTCAAAACTTTAAAGACCTCTAACGACTAAACGAAGCAACTTAGTATATAGGTAATTTGGGTTAAATCGACTTATTTTGATCCGTAGATAACGTTGGTATGGTTTGTTACACTAGTTGAAGATAACCCTGCATTTTATAAATTAATTTCCAAAAATACTAATGCGGCAACACTGGAAAATGAAAAAATAAATTATATAATTAATTACCAGCATTCAAAGTTTAATTATTTTTAAAGATTTAAGTAAATAGAAAAAAAAATTGAATTAATGCAACCTAGTTTGGACATTGGGCCCACAGTGTACTGGTAGGAAAGATTGGGGAAAAACATGTTTTTTAATAAAATTTATATTAGCTAATGCAGGTATTTGAAAAAATACGTGTTGTATAAATATTAATCCTGAGGGCATTAATTAAACTTATACAATTTTGGAAAAACCATGGATTTGGAATAATAATATAATTTTACAATATTAATAAATACTAGAATAAATATTATTTTTAGTACTAAAGGTAAACATTCAAAAATACATTTAGCAAAGGAGAGTTGTTGGTTTCAATTTGGTCATTACACTGTAGTGTGAAAATATCACAGCTAAACGCTCGGGCACGTAAACTTAATTTTTGGTCGTAGATTACAAATCCGTGCTTGGTTTAGCTGTATCAGGTTAAAATTCAAAGATATTGAAAACACCCGGTATAAATTTTTTAAAAATTCAATTTGGTTGGACCCTCACATCAGTTTCAAATTAAAAAAACAAATTTTAATGTTAATTGATCAAAAGTAAAACGTGTCCCTAAGGATTTTTCTTTGATTATTAAGGAAATTTAAAATGTTTTTTTGCTGATTTTTTTTATTGAGTATAATTAAGGATATTATATTAAATGAAATAAAACGCATAGGAATATTGGCACAAGAGGTGAAATATATTATTTTACAAATTATAATATACAGTGTGTCCCCGTATCGGATTTTCATTAGGAAATTTTTTTTAGACCTGATACAGGTAAACCGAGCACGGATTTGAAATCTACGACCAAAAATTATGTTTACGTGTGCGAGCGTTTAGCTGTGATATTTTAAGAGTTAAAAATTTACTTAGGCCCAGTTGTAAAGGGTGGGCCATCTATAAGTTGAATTTTAAACTACGTGCTATTAATGAAGCTTTCAACTTAAGCGCCATGAATTGTTGACAGTGGTTTAGTTTTAACCTTCCGATTACAAAATATGCACCGAATAAATTTGGATCAACGTTTCGAAATACTCAAAACTTACTTTGAATGTGACTGTAATCGCAGAGACGGCAAGAAAATTGCGTTTGGAAGAAATGAGGGGCCGTCAAACCAAAGTATTACAAATTTGTTGAAAAAAATTGCGCAGAAATGGAATGCTGGTGGACATAAAACATGTTTCGAATGCTCGTCCTAGACGTACACCTGAAGCAATTGCTGCTGTGGCCGAAAATGTACGCATGAACGCGTCAACACCAACTCGGCGCAGATGTCAACAACTCGGGCTTTCCCGTACCACTCTGAAGATGATTCTGCACAAAGACCTCGGTATGTTTGCGTATAAATTCCAGCTTGTTCAGGAGTTAAAGCAAGTTGACCATCCACAACGTTTTCGCTTTGCTGAGTGGGCTTTAAACCAGTTGAACGATGACCCTAATTTTGCAAGAAAAATCATCTTTTCGGATAAGGCGCATTTTTACCTCGGAGGTTATGTCAACAAGCAAAACTGTAGGATTTAGGCCACGGAAAATCCACACGTCACCGTAACAAAGCCTATTCACCATTTAAAACAAAACATTCAAGCTCAAATTGCCTAAATAGAGCAGCAAACTTTTGACAAAGTGCTCGAAAATTGGTGTTCCAGGATGGGCTACTGCCGAGCCAGCTGAGGTGGCCACTTAAATAAAATCATTTTCCATATTTAAAAGAAGAAACATTGTATCAAATAAAGCAAAATTCGTTGAAAAAAAATCAGTTTTTTTTGTTCTCATTGCTATTTTATAATTCAACATAAACATGGCCCACCCTTTATAACAGTTGGTAAACAACTGGTTAACCCTTGATAATAATTATCTAATGATCAAGCTAAGTTTTAAGTTGTAGAAACATTGATTAAGATTTAATCAAGTGATCAATATACAATTAACAAATCGGTGAATTTGGTGTGGTTAACGCCGGGTTAGAACACACATAACCTTATAAATGCCAATGTTTAAAAATTGTCATTATTTTTTTGTCAATAACTGTGGTTAGCATTAAAATGGAAGAGCATTTAACGGATGATGAAGAATTTTTAGAATTGGTAGAAATTGTTGTTCATCCTAGAAAGATGAGAAAATTTCGTGTTAGACCTGAGTATTTTCTAAATTTAAATGAAGAAGAATACAGAAACAGATTTCGTCTTTCAAAAAATATTATTACCTTTTAAATAAAGAAATATCAGCCTTAATTTCTTCAAAAACTAATAAAAACCAAGCGCTTTCTTCCAGGCAAATGATTGAATTAACTTTAAGATTTTTAGGTTCATTTTTGCAAGCAGTTGGAGATTTTTCGGGCGTAGATAAATCTACTGCAAGTAGAGTTGTATTAAAGGTAACAAGAGCTATAGCTAGTTTACATGGTCAATACATAAATATGCCAAATACTGAAGAAGAAATCTCATCAGTTATACGAGAATTCTATATGTTAGCCCGCTTTGCATTCTAAAATGTTCTTATATTTTTCAACTATACAAAGCAATAGCCGAGATTTTTTTTCACTAAAGTTGGCGACCCTTTTGTTACAATCTTTTATTTTAGACCCACAAGCTATTGCTAAAGCCATTTTTTTAATAATTTCACAAAATATCAAAAAGTTTAACCAAAAACACAAACGTAACACAAAACTCACCTGCAAGAAGAAATATAATTAAAGCCACTTAATACGAATATACTTACTAAAATCTTATTAAACTTGATTTTTAAACAACAAAAATGATTTTTAAAAAATGAATTTTAATTTGAGGTTAACATTGTCACTTTGACAACTACGAAAATTGTGACAATTGACAAATACGAAAATTTGATAACTAGGGATTTTTTAGTGAATTCCCCTAAATTTGAAGATTAACTAATTACAGCATAACCGAGTGTTGTACAACTAAATTTTCTTTAACCAGCCATTATTGATAAATCCGTGATTTATAAATCTGTTGTTAATCAGACTTTTATACAACTGGGCCTTACAGTGTTAAACAACCGATTTTTTCTTTAGTTTATTAATTTCCAAAGACTAGAAGATTTAGTTTGAAAGTATTGAAAAAAACAATCGGATGTTGTTCTTAATGACCAAATTAAAACTAGCAACTTTCCTTTGCTAAATTTATTTTAGAATGTATACTAAAAACATTATTTATTAATATTGTAAAATTATATTAGATACCGCCTTTTAATAAAAATTTGTACTTATTCAGAAGAAGCTACTGTGTAGCGAAACAATTGTTAATGTTTAAAAAACATAAAATAAAATGGTGAAACTTTAAAACAGTGTTGTTTTTATTCATATATTAATAATATGAAGTTTCATCAAGTAAAAGTCGAAACAATCAACAATAAATAAATTCTAAATCTAACTAATACAACCTAGAATTTTTTCAACATTTCATAGCTACTAATATCGTTTTACCTTTAAAAATTATATTTTTAAATCCGTTATAATGAGCAAGTTAGAAGGTAGTCCTTTCAAAGAACTAATTTAAGGTAAATAGTTTCCCTTGAAGAAATTTGTCTTACTTCAGGAGGAAGTGTCAACTGACACGACCACGCCCCCGGTGCAGGGCTGCGAGCCACAGCAGCAACAGCTTCAGCCGCAACCGCTGCAGGAGGCTAGGCCCGGCGAGCTGCCCGACGTGACCCAAACCTCCGATCAGCCCAACCCTTAGGTAGAACGAAGGAGATTGTTGTTTATCGTGCATGGAACAATTTTCATCAATCCGCTAATCGACCTTAGAATGATCCATATTAAGTAAAGGACGTCTTTTTAAAACTCAGGTTTTTAATTTCGCTGCAATTTTACCGCTAACTTATTAGTTTATTTTTTAAGGTGTAATTTGGATCATGCTAATATAAATAATTAAACATATAATAGAGAAGTGAACTTTGTACCATGCTGCTTACTTTGAATAACACCCTGTATATTTGTCTATTTATTTAAGAGGGACATGTGATATGTATGTATATAAAACATAAATTAACGCATTTTCTGAATTTTTATATTGACCGGAATGCATTTGTGCAAAACGTTCCTTAATTAATTCTCGTAAGCAGTCCCTTTACTTTATTATGCAATGAATTAAACGGGCCTACAAAATTAAATGTTCTCTTTGCGGCAGGGTGGCCATCAACTTTTTTTTAGGGTGATTTGGGTTCGCTGATTCCGAAAAAACTCTTGTTTTTGTGATATTGTGAAAAAACTGTTTTTTTTTATTTACAAACATTGCAAATAAAATACTTTAACCAAGGATCATTGGTAATGTAGCTTTGGGTCCCAATTAAACTAAACTAAATTAATTATACACATTTATAAAGTTTTTCCTTAAAAATAATGTTTTTTTATGAAAAATGTTCGTTTTTAGTCAAAATTCGCCAATTTTCAAAATTTAAAGTGCTGCTAAACGAATAATTATTGTCCGATTTTGATAAAATGTACAAGCAATTTAGGTCCATGCATCTACTTTAACGTGTTAACATTTCAACGAGATCAAATAAAAATTGGAGAAATGACACTTAAAAAAACCGCGCGGGTCAAAATTTATGTTTGCGGTAATTTTACCTCCTGGCGTTTGTACGAGTTTTAAAACAAAAAGCAATGATACTAAATGTTTAAAAATGAATGCTAAACATTCTTGCATGGTCACTGCTAAAATAAATGTCAAAAAATACAAACATAATTGTTTTAAATAAAATATTAGTATTCAGAGTCATTTTGACAATTTTTATTTGTTTGGGTTTAAATTTTAATAATATAAATTACGTGTATTGTATATTTTGTAATTTTTTTCAAAATCGGACAAAAAACCATTTAACATAATTAAAAAGATGATTTTTAAAGGGAATATCTTTACAAATGTGTATAATTTACAATTATTTTTTAGTTGAAATAGTTACATTAAAAATTATCGTTGGTTAAATTATTGAATTAAAAATTATATACATTAGGGTGTACCATATTAATAAAAAGATTCAGCCCTTAACCTAACTCCTAAGGATTTAAGGAATTTTTAGCTTGGCGACATTTTACAGGTGCGATTTGTACATAATTATTCAAAAGTACTTGCAACAATTTTACTACAATTTATTTATTTAAATCCAAGTCATATTTTTTATAAAAAAAAGTATTTTGCAGTTTACGGCAAAAAAGTTACAGGTTTTTTATAGGGAATTTAATTTCCTACAATTTTATACATGAATGCAATAAAAGGTATAGATTAGAAGATTAGAGCATTTAATAAATGATACAGTAGACTGGGCCAAAAAAATTGACTATTTTTTTTTTGAAAAATATATCGAAAATGTCATTCAGAATGACAAAAAAATAATTTCGTGAAAATTTGAGCCCTTAATATTAATTTTAAGAGGTCTATCATCGCTATTTTTTATTTTTAGTCATAATTTGATGTTTTACGTTAGAACTGTCAAAACATTGAAGTGCAAAAAATTTCTTTTCACTTATTTTGATATAAAATTAAATTCTCTACAAAAAAGGTCTGATTGAAAATTTTTGTCAGACGAGCCGTTTCCGAGTAATTGAGCTTAATAAATCGATGTATTTTTTCGATTTGCCCTTTTAACTTTGAAATTTTGTAACTAATGAACCAATGAATATTTAAGAAAGCTCACGTCGGATTCTTAAAGGAAATTTAATGTTCTACAAAAAAGGTCTTTTAACATTTTTGCCTAAATTTAATTCTTCAAAAGTTATTCACGATTAAAATCGAAGAAAATCTTAAATTTTCAATTTTTTCTTCGTGAATAACTTTTGAAGAATTAAATTTAGGCAAAAATGTTAAGAGACCTTTTTTGTAGAACATTAAATTTCCTTTAAGAATCCGACGTGAGCTTTTTTAAATATTCATTGATTCATTAGTTACAAAATTTCAAAGTAAAAAGGGCAAATCGAAAAAACACATCGATTTATTAAGCTCAATTACTCGGAAACGGCTCGTCTGACGAAAATTTTCAATCAACCTTTTTTGTAGAGAATTTAATTTTATATAAAAATAAGTGAAAAGGAATTTTTTTCACTTCAATGTTTTGACAGTTCTAACGTAAAACATCAAATTATGACTAAAAATCAAAAATAGCGATGATAGACCTCTTAAAATTAATATTAAGGGCTCAAATTTTCACCAAAATTTTTTTTTGTCATTCCGAATAACATTCTCGATATATTTTTCAAAAAAAAAAAATAGTCAATTTTTTTGGCCCAGTCTATGATACAGTCACCAATTTATTAATTTATTATTTATCTCTTAAACTATGCATTTTATTGGATTAAAGTATAAAAGGCTTTTTACAAAATATTAAATTTTCTATAATTTTTTTATTTACTTTTTACCTGTAACTTACCGTTTTTCCGTAAATACTGTTTTTTTTTATTCAAAATATGACTGTTGACGTATACAGGTCGAAAATACGATAGTATCGTAAAATACAGCCTAGCCATAAAAAATTTAAAAAACATCCTTAATATACTATGTTATTTCAATAGAAAAAATTTCATTCAAAACAAATCACCCTAATATTGAATATTGCAAATCGAAAAAAGTTATTTCCCAATATCGCAAAAGCAAGAGCTGATTGATCAAATAATGGTCATTTTTGGAATCAAAAAAGTTGTCGCACTAAGAAAATTTTATTTTGCCGGCCTGCGATAATTATCAATCGCTCGAAAAATGTAAATATCATTACTGTTCCACACGCTAACTACCACGTTGTGTTTCTTAATTTTTCCCTTAATATTTTCTAACGTAATTCTCTACTTATTTGCTTACCGATTGCCGTTATTATTTGTTGTTTTTTTAATGGTGCGGTAATTTTGTTCATATATTTCGAGTATTTTAGTAGATAGAAGAAAAAACAGAAACAGTTTGTCTTTAACATAAATTTCAATGTAAATACCTAGCAAAATGAACTTTATGCTATACAATTAACGTTTACTTTTGTGATAATTTTGTAATATAATAATTCCTTTGCCACAAAAGTCATAACTAAATTTAACTTTTTTATTTATATTGCTATTATCGTTAAATTTTTATTGCTGTATATATGTACTTGTGTTAATTCAAACAAGCATATTTTTATTTACACGAGAACATTGTGTTATATTTATATAATGAAATTTATGTATATATTTTTATTTTATATCAAGGTGTTGTTATGAAATTGATCTGTTAAATTTTGTTATGGCTTTACAAAATAATTGAATCAAATAAACAACTCTGATTCATCAACAGTTGTGTTTTATAATTATAATTAATTAAAGGGCACATTTATTTATTTTTAATCAAATTATTGTGACGTTCATATTCACACAACTGATTCCCCCCACCACTATTTATGTTGTGTATTTTGTAGGTTAGATATGGAGGGAACTTGTAAACTTATAATATGAAAGTGTCTTTTCTTTTAAATGTGTCTCATTTAACTTTCAATTACTGCTTAAACATAAGCTTATACAATTGTTTGTATTATAATTTATGATAATTATAATAAAAAAATAAACTCTTTTAAATTTTGATTTAATTTATTTTTATTTTACCCAACAATGATTCTGATTATTTTCACACTTAAAACCATCCAATCAGCATCCCCAAAGTCATTTTTACAGTTACTCTAAAAATCCACCAGATGGCATATCTGTAACAAGATATAGTAGGGTTAAGAGATATGAAAATTTAAAATTACCTACAAAACAAGTGAGTATCAAATTTAGAAGAAATGGGAAAAATTAAGTGATTTAGCTGAGGAGCAGAGAAGTTTAAATATCTAAAATTGAGCCTCCACATTTTATCTTTAAGTCACAATTTTGTTTCTTAAACAGTACATAAAACTTTATAACAATAATAATTATTGAAAGTAGAAAGTGAGGTTAGGCAGATCTGACAGTTATCGAAGTTTGTGCTAGAAACGGTTTTTTGCAGACTAGGAGGTAAAAAACTACCTGATTGCTTACAAAAAAATCTCAAATTCAAAAGTGGCACTTTGCAATCCAGCATCAAAAATGCTACAGGGTGTTATGTAATTAATTTAATATATTAAAATACTGAATACCTTTTTTAATTTGACAATGTAAAAGAATTTCGAAATTGAAACAATTTTGAAACGGAATTAAAAGTATTTTGTCGAAAATTGTTATTAAAATTTTAATTTAAGTGCAACCTAGGCGATAATCAATACCTATTGCTCTAGTAGTGAGTGTTGAGAATAATAAAGTTTAAATAAACTTCCAAGTTTTTAATAAATTTATATTCGTTCTATAATTTAAAGTTTATAATTCTCAACACTAAAGTAAATTGATTGACCTAGGCTGTAAAAATAATTTAGACTAATCGCGTTAGGTTTTTTACCTCCTATAGTCTCTAAACAACCCGTTTGGACCTCTTACTACCTTTAAAATTATTGTAACTTTTTTTTAACAACACCAAGTTTTATTAGTTTTACATTTATAAAACCTAATGCACAATAGATCAGTCTCGTTCTTCCTCTTGAGACGAGTGGTTGGGCTACGGCCTACAGTGCGAGAGCTCCTAAGCAGTGTACACGATACAAACGCAAGTCCTAATAACGAATCTGATAATCCGGCAATGTATCGGATGCAAGTGAACCAAAATCAGTAAAACGGAAAATAAAAAATAAATAAACAAGAAAAAATAAATAATAATAATAATAAGTTCGAAAAGTGCGGGTGGCCCCCGGTTGAAGTCACAAAGTGCTATAACGTCGCAAAAGTTTGTAACCTGGACTGTCACCACAATTGGCCAAGGAACACGGACTGTCCGGGACAGGGTAACAGATTTCCAAGGCTAATTAGTCCAGCTAAGTAATTTTCCTAATTGCATGACCTAATAACAGTACCGATTCTAATCTATAAACTTATCGTTAAAAACTTATATCCGCAACAAAATTCGCAATGTGATTACCAAGAATCACATCTGGCTTCAGAAAACAAACAGGTCCCTACACTAAGAAAAGTAAACTCTTATTTCAAGTTTTAAAAAATAACTGATATGCATTTAAATATAAGCATTAACTAAGAGACCAGCCCATAAATCAAAGCTTAAAATAAACAAAAGCCAAAAAGTTAACGAGCAACACAAAATCACAGAAGATAAGAAGAGCGACCCTCTCTATTAAACAGCCAATAGGGCCGTATTCCAATTACTACGTACACTTCAGGGCCGGCTTTATCTATTTTATATATTAATATTTATAATATTATTTTTAAATTCAATTTGAAAAAAAAACAAGAATGCAAAGATATCAATTAAATGGTAAACGCGTTATAATACACAAATTTAATAATAAAATAAATAAAGAATATACAAGGTCGGTATACCATAGTATACTATAGTCGGTACTCGGCATGAGGGGTTGAATAACCACGAAGGCAGAGGCACTTACGGCAGATCGTGACCGGCAACACTTCGGTACTGAAGACAAGATTCACTTCCTCACAGGGGAGCAAACAAATTTAAAGAGGTTACCAGAAACCGGAAAACGTCTAGGACAGAGACGTTCAGAAGTACAACAACAAGGACAGGTTCTAGCAGCATACTAACACTTCTACCCCCATTCAAAAATCCCAATTGAATAGGTTTATTACTAAAGCCCCGGTTGAGGATGATTCCGGATTGACTTAGTTTTGGGTCAGTTCAATGTCTTCCAAAAATCCGGGAGTGGCCTTAACCATCGACAGTCATCCACGACCTCCTAGGGTAGATCTACCAGCTGGCGTAAAAACTTCGGATCCAACAAACACAGGTAGGTAATGCTGTAGTGCGGGATACCTAGGAGAACGGAAAGGGGGTAAAATAACCCTGGGATATTAGTGTAAGGCGATGTCGATTGGGCCTGCCGTCCCCATACTCATACTCAAACTTAATGCACAATAGAAAAAACCGACCCCTTAATTAAATAAATTCGTTACTCCCCTTAAGGATTTTAATAGTTACACTAAAAATCCGCTAGATGGCAAATCTGTAACAAAGTAAAGTAGGGTTAGGAAATTTAAAAATTCGAAAAATCTAAAAAAGACGAAGAAAATGAAACGATTACAAAAAGTGATTACTAAGGAAGATTACGAAAAAATAACTTTAGGTATTTATGGTGTTAACTTAAGGTTTATTTGGTATTATTTTTTCGTTACTTTAGCAAACATTTCAAGTTTGGAAGAATTAATAGAAAATTCCGTTGAAGAATTGAATTTACAAACAAATTTACCTTATGAAAGTCTCAAGGATATAGTAATTAAAGCCTCAAAAATATTTGGACCTAAAATCATATCAGGTAATATAAATAAAATAAATTAATGCTGGATTTTACAAATTAAATTTAAGCATTTGATGTACCGGAATGGGAAAAACTCTCCACTGGCTCTCCAGAAATAGACTTAATAACAAACGGCGGGATGTCGTTTGAGGGAATAAACGAAATTTCAGGATGCAGTGGTGTAGGAAAAACACAATTTTGCCTACAATTATCGATAATGTGCCAGTTGCCAGAGATTTTGGGGGGGAAATATAGGGGGGTTGTGTACCTCAACACAGACAAATTATTTCCTTCCACAAGATTTAGAGAGTTAACCACAAATGTTAAAGATAAATACCCTCGACTAGACTTGGATTTAGAAAGCAATGTATTTTTACAACATATATCGAGTTATGGACAACTTAAAAGGACTTTATACACTTCACTGCCAATATTTCTGTCTTTAAATGATGTAGGATTATTAATTATTGATTCTATAGCAGGAATATTCCGCAGTGACAATGAAGATGTTGTTTATTCACAAAGAAGCCAACAGTTTGTTAAAATAGCTACTCAACTAAATAATTTAAGCACAAAATTTAATGTGTGTGTTGTATGTGTAAACCAGGTAAGTAAAAAAAATACGTGTTAAATTTAACAGGAAGACAAGTTTTTGACACTTTTTTTTCAATAAATTTTTAAATTACTCTTATAGGTGACTGATAATCCAATTACAGAAGAAACGGTCCCCTGCTTGGGATTATCATGGAGTAATCTAGTGAATTCTCGTTTTCACATAACCAGGTTTCAAGAATCGAGCATAAGAAAATTTGAAAACATTTTCGGTCCGCATCTACCAAATTCATCTTGCAATTTTACAATTAACTCGGATGGTATTTCATAGTGTGTGAAGTTACCTTAAGCGAGTCTCGCTGCGAGACACGGCAACGTCGGATTTATCTGTCAGTAGCTGTCAAATGTCAAAATAACCTTTAAATTTGATGAAGTTCCAAATTTTCGCATACTTTAAAAATAATAACGCGCAAAAATGGTTCGTATGAAGAAACAATGTCCTAAAGTTTTATAATTTTTGTACTTTGTAGAACGGCGTAATATTAGCAGGGTTGGGTCTTGCAGCAATAGGATTTGCTGGTCGATATGCAGTAAGGCAAATGCCCAACGTAACAAAAACAATGAACGAGGCAATGAAAAATTTACCGAAATTCGATGCTGAATCGATGGCCAATTCTAAATATTACAAGGGCGGTTTTGATGCCAAAATGAATAGGAGGGAAGCATCTTTAATTTTAGGTTAGAATGTTCATTTTTGTATTGTGTTGGGGGAAGTGATTCTAGAAGTAATTTTATTACTTATTATAGCAAATATAAAGTGGTAAAGTTTGTTGGTTGTTTTGTTTAACTTTGCATACTTAGCACATTTTTTTACAAATTTAAATATGTTTGTAGGTATTTCTCCAACAGCTAACAAGGCCAAAGTAAAGGACGCTTTTAAGAAGGTCATGGCTGTAAATCATCCTGATAGAGGTGGTTCCCCATATTTGGCATCAAAAATAAACGAGGCAAAGGATTACATGGAAAAACACTTAAGATAAATTTGTAATAATATATTAAATAACAAATTGTATATAGTAGTATAATTGTATTAAAAAGAGCAAATTTTAAACACTTATGACTAGATTTTGTTCAAACTTGTTTTATTTTTGGTATTTCAATCTTAGTTTATCTATTTTGGAATTTGATAAGTTTCCAGACATGGAAAAAACATCCTGAAATAAAACAGAATTTTTTAACCCTTTGGAAATTAATTTTTACAATATTCATATAAAAATTGTAGCCAAAGACTTACTTTCATAAACTGATGGCAGTCTATCACATGGTCATGATTTTTCATGTTCCTAAAACATGCAATGAGATCTCCGAGCTCATTTGTTTCCAAAATTTGTTGCTTGTGCAGTCTAATCAAAGTGATGGCCACTCTGAAAAGAATCTTGGAACCCTCATAAAACAAACAGTCCCATATCCTCAGTACTGTTTCGGTTGGCAACACCTCAGAATAAATGCAAACAAACCATTTTGTTATCCCCATGGCCCAAGGCATGCCAACTTTGTGAATATGTCTGCTTATGGCAGGTTCCATAACTCTGATTAACTCATCTAAGACGTCGAGATCAGTGAGGAGCCCTGACATTGTTATTATGTAGTATTGTGGAAGTATTTTATCAATTAAACATTTTAGAAGCCAGAATGAGCCTTCTTCATCTTTGGTGGCTAGCAATAAAAGGCCTGCAATGTAATTTAGGCCCTGGCAGTAACCTACATCTGTATTTTGGTGCGCAAAAGCTGCTAATACATTATATAAATGACTTGGTAAATACTCATGATTTGTAAAGAATATGTTATCAGGAAAAGTTCTAGGCAAATCTATTTCAATGCTCTCCAACACATGCCTGTTTGTTAACTTTTTTTTTAAATCAAAATAACTCACTTTACTTTTGTTTTTAAGTTCTAAGGCCCCAGAAACAGACATCCAACATGATAATCGATGATCCACTGGAATTCCTTTTCTGACAAATCTTTTTAAAGTATTCGACTTTTTATATTTGTTTCCTGTTAATGTACTCCACCTTTGGGAGCGTCGAGTTAATGTTCTTATGTATTGAGACATGAATTTGTCGTGCATTTCAAAATTGAAATTTGATGCCCTTTCAAACCCATATTCATCAACATTACTAAAAAAATGTATTCATTTTAGTGTCTTAAATAATAATATAGATAGATAGGCTACACAAAACTTATTATAATAATAGCATGGTAACATAGTACCTCAATTTCTTACCTATACTTTGATTTCTCCATTTCAAAACAATTAACTATTTAATTGAAGATGTTATCTAGGTGAAATCATCTAAATTCCTTTAATTTTTTTGTTTATTACTTCAATCAAATATGAATCATCTTTATCAGTAGAACATTATTCTCTAAAGTTTAGTCTAAACATAAACCTAAAACATGCAAAATATATTCCTGGAAACTTGCTCTATATACTTCACAATTACATAAATATTTAAATATCATTTTTAAAGAACAAAAAACATCAACACACCCTGGAAATATTGGTGTCTTTTGTCATCAAATTGTGGTAGCACTGTATACAAAGAACACTTGGACTGTATACAAAAATATGTGTCTGCTATGAAAGCATAGAAATAATAATACTATTATAAAAGAGAACATTTTCAGCGCTAAAAATTTGTTGTTATATCACAGACCAAACCTCTGTGCACTGGTGTGATAATACAACAATTTTATATGATTCCTTTATTAATGGATCCTTGCCCTTTATTTACCTTTTTCCGTGTAGTTATTTTTAATTTTTAATGTTGGTATCTAAAATCCAAAGTTTGGTTAAAGTTTAACCAAACTTTTTTATTGTTTTTCGGCTTTAAATTCTTTACTTGAGCAAAAAACTGTTTTGGAAGGATTCTTTACTTACAGCGAAGGTTTCCGATAGTTTTCCATAGTATAAATAAATAATTGTTAGATTAAATCATGGCTCGTGAATCATTAACCCAAGAGCAGTTGGACTTTCTGGATAATTGCCAGGTTAAATTTGCAAATAGGTATACTGATGAAGATCCAGATTATCAGAAGGTTTTTGATACTGGAATACCCACACCTCCTATAGTAAGCCCTTGGTATTCCAGAAATAGATTTAATGACAGACGAGGTGGACAAGGAGGTAGCAACTACAATAGGAATAATCGTAGGGAATATAATAGTTCCGACAATAATTATAAAAGATATAGGAATTAGTTTAGCTGTATTATTTTAATTGTAATGTGTTTCAATTAAAATGCTTTTTATAGGTATAAACTATATTTTATTTTATTCCATTCAACTAAGTTATTTGAAGTTATAATCAAAACAAAACTTGAAGATCTTTATTAAAAAACAATTTTTTTCATTTTATTAATCTTAAAAAACAACATATAATTTAATCAGGTACTTATTTGGTTTTAAAATTTTAAGTTTTTAAGTTACTGGTCCAACATCAAATATACCAAAAAATTATTCAACAATATTTTCTTTTTACCACAAAAATAAAACAATTCATATGGTTTAAAGTGTAATTAACAAAAAATTAAAAATATTCATATTACCTGCCTACATTAATCTTATTATTTAATATAAATTATAAAATTAAAAAATCATTGACAACCATCCTATAATCAGCATTGTGCCCCCAATGGGAGCCAACTTTCCAATCTTGTTTTCACCAGTAATTGCATGGTAATAACAGGGGCCGCAAAATAAAATTGTACCACTTAACATCAAAGAACCTGTCTATAACAAAAAAAAATAATAACAAATGGGTTAATTATATAAAAAATTCAAATACAAATATTGTTTATTTATTTGTACTTACTACTACTGGGTGTTTGCACATGGGAACCCCCAACAAAGCCAAACTGTGAAAGAAATGGAATTTATTTCCAGTTTCAAATATTGCCTTTAACTCATCGGCTCTGTCTTTTGGGTATGATTTGTGCGCTCCGTATGCACCCAAGGCAACAGCAGAGGCCCCCATAATACCGGCTACCTTTAAAAACGGACCGGCTTCTGCTGAAAGTTTCCATAAAGGTGTTTTTTCAGATATGACTGTAATTTGGGGCATCGCCGATTTTTCTCCATTTCCCTAAAAGTATTTTACATGTATTTTTAAAATGCACATGTTAAGTTAACACACCTTATCGCTACTTAAAGGCATCGTCTTTGTTAAAACGTTTAAAAATAGGAAAACAACGAAAAAATACGTGGGATACATAGGACACAGTGAATACTAACCGTTACAAGAGATGTCACTTTTTTCGAAACAGGGTTATCGAAAACCACGTAATTCATGTAATCGTAGATTCCCATTGTGTTGATAAAATCCATCCAAGAATATTTTAGTAAATGTTAAAAGAGGTGTCCACCGTTTTTATCGATTTAAAGGTGTGCGACGTTGCCGAGTGTATCGCAAAGTTAAGGTGAATTTATAATAGAAAAAACCATTGGTAGCCTACCAATGGTAGGTACCAGAGACAAAGAAGGTCTGTTGGATCTCGTTAAGAGATTCTCGTACTAAAAATACTAAAAATCACTGTACATCATAAAATGGCGGCCATTTTTGTTGTTTACAATTCTTGTGCTTTGGGTTTGTACAGATTAATAATCGTTTTAAACGTTGTGTTTCTTACAGAGAGACTTGCAAGCCTTAAAAGAGACCTCAAAGTGGTAAGAACAATCATTTTACTCCTCTTTTGTAAAAAATAAACCTTATTCTATCAGGGCTGTCAAATGTCAATTTGAAGGTTAATTTGTGGGTTATAAAATAACCTTAAAATTGACATTTGACTGTCAAATGTCAATTTTAAGGTTATTTTATAACCCACAAATTAACCTTCAAAATTTTGACAGCCAACAACAAAAATAGCCGCCATTGTATGAGGTGCAGTGTTGCAGTGATTTTTAGTATTTTTAGTACGAGATCGAATAGACCTTGTTGTGTGGATTGTGGGTACAAGAAATTGCAATTAATATTATTTTAACTTTTTTTATTGATTTTCAAATTATTAAAGATAAAACAGCGCCCCATAGGTAAACTTGTTTATTAGATTATAAGGTTTTTTTATATAAAATATAATGCACACCTACTTATAAGTATACTTATAAGATAAATCTAATAAATCTAATTGAGTGTTGATAGTCACATCACTAAAATTAAAAATGTATAAAATTGTTTTTATTTTAGCAGTTTTTTTGCAATTTTGCAATTCCGCAAAGATTGAAGGTAAGTTACTAAATTTTTAGAATATTTGAGGGTCTTAATATACACTGTGCCCAAAGTTATCTGTTAACGTTAACGTATTAATGGTACCATTAATTATACCGTTATTATTGGAGCTACTTACAAAGTCGGTTAAATTAGCAAATAGCATAGCGTGAAATTCTCTCTCTCTCTCTCTCTATATTTTTTATCCACTACGTCCGGAGTATCATAAGCCTGTCCCTCAGTAATGGATTTGGCCTAGGGGATTTGGTCTGAGCCGATGTGGCTCTTTTAACCAGTCACCAGTAGATACACGTGGAATTTCAAATCTTGAAACATCCACTAAATCGATTGCACAAAATACCTCGCTGAAAGGTCAAAGCTTGCGATATTGTCGAGTGTGAAATTCACGCCGCACATTGTTTCAATTCTCGAAATTTTCGGCAAAGAATCAAGGAGTAGTCGGATTCTCCTGAAAATCCGTATAAAGAGGTTTTTGGGGTCGCTGATAACGAATCTGGAATTAGAATTCCAAAATTCAAAATGATAGATCCAAAATGGCGGACATATTGGTAAAAAAATTGACGGAATAAATTGAAAATCACCATCCAGGGGTTTTGCTGATATAAATCTGGAATCAAAATTCCAAAACTCAAAATGGTGAACCTTAAATGGCGGACATTTTTTTCAAAAAATTGTCATAATTAATTGAAAACTCGTAAGAGGTTCTTTTTAAAATGTAAATAAAAGATTTTTTTATAAAATACCTTAATTTAGTTTATTATAATTATATTTATCCCAGTAAACACAATTACGTAAATATGACGTAAATATGACGTCATGTCAAGTCACGCTTACGTAAGATATAGGTCACACTGGAGTCATACAAGAGTCATTATTTCACACTTCCTTACGTCAGACTCTGACGTAATAAATATGACATAAATATGACGTAAACATCTTGATGTAACACTGACATCATACCATTACATAATATTTACGTAATAAATGTGACCTCAGAATGACGAAGCCCCCTTCCTTATTTTTCATCATGGGGCAAAATAAGTGAATACTGAAACAGCTCACTTGGCTGAAATCAGTTCCCTCCAGTGTTGCCAGATATTTTAAAGTCGAGGCGCCAATTTTCGAGTGAGATATCGCCCAAAAGCGCCAACAAAATTGCAATCAGCGCCAACGTTAGATTGGTAAAATTAAAATTAAATTCTTGTAACGGTTAAATCGCAAAATGCATTATAAATACTTAAACACACCAGTTTAATATTTTTATATTTAGATAAAGACATTTTTCTTGATAGTAAACAATTTTATTATTATTTATGAAATAACCCAGCAAACACATAAGTCTGGTAATGTAATGGCCCATTACAGCGTTTAATGGTTAAATGATGGCATTTTTAACCCAAGCTGTTCTTGTACTGGGCCTCTACAGGAATTTTTCGTTAATAAATGTCAATTTAGACCAAAGGCTGTCGTGGTAAGGTCTTGCAATGGCCCTTTTCAGGCAATGATATGTATAATTTAACATTAAAGGCCCACATATGGCAATTATAAGTATCAAGTTAATGGAACTGTAACACACCATTACAGTGCCAAATGTTTTCCTTTGCTTTACACCATATTTACTAATGAATTGCCTCATGTTAGTGGTATTATGCTGCATAATTTATGCATATGCATATAGAAAATAATATAGGTTTTGAGATATATTAATTAATTATCTAATAGGTGTATTTTATAATTAATTATTAATGAACTAAACAACTAGGTAGTACCTTTTTCAAGTAAGTATTTTTACTGTACAATTTTTACATTAATGTCGTACTATTTAATAACCTAGGAAATAGCTATTTCATGTGACCTATTTTTAAATTTTAAATCTTCTTTTAGCGCACCATGTTTTGAATATTTAACCCTATTTAATTATCTCTATTTAAAACAAAGCTTTTTTCTAGAAAAACTTGCAAATTAGAATCCCATTATAAGACCATTCCTACAGTGCACTGCAGTCGTCAATGATTTAGCAATATAATAGAGATCTCTTATGCATGTGATTTAGCCATATGCATATATCCATTGTGCTAAAGACTGGACTAGAGACTGGATTTATTTATCTACTTAATTTGTTTTGGTGTTTAATTTAATTCATTCGATTCCTTAGAAATGGAAACTGTTGAAATTTGATTTTATTTTATAATATTTGTTAAGTTTTTTTTTATTTAAATATGTTATGTTATAATTATGTTTAAATTACATGTATTTTATAACACATTAAACACTTTGTATTTTTTAATTTTTTGAAAGTTTTAGGGACATTAATGGAATTACATAATAACGAAATTTTTGTAATATAGTAAAGTACCTATCTATTATGGTGGATTAAATTTGGTAGGTATATATTTATTAGGTCGGATATTACACGATAATCGGGAATTTTTATCCCTACCGTCAAAAATCGATCGGGATAAAATATTTCAATTATCATGGAATATCCGTACCTAGTAAATATATAGGTACCACATTTAATCCGACATAATAGGTACTTTACTTATCCATTAAATAATATTTAACTAACCACTATAGAATCTTTAACACCCCATATAAGAACCTTTAGCTTGCCACATTTGTACCTTTAACCTGCCATATCGGAACCTTTACCGGTTCTTGTAAGTGTCTTTATCGACTGCCGTCACATGCCCATAAAAGGTGAACGCGACATAATATGTAGAGGTCCATTAAAGTCAGCCTTTATAGGGCCTTTAGTTTATTAAAGGCACGCGTTTAAAGCGCCATTACAGAACCTTTACGGTTGTGTTTGCTGGGAAACAAAAATAAATGTTTTATATTATTAAAAATAAATAAAAAAATAAATATTCTTTATTTTTTAAAATAAATAAATTTAAATATGGCCTACTGGCATTCAAAATATTAAGGAATAGAAACTGTTCCTATTCATTATTATTGTGAATGCTGGTAGGCTATATTTATTACTAATATTATTACTGTTAAGCCGGCTGCACAACATCCCAGTAACGGAAAGGGGAAAAAAGTTAGCTGTCCAATCAGAACTCATATTTCAATTTCAATTTCTTTTACTTGAATTCAAATTTTGACCGCACTCACCTCTAATTATAAAATTACATTTTTTTTACACATATACACTTGATATACTTACCCAGTAAGTATATATACTTATATACATATATGTGTTTACACTACTTTAATACCATCTATGATTATTATTTGTGGTGATCGCTGTTAATATCTATAAGTATTAAATACAGGCAGCTGCAATCTGATGATATATTTTAAGTAAAGTTTAATTCGAAGAATTTCCAAAAGAGAAATTTATTTTTTTAGAAATCGCCCAAATTGCGGTTTGCGCTTTTTATAAAAAACTAGGCGCAAATTATTCCTTAAAACCGCCCAATTGGCGCTAAAGCGCCCAATCTGGCAGCACTGGTTCCCTCTTTCAAATTAGAGGCAGGTATAACGATACGCATATCGATATAATATCGATACATATTCTGCAAACACTGAATCGATATATCCTTTGCGTATCGTTAGTTTATATCGTTAATTTAAAAATCACGAATTAAGCAAAATAGAAAATATGCGAACGGAAAAAAGTTCCCACTAAGCAAAATACTGTTGGGCGAACGTTGCAGCGATGTTAACAGTAACGCTGTAACGTTAACTGGGGGGTAACATTAACGTCACTTAAACATTACAACAACGGTTAATGTCCGCCTCATGAACGTTTCAATGTTACATTGCAACGTCAACGTTGAAACAACGTTAAACCGTGCCGTACAGGTGCTATTAACTGATGCGTTAGCGTAACGTTAAAGTTAAACGTTAATTTACTGTTTTTAAATGAACGTTAATAAAACGTTGAAATTAATTGTTTTATTAACGCAGCTCTGGATGCTAATTCTTGGCGGGAAAGACAAACAAAGATATAGATTTAAAAAGAACTTGTTATTTTTACTTCTTTCGACATTATTTGTAAAAAATCTTCTTCTTTTATAATTTTTTCAAAACCCGTTGATGGCCTTGACGAAACCACTCCATAGCAAATTCTTCCGGATAGTTAAGTTCAACACCACCTGCAAAAAAAAAAGAATTTTAGCTTAAGCTGACAAGAACGATAATTTTAGATCCATGACTCTAAAATAATTGTTCTTGCGGACATATTGACATTTTTAATTTTAGTTTAGATTTGTTACTAACTTATAAGTTTATTTATATATACTTCAACAAAGCTATTGTGGCAAAAGGCGCCACGAGGTATATATCTAGATTTGATTATTTCTGCTAACTTATAAGTTTATTTATAAATATTTCTGAATTAATACTTCAAAAAAGCTATTGAGGCCAAAGGCGCCACGAGGTATATATCTAATAGAAATAAACAAATATAACTTAAATATAATATATATTAGCTTATATTATAGGTACACACCTACTGTTGAATGACTTTTTTGTTGTTGCACTTGTTTTTGTCCTTGCCCTTGCCCATGCCTTTGTTGCTTTTGGATAAAAAATGTATGTTAATTTTGGCTTAAACTAACTTCTTCCTGGTAACGATAATAAGCTGAGATCTAAAACTAAACATAGCAATTTCAGACTTGATGCAAGTTAAAACAAATTAAGTAAAGGTGCTTAGCATAGTAGGTACCACTGATAAGAAAATACCTATTACCCAAAATAATAAGGTTAAACAGGTACCTATTTAATTGTTTTAAACTATTTTTTATGAAAAAGTTCCTAAACCCGTTAAAAATATAGAATGAAATATTCAAAATCGCTAGAATATAAATTTTTGTAAATATAGGTATATGACTATAAATATCAAATTATAATTTGCAATCTCAATTAATTTGTTTTAACATAAATTGTAGTGTTAATAATTATATTTGAATGAACCTTATAAGAATAATATAAAGATAATTATTAACACTACAATTCATGTTAAAGCAAATTAATTGAGATTGAGACGC